AGGAGAGAGAGAGAGAGAGGGAGGAGTGAAGCTCTCTTTTGATAGGAAAACAGTGAGATGATGGCACGGGAGAAAAAGGCAGTCTACGGTTGAGCATTACTTGCCCGGAAGGAAGAGGCAGAAAGCTCAAAGCTCTTGCCCGTGTCTAACTGACAGATATTTCAGACCAAAATATTCTGCTTTTATCTCTTTTTCCTAGAAGAACATCATAACAAGTTTCAACATGGCGGAGCCGATCGACTACATCTCCCTCCCCTTTAGAGTCACTGTTGTTGACGGCCGTGTATTGGAGGGAAGGCTGCTTGCCATAGACGACGAATCCAATCTACTGGTTACCGATGTTAAGGAGCACACTGGAGAAGAGACCCGGGATCTCGGATTGGTGAGTGTGCCTAGAAAGACAATAGTGAAGCTGGAAGTTGAGGAAAAAGAGTACGGTGACATGCTACGGTGGAAGCAAGCACAAACGTTGAGGTCGCTGAAAGTGAGTGATTGAAACAGCGAGCGAGAGGAGGTGATGGGATGCTGATATGATGCAACGACATTGCCAATTTGATGCAGAAGAGAAGATTGATACGATATTTTTCACGGGAGATGGTTGGAGAGGAAGATCTAAGACAAGTGGTATTGAAGATTAGGCTGAGTGTCAGTCTCTCTTCACAGAAATACACATGCCTAAGTGCTTATAAGAAAACTAGAATGATTGTTTGGTTAGGTCCCATCCACAAAGGAAGCACGCTTGACATGAGCAATGTCGAGATGGTCTCAAGAAGCAAACCCCAGACCGGGGCCAACATAATACGATCATTTTTGGCATGTATAGATGATGCATTGCATGACGTTATGAAATGAAACAATGGCACAAGCCACTAGAAAAAGATGGGTAATTGAAACTGGAAAACGGAATCGACGTTCACAAATATTCTCTCCTTTGAGTGAAATGGTGTAAAATGTGACGAGTATCGCTCTTATGAGCAGAACGACTTCGAACTGTAAGAAAATTTTGCTCTTTTCGGAAGACATGTACCTCTATTTCTCCTCTTCACTCTCGCTAGCGTCACTGGGCGCGACAGATACACCTCTCAATGTCAAATCTTGATCCTCTGAGTCGCTGGGACCACCAGCTAGCTTCCAATCAAAATAGTCCGCCGAGTTATTCTCCTGGAGTGTTCCTAAATCACCAGGTGTCATCAGCCCCTCCGTGTAGCGGTCACCGGGGGATCCTGGAGCACTCAAAGGTCTTGTGATCTTGATGTTGGTGCCGGACTCGAAAGGATTCTCATGATTGGACAGATTGTTATAAGAGTCTGGATAAGCCCTTCTCAGAGCAAGAGCACGAGCTTTGACATACTCCAACCCCATGCGCTTCCAGTCAAGCAGATCAGAAAGACGCTCAACACGGTTACGCTGATTGATCCGTTGCCTTCTTGTTTTCTCCACGAATTCAAACATGTAGTCCGTCAGCTGATTGATACTTTCATCAACAGATTTCATGCGTCTGTCGACGATGTAGATTCCATAGTCAGTAGAATTCTCAATCAAATCTTCCATATAGCATCCAAAACCAGACAGATTTGTTGTGATTGAGGGAATTCCCATCACGGTACACTCCGCCGGTGTGTAGCCCCACGGCTCATAGTATGACGGAAAGACACCGAGATGGCAACCTCTGACGAACTCATCATAATCAAGCGACAAAATTGGATTGTTGGCATTAAGGAACTCGGGGTGGAAGATGATTTTGACTCTGTCATCTGGTGTGTTGAAGAGCTTCACGCTTCTCACCTGGTTCAGGATCGGGTCTGTCGAGTCATTGGCCATGTTGTGAGTAACTATTGGGGGTAACGAATCCCTCTTGAGAGCAAACATACGTCTTTTGAGCAAGACCCTATCTGAAGGCTTGAGAAGGTCGTCGATCTCTGGGAGCTCCATCTGCGACGAGGTCTGAGAGAAAGTTGGGTTCTGGCAGAACTCGAACAGTCTCTTTCCCATAGAGTTCTGGATATCCTTGATGGAATTTTCCAGCTGTTTGATAACAGCTTGGCCCTTCAAAGTCTCCACAGTGTAGGAGTGTGTTGGTGCCGGCATGATGATGAATGCTACAACAGTCATCTTTGAACCGGACTCCTTCAGACGGTGGTTGAGACGAGCAAGCGACTCAATAAAGAAGTCCACACCCTTGTTGCGGTACTCGTATCTTCCGGCAATGAAGAAGTACAGAGTGTTGTTCAATTTAAAGTTAAGGTTACCGTAGAAGTGGCCCCTGATGAAGTCGTTGATCTTCTCTTTCTTCTCAGCATGGAGGTTTTGGAACTCATGAACAGCTTGGAACTTCACCACGTTAAGACCGTTGGGCAGAACACCATCGGGCTTACGTTTCAGTAAGTGCTCAGACTCATAAGCTGTGATATGAGAAACCGTGGTGAAAACATCTGCGGAATGAGCGGCGGCACGCTCGATGCAATACCGGTGGTAAATTCCGCGCTTTCCAGCCTCAGCATCCACGTCAAACTTGTCAAGATTGTTGTAGAAATCAACTGAGCCAGCACATAAATACCGCCCGAGTAAAGTGGCATGAGTGGTAAACACGGAGGTTACGTCGATCTTACGCTTTCGGCAAAGAGGCAAGCAAATACCCGCAAGCCATTCGTGAGCGTGGATGATGATGGCCTGCTTCTGGTTGTGAAAGGAGTACTCTCCCAAAAACCAAGCCACCAGATAGCCCAAAAGAATCGCATCGTTGGTCTCCGTGTCAAATGCTGGGGAAGGAATTCCAGTGTTGTTCCAGAGATCCCTCTTCCAGTCGTCCAGGTTGTAGGCTGCAGATTGCAGGTCAAACAGAAGGACACGGGGAGCCCCATCAATGAGCCACCGCCCATACAAATACTGAATTCCACGTTCTCCCATAGAATCAAGCGTTTTCTTCAAATGAGGGTCAGGAACCGGTAACTCCTCGACTTCCACCGACGCAGAGGCACGATTCCAGGGGCCCAAAAGCGTATAGCGATCGCGGTATTCTGCCACTGTGATTGGTGCCTTCGACTTCAGCACCGAATAGATACCTCCGACTCGATTTGCCACCTCAGTGGCGCACTCAAAGAGTAAATGGTGTTTGACGTCTCTGGTCATTTTCGGAGATGCAAACAAGGGCAAAACAATAACAGTGGGGCTGCTTTCTCAAAAGAACAACCGGTGGGACTGCAAGGGGCAAATAAAGCAAAATCCCAGATGCGAGGCCCAAAAAAAACAAAGGATCGAAACAGGAGGAGGAAAACAAGAAACAAGAAACAAGAAAGAAGACGGACACGAGAGAACAAGGCGAGACAAGGAGGTGCAGCCTTGAAGCAAAGGTGACCCTTTGGGATTTGGCAGGGTGGGGGAGATCGGTCCAATATGCGAGAGGTTACTAAATGGAGTTGAGTCACAAATATTAAAGTTTGAAACACCTGAAGAAATGCTACAGATCGAGAGAACATTGTGAGATTTTCAAAATCCACCATATCTCAATTGTACGGCTTTGAATGATATCTGAAGCAACACTCGTGATTCTTAGGGAGGGACCGAGGTGGACTTCAGACAGACACTATAGGGGAGTCCGTACAGCAGCTTTAACAGAAACAAAGTGGTCACATATAGTTATCGGTGCATTGACTTCGATCGGGACTACAATCTATTCAAAATCTGTGCTAACAAGGGCCAAATATTCACCAATTCTGCATTAAATGTTACCCCAATTTTCACTTTTCCTCGATGTCGGCGCCCAGCTGATGCTTCTGGTTGACTTCCTGATTGGGAACATAATATGCTGGAAACGGCATAATCGGGTGACCCCGGAATTAGCTCCCGCACCTGAAGGATGAGCCACTCGGAATAACACTCAGCAAATCTCAGATACTTTTGTAGCACCGTCACTTTATTAGTATCTCATCCTACCTGCCACCCTCCCCTTAGTTTGAGCTAGTTTCATTTTGGTCCCACCTTTTAGGCTTCTCGCTTCTGGTCCTACCCCGTCAATTCCCGAAGATGCGGGGAGATTAGCACAGGTGCACGACGTTTATGCATGCGGCGCAGCACACGAGCCCCGACTTAATTGAGCGTCACACTAGTATCACCTTCATCACCAGCATCTGCGTTATGGTCTAAACAGCTCAAACGACAACACTGCACACCACCATCCTCACTGTAACTGGCAACATCATTTGGCCCACAGCATTGCTTGTTGTGATTCACTGATATTTCCTTTCATTGTTGACCGGTTTCTCTTGAAGATGGCCCATTGGTGCCTGTCCATACCTGACCCCATTTCTAATGCTGAACCGAATGTTCGCGCGTGGCTCAGCCCCACATCAGCCAATCACAGCAGCTCCCCTACCATCCTCAGCCCAGAGCTATGAAGACACACAAACGCGGACTCTGCTGTATGGAACCCCGGATTTGCTGCCGTCGTCAGTGCGAATCACCGAAAGGTCTGGGCTATTCCGGCTTGTGATTTTTCAGGATGGAGGAATGCGTTCCAAACATGCTTTGTTCGATTCCGCTGTCTCAGTTCCTACCCAAGCTATTCCAGAAGGGGTTTCTGGATCCGCTGGCTCAATACCGGTGCAGCCCTGCCAAAAGTTCACCAAATTAGACGGAAATCGGTACCACCCTCAGCGAGAGTTGATGACCCATATGTTTGGCCATGGTGTTCTGGTCGAAACGTCCAATTCAGTCAAGATCCACGTTTTGCCGCCTCTACCTGCAATGCCAGATTCTATTCTTCTAACTCGTCTGGTCTCAGTGGATTCACACTATTGCGCCCAGAAGGATCCTGGAGCCACGCCCAACGACTGGCATCCACAGGCCACCATTCGTTCATGCCAGCGCGACGCACCAGCTGCAAATGGCTCAACACGTTTTGGTATCGGTGTGGTTGTTCCAATCTCAACTAAGGACTTTGATGAGGTGATTGCGGACAATTGGGAAGAAGTTGCTGACGAACTAGCAGCGTTACAGGATCTGCTGCTATGTAAGCTTCAAGCGAGTATGGCAAGGTCTAAAACGGCAACTTCAACCTCTGCAAATGCGCCCCAAGGAATGCGGTTTGCTCCTTCCAGTCTACAAAATGATCTAGAGTTGCAGACAGGTCTGCTATCGTTCATCAGAATGACGATTTTTTTGTTGGAGACACCACGGTTGCTGATTGGCTTCAACAAGGCCGATTCGGCATTGGTGGATTGGGCCCAGACAGTAGGCTCGTGGCTGGAGTTCAAAGATGGAAGACAGCAACATCTTCAATTTCTGGCAGCTTTGTTCACAATTCTGGCTCCAATGAGAATGAACCTATTACATAAACCATGTGATCGGTCTAAGCCAACATACCGCGTGGTGATCATGACTGGAAACCCCATGGTTTCACAAAAGCTGATCCTGATTCTCACGGGACTGTATACAAATGAAGAGATCTCGTTTGTGAACCATGATAGAGAAGCGGCGATTCCAGAACCAAGGGTCAGACCGAGACCGAACTCTCAAACCAATTCCATAACGGCAGAGAAGGATATGGCCAGGCCAATCCCAATTGGAAACTATTCTCACAACCAATCAAAAACACAAGATTCGTCCCCCCGTTCAATCCGGCTCCATGACCGTCCAGTAACGACTGGCTGGGAGATACCTTCGAAGACATCACCAGCATTATCACAATCGCCTGTCTTTATCAAGACCTTTGAAAGTGCAACAAATTTCGACAACGCTGTGGGAAAGCCGATGATAAATCGCCAATCATCATACGCTTCACTCCAGGGCATTTCGAGCTCGCTGACTGCTTCCACGAATCTGGCCCAAATGTCACAGTCTTGGATGAACCATGGATTCAGTTTCTTGGACAAATGGCGCAGCGGCCAGCCACCACAGCCTGAGATGCCAAAACAACCTGTTTCCTCTGCTTCCTCGTCTTTTTCACTTAAACACTCTCTTTCTTTCTCCCACCTGAGAACGCCATCTCCGGCATTTGAATACGAGGAATACCCATGGACCATATCGCAGCATTCTCCTCGAAAAGTGCCTTCCATGGTTGACCTAATGGGAACAAGGGGGGTTCCCAAACCTCCACAAATTAGAAGAGGACCTAGTCTGATTGGGTCAATCTCCGAGGAAACGACCAAGCAAGAACCTGGCACGATTGTCGGAAAACGCTACGACGAAATCAGACAACGGTGTCGCTCCATCATGCTTGACGATATCTCGCTAACATCGGAAAATGGTGTTGTTAACGTACTATTCCCCCACCAAATCATGGCTTTGCCGCAGAGAAAAGTGCTGCTTCCGTTATGTGGATATCTCGAGCAATTCTGCCCGGAATTCTCGATGCAATCGTGTCCGATATCGGGACATCTGGAGAATGCGATCCTGGATGTCATGAAGGATGACGTGAACAGAATGGATTTGTCACAGCCATGCTTCTCCAAAGGATCAGTCATCACCAAAACGATCCTAGTCTCGTTGCGCGCGCGTGAGATCAACGAGTTTGAGATCAGGGTTGATGATAACTGTTATAGAGATGGAAGTGTTTCCAATGGGGCGGCGTCGCCTCAGATTTCCAATCTAACTTCCATATTGCAGAACAGTTCGTTATCGTCTTCTTCCGTGTCTCCGACAAACTTTTCACCTTCATCAGTGGATTCCTGGCATACAACTAGTGTCAAAGAGGGTGGATCTTCGCAACCGCTCACCATAAAACCTCGCACACGACGGTTGTTCTGTCCCAATCGGAAGTACCAATACCTGGACCGCTTTCACGTCTCGAAGGTTGATGATATCTTGAACAGGATTGCAGATCTTGCCAGGCGGGCAAATGAAGAGAATGAGGCCGATGTCGCGAAGCGAATTCGCAACCTCGTGGATGATTTGATAGATGCAAAGTAAGATGGAGCGAGAGCTAAGGCTCAAGAGAATATTGGTAGTTAACAGTTCAAGCATATCAGGTGAAACTAACCCGATAGTGAGAACAAAACAAAAGCAAGAATTAGCGAGTTTGGGTATAAGTCATGTGATTGAATAATATAGGTAAGCAAGTATAGCCAAAAGCTGAAAACCAGGCACATAAGAAACACAGGCCCAAATAGCAGAACAAAAAGCGACGACCATGACCAGCGTGGTCAACAAGTACAGGTCAAAAGATAAAACAACCGAGATAAATAACGCAGACTAATCGAAAGAACCTTCCAGGGTCACGATTCCACAATTATCCTTGCAGGCTGGTTATTGCCGAACACATTGAAGCTCTGCCTCTTTGATTTAGAGTACTCCTCAACTTTGGGATCCACATTAACCACTTGCAGCTTCCTCTGGTTATACTGCAGATTAGTGATAGACTTGAGACGCAGTGGACGCGGCTTGAAGTCATGCACAGGATCTGACTCGACCACGGTAGTGAGGGCCGAAGAAGTCGACAGATTGGAAGCAGTGGAAGCGGAGGAAGATAGTGAGGGCACAGAGGATGCTGAATTCGACTGTGCAAGCTTGCGAATGGCAAGAGGCTCCACCGGCGTCGGTAGAAGCAGCTGCCTGGATGCTTGGAGCCTCTCTTCGTTTGTGCGCATGATTTTCTCACGAATTGGAGCCAGGAAGGGAGCAAAACAGTTCATGATATCCTGCTCAGTTACGCGCAAGTCCCAGCCAAGATATCCAATCATCTCGCGCTCCAACGTGTTCACCTCTTTCAGGGTAAGCAGACCATCTGTGTAAGCAGCCCAACACTTGTTGAAGGGCGAGGAGTCGTTCAACGACTTTGCAGCCAGAATCAAGGCACCAAGAAATATCCTGTGATGGGTGGTGTCTACTCCGTGCGAATTAGCAGGCAAGATCGAGCGAAGCTTCACAAGGTATACCAGACTGGCCATAAGCGTAGGGGTTTGAACACGCGAATGGCGTATCAGACCCTTGACAAACGAGAAAAGAGACACCGATTTCGAGGTCTCTTCAACAGGCGAGGCTGGTGGCGAAGGATATGCAGATGACAATTGACTGTATGGTTTGGAGCTTCGGATCGAAATCACGGATTCCGTAGTGGACACCAGAAAGGAGACCATGGAGGTAGAGACCGGTTTCTTGACAAAATGATGGAGGGCTTCTCTGTCGAGCGACATTGTTGAGACAAAAGAAAAACGGACAAAAAAAAGCGAAAGAAGCCAAAAAGACGCGACTTGTGTGAGGATGCCAGAGACCAGAAACTAGACTGAAAAGACTTAGCTCCTGAACTCTTGAATAGCTTTTAACAAAACTGTTAAACAAGACCCAAATCTGCAAAATCGCCTGAAAAACGATCAACACTTCACAGTAGAACAAACAAGATGCTGGCTTTTCAGTGGTAGTATTCTTGAGATCTGATAATCAATATCAGCAGTAATACCAGTCTTATACAATCTGAGAATATCCAGGAAACTATCCAATACTCTTGATTGTACGCGCTCGCAAAACCTGTCAAAAACCCAGAAATATATACATTCGCAGCCGCTGGCGTTTTTGCATCTCAGAACAGAAATAGGATCGGGAAAAAAGACGCTAACTGTTCGGAAGGACCCAATTATCTTCCAAAGGGGCTCTTTTCGTCCATCTGAAAGGGATGAGGTTGGATGTGAACGCGTCACCTTCCCCTTTGGGTCAAATTGGTGGAGGAGACGCGTTGGCTCGGGATCGGCTTAGGCAACCGATGGGGCTCTGCAGAACGGTTAATGAGGTTGAAATGATTCGCGTTGAGGCATTTTGAGAGGGCTGGTTAGCCTCTGGTACAGTTCAGTTATGGGGCTGAAAGAATCGGGATTCTGATGGCTATCCGGATAGTTATTGCTGCTAAAACTTTTAGCACTAACCAGCGGGCCGATGAGTTTCCCGATTTCGCCTAGACTGGGGCGGTTAACGCGGGTTAGACCTCATGTGCACTAACCAACTAAACGGTTATTGGTTGGTACACATAAGATATCAGCAATTTTATCTTTTACATCAGACACCCAATTTTGAACCCGGATATTCATATAAAAACGTTTGAGAGAAACTTGCTCTATATCTCGTCCCATCACAGACTTTTCAAGCAACTATCTAAGTTGCACCCGACAGCCGCGTCCACCATACAACTCGTCTCATCACGGGACCCGTATCCCGTTTGGTCGGCAGATCCCAGATCAGGTAGTCTCGAGTTGCTGACACTTTTGCTGGGAAGATAGCTCTTGGGCAGATTGTCCTTGCTGGCATAGTATAGGCTAAACTCTGGTTGTATAGTGACGGAGTGAATACCGTAAGCGTGTAAACATGTCTTGATAGTGGCAGCTACCTGCAAGAACTCCTCTGGCGACGTGGAAAGCTCAACGTGAAGCGATGCGATGAAAAGTTTCTCGGTTAAGTTCCAAATGTGGAAGTCATGGACGGAGCACACACCAGGCACTCCTAAGATATCCGTTTTGACGTCGTCGTACACCACGTTCGAAGGAGTGGCTTGTAGCAGGATTCGCGAAGAGGTTCGACACAATGGCAATGCTGATGAAAATATGATGATGGTGATCAGCAGAGAAACAGTGGGATCCGCGTAGAAACGCCAAGAGTAATCCGTTTTCCAGATGAAAAGTGCTGTCAACATCACTCCAACATTTCCCAGAGCATCTCCGAGAACGTGCAAGAAAACACCTTGCATGTTGAGGGATTTTCCGTCGGGATTCTTGGCCTTTGAGCTGTTTATGGTGTGATTGTGATTGTCATGAACCGAGTCAAGCAACCCTGTGCGTTCGGTATCTAGCCTTGAAACCACCGCGGCCGGCCAAATCGAACTTATATCTGCAGAAGAGTCGTCATCGTGAGGCTCAGAGTCCACGTGAGACCCATGTGAGTGCGAATGGCCCGTAGCTTCGGTGTTACCGCCGCTATGAGAATGGGAATGGCCACCGTGCTCATGAAACAGCACCAATCCAACCAAATTTGAAACTAAACCTGCAGATCCAACCGCTAGAATAAGCTGTGGATTCGTTATAATCTCTGGAGAAATAAACCGCTGTATTGACTCGATCGAAATGGTGAAGCAAAGCGCCAAGAGGAAGACGGCGTTGATCAAGGCCCCCAAAATTTCGGCTCTTTGCCAACCGTAAGTATATCTGGAGTCAGCTTCTCTTGTCTTGGACACATTTACGGCCCACAAAGCGACTAGCAGCGAGATGATGTCGTTAAGCATGTGAAACGAGTCGGCCACCAGCGCCAGAGAGTGCACCGTATAGCCCACTATCAGCTCCAGCAGAAAGAAAGCAGTGTCTATTACCAGCAGCGAATAAATGCGTATTTCTTTGGAAGACGGCATTGTGGCAGGCAAACTTCTTTTCAGGTCCAATTCGGGTTGGAAAGCGTGAAGCGGATGAGCAAGAAAAGTCAGGCAAGGAGACGGTGATACTCAATTCGCTACTTGAAAAACCGGGAGGCCAAGATGGAGTTGGGAGTACACTACCTCAACTAGGTCCGGTAGCTCCAAACGAGAGCCCAGAATGTGTACTAAATTGTATTTGAGGTCTTGCAAAAAGGATATTAAATTAATGTGTATTTGTGCTCCTTGTCGTAACTGTAGTTGCATCTTCTTTGGAAGATAAAAAGCGAAAATAGTCTTACATTTGGATGAAAAGGCAGAGTTCTATTTCTCCTATGCTTAGTCATATCGCCGCACGACCAAGATAGGGGTGCGGCTGGTCTGTGACAGTTGCTCTGCACTTCCTGGCCAAATCAGCATATTTTTACTGTTCAACAAATTACAAGTTATCCGTAGATGAGTGGCCAGGGAGTTCGCGTAATGCGGGCAGTATCATATGTAGCCCAATTGGACCCCAGTTTGGCTGACAAGGTGGCATGGGCACCTATTTTTAGGATATTTGAGCCGCACGATGCTGCATCTGCAGATATGGGGTGTCGCTCGTGTTTTATGAAAGATTTTCATGGTGTTGCGCTCTGTGGGCGATATTATAATGATCCATGCATGACAAATCCCAAAGGTCGGGCAGATCACCTCAAACAATAGTGATGGTAGAGGCTAGACACTCAAAAACCCCACCTCCAAAAGTTGAGCTCATAGTACTACGTCGATCTAAAAAATCCAAAACCCAGTAGCCAATTAGTCTATAAAATCTTTAAAACAGGGTGAAAAACCAAACTTCTTTTGTTTTCGGAAAACCAAGCGAGACCAAAATGCAACAAAACGTATTACTCATAAATCAAACACCTCGATGGTAGCAGAACCGTAGTCACTGGCAGTGATCACACAATATGCTGCATCAAGACTTTCACCAGCGGAATCGGACTTGACCTTATTTAGACCAACAGTCTTTGGGTTGATTGTACATGAACCACCGTTACACTTAGATTCATCGTCACAAGTAACCTTGAGACCAAATGATGGATTTTGGTCCTTGAAAGGAGAAGAATCCTCGAAGTAAACTGGGTTCCAGCCAACCTTGACGTAGGTGTTTCCGCTGTCATCCATGTTCATACCGGCAACATATGGTGACCAGTTACCGTATGGGTTAGCAGTGGAACCCCAGACACACCCGTCATCAGTTGAAACACCTGGAGGGTTCACGTAATAGTGTGCCGAAGTAGAAGCCCAATAATCGGTTCCGGGAACAGCCAAAACCTGAGAGTCGCCAGCTTTAACTGATGTTGGGATCAACATAGCCTCGTTACCTGGCAAAACAGTCTGACAGAAAGCAACCTCATCGCCTGCAGTGTTCTTGACAGAGACAGTCTTCTTTCCATCAACACAGTAGTCTCTATCGGAGTATGGAACTTCAAGTTCACCATCGTCGTTACAGTAGAGACCTCCATGCTGGGATCCGGGGTAACTGTAGGAAGTCACAGAAGAGTCCCACTGGTTCATAAGTTGACCTGGAGGACATGCAAATGGGCACCAGGTTCCAGAAGAACATGATTGATCAGGCGACATGGCCCAGCCAGCGTTGTCAGACTTTGGGGTAATTTCAACGAGATCCTTGTCTGTAGGAAAAGCACATGTGTTGGATCTCTTGGAGTGTTTGTGATGAACATGTTCCTGAGGAGTTGGTAATGCCATGGCCGAGAGGGCAAAGAGACAAGATAAAATGATTGAAGTTTGCATTTTGGTATTGTGTGAGCAGTATCAGGTGATCTGGTATGTAAAGAATGTGTGTTGAAAACCGCTAAATGAATGAGAATTTTCCGCAACTAGTTTCAGTCAATGAATGTGAGAATTACTGCTACCTCCAACATATTTGAATCCATTTTAGCCGGAATCTGTTTCTCTTAAATACTAATCCAAAAAGCTTTACGATCCACCAGTAGTGAAAAAAGAACCGAAGGCAATTGAGATCGCGCATATGCCTCCGAAAGAGGTGGAGATCGAGTGTTAATACAACCGAGCATTGCCTAAAAGAGTAAGATCTCGGTTGAATTACCACTCAAAGGCCACCCAAAGGAAGAAGGTCTAGATCGTCTTCTATTACCTTTACCTCTTCGGGTATAATTGGGGGCATGCGTCAAAAAAGAAAAGGGACCGAGAAGGTCTAAAGTAGAAAATTTTTCACTGCCATTAATAGCGTGTATCTTGACAACTGTGTGTGTTCTATATTGGTTCAAGTGACATTTAGGTGGACTATGGTGTTGTGTGCCATGAGCTTTTTGCTGTGTTCCCTGTGATTCTGGTTATGGTGACGTTTTACGTGTACTGCGGCTTCGATGCCTATGTGAAGAAGGCACAGCAAAACTGCAGTATCGAACAGTGCCTACCCGAAATCTAGTCAGAACATATTCTTCCTCTTTCAGTCGGTCTAGAGATGCAAAATCTCAATATGAATTCCTTTTACTAGTAAAGGGCAAATACAGGCTAGTTGGTGCTCTGAGTAAAACGTTGGGCGGCTAAAATGGCTGCTGTTCCCCCACTGCAAAAAATCGCAACTCTAGCCGAGTCTGGAAGCACACGTCCACTCTCGGGGTATCTACTACCGACGGAAGTGCCGCCTATTGTTGGCTGGCTGGCTGTCTACAAAATGTTTTCAGTACGGTTTGCACCAATTATAACTCAGTTAGCTAGCACTTGTTGAAAAAACTGTTTCGAAATTGTTCCAGAAGAGTTCCAGAAGCATGAGGCTCGGCCCTTCACTGGCTCTTCCCCGGATTAACTAGTACAGGTAGTGCGTATGTCCCAATGCAATACTAGTCTAGAACGGCTGTGGACCACTAGAACGGATGTAGACCAAATCTCGGAACAATAGAGCAAGCATATGGAGTCGATCCAATATCTCGTTCGTATGAAAGGCTTGTGGAAGGCATTCGAAAGGCCTAGATTGTCCTAGACATGGAACGTTAAGTGAGACAACCAAAAACCATCAGTAGCAGACGCACCGACACTTATCCAGAGCATTCATAAGCAAAGATACGATTGGGTTAGCGGCTAGTTCGGGCCTAAAGTCCGTTCCACTCGTTTCTTCTTCTCGAAACTACAGTTGTGAAATCCCCTGGCCCGACCAAAGGCTTTTCAATAAAGCGTGCGTGTAATTAGCATTCGTTTCTGTATTCGTATTCCTTCTTGCACCCACATACAGACACTTGGGAGCAGGAAAAGGGCATTTCTTAACAAAAAAAGAATTTCCTAGTCACTTCTTTTCGTGCATGTGACTAGGATGGTAATCCCAACTGGCAAAATTGCCAAACAGGTTGTCGAACGAGCGAAGGTGGTCGATGTCTACCCCGATGCCGATACCATTGAACTGGTCCTCGGTTCCATAGTTAAACACCTGGAGATCATCGTCCTGTTTGATCATTGGTGTAAAATGATACTTTTCATTGCTGAGATCAGTATCCATTTGATTGGAGAGATAGGAGAGCGAACTTGTCATCTGCTGTAGATTTGGATCGCGCTGAAATGTTTGAGATTGGCCGTTTTCCTGCTTAATGTTGGCTGGTACTTCCGGATCCTGTTCACCTATGGGGCTCAAGTTAATCGCCAAAGTTGAGTCCACATTGTTTAGGTTAGTTTCTCTTATTTTGATGTCAACCCCTCGTTTGGGGACATCTTCAAAGAGGCACCGTTGGATGTCCAGGTTCAGAGGAACTGTCGTCTTTATTGGAATTCCAATCTCGTCCAACATCTGCGTTAGTTCGCACAATTTGATGAAATTTTCCATAGCAACATGGTTGCCTTTCATTGCCATGAATTTCAAGAGCATGACTCCTTTATCGATCTGCTGATAGGTCTTCCCCGTCGAGATAGCCATCTCCAGCACCAAAATCGCACTGAAGCAGAAGTGGCTGTCCCAGTAATCGAATATTACCAGCTGGTTCAAGTCCTTCAGAGAGTAAAGAAGATCAACATTGTGACATGCACTCAGAATACACTTCTTGGTGATCCGCTTGGTGGTCTCGTCCTCTTTGATCAAGCCCTTGAATATCGCAATGATCAAGGGACGTGCAGTCATGATCACGTAGTGATTGAACTTCATGAAAAGATGGATCAAAGAACGACTGGATCTCCCACCTTTGGATATCTCAAGGTTCATCTTGGTGAAATCCGAAATGAGATTCTTTTCGAAATGAGTTTCCAGCACTCGTAATACTCGGTCGGTGTTGGCTACCAGTCTCTGGACTCCCTCTAATTCGTAGATCTGCGTGATTATCAAATTAGAAAATTTCAACAGAGCAACCTGATTGGCCAACATATTCACTTTGAAGCCATCCTTCAGATCCAAATAACTCTCCAGCATCTGCTCGCATTTGCACTGGTCGAACTCAACGTGGGTGGGCAGTCTGAATCGCGTGTTTGCAAACGCGTCCAGAACGTAAGTGGTCCACCAAACGCGCTTACACTTTTCACGAAATACTGCATCTTCCGGGTGTTTAGGAACATCCAGATGCAATCCTAGCGAAAGACACCATCGCATGGCTAATCCAAAGAAGGTGTAGGCTGTGGTGATCCTGTTCAGAGTCTGCGAGTAGTAGCCAAGCTGCAAGGCCACCTGAATGGACGTCAAGTTCGGGTCTTCATTAGGCGATTGGAAGAATTGCAGCGCCAGCTTGTAAAACTTCAATCCAGGTGTTAGTCTGGGTCGCGAGTTGGAGGCATTGCTCTCAAGAGAGTACAAAATGACCTCACCAAGAGCAAGTGTTATCCAGAACTGTGACAAGAATTCGAGCGATTGGTAATCAAGATTACCGTACAGATGGTTCACACGTGTGGTGAATTCCGCCTCATCATAGAGATAGTGACTTTCGTTCAAGAACTGAAATGTTAGACCAATGAGTCTGTTCACGTAATCTTTGGATGGCAGGTTCAACCAGCCGGTATATGTGATTCTGAAGAATTCATCATCTACATAATGATGACCACGCTTCAAATCTTCGGGATCGTGAATGGATAATCGATTGAAAACGCCCATGGTATCCATCTCCTGATCTGAGCCACTTGAAGCTTGGTCTTCGTTGAGAGAGTAATCAGTATCACCTTCAAACAGCTTGCCCGATCCGAAATCCTGATCAGGTCTGGTATTTCCATGTACCTTAAAGGCGGCATCGGATTCCAATTCCTTCACTCTCTGGTTCAGCTTCAACCATTGAGACTCCATGACTATGACCTTTCGGTCCTTCAGCGGATATACACATTCCTTACTGGAGGAAAGACAATTCTGACAAGTTGGCTTTGTGCCTGAACACTTCACCTTCTGAGATTTGCACCGCAGACAGGCGTAATGTGTTCTTCCGATGATTCCAATCGGCTCTGACATCACGAGTGTGGGGTAACTGCTGCTGGAGTCTTGTGGGTGTTGGCGAATAAAAAAGACGCAGCCTTAACCAGCGAATCAACACTGGATATATACGAATTCTCAAAAACAATGCCCAGAATTGTGCGATAATGGAGCGTTGACTTCAAAGTTAAGCAAGACGCTGAGCGGAGGTGCTGAATGTGGAGAAAGATAGCGTCCGGGGGTTTGCTCTGGCGAAGAGGCTAAGAGGACTTTGGTGAGGTTTTGGAAAGAAAACGTTGCTCAATGTTTGATACAACTATGGAATAAGACTTGAATAACAAGTGGCTACATTCTAGATTTTTTTATTGCTCTTTTTTCTCGAGAAATTGACCGTTGTTCAGACTATTTACACTGTCTAGGGTGTATTTTCAGCCTTTGGAGGGCGGCATCTTCCCCACAATCTGTCACAAGGCCGTGTAAAGTTTGCAGTTGCACTTGCTTTTTGGGCATGGCGTCATTAATGTCGTAAGAGAGGGGCTGCTATACCAGTAAAGTTTTGTGGGTGATATGGTGGATTGTTGGCGATATATTGAAAGGCTCGTCGGTCGTTTTGTGTCAATTCGTATGTGGAGGGTCTTCCGCCGTGCAGTACAGCGGATATGCAATGCGTGATGTACGGTGGCGGAGTGCCATGCCAAGGTATATAGCACTGAGGTGTTGCATCGTCCTTTTGTTGGCAATCGTTTGAGTCGCCGATAATTTATTTCAACAAAAATCGAAGGCGTTGAGGTATTAGTTGCCACTGAGACCAAGCAGTGAAGTCTTAGCATATCTCGTTGCTGCCCAGCCGCACCTTGGGACGCTCACTATGCTAGCTAATCAGCTGGAAAATATATATTACATAACCTGGAGGTATATGTGTAGAAACGACATTGAATGGGAACCCTTATCGGAAGGGTAATGCTTTTCATTCCAAATTGCGTTCGTAAACTAGCCAAGGGGGAGTTCCTCCGATGCTGTTGCTCGCCCCGATCAGACTCACCTACCAAAACTTTACTCTGAGACAACCAACGCTGAAAGCACCCCTACAAAGTTATTTCAAGCCAAGAGCGCTATTACTAACCAACAAATTCTCGGCCCACCTCCGATTTGACCATTTAGTGTTCTTGGCCTCGAGGACTGGTGAGAGTCTCCCAGCCGAATCATCGTGTGGAGACCAGCTCTGTCGGATAAATATTCCGAGTGCCATAATCATGGCAAAAAGGGCTACTGAGTTCTTCGTTGAAAAGGTTCCCAAAACCCCCAAAAAAGGCCCAGAATACGACCAATATATATATATAAATATTAGCTATCTGTAATTGGAGCTTTGCCCACTTAATCCAACAAAGTATAATCGAAAAACACCTCAGATCACCGAGGCGCTTACACTACCCCGATTCATCATCCTTCATATCGGGCGATAATAAGACGATGCCTTCCCAGATAGGAACTTGCACGTCTGCAGGCCTTCTCTTTTTCTCGAAATATTCAGGTTTTTTGCTCCGAAGTCAACATAACTATTTCTTCACCCGAGTGGTGTGACATTCATTCAATCTGAACATCGTCAACCAGTGTGGAGTCATACCTGAAACTCTTAAGACATCTGACTTAAATAGCCTATCTGCTTCATCACATCCCCTCTCAGAGTCAACCAAAGCAGAAAAAGGCTCGTTACCCCTCTCTAAACACTATCACCATAGATGTCTGTTGTTGTGCTTGGTGCCGGAATAATCGGTTTGGCCGCAGCTTACGAGCTGACCGAAAAGGGATACCAGGTTGAGATCATCGCCAACTATTTTCCACAGGACCCTTCTACTCTTGCCAAGAAGGATTATTCTTATTACTACACTTCTCCATGGGCAGGTGCTCATTACAGGCCTTTTCCAAATGTCCAGCCATGGGATGCCCGTGAGTCGGACTACACCAGAGTCACTTTGAAAAAGTTTCACGAGTTTGCTCAGATTTTCTACAAAACCAGTGTGAAGTTCATCGAGGGCGTGGAGTGGTTCGAGGATGAAAAGCCCCACTACAAACGTGTGGGAAAGGGCTATTCCGAGGGAATCCCCAACTTTAGAAGACTGAACAATGCTGAGCTACCCAAGGATGTTTCGCTTGGGTTTAAGTACGAGACCTGGAGTTTGACTCCTCCAATTTTTCTTTGGTGGCTGCTCCAGACTCTGGAAGCACGAGGAGTCAAATTTACTGTCAGAACCGTTGACTCTGTCAAGGAGGTGTATTCGCTATATCCAAATTGCATTGGTGTGGTGAATTGTTCCGGCCGTGGAGTCACTCTGGATGGTTCCATCGACGAGTTCTCCACTCCAATCAGAGGCCAGACGCTCTTGATAAATCCTCCTCCTAACCACCCTTACCAGAATCAGACCATCACTCATCAGGATGAAAAAGGAATCTTCACTTTCATTATACCAAGGCCTCTGACTGGAACCATCATCGTTGGTGGGACCAAGCAACTGGGTGACACCTACGACAAGCCAAGAGAGGCTGACACCCAAGGCCTCATTGCCAAGGCCTCGAAGCTCTTTCCAGGCTTGATGAAGCTGAACCCAAAGACTGGAAAGAAGGAGTTTGAAATTTTGAAAGTCAACGTGGGTTTTAGACCTGCCAGATCCATTGGATCTCGTGTTGAGCTCGAGAAGGTGGGTTCCAAGTTCCTCGTTCATGCGTACGGTGTTGGTGGAATGGGCTACGAGGTGTCGTTTGGAATTGCTGCAAAGGTCGTTGAACTTGTTGAGACTGGCTCCAGAGTCAGAAAGTTATGATAGTGCTTGGACCTTTATATATAGCAAGTGATATTCAAAAACTGATAGAGAAACCAATGCGTGAAATACAATCATGTTAGCAGGGCCCCCTCACTTTAGCTCTAATTAAATGAGTTTATATTTAAGTCGTTGCTTCTCGGTTATTCATGTGGTCTGAATACATTTATGCTGTGAGGAGTAATATTTTTGGTGATTTTGAGTGTATTCTGGAAAGTTAATATTTCTAGGAAAGGCTCTTTAGAAACTGCATTTTGTGAAACTATCTTGACAGATCCAACCAACATCAACACTTGAGCCAAAAAGTGCTTTTCCCGTCAACAACCATCACAATGCTATGAAAGAACATTTTTCAAAAATATCTTATTAAAACTCACAAATCTATCAACCCTTCTTCAAGTCACTTTGTCACTCTTAGGCCTCAGAAGCGTGCGGCTCACAGTCGTGCACCCGACCAATCTCAACCCTCCATTAAGGTCTAGATGGCCACAACCCGGGCTTTAAGACGTACACCCATACGTAAACACCTCACGACCCATCCAAGATCAACACTAGGAACTCACCAGTTTCCTGGCAAGGGATTTTCCACGATGTTCTCCAAGATATCTCAGATAGGCAAGAATCTATCGGAGGAGATATCGAGGATAAACGATGAGGTCAACTCAGATCAACCTCCTACCAGGTCCGCCTCAATGCTGATCAAGGGTGCGGGCCAGCAATGGAACTCCAAATTTGGAAAACCTGAAGACGAGCCAGCAGCCAACTCTAGGGCTATTTTGGCAACTGTAACGCCGAATGCCGAGGACTTGACTCAACCTACGGATGAAGAAGCTTCTGACTCGCTCACTTCCGATCCACCAACGTTATCACCAACCCCTGTAAAAGCACAGGGGCAACTGGAAAGTGCTGTTTTGAAGAGTCCGGATACTCCAACACCGGTTACTTCGGCCTCTGGATCAACGCCCCAGCCCCGCGAGTCTACCCCCACAGAGAAGAACCTTTTGTACATTCCCAACACCACAATACGATACTCGGAATTGCAGCCCGAATTGAGGTCTAGAATGCGCAAATTCGTGAAATACGAGGAAAAGTACCCCATTTTGTTGGAATCGTACCGAACAGAGAAAAAGAAATCCATGTTGATCGACCATTTCGAAAAAGCGATGAAGGATTTGACACCTGTGTCCAGCATTGGCGAGGTGGATGGCTTCAGAAGTTTTATTGATGGCCTTATCTCGCGTTCGGAGCTTTTGAACAAGGAATTGGTGAAAGTATCCACGGAATCGAAACGTGAGGTGAAGTCATTGCAAGAAAAGGTGAAAGCACTCGAGGAAGCTGCTGCTGCCGTTGGACCAGTGGAAGACACTGCCAAAGTTGAAGAGTTGACAGAGAAGCTGGAATTGGCTCAAAAGGAGCTGGAATCCGCTAAAACTCTACAATCTTCGACCCAAACCGATCTTACAAGCCTCAAGACTCAGATTTCTGACTACGAGTCTAGATTGGAGACTGCAAAACAGACCACTAATGACCTGAACTTGAAGATCGAGCAGATCACTGATTTGCATTCTGTTGAGGTGGAAAATTTGCAAAAGTCTCAGAAGTCAAAGGATAAACTAATTCAACTGTTCAAGGACAAGTTGTCTAAGGCTGAACAGAGTTCCGAATCGGGAGAAACGCGTGAAGCCGATCTGGCTGACTCAATTGAACTCAAACACGAGTGCGATAGGCTAACTGCCGACAATGCTTCTCAGCTGCTAAAACTAACTGAAATTCAAGACTCCTACCGCAAGTCCAAGGTTGATCTCCAGTCCAAATCAGAGGAGGTTGACAACTTGAAGGATATGCTTAGGGACATAGGAGATGATTTGGTAACCACTCGGAACGAATTGAAGACATTGAAGGAGATGCCGGTGCAGGATTCCCAGGTGGATGTCTTGAAATCAGAGCTGGAGACGCTTCGAATCCAGCATTCCGCCTCGGTCACGAATTACGAGAAATCGTTGCGTACTGCGAAAGAGGCCAAAATGAAGTTGGAGTTCAAGCTTGCGGATCTAGAGAAACAGTTGAGACTCAAAGAGAAAGATCTCTCAGACACACGTGGTGATCTGGCCACCAGAACGAAGAACCTGGAGACCATAACCAAAGACTTCAAAAAGCTTAAGAGCGATTCCGACAAGCGTTTCAAAGACGTAGAGATACTGAGGCAAGAAAAGACTCTCTTGGAAAAGAGAGTTGCTGAACTCTCTGACTTCAAAAGCAAGGATGTGAACCTCAAGTTGGATCTATCCTCAGCAAAATCCTCGTTGAGCTTGAAGGAGAAGCAGTTGGCCGAGGCCGAATCGAAAGCAAGGTATCTCGAGAAGGAGAAGGAATCACTCAACGATAAACTGATAGAGATCCGTGTGAATATTTCCGAGTTGACATCGACAAACAAGTCGTTGATGGAGACCAAGAATGAGGCAGTCACCAAGAATGAAAATCTCAGGCAAACCTACAACGAGTTGTTGCTGAAATTTAACAAACTTGGCACTGAGAACAACATATTGGTGAAAAATATCGAGGAATTAAAAGACAGATATAGCAATGTGGTCGATGCTAAATACGATTCTGGAGAGCAACTGGACTCCTTGAAAAAGAGATGCGAAGAATTGTCGATGAGGGCAAGAGAAGCGGAAATTCGCGTCAATATTCTCGAAGAAGAGCTCGCTGACTCTAGGACAATGCTACAGGAACGTACGCGCGAAACCGGCACAATAAGGAAGCTATTGACCGATTCTGAGAATTCCACCAATAACAAGATCAGAGACCTGAATTTGAAGTTGGAGACGATCTTAGAAGAGAAAGAGAGAATCCAAAGTGAAGCTGCTCAAAGTCTAAGAAGAAAACAGAGAGAGGTGGATGATCTCAGGCTGAAGACAAATGATATTCAGGAAACTGTCCATTCATTGCAGGATGAGAACGAAAACTTGTCCAAGAAGTTGAACAAGCTCGTGGTTGAGAAGTCGCGTAATTCTGCAAATCAATCTGAGGAAGAAAACGGTGGATTGTCTCACATAATCGAGAACCTGCGTGATGCTTTGCGTGTCTCAGAACAAAGGTCCATAGAGTACGAGAATCTCAACACGATCCTCAAGAAGGTCAATGACGAAACGTCACTCAAGCTTGAGAGAATGAACAAAAATTACAAGATATTATCCCAACAGCTTCGCACCTTGAAGGAGAGAAAGGCAAGCATCACCAACTCGCAGGACTCGAAGGAGAATTCGCCAGTGATGAGCAGACAAAATAGTCTGACTGCGCTCACCGCCAAAAATGCGAATGGAGAATCCGAAACAGTCAAGGAGAGGACCGAGTATATCAGAAACGTGCTATTGGGGTTCCTTGAACATAGAGAGCAACGTCAACAACTTTTACCGGTCGTGAAGACGTTACTGGAATTAGACGGGGAAGACGAAGATAGGTTTCTGACTGCTCTATCAAAATAGAAGCGGTGTATACAATTGCATTATTATATTACGCAAATGAGGTTGTTGTAGCATGCGATGAAAGAGAAACCCATTTTCCACTTGCACTAGTGAAGTTGAAAAAGCTTTGATCATGCAGATGATACTGCAGGCTTTTAGGTCCATTGGTCGTGTACCAGTTACAACATTTATGTGGTTGTTTAGTATACATAGACAGCTGGTATCGCTCCTTTTCTACTGTGACATTGTACTACGATAATTATTTGTTGTGATAATTCTCACACTCTTTATCACCACTAGTGTTGGTGCTAATCTTAAAAATATAATCAGAGAAGTCTACCTAGCCAGGGTTTCTAAACTTTCTCAGCCTTAGGAAGTGCTCCAGAAAAGCCGATGAGGCTTCCCAAAGAGGAAACTGGTACGGGGACCCAAAGCCGCGGCTGAAGATAAAGGCATCTGATATGGTGGTCTAGGTGAAGAATTCAAAGCTTTTTCTGTGCTTTATCTTAGGTAATAAGCAAGAAATTTACACCAATGACGAAGCTTTGGAACGCCCAACTTTGTACTGCTCTTGGGCGTGGACTCAGACTTCAGTCTACAGCAGCAGCCTACTTCCCATCAGAGCCTGCATCACCTGTTCTTAAGACAACCATTCCTGGTCCCAAGAGCTCAGAAAGACTAGCTGAGTTGGGAAAAGTATTTGATAACAGAGCTGCTTACTTTGCTGCCAATTACTATAACTCTATTGGCAATTACATTGCAGACGTTGATGGAAACCAGTATTTGGACGTGTATGCTCAGATTGCTTCCATTGCCCTGGGTTATAATAACCCAGAGATTTTGAAGACAGCAAAATCAGATCAAATGGCCAATGCTTTGGCAAATCGTCCAGCTTTGGCATGTTTTCCTTCTAGTGATTACCAACAGATTTTAGAAGACGGAATCTTGGCAGCCGCTCCCAAGGGCATGTCCAAGGTATGGACTGCCCTTTCTGGATCCGACGCTAACGAAACTGCTTTCAAGGCTGCCTTCATATACCATGCAGCAAAGAAACGAGGCAATAACACTTTCAGCCCCAAGGAATTAGAATCTGTCATGCAAAACTTGGTACCTGGAGCTTCTGACGCTGCGATTCTGTCTTTTGAGAAAGGATTCCATGGCAGGCTGTTTGGATCGTTGTCTACCACCAGATCCAAGCCAATCCACAAACTGGACATTCCCGCCTTCAACTGGCCAAAGGCTCCGTTTCCAAGCTTGAAATATCCCCTAGACCAGTTTGTAACTGAGAACAAAAAGGAGGAAGAAAGGTGTCTCGCTGAGTTCGAGAAGGTGATCCAACAATGGTCCACCCAGATTGCTGCAATCATTATTGAGCCAATCCAGTCTGAAGGTGGTGATAATCATGCCTCACCGTCATTTTTCCAGAGCTTGAGAGATCTCACTCTCAAATACGATATTCTCATGATTGTGGATGAAGTCCAGACTGGTGTTGGTGCCTCTGGCAAATTCTGGGCTCACGAACACTGGAACCTAACTACACCACCGGACATGGTCACCTTCTCCAAGAAGTTCCAGGCTGCCGGATTTTACTTCGCACTTCCAGAATTGCAGCCAAGCCTACCGTTCAGACAATTTAATACATGGTGTGGTGATCCGTCAAAGGCATTAATTGCAAGAACCGTATATCAGGAAATCAGCAAGTACAACCTGGTTGAGAATGCGGCAACCACAGGTGCTTATCTCTACGGGAAACTGGAATCACTGTCTGGTGAATATTCGTCAATCTTCAACCTTAGAGGTCAGAGTACTGGCACTTTTATTGCTTGGGATATGTCGTCGAGTGCTAAGCGGGACATGTTCCTCATCGAGTCCCGGAAGTTGGGTTTGAACATCGGTGGATGTGGTGATGTATCTGTGCGGCTCAGGCCTACTTTGGTGTTTGAGGAAAAACATGCTGATGTGCTCGTGGATATTGCAGAAGAGGCCCTGAAAAGACTCGGGTAGTTGCTCGTAATGTGACAGGATGATCTAGGCAGCTTTTGAGGCAATTGACAGGCTTAAATGCCGATTTCTCTCAAACATAAAGAACTTTAGAGTTAACAGCTGGGGTAATGATCATCAAAAATGAAAATTAAACAGGTGAAGCTCTATGTCGCTAACATTTTTTTTGTTGTCAAAAAATTTCTATAAAAACAGGCGGTTAATAAAAACGTACAAAATCAAAATAGTCACTCAAGTTTCGAAATATTTGCCGAACCATCTCTTTAACTTGTTAAGAGTACCAGGCGCATCAAGCTCTACCACATTGACGTCAAATTCGTTACCCTTTTCGCTCGCCAAACCATGATTGGCCAAGAATGGATACTTCTCAGACAAAAGTTCGGCTTCAGCGACGGGAATATCGTCGAATGGTATGATTCCCAGCCTGGTGGCCTCCTCTGTGGTGAAGGTTCCAAAGTAGTCTGACTCGTCTGTTTCACCGGCACCATCAATGGGCCAAATACGGCAAAACAGGTAGTACAGAGACATTGAGAGAGCACCACCAAAGAATAGGTTTCCGCGGTAGTAATCATACATTCCTTGGGCGACGTAAATGTCGGGGTTGATCTGGTGGATCATGCCTGGCAAGTTGAGAGTGAACGCAACGGTCCAAGCAGCCAAGGCACGAAAGTTACATCCCTTGGTGTAAAAGTATTTCCCGTCCTTCCCTCCATGATACAAGTCAAGCAGAAAAATTTTGCGGCCTCTGACAAACCAGAAATCGCATAGGCAAACACCGATCAAAGGCACCATGAACACAGAGAAAGAACTCATTACCGTCACGAAAATCGACGAGGTGTTGTAGAAGGTCCATGGACAAACACACCAAGAAAGCAGAGATATAATGATGGAGCCCCGGAAGATGTTTATGTATTTTGGACAAACACCAGCCATGTCCATACCACCTGGAATACCGTTTTCAACGACATTGTTGACCATCTGTGCGAAAGTGAAACCTAAGGATGCGAAAAACGCTGCGGCCCTGGACTTTGGACCATAATCAGTTTCCAACCACAGTTGAACGACATAGATTGGATTCCAGTACTCTGCACCGTAAACTTTCAGCAGACACGAGGTGGTGATAATACCTATCACTGGAACCAGGATGGAGAAGAACCAAAGACCCAAGAAATTACCCAAAATAGGGTCAGTCTCTTTTCTAGCAAATCTAGCAAAGTCCGGTTGATTCGCAATTCCTGATGCAATTCCACCATAAGTAGACGTAAGTCCGTACATCCAAATCCACCCAAGCTCAGAGCCACTGGCCGTGGTGGTGGTATGCACCAAAGGCCCAATGGACCCAGCTTTAGTACGGGCCCATGAGACGATGGCTATCATTGTGAGGAAATTGTAGAATGCAACAACTGTCACTGGCTTATAAATCTTTTCAGGTTTAAATGCCAGTAATAGCATACAGATCAATTGGTAGAGAAGGTAACTGACACAGTCCTTAGTGGTCATGTTCACGCTTTCTGGAAAAGTGTTCTTCATGTTCTGGTAAGTTGGAAAAATTGTAGATAGCAACGTTCCCAAACAAAGACCACCCATCCATCCTCCACTACCGTACCATACTACTCCCAGAATAATCCTCATTGCAATGCCGAGCCCACTTCCGTACACACCGAACACCTGCCTCTGAGTCACTGTGAACCCGATGTGGAATCTTGCACCAACCCAACCGTTCATAACCGCAGATATCACCACAAAGACCTTCGCAACCATTAGAATTCCAACGGTTTGTGGAATTGATAGTCCCAGTGACACCAGCGAGGAACCTCCGGAATAACTCGATGCAGTGAAGTTACCTGTGTTCCAGAAACCCAGAAACGTGAGTACATCCCATGTTCTTCTGGCAGCAGGCAAAGGGGCAATATCCTTGTTTATCCAGGTGGTAGTTTTCTTCCCCTGGACGGACTTTATCTCAAATCCCTTCAAGAAGGACATTCTGAAGTTCTCAAGTGCAAATTCCAGACTTGATCTTGGTGTCCACCAAAGGGCGTACTAGTCGAGTCTACTTAAGCTGTCCGAGAGCTACTTCTCGGGGGAAAGGTCCATGGGACAATCTACAGCACTTTAATATAACCCAGAAGGGACTCACTCTTGACCTCAATGCAAACACAACAATCATGGAATATCATACCTCCCAGGACCAAGTGATTGGATTAAGATCCGCTGATAGAAATTCGTTATCGGCTTTCAGCCAATGAGGGCGTGGACCGCCCGATGAATTCTGTGCTTATCAGTTAGATAAGAATGCAGGTTATCGGTGCTTATATTTTTCCGGCTTAATTTGGATTCAACGGGGCAATTTTGACACTGATGCAATTTATTCCAGTTCAACCTGATATCTGGCTAATTCAGTCGGGTATCGTCTATTTTCCATTGTGGAGCTGCAAATAACTGCCGCATTCAAGCCTTCTCTCCCATTTTCTGCCCAGTACTCTGATATGAAGAGTAGGAAGGGCTCATGTTGCCTCCCTTGTCGGATCTACAAACGCAAATGCGATCATGGCCTCCCATGTGGACCATGTGTACGTACTAAGAGAGAGAGCATGTGTAGGAAGAACCCGTCTACTTTGGCTGTTTTCCAGAACACCACCAGACCCACCATCTTCCCCAAGCTGCCTCGGCCTGCAAAGCCCTCGCAACCGTCAGATATTGTGGCTGAGGTCAACAGCGAGGCTAACTATGCATCGCATCCTCTATCTGTGGAAGAAGATATTGGACCCAAACCTCTGTTCTCGGGAGTTCAGAACCAGCCGCCCACGTCAATCGTCTCGTCTCGGTCATCGGTTAAGGTATCAACCCTATTTGAACAACAGATCTACAATTCAGTCCGTCACCTTCCCATGTCTGTTCTCACTAGGAAGGTCCAGTCTGTGGATAGCACAAAGATCAAACTTTTGGACCTGGTTCAGTCGCTTCCAGAGAAAGCCCAGGCTGATATCTTGGTGGATAACTATTTCAAGCTATTTGCCCATATGTACTGCTCGGTCAATCCTCCTTGGTTCTACACATGCTACAGTCGACTGTGGCAATGTTCTCTTGAAGATCTAGACATTCGAATCTTGGGACTAGTCTATGCAGTTATGTCTGTTAGTTGTCTGGAGCTCATTCCTCAAAAATGCGAGCAGATGAACATGGAGCCTCTCTTCGTCCGTGACTTGTCTGACGACTTTGCCAAATGCTCCACTCAGGCATTAAAAGTATCTGATTTTGAAAAAAACGCAGACATCATCTCCATTATGACAATATCAGTTCTGCAATCTTATTTTCATTCTAACAAAGACCCAGTCTCGTTGAATTACTACCTCAGGAAAAGCATTGCCGTAGCCTTCGAACTTGAACTCCATAAAGAGTACCAAGGCACGAGTGCTTTTCAACGTGAGGTTCGTCACAGACTGTGGTGGGACATAGTTTCGTGTGATAACTATCAGACTTTTTGCTTGAACCGAGCGCCAATTATCCGGTTTGACCGATACGAAATTCCATTCCCTGTCAATTGCAACGACAAGGATATCACAGAAGATTCTGTTCTTGAGAGACCCATGGATGAATATACGCATACTTCGTATCTGATCTACAGTCTCAAATTATTCAAGATCTGTGCGAATCTGCGCAATTCTGAAGGTGAGCTTTCACCCAATGCCGACCAAGTAATAGCCGTTGACCGAGAGCTGTGCGAATTGTTGAACTCGTTGCCATGGTACTTCAGATTGACAAAAGATAGTGAGATACCTTATACTTCGCCTGAGTACTATGATCATCCATATTTATTCCATATGTTCTGGACGTGTGTGCAGACGCAAAGATTCAGAATGCATAGAAGCTTTCTGTACCCCAGAATTGACTATTGCTATAAGGTTTGCCTTGAGGCCTCTTCCAATGTTCTTGACGTCTACACGGCGCTAAGAAAAATATATATTAGCGAAAAGAAAGACGGCCTAGTAATTCAAGGTCACAATCTTTTTTCAGCTTCTTTGGCACAGGTGGTATTTATGCTGGTTGAGAACCCACCCAACTCGGACCAGATCCGCAAGGATGTTGAGATGGCCATCGCCGACCTGGACTTCTTCTGCACCCAAGGAATTAGATCCAAAGTTGTCAAGGAAGGTGCAATTATCTTGAAAGAGTTACTGGCCCTCTGTAGTATCACCTACTTAGGATCTTCTGTGGCTGAACCAGACGTGGAGAACTCTACCTCTCTCCTTACGAAACGCATTGGATATATCTTTGGGGGTGAGTCTGCTGCCGAAATGTACTTGCATAGACTCTCAATCGGATATATCGTCAACAACGAAAGCTTTAATGAGAATAATCAGCAAACATTGTCCACGCAGGGCTGGTCTTCTACTCGTTTTGAGAACACTGCTGGCGAAGAGTTTTTCACCAAGGAGTCATGGGAAACTTGGGATCTGGGAGATTGGTCTAAATTTTTCCAATGACCTACAATTATGGAGACTGGCGATTGTCTTTGTATAATTTTGTGAGTATTATTGTGGCTATCAAAGACCCCACCACCACCACGTCTTCTCTATGGTAACCATTCTGTGCAAGAACTCTCCCTCCGAGCTTGTACCAACCATAACGCTGTACTTACCAGCCTCGCAACACCATTTGCCAATGTGCTCATCAAAATGCGAAAAAGCATATTTGGTAGGTGTATTCAACGAAACGGTCTTGGTTTCTCCTGCTTTGACATGGACCTTGACAAAATCCTTGAGCTCCTTTGTGGGTCTCAAGATCTCAGACTCATGAGGCGCAATATATACTTGGAGAACCTCTGATCCGTCCCTAGCGCCTGTGTTTTCAATTTCCAGTGAAACGCTCAGGGTTTCGCCTTTTAGCACAACTGTAAGGTTGCTCAGACAAAACGATGTGTATGACAATCCATGGCCGAATGGGAACATAGTAGATCTTCCCAGTTTCTCATAGTATTTGTAGCCCACATATACATCTTCCCCATAAATACAACTCCCCTTATTCGATCTGAAGTTCAAAAAAGCTGGGTTGTCTTCGACTTTGTGAGGAAAAGTTAGAGGAAGTTTAGCCGACGGACAAACGTCTCCAAATATGACATCTGCAATCGCGTTACCTGTTTCATTCCCCCCATACCAAGCTTGCAATACACACCTGGCATTGGCGATCCAGGGCATCTCAACGGGTGTTCCACTTTGGTTCACGATGGCCGTGTTTGGATTAGCCTCAAGGACGCGAGCTACGAGTTCGTCTGTACGTCCTGGTAGCTTCATATCCGGTCTATCGTAGCCTTCACTTTCGTAATCTTGAGAAAGTCCAATGCATAAAATCACCTTATCGTGCGATTTAGCGATGGCAACTGCTCTTGAAATCTCCTCATCTGCATCGTAGTCACGGATGAATCCCATCATGATACCAGTAGCAACGAATTGAACACCTGAGGTGGTATATCTCTTTAAATGAGAGGATCCCGCATTCACTCTTACCTGGTGTATCTCTCCCTTTTGGAGATAGCACTTTCCAGTCTTTTCTTTTGAGCCCATATTGAAGAAACAATTTCCACAAGCCTGATCAGTTTTGTTGTCAACAACCAACTTTCCGTCCACGTACAGCTCAGCAATTCCGGCAACCGCAATCCCAAACAAGTAGTAACCGCTTTCCTCGACTTTGATTTCAGCATTTATATCATAGTAAAAAGGGGTCGTGGGTGTGATGAACTCGTTGACGTAATCCGGAATGAACAAAACGTTATCTGAGCGAGTCATTGTTCCTATGATCTTTCTGTTGTCTGTACCTGGTGGTTCTAGGTAAAACTCAATATCATATCCTGTCTTGCCGATTGAGTTCGTCAGTAATGGAGCCAATGGCGGCAGGAACTTGGCCGCGTGGCAACCAAAGGTATACTCTGGTGCTCTTCCCTGCTTATTTGATATGGCTTGCAGCGGCGAAACAGCATAATAAGCATTCACGTATGCTGATCCACCACCTGAAAAGGCTGCCACGGACGAATTAGGTCCAATTACAGCAATGTCGTCTGTTATCGAGAACGGCAGCAGGCTTGACTCGTTCTTCAGCAGAACGATGGACTCGCCAGCGAGGTTCCTAAGTATCTTTGCAGTTTTGTCAGTATTGTTACATTCAGATTCGGGGTCTGTAGACCTGACTCCTCCTTTCTTTCCATAGTCTATAAGCTTGAGCACGTTTGCAACTGCTTCATCAAGATGTTTTTGGTGTAGTACTCGGGTATCGACAGCATGTTGGATCAGCACAGGATGTCTGCACTTCGGTGGACCCGGCATTTCTAAGTCCAAACTAGCCTCAAAGGATTTTATGGGATCGTAAACTCCGGTCCAATCAGACATGATGGTTCCTTCATAACTCCATTCTTCTCGGACGATTTGACGCAAAATGGCATTGGAATGCGAAACATGTTCCCCATTGACCTTGTTATAAGAGGTCATCAGCGATACAGGATTGGAATCTCTGATTGCCAGTTGAAATGGCAGAAGATAAATCTCACGCAATGCTCGTTGCGAAATGGTGATATTAACCGAGTTTCTTTCATGCTCAAAGTCATTGCAAACCAGATGTTTCAATGTGGCCCCAATACCATTGTCTTGCATTCCATTGATTATAGCGGCTGCAAGCAGCCCAGAAAGAACAGGGTCTTCACTGAAGGATTCGAAGCCTCTTCCACCGGTTGGACCGCGGGCAATGTTGACCCCGGGTCCCAGAATCACCGATACTGCTTTGGACCTGGCCTCCTCAGCCATAAGACTACCTGCCAAATAGAGCATGTCTTTGCTAAAGGTGGCACCCATGGCCGAGCCACAAGGAAAACATGCAGATTTCAGACCTTTCCAGAATAATGAGGCCTTGACACCGTTCGGGCCATCTGCGAATCTGATACTCGGAATCTCAAGTCTCTCGATGTCCTGTGTGTACCAGAAGCTCTTCCCACTAACAAGGCTGATCTTCTCGTCCAATGATAGCTTTTCCACGAGGTCCTCCATTCCAGCTTGTTGAATTCATGGCTAAAGTAGGCCAAGTGCACGATAAACCATTTAAAGTGTTTTGGTGTGCATGTCGGTGTCTTCTCCAGCTTGTAACCATCGGTAGACGTGGCACCTGAGTGGTTGATTTCCGATAAGAAAGCAATGTTTGGTATCTGCGCACGACCAGAGGCTTATCTGAAAAATTCGGCATTACTAAGATAACGGCGTTATTATACAATATGGATATGATTAGCAATCATTGCACAACCAACCACGCTTTATCAATCCTTGTGCCGCTTGGAGGGCTGTTTCTCGCTGGTGCCATTGCCATTACTGAGACTCCTCTTCTTCTGTCTTTTTTGCTCCAGCTTTGCGACAAACTTTTCCATATACGGTTTCACGAACGACTTCATCTTTGCCCTCTTTTCCTCGTCAAAAGTAACGGGTGGCTTTGAAGTTCCGTGTCGTTTTACCTCTTTCTCCGCCAATACCTTAACGATATCCTTTGCACACAACTTGAGGTTGTCGTGTCCAATCTCCTTCTCGTATTTTTTCAACATGTTGGGCACCACGGAGGCTAGTGCTCTAGCCCAAAGTCTCTCGCAGTCAACAGGTTGGGATGATGACTTTTTGTGCTTGGTCTCTTTGGCTGATTCCGCAGCTAGCCTGGCTAGCTCTTCCTGCTGGGCCTTTGCCTGGGCAATAATATCAGCAAGGCCAGTCAGTCTTTTGATTTCCTCCTGTTCTTGCTCCAACTTGTACTTCTCCTGCTTCAGCTTGGCATCTCTCTCTTGCTTCTCTCTCTTGCGATCTTCATCGCGTCTGCGCTGTTTTTCTATGATCTTCTCTTTTTCATCATCCAAACGCCTGGGTCCCTTTGGAAGCGCGATGGGCTTCTTTTCCGCAACAGGTTTTTCCCACTGTGTGAGATTCTTCTCCCGATTGTAGAAATAAATGTTCCCAGTGTTTGCATCAACAGCCCACTGCCAGCCCTCTGGCAAGGGCTTTCCATCTATTCTGCGAGAGTCATCATGGTTTTTGCTTCTTCTCGCGTCAGCCAAAATGTCTTCTTTTTGGCTGGATGGTCCGTCCAATCTCTTGGGTATCTTGAACTCCATAGGCAGTTGCTTCCACTGATCAAGTAAAAACTGAGCCAGCTCAGTCAGATCATCGTTGAAACGATCCACAATGGCCTCCAAGTATAGTTCTACCTGGGAGTTAACAATCCTGTTCCTATACTTCATTTTGGGCCAAGCCGACATCAACTTCAGCACCTTAAAAACCAAAGACTCTTCTGTGTCCGAAAGCTTTCTCTTCTGGTCCAAGTTAGTGGTATCGTCACTTCCAGCACTCAAGATATTCTTCAGAATAGTGCTGAAGGCTTCAACGCCGTGTACTTTGGCGATTCTGTGAAGAACTGTCTCGTCCTCAGTCATCACCACTCTATCGATGATCTTCTCCATTACAATAAAATCGAGATTTGGCTGCAGCAGGCATCCCGTGATTTTGGGAACTTCGTCGAAGCCAATCGTCTTGATCTCCAAGGATGCAACAAACTCGGCGTTGATAGTATCGTCGTCCTTCTCGGACCTCTTAATACCCTTTTGCTTCATGAGCTTGAGCCATTCTTTTTCTTGAGACGAGGTAACAGCAAGAGCCTCAGCTATGATATGAGGCAAAATACGAGCACTGTCGGTCTGGGTCTTTCCACCAATGAAACCAATACAATTGGGCTCTCCACAGTAGCACTTCTGAGCCTGGGCTCCGTACCTATCAACGTTGTAATCAAACGTAATCTCTTCTCCCTTCAGGATATTCTTCTTCGCAAAGATTCCCATTCTCAGCTTCTTTCCAACAACCCACTTGTCAACATACGCATTTGGCGAACATGAGTGATTGCAGAATCTGGCCAGACAACCTGCTTTGGTGGCATCGATGAACTCGCCCTTCTGCAGCATCATGAAATAGAAATGCTTCAGACCCTGGTTATCGTAATCGATCATCCGATTCCGGAAAGACGGCTCATCTACGACCTCTCCGATATATTCGTATATGAATTGGTCCTGGCCCAGGTCCTCCTCGGCTCTAAGTCCAAATCCCTTGTGTTCGGTTTGGATCACGCATACCTTTGCGTAAGCCTTTTTCTGGAATCTTTGATTCTGACAGTCGGACCCGCAAGAGCACGATTCATCAAGACATTCAACACTGGTCAATCTGTTGATACATTCAGAGTCTTCTCCACAAGCATGATTGACTTTGGTATTCGTATCGAAGTCCTCACGACAGTCACAGGTCATATCCTCTGTCTGTCTTCCGCAGCTGCCCAGTTTCGCATTTTGATATTTAGATAGCTGTAGCAAGTTGAATGTTGCTAGAGCCTCTTCTGTTTTATCTGGCAAATTCAGAAACAGCTTTGGTGGGGGCGGACTAGCTGACTTCTTCAGGGCCTTAGAATCTTGTTCCCTAGAGGTCGCATCGTTCTCGGTGTCGCTCGCAGAGAACGGCTCCTTCTCAGGCGAAGAATATTCGTCAACGCTATCGGCAACCACCATATCCTTCAAATGGTCTCTCGAACCGGGGAATTGGTGAGAGATTGGTGATTAGGTTCCTATGTTTCTCAATTTGTAAACTTAATCTTCGGCCATCGATGCTGGCTGCCATTTGTCAAAGTGCACCGTCTTTTGACCGAACACTACTAAATGATAACTGACCCTACAATTATCTGAAGAACAAACTTGTTTTATCTAGAACAAAGAAAAACAGAAACCAAATGAGACTCATGCAACATGGTACTAGTCGTACAAATCATCGTCATCATCAGCCGCACCAAAAGCAGCTCCAGAAGATTCGCCATTGGCTGGTGCCTCAGGAGCCGAAGAATCACCTGTGAATCTAAAGTTGGTGTATTGACCTCTCGATGCTTGCAATTGTTGAGCATATGCTTCATAACGTCTCAATTCAGCATCGGAGACGGACCGCTTGGCAGTCTTCATCGCCTCCTCGAAATGGCCCTTCGTAATATATGGAACCGGATCTTCAACTTCTTCCTCTTCCTCCATCTTCACATCAACGCCCTCAGGCTGGTCGGCCTTTTCCTTGGCAAGACGTTTTTGCGCATCAATAGACTCCTTGATAGCAAACTTGGCCGATCTTTGAACAATGTACAAAAGATCGGCACCTGAGAAACCGTTGGTGCTCTTGGCGATCTCCACCAGATCCAAACCGGGTTCCAATGGGGTCTTCCTCAATTGAGCCTTCAAAATGGATAGACGACCCTCCTCATCTGGAAGAGGAACGTATATCAGTTGATCCAATCTACCAGGTCTCAAGATGGCAGGGTCTATTTGGTCAGGTCTGTTGGTGGCACCGATGATGAAAACATTCTTCTTTGCATTCATACCATCCATCTCAGTAAGGAGCTGGTTAACAACTCTGTCTGAAGCTCCACCAGCATCCCCCATCGAGTTACCACGGGCCTTCGCAATAGAGTCCAATTCATCCAAGAAGACAACGGTTGGGGCAGCAGCACGAGCCTTGTCGAAGATATCACGAATATTGGACTCAGACTCACCAAAGTACATACTTAAGAGTTCAGGGCCCTTAACAGAAATGAAATTTGCGGACACCTCTGTGGCAACAGCTTTGGCTAGCAAAGTTTTACCGGTACCTGGAGGACCAAAGAACAAAACTCCCTTAGATGGAGAAAGACCAAACTTGGTGTACTGGTCTGGGTGCAAGACAGGGTACTCGACAGTCTCCTTGAGTTCCTCCTTGATCTTATCCAATCCTCCAACATCGTCCCAGCTGACATTCACGCTCTCGACGACAGTCTCGCGCAAAGCAGATGGGTTGGAGTTGCCCAGAGCAAATCTAAAGTTATCCATGGTTACACCGAGCGAATCCAAGATCTCAGCATCTATAGTGTCCTCATCCAGATCGATCAAGTCCATCTTTTCACGAATCTGTTGCATGGCAGCCTCAGAACACAAAGAAGCAATATCTGCACCCACGTAACCGTGAGTTTCAGAAGCAATGACATCCAGATCAACATTATCACCCAGCTTCATATTCTTGGTGTGGATCTTCAAGACCTCAAGTCTACCGGTGGCATCTGGAATACCAATGTCAACTTCTCTGTCGAATCTTCCGAATCTTCTCAAAGCAGGATCAATGGAGTTTGGTCTGTTGGTGGCGGCAATCACAACGATGTTGGATCTAGCCTTCATACCGTCCATCAAAGTCAAGAGCTGGGATACAACTCTTCTTTCAACCTCACCATTGGTCTTGTCACGCTTTGGAGCAATGGAATCGATCTCATCAATGAAAATGATGGAAGGAGCATTCTTTTCAGCTTCTTCAAACGCTTTTCTCAAGTTCGACTCGGATTCACCAGCCATCTTGGACATGATTTCAGGACCGTTGATGAGGAAGAAGAAAGCACCGGTCTCGTTGGCAACAGCTCTGGCCATGAGAGTCTTACCTGTACCAGGGGGTCCGTACATCAAGATTCCCTTTGGTGGCTTGATACCAATGGCTTTGAATAATTGTGGGTGTCTGAGCGGCAGTTCAACGAGTTCTCTGATCTGGGCCATTTGCTTTCTGCATCCACCAATGTCGTCGTAACCTACTTCACTCATGTTGTTTTCCTCGTCTTCTCTGTTGATTGGCTCGCCCTCACAGTGTATTATAGTATCCTGGGCAACGATCGCGTAATCGGCAGGTTCAACTTCAACAACCTTGAATTCAACCTGTCTCATACCACCACGAACAGTGAAAAGATCACCTTTCTTGATTGGTCTGTAGGCCTCGACAAAGTATGGCTTGAGGAAGACGTCGAACAATGAACCTGTGATTCCCTCAACGGTGTCGGCAATAGGGAGTACAGAAATTCTGGTGGCGTACTTGATGTCAGGGCATGGGTGAATTGTGATAATGTCTCCCAGTCTGATTCTCAAGTTGTTACGGACAACACGGTTAACCCTGGCAACTCCGTCTTCCATGTCGTCATCGGCCAAAACGATCAGAACAGTTTCCTTACGCTTCTTGCCTTTCACCAAAACGGTGTCTCCACGGAACAACTGGAGAAGCTCCATGGTGTTGGAGGACATAGCAACAACGGAGTTGTCATCGTGGGTTGCATCATCGACGATCAAAGCTGGGGAGTGTTAGTAATCTGGCGTAACCATGTATGAAACGCTAGCGAGAGCACAGAACAGAAAGCCAACTTTGCTCAAATCAACACAATTGGGTTCGTAATCTGTTCTAAGTCACCTAGGTTTAACTTAAGTAGTAAGACTCACCATTATCCTTCTTCTTTCTTCTAAGAATGGCTGTTGCGGTGGCATCTTCAGCTATGGGCTCAGCACCTGATGCGTCCAGAAGGGGTTTCTTTTCGTTCGGCATTGTCGAATATAAAAGACAAATTCAAGAGCTGAAGATCACTATGGACGATTATCCAACGAAAACTGGTCCTCTATCAGACTTGGACAAAACCTTTGGTGTAAGATTGAAGAAGACGGGGGGAAGCCCGAGTGGGTTACTGCGATATGGCTGGTGGCGTTCTTGGGATCACACGCCGGGTAACCCCATGTGCCAGCACCTTCCATAGATCGCGTGAAAAACGTAGTTAGGTATTTGAAATTATAGTCATTTAATGAGAAGCTGATTAATACCAAATGAGTTAACAAACTCCAATAGTGTAACATTGACTTATTCCTCAATCTTGGAAACTATGTCCTTGGCTAGTTCAGCCAATTGGGCCATGTCGCCCTTAGTAGTAGGCCAGCCAACTATCAGCCCGGTCTCCGAATCCCTCTTTGGTATCAGATGAAAGTGGACATGGTCAACAACCTGGTGAGCAATTGAGCCGTTGTTTTGAAGAATATTGTAGCCAGGGCCTTCCAATCCGTCAATGTCCAAATCCAATGCTTTGGCAATCTTCTTGGTCACGGGAAGGATGTCCTTCAAGTATTCGTCTGGGATGTTGTGCAACTTTGCACCATGGTACTTGGGGATCACTAATACATGGCCTTTGGCAATTGGCTCAATATCGAGGAAGGAGTAACAAGTAGCAGTCTCCACTATTTTGAATGAAGGGATTTGGCCTGGAGTGGTTAGTGTGACGAAATCGTCGGTTTCACTAAAAGACTTTACTCACCCTTGATGATCTTGCAGAAAATACAGGCAGCTTCGGACGACATCGTTTGTAAAACTTGAATTTGTCGAGATTGATTGGAAAGCCTGGTGTCTAGTTACAACCGTGATTGAGAGAGCACTTCACTTTCAGAGGCTCCAGCCTACTGACCCCAGAATTGTCGCCATGAGCACGTGACGTATCTATGCTTCGATTCCTATTAGAAGATATATCATACAAGTGGTGCATTTAATCTGTGAATATGAAGAGGAAATTGCTCTCAAAAGTTAATTTTTACAAGCTAAGCACAGACAATATTGTTATACTGGTCGTCTTGTGGTTATTCAGAAATGCCATGGAGAATGCAAGATGTGGGTGAGCCTGAGCCTAGCGCTTATCTTAAGAGCTAGCTAGTCATCAAGTTTCCTATTATAATGTTCTTGCCAAAAAAAGTCTTCTTTTTTGTCACCTTGGAATATTAGTTTCATATATTTTGCATTTCTTCCTTCACATCCCCAACAAAGAACTGAACTGTCGTATCCCCAACGACATCACCATACTAAACCCCTGAGCACCAAATGGAAAGTAACTCAACGTATAATATAGCACAGCAAAGATCTCCACAAAACCCGTCAGCAAAGTTAATAATGTGGACTTCAAAATCAAAGCACAATACAAGGTGCTGATGATGCTCCCGAAATAAACAACAGTAAATGGTAGTCTCTCTCTTGATATTAGATGCTTGCAGTAGTCCATTGGCCCTTGCAAGGCACCAAACGACAGTACGAATAGCACCGACCCGAGAGTCCACAACAGCGCGAATTTTCTAGGTTTCAACGAGAGAACCGGGAATAAAAATATCCCCAACGTGAAACATGCGACTGAGCCCAGCAACAGACAGAAAAAGCTTATGAGTCTTTCCACACGCGAAAGCTTGAACCACGAAGGTTCAGGCTGCGACTCGAGATCCTGGTTCACCATAGGCAATCTGGTGTATAATTCATCATAACCTTGCGAGAGACTGTCTTCCAAGGAAGAAAAGAAGCCTCTTGCCCTATCCTGGAAACTTTCGTTGCCGGTATTTGCTGGAGTGGCCGTTCTGGAGCGATTGGTTCTCCAGTTCTGGAACTGGCTGATAAACTGTGTGTCTGAGTCCTGGTTCGTGCTCATGATGGATATTTACGCCTTCCTATTTGAATCAGGTATCAACTTTGTGCTCGCAACACAAAATTGACCAAATTATCAGTTGTAAGAGAGTATTCACTGTACTTGACGGTGTGGCAAACTTGCGTGGAGCTAATAGGCCTAAAGCAGATTTAATCTGCATACTGACGGCCACCGAGGCTCATCATCTAAGTCCATCCATGCCATGCCTAGAAGAGATGAGTTTCGTGGTGAATATAAGGAGAATAATTAGAGAAAAAATATTTGTTCTACAGTATAAATATTCAATTTTTCTGTATATTGTCACAATTTATCAGTAATGGTTAAATCATTAATTAGATCATACACAGTTCAACTAGCAGAGTGCTAGTTATGCAGGTTCGAACATGCGTCTCATGTACATCCTACCACTCGCATAACTGCTATTACATTTCTGAACTCTTGCACTAACCTGAATTTCAGAGTCAATGCGAAAGCAGTCGTAATCATATTTGTGTCAATAATATTGTGTAACCGTGTTAGTAACACTAACACCGTCGATTATAAGCATAGTTGCCTGTCAATAGTACAAATTGAACCATGTTCAAGACTGGTCGTTAGCACGCCTTTATCAATGATGTGCAATATTCCATGACTAAGAGCAGAATGGGCTGATCGTATGTATTTCTCGCCAGCAATATCACCGAGGTCTCACAGCTCATTCCAGTACCCTTCGCCATTCAACGTATCCGAAGGGGTTTCCTTAAGAAAGTCCTGATTCAAAAAGTCAAATGAATCCTCTTCAAGCTTTACTTGCGGGTTATTATCGTTGTTGTTGAACACCTGTTGATCCAGCTGCTCGCGACTGGCGTCATATTTGGGAGCAATCTCCAGCTCGCTGATTCTGGATAACAGAAGTTCGAGTCTGTCGTCTTGTGAACCCATAATCCGCTGAAGATGCGAAATATACTCCACAGTCTTCACCAAAATCAACCCCTTGTTAGCCTTTATCTCTTTGATCTCCTTAGCGTCTTTGGTCTTATCGTGAAGCAACGACTGCGGAATCAGTGCACCCAACTCTTTGATTCTCTCTTTGATCAAGTCACGTCGCCTCCTCTCGACGGCGTTATGCAGCTCTCGACGACGACTAATCTTGCCCTCCTTTGACATCGGGCCTTTCGGGTTCATGTGGGTTCCGTACGAAGCGGGCGAGCCTATTGCGCGCAGCGATGGCGATGCCAGAGGCGAGTTCAAATACGGCTCGTTGAAACTGCTACCTCCAAAAGAACCATAGGGCGAATTATCAAAGTCGTATGTGCTTGATGGGGACAAAATGTTGTTTAACGAGGTCCCCATAGGAGCATTCGAGAAGCTCTTTCCCGCATTGCTTATACTGGATTGTCTGTGTAGCCTTGTGGATTTGACGGGTTGGAGCCTGGGTGAGAAGTACTGTGGATTCAAGTTCGGCGTGTAGCTCTGGCTGGTCTCTGTACTGATGTTGACTGCTGGAGACGGACTGGAGTATTCTTGGGTGAGCGAATTGGGGGTTTGGTCGTCGTTCACTAAGTTGGACGGGGCAAATCCAAAAGTATCGAGCTCGTCCAAATATGACTCCTGTCTTCTTCGTTGAGGCTGAGGTCGCTGTTTGACTTGATATGATCCACCATTTCCCACAGAGGCCGGTATCTCAGGGACATCGGCAAGTGTGAATGGAGAAGTCTCATTCTCCGGTGTGTATTCTTGGCTGGCCTTTAGGAAGTCATCTGGTTGGCCTCCCAGCGCCAGACTATTAATTTGGTCTAATGCCGTTGCATCGTAGTTGAAGGTATTGGCTCTCTGGTCCGCGTCCCCTGTTCTATTCACCTCCTCAGAACCATCGTCGTTAGCAGACAGGAAGTTGAAGTTGTTCAGAATGGGGATGGGCGCGTCCCTTTCCTCGAGAAAATCAAACTGGTCCATTATTGATTCAACTCACTTCAAGCTTGGGGAAGCTTAGGGATTTCCATAAGTTCAACAGGTTGAGAGTTGTGGTGGATTATAGTTCTTCGCCGAACTTGTCCGAATGTCAAAGTCTAAGTCCAATTGCAAATAAAAAGCGGAAAAAGGTTTGGAATGCGCTAGATATCTCCTAAAGATCGTGGTGGAAAATCGTTGCAAAACCAGGTTTGATAGACCTCTGATGGGTTTTCAAAAATAACGGATAATTTCCCTTCCATTGTGGCTTCGGTCTAGTTTACACAGCTGGGGTTCAAGGGGTAGTCTGGTGACACGTGTGGTTTGGCAGACGTTGAATTGTTTTGTGCGTGCACGTCCTCACGTGACTTTGCACAGGGATATGACAATAGCTTAGATAGACGCCAAGTGGCAGTAATTTCAATAGGGGCGGACATAGCATTAAAAGCTTGCGATTCGTAATTAAATAAGATAGTATTTCCGAGACTCGGAACTGGATCCGCGTTGAAAGAGTTGTGGTCTCTGCTCATTCGTAAAGTTGAACCTTGTAATCTCTGAGGCTGGACTGCAGTCTGGAACAGAAATGTGTTTCTGCGTAGAAACCACGCTGCTATAAGAGCTTCCGCGTATACTAGGTTCACCTGAAACTTGTCTGTTTGAATCTGGGGACAATGTTTTGGGCGAAGGCGAAGACGGAATAAAAGAGTTTTCTCCGTCCATCAAAGAAGAAGGTGATGGTTGAGGCAGTGATATCCTCTTATTGCTTAGAGAACTCCCTGTGCTTCTTAATGTAGGGACCTCCTCGTTTGAACTATCCCGAAGGCCCAGACTTGATTTCGATATTCTCCGCAGAGTATTAGCCCACGGCTTCCTCAATACACCTTCTGGTTTTGATTTCACACTTTCTAGAAACCCGCTTTCATGTTCCTGATCCCAGAACGTTGGTTTAGTGTTGATGTTCTCATCCTCTTCTTCATATTGCAAATTCACATTGTCATCCATGACAAGCTCCAGAGCCTGGTCATCATCCCAAAACTCTGGCCAAAGATCCAAGTCAACCATGGCCTGCTTATCAGAGGAGCACCGAAAGATTGCAGCAGGGTGCGATTGTCTTATAATTAATTTCTGAATTTGAAATCAAAAAAATTTGTTTCAAATTCCGCTGCTTTTCTTACTTCCTAAAAGAGAACAATACGTTTTCATGCACGCCTCTTAAAGTGTCGTCTTGAACGCAGCCTTGTGGGTACGTATCGTAGAAGAAGTAAAAAAGTGTTTCGAAAAAACCCTGGAAAGAGAAACTGATTGCTACTGATCATCAAAAATTATTTGGTGGATGCTACTATCTTTTTGATTGAAGGTCGTCTATGACCAGTTTGTGGGATGCAGCCATTTACGAGCTTTGAGGTAACTGCAGGACAATCGGACGTATCCGGATTCATTTAGCTCTCCACGCATATAATCCGAGCAGGTCCTAACAATCACATAATTTTTGTTGCAGCCACTTGATGCTAAAATGTACATCCTGTTATTTGAAAAAAAAAGTTTAATTGGAGCCCGGAATACAAGCTCAGCCCGCCGCTAACGGAACTAACGTGTTTGATGGATGATCTCGAGGGAAATGAGGCCTTACACTGGAAATCGTACCGAGAAATATCCATGCATCCCCCCCCTCTTATTGTCAATACCAGGTTAAAACTTGAAGGTCTGCAGTAAAAAAAATATATGCTATTATTGCTACTGCAATAGGCTCCAGACCATTTTCCAGTTCACACTTTGACCCCTGCATGGCTTGTGCCGCACGGTAGTGTGCTAATCCATTGGTTAGTACACGTATTTTCGATGATACGCGGTTGTTTTTCTATGTGGGTGCAGTTCTAACATGGGTAATGATTTAACTACAAGTGATCGTACCGCCAACATCTTGATAAAATTGGTCGAGAAGCTCAATTTTGCTTGGCAAAGTTGAAAATTCCCAATGTATGAATCCTCAAAACCGCGAGAGGAACGAGACTTTGCGGAGTTTTATCCAGATCTGGATGAGACGAAGCCCTTGATCACGGTGACCACCCCCAACGAGCGGTCCAGGAAGGTGGCAGTTGTTAATAAACACGAGCGGCTCGAAAACCTCAAGAAGCCCTCCTATAGGCCGTTATATTCTTCCCCTGGGACTTTTGCAGAAAAACTACCAAGAAACATTTCATCACTGGGCTATAATGAGCATGAACTGGGTGAGCTGCGGCTTTTGCCAGAGACATATTTCCGAGCAGAAGCGACGCGAAGCGCGCTGGTAAAGAATCTGCTGAACTTCAAGGATAAGTTTCAAGTTTTGTACGATATGGATGAACAGGATGAGGAATATTTGACTGTAATGAACGAAAGGAGAATGGCACAAAGTCAGAACAGAGTGTTAGACGAGGTCTTGGAGATATGCTTCACTTATTTGGAGATTGAATGGTACTTCATTGAGAAATTTCTCCCTCCTAAAAACAAAGTGGATTCGCTGAATAATTACGATATGATGAACCAGGCCTTCCTTCACAGCTCGAAGTATGGTTCTGATGATGGCACTGGGGGTTCCCCAGACGTTGACCAAAGATGCGCGGTTTGCGACGAGAGTGAATGCGACAATTCGAATGCAATTGTGTTCTGTGATGGGTGTGATATTGCAGTTCACCAAGAGTGTTACGGTGTCACATTCATTCCAGAAGGCTCGTGGCTGTGCCGAAGATGCTTGATTTCAAGGAGCAAGAAGCAGCGGTGTCTTTTCTGTCCCAGCACCACAGGAGCCTTCAAACAGACAGATAACGGGTTGTGGGGCCATGTGGTGTGTACACTATGGATTAACGAATTGTACTTTGCTAATCCCATATACATGGAACCAATTGAGGGTCTGAACCAGATACCCAAGGGAAGATGGAAATTGAACTGTTACATATGTCATCAAAAGGTCGGTGCTTGCATCCAATGCTGCAACAAAAACTGCTTTTTGGCTTATCATGCCACCTGTGCAAGGCGTTCAGGGCTGTGCATGAAAATGACAAAGGGTATACAGGGAGCAATTGCAAATCAGAACTCGCTTTTATCATATTGCGACAAGCATGGTCCGTACGACTGGAACGTGGAACATGATCCGAAATCGGGGGTTGAGAAAACGAGACTCTATTTTGCAACTGTTGGAGCGATCAAGAATCGAACCGAGAAGCTTAAGATCAAGATCATGCAGAGCAAAAAAAGCAAGACTGCAGACCTTTTCAAATGGAACACCAAAAACGGTGCTCCCATTATTCCCATAACAATTGCACTAGGACTCATGAACTTTTTGAAGGATCATCACATTGCGCTCGACAACGCTGCCGAGGTGGTTAATGAACTGTGTGCTTATTGGACGTTGAAGAGGGAACAGAAGCAAGGCGCACCTTTGATCAAAAGGTTAGACGCAACTCAGTATGGTCAGCTCACGGACGAGGAGATTCAGCAGAGAATCAGTGTTCTGGGAATCCTGACTGAGGATGTTAACAAATTGCTTGATTTGTCCACCGTTGTCGGACAGAAGTCCAAAGTCGAAAATCAGCTCGTAGATACTCTGGTTGAAGAAACAGATCTGATTCATTTCCCCATCAGCTACATAATCTCCAAGCTGATCGACCGAATCAAGGAGCTGGACTCTGGAAAGTCGCTCTACAAAGCGCAGACGAATAAGCACATCCTGTCTTTTCAGCAGATCGAGCTGAAAAACAGCCAATATAGATACTCCAGCGTGGCCCAGTTCCTGGAGGACTTGAAGAAGCTTGAGGCGTATCTCCTGCGGCAGCCGGAATGGAAGATCATGTCGCAGCTGAAAACTTTGAAGAGATGGAGAAGGGAGAGCGATGCCAGGACCAAGGCTGCGTTGGATATGGAGACTAGTGTGTTGAAAAAGGTTGGAGAAAATGGAGACCTGGTGGAGATCCTTTCTGAGGACTTCACTATCGAGGGAACGAGCGTTGAAGAAAGACCATGGGACGATTTCGAACTCTCGAGCGACTTGAGCGATGTCGAGGAGCCATCAAATGCAAGGAAACTACTGAGGATCGAGTAATATTGATCCTGATTTTGAACAAATTTGATGTGCATTATAATTACACGCATGTAGACACCAAAACTAAATAATAAAGAAAATCAACCAGTGCAAGAAGCTTACAACTTGTCGTAGTACTCTTCGTAACCTGGAACATCCTCCTTCATACCGTGTCTCTTTCTGGTCTCAGCAACAATCTGACCTGGCTTGGAGGTGTTGTCGAGAGGGTTACCGTTCATGGTTGCCCAGTGGTCGAAAACCATCTGTGGGAAAGCCTGACCACCGGTAGCCTGTCTCAGCAGACCAGTGAAACCGAAGGACTCATTGACTGGCAAGTAAGCCTTGACAGTGAACAATGGAGTACCTGGTCTCTGCTCCTCGGAGATGACCTGACCTCTCTTCTTGTTAAGAACAGAGTAGATACCACCAATGGCGTTTTCTGGACATTGAACCTCGACGAGGAAAACTGGCTCCTGGATTCTTGGCTCAGCAAGCAACATGGCGGCGTAAGTGGCTCTTCTCATGGTTGGCATGATCTGACCGGCACCTCTGTGGATGGCATCGGCGTGCATGGTGACATCCAAGATGTTGATTCTGACGGATCTCATGGCCTCACCGAGCAATGGACCTTCCTTGGAAGCCCATTGGAAACCAGAGTTGACAGAGTCCTTGATTTCAAGCAAGTACTGGACAGCCTTGGTCTGGTCGACAACCAGATTGGCACCAGTTCCGTCTGGACCGAAACACCAGATCTTTCTGGCGTCGGTGACGTCCCAGCCATACTCATCAGCCATCAGTCTGGCACGGGTCTTGAAGTCCTCTCTTGGAGAAATCTTACCGCTCTCGATGGCGTTGGCAGTCTCGTCGTCAATTGGTTGAGCAGAAACGTAGATACGGTTATGCTTGTTTGGCGACTTGGACAGGGCAGTCATACTCGACTGGGCCTCAACAGTCTCTCTGTAGGCAACGACTGGTGGGGAGATTCTCAATGGAACACCAGCGTGGTCGTTCTCCAAATCTGACAAACAGATTTCCAAATGCAACTCACCGGTACAGGCGACAATGTGTTCACCAGACTCGGACATGGAGGTAATACAACATGGGTCGGACTTGGAAAGACGCTTAAGACCTTCGACAAGCTTTGGCAAATCGTTACCGTTCTTGACCTCGACGGCGACCTGGACAACTGGGGAGACAGAGAACTTCATCACCTTCATGTTGTGGGAGGCCTCGTTGGTGGTCAAGGTACCAGACTTGAGCAAGAACTGGTCAATACCAACCAAACCGACAATGTTACCGGCTGGACAGTCGTCAATGGCCTCAACGAATCTACCCATCATCAGGACCGTTCTTTGGATAGCCTTGACGAAGAGATCCTCCTTCTTGCCTGGGACGTAGTTAGGACCCTGGATTCTGACCTTCTGACCAGATCTCACGGTACCGGCGAAAACACGACCGAAAGCGTAGAATCTACCCTTATCAGAGGTAGGCACCATCTTGGAGACGTAAAGCATAAGATCGGCCTTGGGGTCACAGTCTCTGATGGCGATACAAGAGGCATCGTCAGATGGACCCTCGTACAAGGTCTCGGCTCTGTAGTACTGAGCGGTGACTGGGGATGGCAAGTGGATGATGATCATCTCAAGCAAGGCATCGGCAGCTGGCAAGAACTTTCTCATGACAACCTTGAGCAAAGCCTTACCTTCCAACTCCCTCTCCTCGGACTTGAGGTTGATCTCCAACTTCTCAAGCAAAACTGGGATCTCCTCCTTCTTGAAGTTCATGATGGCGGCGAACAGACGGAAAATTGGGTCCAAAACGAACATGTTGAAGGCACGCTCAAGAGGCTTTCCATCGGCATCCTTGGCGTTCTTAGTCCACTTCTTGGTCTTTGGGTTGAAGAACGAGTCTCCCCACAAACGCTCCATCATCTTGGCTCTGTCGACACCGAACTTCTTGGAGTAACGGATGGCAAATTGACGGATAGTGAAAGCCCAACCGTGCAAACCGGAACCGAAGGCAACAGTGCCTCTCTCTGGGTAGACCTGGACATCACCGATAGACTTGTCAACGTAGGTAGAGATGATAACGTTAACGGACTCAACAGTTCTGGCGAAAGACTGGTAGAGATCCTCCTTGGAAACCTGCAATTCGAGCAAAGCACGGTCAACCTTGTTGATAATAACAACTGGCTTGATTCTCTCACCAAGAGATTGTCTCAACACGGTCTCGGTCTGAACACACACACCTTCAACACAGTCGACAACGACCAAAGCACCATCGGTGACTCTGAGGGCAGCGGTAACTTCGGAAGAGAAGTCAACGTGACCTGGCGAATCGATCAAGTTGATCAAGAACTTGTTACCTTCGGTCTTCTGGGAGATCTCCTTGATGTCCTCCTCACCAAGCTCGGAGAAAAGAGAGATGGCGGTAGACTTGATAGTGATACCTCTCTCCTGTTCATCCTTACGGGTGTCGGTGAAACGAGCCTCACCGGCCTTGGCGGCCGAGATAATACCGGCACGCTGAACCAGCGAATCGGTCAAAGTGGATTTACCGTGATCGACGTGAGCAATAACGGACATGTTACGCACATTGGTAACTTTGTCCATGAGCTCACGGATTTGGTCAACAGTGAAATTAACTGAAACTCATGTTAGTAATGCTTCAAGGCAACGATTGAGAGTTTGAAACTTCCGAATAGAGGCTGACACTATGGGAGGCAAAAAAAATTTTGTCCCAAAAGCCAGATTTCAACTTGAACAACTTCCCAATCCGCAATGGAACTGAGGGGCCAATAAAGTTGCTATTCGGAAAAATTAGCGATTCACATACCCATTTTTGTATCTTTTTATGTATTACAAGCGGATAACACTTGAAACAAGGTCTTTCTGTAGCTGATGGGTTCACCAGAAGGGGATCATAAGGAGGAGTGGTTCCAGGGGAGGTGTGGGAGGAGGTCTGAAAATTTTTTTGTCCCGGCGTACACGTGAGCACGCTAAGTGCTGTGGATTACAAAGAGTTTGGGTAGGGTAATGCATGTATTTTAATGATGGTCGTGTTTGGTGATTAACCCGATTAGGATATATTGGGGATAAGCAATGAATGAAGAAATGTCAACCTGTTTTCTGCAAATATTTGTGCAAAAAGCTCAATAGGGACAATTGCGTAGTTACCGGTGATATTAAACGGGGTTTCCCTATTTTTGGTTTTTTTTTTTGATATTTCTTCGCTCAGATTAGACATAGCTACAGGCTTGGCTTAGAGACTGAACATCATGTATTAGGACTAGCTAGTCTTGGGGAACAGGGAAATCAAACATAACTATTAATTGAGAACTCCTCTTATGCAACACTGTCTTCACTCACATAAGTGAACCCACGGAACTGTTCTTGCACCGACAGCGACAGTAACGAGTTGACTGGCGTGAGCTTCGCGGCTTGAGACGTAAATTCCTCGTCGAAATAAGATATATCACGAGGGTCTCTGATCTCTGGTATGTAAGGAGGAGTCACGTTGCATGAAAGAATATCGTTGAAGTCGATGTTTGAGAAATAAGGATGAGCCATGATTTCCTCAGCATCACTTGGACCTGCTCCCAAACGTTTCTTAGGGTCTCTCGTAAGCAGCTTCTGTAGAATGTCAACAGCTTCCTTCGACATATGGATAGGATATAATGGTTCGTCCGTCAAAATAGCGTTGAAGACTTCGTCCTCGTCTTCACCCTTGAAGGGAGACTTTGTCAGAAGCATCTGGTATAACAAAACACCGAAGGCCCACCAATCAACCGCTTTATCGTATTTCTGTTCCTTTAAAATCTCAGGCGCCATCAACTCTGGAGTACCACAGAACGTTGCAGTAGTACATCCATACCACATCTCTTCCTTACACAACCCATAATCAGCCAGTTTGATATGTCCATCTGGAGTGAGGAGGATGTTGTCCAGCTTCAAATCACGGTAAATGACTCCATGTTCGTGCAAAAACTTCAGCGCAAGAAGCACCTCAGCAGCATAGAACTGTGCACGTCTCCAGGAGAACCTTGCCTTCTGGACATGCCACATCAGATCACCACCAGAGATATACTCCATCACGAAGTACACTCTGTTTTCGGTCTGGAAGCACTGATGTAAGTTAAGAAGGAAAGGATGCTGCCCTTTGTTGGCAATGAGGAAAACACGCTTTTCGGATTTCGTACTTTCAACCTCGTCATTCTGGACGATGAAATCCTTTTTCAAAACCTTAATTGCACATAGATGTTTGGTGTGAACGGATTCTGCAAGCATAACCTTACCAAAGTTTCCCTTACCCAAAACCGCCAGAAAGTTGAAATCATCAAGACCATATTTGTGGCGATGACGATGTTTTGCCTCCCCATCATGAGGTTTAGGCCCGGTAGGCCTAGCAACCCTGCTTTCTGTCCGACGAGTACGTTCCCTTTCTTCGGATACACGTGGTACTTCTGTCTTAGCAGCGGCAATGTCATATGTTGAGGGTTCCAAAAGCTGGGTGGTCGACGCGGCCTTAGAAGAGTCGTAGTTATAACCATCTGCAATTGGGTCATGACTGTGCGTGTAACTCTTATGTATCGGTTCTTTGGCACTTATTTGGCTTTGAGGACCAGTACCAGGGTACGTTTTCAATTCTTGAACATTTGTCTGAGGTGGAATAGGAGGCAGATCTTTAGCAGGCAACGTTACCGGTTTTGGTAATCTTGCATGCGCGGCAGATGGTGTGGTAGCCTTCCTAGTATTCTCAATAGCGTTCTGAGTGAGCTTTATTTCAGACAGAATCTGACTGGCTCTTTCCATGGTCATACCACAGAAATCAGGGACCAAATGCGAACAGTAAGTATGACAAACCACGCCACATTCCGAACACTTGCGGATATTTTTGCGGCCCAAAGGTAGTACATAACCACAATGGCAACACCACTTCGCAGTTTTGTTGGTGACGAGCTCCCAACGGTGAGGAATGCGATGGTTCAACTTAGCCTCATAAGGATCGCGATCAGCGCTGGACTTAGAAATACATTTCGTAATCACCTTGTCATAACACTTTTTGTGGCATAGGAAACGGCAGTCCTCGCACTGGTATCCACTGTACGGAAGGAAAAAGCCACACATGGCACAGTTCATGAGGTTGTAGAACTGTTTGTACACAAACTTGTGCCCGTGGTGTTCCAACACCTCTTCCTTTCTTTGACGAATAGCACCGTGACGGAGCAGTCCATTCACAGCATCTCCACGGGAGCCGTTTTTGAATGCAGAAGTTTTACTGAATCCAAAAGTAAGAAGAATGTGACCAGCCGGTTCCAATACAAACCAGGAGGAGAACGTCACTGAAGAATCCGCAGCGCTACCTTCGGAGCTGGAATTACCACCTGTCTTTACCAGAGCATCTGAGGATTGTGGATGGACAGCAGGATCCGTGCTAGGCCTGGAGGGTATGTTGTTTCCAGTAGTCAGGTTGTTTTGAACGAACGAAGCACTCATCCAGCCCGTTTCGTCTCCGCGGTTCTTCTTCCTACGGATCTCTTCGGCAACATCTGCCAATGAGAACCATGCAAGAGCCACAGGAGTCAGATGATCACCGTTCTTGTCGTAAACAGTTATACCAATTTCATTGCCTTTCTCCACGTCGATGTGAAACTCCTCGTTCCATTTTCCGTTTCTGGAGAACTTCGTATGGGCCTTTTCGATGTCGTCAACGGTGATCTTTACCATTGTTTCAGGTCCCTTAGAGAATCGAGCTGGCGCGATGTGGTTGACTGCTCTGATCAACGATATGTTCAATGTGAGGATACCCGAAAGAGGCTTCTTGGGAAAGGTCTTTAGCACAGCCGTCTCCTTGGTGACTTCATCGACGTCTATGTGCATCTGTTGATACTGCTTCAACGCTTTTGTAAGCAATTGGATCTTCTGGTCTCCCTCGACTCTACCGATTCCAGCAGCTGCGATACTGCGACGGTCTCCTTCCATCTGATACAACTTGAACATCTTCTCGTTGGCTTCCCTGTATTTCTTCTCGACCTGCAACTTCAGCTGCAATTCTTGCAGCATGTACTGAATACGATGACCAAGAGAGGGACACTCGTACTTTAACAAATCTAAGGAAGAGAAAATCGGCTTCGAATAGCCATCGCTTGAAGTCGCAGAAGGAGCGTGATACTGTTGACCGTGAGTAGCACTCTGTACCGAACGATCAGGTGATCTCGATCCTTGCTGATCAATTTGCAGTTTGTTCAGCATCTGCTGCAAATAATCTATGTTTGTCTGAGCATCTCTGATTGAGGCGTTGCATTTCTGGATCACGTCCTGGTTTGTTGTTCGATTCTTGAGGTTAGCCGCTCCGGTCTTTATATTCCTCTCTCTCTCGATTTTCTTGAGGATATCCTGAACTTTTGAGTCAGTGGGATCAGACATTTTGGGAAAATCTTCAAATGGATTGTAGGGCTTTGGATTGGCGATAGTTGCCCAGCTTGTTTGGTTTTTATGTTTATGAAACAACACAAGCCTATTGGTTGATCTTCCAGAATTGGACCCTCGTCTAGATGATCTAGTCTGCGACCCGAATAGTATTGGATTAAAACGAATGCCACGGCCCTTTCCTTTGCGGTTTTTGCTCGAGATGGTAAGATATGAGTTGTTTGTTGGAGAGAATGCTCAAGCGTTCTGCCACGCGAGGGCTGTGTGAAAACGCACCGCCTTGAATCGTAATTTAGTCGGTGCACATCAGCCCATTTGCCTTGCTTATGTAACCAAAATGTACATTTTTGGCAGCTTCTATTCTATTTACTATTACACTTGCAATCGCAATCTGGAACAGCACATATGTAGTGCTTGGAGAACCATTCCTCGGCGTGACCGGCATGCATTCCATGATTGCATGAAAGACAAAAACTGAACCATTCCCTGAACTGCGATGCTATTTTCACTTCCGGGGTATCAACCTCTCCTTCAAGCATGAGATACTCCTTTGGCAACGGAGCTCCCTGAGGCAACAAACAAATGGCACACCTGGGAAGAGCTGATCCACAATGAGGACAACTCGTGTTTGGATGACCTAATTTTCCTGACCCGAATCCTTTGACGTAGCCACTCTTTGCAATACCGTATCCTCCCACGGTGGACTTTTTGGTCTCAGCAATGTTCTTATTGCATTTGACACATTGTAGGTAAACCTGCCTGGGGACGACTTTCGTGGTCACCTTTCCATCCATTGTCTTCGATAGTCTGGTTCTGGAGACATCAAACTTGGCTCTGGCACTGAACAGGCTCCAGCTATTGAGTAGCTTCCTGTAGCTTTCAGTCCATGAAGACACTCTTTGATCGCTAAAGTACCTAGGACATCCATGAGCGGCTATTATACATGCAGTTTGGACATCACTGGTCCTGTCCACGTATGACTGCAGTAAATCGATACCTTTTGGAGTTATTCCTGTCAAAATAATTCCTTCCACTTCTCCTCTCATTATAGCGCTTTTGGCTATGCGATCAAGATAGACAGTGAGTTCGTTGTCGGGCAGGAATCTCAACGCAACTCCAAGACGTTCTCTGAGAGGCAGAGCAGCTTCATCCAAAACATCCCACCAATTGTTATCGGCAATAAAGGCAAAGATTACCCGCAAATATGGGTTTTCCAAGTCTAAGGCCAATCTTCTGCACTGGTCTCTCCACATACTGTTCATTGGTGAATCTTTGTAGGAAAGATATCCTGCAACGGCAGTAGACATTATTCTGAGTCTTTCGCTCTTGGAGTTGCTCAAAATCTCCACTGCCTTGCCAACATCTCCATTGAAAACTGCCCATCCAGCCGCTCTCTCGTATTGCTCTTTGGCAACCAAGTTCTTATATTTTTCGTTTAACTCTTTCGTTCCGAAATCCCATCCAGCAACGTACATGCAAAGCCGTCTTTGATACTCTTTCTGGCTCTTACGTTCAACAGGGAGTATCGAACTGGACGCTGCTTTGATCTGTGCAAACCGTCTTTCCACTAAAGATTTAGTGGCATGAATGAGATCCTCGTTGTTCATCACACCAACGCCACGGTATCTCTTCTGATTCTGGAATCCGTCCACTCCGTGCCATATGCCTAACACACCCAAGAAACCAAGATCGTAGTCACCAGAGATCATGTGACCCTGGGCAACATTGTTTGCAATAATATCCATCCACCTCCAGATGTTCCTTAGATGGTCTTGAGAGCCAATTGTGTGCTGCTGGTCCACTATAGACATGTTATGGGCGAGATCAACACCATATCCTAAGCTGGCCCTTCGCCTTATGGTCGAACATATATCGTTGTCCAATAGAACGTCCGGCTTCATCAGGAGATCCGAAACAAACATGCGCGAAACATCACTTTCATCCCCATCTTCGTCATCTATATCCATCTCTTCTGCATTCAGATTGTCGGTCTCACTGGTATCACTTGCGGCATTTGAGGTAGACGAAATCGCGTGAGAGTGGTCATCCTTCTTGGATGCAGCTTCAGTCAAAGAGGCGGTCTCGGCTTGGTCGGCATCATCGTCCAGTGAATCCTTAACCATCTTGGTAAAAGTTCCCACTGGTCCCGAGAACGTGATATCGTTGAACGCGTTGAACTCCACAGCTTCTTGACTTGATACCACGTGCATCCGGTACACTGATCCAGACTGTCTCATACACACAAGATCTATGCCGTGCTCAGTATTCAAATTGGGAGAGTAATCGAATGATATCACCCTTTCATATTTGGTCTTTACATCTGATACCTTGGACACAAACAGTGATTTGCCAGATTTGGGCTTGAGTTCTGGCTTGGCAGGGTCGCTGTTTGACCTTTCTCCTTGTTTCGAGGCTGGGATTGAACCCAATTGCCACCTTTTGACAAGGTCACCCGAAAACAAAGCGGAAAATTCACCTCTAGTGATGGTGGAGAACCTGAAAAACGCAGGGTTCGATTTGCGTTGGTCTGATAGCAATCTATTGAAAGTGAGCAGAGGAGCCTCACTTATAATCGTAGAGGAGGCATTGGCCGTATTGGCCACCATCTTCCTTCTGTCCCAGAACGAGACAGTTCCATCGTCACCATAGGAGGCAAAGTGATAAGGATTAAACGGGTCCACCGTAACACCTGAGGTACACTTGGTAGCCAATTGGTACAATGGCTGTTCAGAACGAACATCAAACTCACGCAAAAACTTGTAACTTCCGGTAACTAAGTTAGTTGGTTCGTTCTCAAGAAATGTGGTTGAAAGAATTGCTTCGTTTTGCACGTATTTCACCAGGGGCTTGGTGATGTGATCATTCGAACTGCTTCGAGAGTAATGCTGCATATCCCATATCTGTACACTGTGATCCTGGCGACCTCTATCAAAGCCAAGAACAACCAATCCCTGGCTATTCAATCCAATAGAGTTACAGGGTCTAGCTTGCTTGGGTTTCAGTCTGAGTAATGAGGACTGAGGGGACGATATGTCAAATATGTATGCTGAACCATTCAATTGCCCTACGGCTGTTATACCCACATCAGCCCTGGAGTAATGGAGACATTGAATGCTATCGAAGCCCCCTCTTGATGCCACTTTGAAAATATTCTTATCTTCGTCCTGGAGCAATATGTTAGTAAGAGGTACATCCGAGGCGCTCCTCGTTGATTTCAAGACTCACTTCTGTTGTATTGTCAGTCTGGTAAAGCGAAATCTCCTCCCCAGAAGGATCAATAGCCAAATATCTCTGTTCCTGACCGAGATCCCAATCTCGAGCAAGGGAAATTGAGCCTGGCATTTTGTGATTCTTGTAATTGGAGAAAGACTTTGAAGTAGAAGATTATCGAATGATCACAGTCATGTTGTAGTACGAAGCTTGTTCAGTTGAAGGCTCTGCCATTTGAGATAGGGTTTCCTGCTCCACACTGGTAGTAAAGGTATCAAATGCTTCTACACCCATAATACATTGTTCATGGCTATATTAATACAAATAATCTATATCTAGTGTCTCAATTGGCTCAATTCGCATTGAATACCAATGATCGTCTTAAAACGTGCTGTGTTCCCTTTGCAAACGTTGTCTGGCCGGGGCTGAGTGGCATCTCGTCAAAAATGGCTCCCCACTCATACTCTCCTCTCACCAACACCACGAATCCCAACTCAAACGACTTTGAACTGCCTGGACTAATGGCATCGCCAATACTTCTCTGTAGAACGCCATTAAACAAAATCCTTTTTTCCACAGAAGGGTGTTGTGAGTGAAGAGTTGGGACGTGTCTAAACATCCCTTTGACGGGGACTGAGGATCTGTTCACGACCGTTGCTTCAACAGTGTAAAACTCGTTAAGAGCGATCTTTTCCAAAGACACCTCATCTCCTGATCCATTCAGTAATCTTAGTTTGATCTCAATCTTCTCGACTTCCAGAATACTCACCATCTTGGAGGAAAGACGTATACTTCTGAGATCGATCTGTCCAAAGCGTGAGCCTTCCTTTCCTTGCTCGTCAAGTTGAACTTCGTCAATCACCTTCCAGCTTCCACGAAGATTCCTCAAAAGTTCAAGTCTGTACCAGAAGGCTGCCCTCATGAACTGCTGTTCAGCTCTGGGCATCTTTTTGTCAATGATGAACTGTTTGTTGGCCAACCCTGGAATGGGTCTGTCTAGTCTCTCTGTGCAAAAGTCGATTCTCTTGACAGGAACCAGTACTGTCTTAGTTCTGCCTGTAGATATCGCGAAGTTTGAAGAAAATGCAGGGGTCCTTTTCCATTCAGTCTCAGTTTCCACCTCCTCAGAATCGATATCATGGCCCATGTAGTCCAAGGAAACCTGCAGCTTCTGGCCCCAAGAGTTCTTTACATCAAGAGCAAGTAGGCAGTAATCCGAGAGACAGCCTTGCTGATCTTTCACCTCCCTCAAAAACTTCCAGTGTTCTTCGTTGGAATCCAACTCGTTGAAGCTCGGTAGGTCGTATAAGATAGGGTAAATGTCGCAACCAAGGAGTTCGATACTTGGGTATACTGTCACATTGATGGGGATATTGAGTTTCCTGGTAAATGCTTCAGAGGCTGCAATATCGACATTAGCATATTCAAAGCAAATGCTGGACTCCTTCATGCCCCTCTTTCCAATGATCTCCATATTGATTGCAAACTTCTCGAGCCCTTCGATCAGTTGGAGTGAATCTTTGTTCAGGATCTTATACGCGGGTCTTTTGGTCAGATAGTACTCGATTTCGTACACCTCATTCGCTGGCAGAGACCATTTGTTACTCAAAGCCATGTTCAAAGGCTCAACGGTGGAGTCCATAAAAGTGGAGACCAGCTCGTTAGCACTCGTCTTCGAAAAGTTTTGTAGGATGATATCAAAATACTTGGACTCTCCTTCCAAAAGCATCACCCAATTGTTGCTTAACGTCACATCCACCAAAGAGAGCAGAGGCTGAGGAGGAATGACCTCGAATTTCAGAGTCTTTGACTGAATGGTAATATCTTCAGAAGTGAATGCTCCGTAAGTTCCATCGACTTTGGCATTGAAGGCTCCGACCTTTGCCAACCCTATCTGAAACTTTTGCTTTTTGCATCCTGCCACACTGGCAGCTATTGCGTCGATCTCTAGACTTCCGTGAGATTTAGGGATGCCGAATATCGATAGCATTACCCTCGAATAAGGTTTGACCACGACTGTGCCTTTCCCTTCAACGGCCTCGGCAAGTCCGGCAGAAGATACCTTAGGATTTAACAACGTCTCCAAGACAAACTCTGGATCATTCGCACAAAACTCTATCTCAGAGATTGATATCTCAAACGCATATGGATTTGCAAATGTGACTGTAGCCTCGAATACCTCCTGCTGAACTAGAATAGGAACTTCCTCATTCTCCTGCTTGGAGAACGGGTTGTAGATCGGATTATTATCTGTAGTACCTGCAGAACGTCTATGGGGCACAGACGGGAGCGAGTGGTTGATTGGAACAGCATTCTCCACCAGATGCACATCCCAGTAGTTGGAGGTCGTATTAGAGCCCAATCTCTGTACCACCTCAAAGACTCTTCGTTGTTCTTGCTCGCTCAATACCTTGCGAAAATGCTTCAGTAAGAATAAAGCGTAATTGCTGCTGCTTTCTGTTTCGTCAAGATACTCACATAGCTCAATGCACCGGAATAAGAAAGACTTTTGTATTGATACCCATTGGAACTGGAACTCGTTTTCGGTCTTTGGATCAACTCCAAATGTTTTCAGAACGTTTTCCAGTAGTTCGGGAATTCCTTCGCTGTTGTAAACAATTTTGTCACGGGTACTTAGCTTGGTAGACTTCGGAAGAATTGTATCTATAAGCTGCTTGATAAGCAGTGACCTTTTTCTGTGTAAGTTCAAGTCTGTATAAACTGGAACAAGGTTGTCGTAGAGACGGCATCTGTCCAAGATGTTCAAGGCAAAAAATTCGGGCTTTGAAAAGTCCTGCGCATAAGCCAGGATTTCAGCCTTCAAGTTAACATCGATAGTATCACCAGACTCCTCCAGTGGGAGCCCTCTCACTAAAGATCTCAATGTCAACGGGCTCAGCTCGCCGGAAACAGCCATCAACGTGAGAAACTTCACATATCTCAGCAAACTTTCATAATATACAAGCGATGGCACAAAGTCTTCCGGTGATGCCGATGACAGTCTGTAATAGAATACAACTTTGTGGTAAATTTTTGAAATCAGCTCCGGAACGGTTGCCAGAGAATACTGGATTGTATTTGGTGCTGCTGTTGGTAGACTAGGGGAATTCCGCGACGTTGAATGAACCGATTGAAAGGAGGTTCTTGGTGACGAGCTTGGTGACACCAATAGTTGTGATGTACTGGTTTCTCTTCCCACCAACAACGAGTGGACTGTAGCGGGCAGTGTGAATGGAACGTCCAGATATGTCAATATTATGATACAAACAGCCAGCCCTTCAAGTGCCGAGGCCATCCATAGGCAGTCATTGGAGGATTTGAGGATGATGAGAGCGTCGCAAAACTCTTTCAACGCATCGCTCAGACGGCCTATGAGCAAGTAAAAGTTGCCCATCAGCTTGTTTCTGCGTCCCTTCGCCCTCATAGCTCGGTTCTTGTCTTGTGCTGTAGTCGAGTTCACGTCAAATGTCGAGTACCGTTTTTTTTGTTTTTCCAGAGAAGCCGTGTCGTAATTACGAAGACCAGTTGCTGTATTTCCGGTTTGGAACTCACCAGGCGACCGTAACGTCATGTGTTGATAGGACACAGCATACGATGACAATGCCGAAATAAAATAAGAAGTGATGTCGCAGACAAGCGTTTCCATGTTGGTCTGGTTATCGCCTTGATTTCCTTTGTGCTTGAACACTCCAGGTATCTGGCCCAACTGGTCCTCTTCTGGGCATTCAAAAATCACAATCACTTGCGAAACAACATTTGGGTATTCTCGCTGTAGGCTCGACATCAACACTTTGAGTTCAGTTGTTGAGAGTTCTGGATCGTACTTCACTAGACCAAACACCAAAAACGTTCTTCTGAATGGCTCTAAGTCCTGTAGAAATAGGGACTCGGAATACGTATCCCGAAGCTTGTGATCGTATAATATCCTTCCATGGGGGTAACCCTGCGGATTGAATAGTCCTTGAGACGGGGTCAGATCCACGAGCCGTATTTCTCTTGTTCGGTCCAGCATTCCATAATACTTCTCGAAGTCACCTCGCTGGATGTTGTTCAGTGGTAACACCAGCGTTTTCACCATCGCAGGCACGACAAAAGAATAACAATCCTGCATAGTGCAATTCCCCCCACTCGGCTATCTAAAACGCGTCTTTGAGAGAATAGGATCGCTAATGATGTGCTACCTCTTTTGTATGATTACTGTGCATTCTTCGTGTTACTCCTCTACAGACTGGAAGTCATCACGTGCAAAGATTTGGTGTGTGATACTCAATAGGTTTTGTTAAAAAAAATTTATGTGATCTCAGTACTGAATCAGACAGTAAATAGAGTACGGGAAGAATATTCGTCATAGTTTCTAGGAATGGGAAAAGCAGACAAAAAGAGACTGTCGCACCAGAACAGCCCAGTGGGTGACTCAAATAGTCAGATGAACAAGGTGTTCAAGTTCAACACCGACTTGGGTCAGCATATCTTGAAGAACCCTCTGATAGCGCAAGCCATCGTGGACAAGGCGAATATAAGGCCTTCAGACACTGTTCTGGAGATTGGTCCAGGTACGGGTAACTTAACTGTTCGTATTCTGGAACAGGCAAGAAATGTGGTAGCATGCGAAGTGGATCCCAAGATGGCTGCTGAGCTGACGAAGAGAGTGCAAGGCACTCCTCAACAGAAAAAGCTGGAGATAGTCATGGGTGACTTTATGAAGCACGAGACTTTACCATACCATGATATTTGCATATCTAATACTCCTTATCAAATTTCCTCGGGGATTGTGTTCAAATTGCTGAGTTTGCCAAGACCGCCCAGAGTGTCAGTTCTGATGTTCCAGAGAGAGTTCGCAATGATCTTGACAGCCAGACCTGGCGATGCGCTGTACAATCGTCTGAGTGCCAATGTTCAGATGTGGGCCAATGTCAAACACATCATGAAGGTTGGCAAGAACAATTTTAGACCACCACCAAAGGTTGAATCCTCGGTGGTCAGAATCGAGGTCAAACACCCAAGACCCAACATCGATTTCAACGAGTGGGATGGTCTTCTGAGATTCTGTTTCAACAGAAAGAACAAAACTTTGTCTGCAGTTTTCAAGAACTCGAAGGTTCTGGAGATTCTCGAGACCAATTACAAGACCTTCCTTGCCGTGCTGTCAGCAGAGAGAGGCGGTATGGAAGTTGATGATAAAGCTGACCTCAGTGCGCTGGTCAAGGAAAAGGTGGAGAAGGTGTTACAGGAAACTGGATTTGGCGAGAAAAGATCCAGTAAGTTGGACCAGACGGATTTTTTGAAGCTTTTATTTGCCTTCCACCAGGTGGGTATTCATTTTGCGTAGCCCAACACACATTGTATAGTAATAAAGGTTAATACTGGCATAGCACTCAAAAAATGGTGACAGAGGTCGTTCATGTCATCGCGATATCAATAAAACTATTTGAGTAATCTTATCACTTTCTTGCCATTCTATTGTAGATGGTTGAACCGTTGCGACAAGGAACCCTACGGCTGTGGAGACTGCATGCTCCGGTTGAAATTTTGGTCTGGCATTGCGTGCGGCTCAAAACAATTTGACAGCTTTGGTTCCAGCACTGCTAAATATCAACTCTTTCTTGTTTCTTGGATCAAGCAAAGGATGACATTCCTATTCAACTCCTTCTTATTTGGTTTCACAGAAAAGCATTTGCCAAGTTGAAATCTCTCTTCCGCCCTTTTCGACTTCTATCTATTGAACGGTATATTGTTTAACTCCTTTTCTATACATCTATGATTCTTGCTAAGACAAACTTTCTCACAGTCCAAACCAGCTATACAGCAGGAACAAGCAGAAGATTCCCATCCTTGCATCATCTTCTTTTGGTGGTCTTGACCGTGGTGTCCTTTCTAATAACATCAGTGACACCCGCCTCTTCCAGGCCATCTTCTTCAATACGAACCTGGTCTCTTCTCTCCCACCATCTGCTCTCACAGAGGTCAAAGGACTTGCCCTTCAGATGCTTTCCCCTGGCTTCTCTGTTACTGGAGATAGCCCATTGCAAAAAGTCAGCACCTGTTCTAAGGTAAAAGTCACGCAGAGACTCGAAAGCTTTGGGGTGAGGTAACCATGGCCTTTCGTCGGGAATCTCGGGCTCAACCTCTTCCACCTCCTCTTCCTCTTCTTCTTCAGCAACTTCATCATCATCGCCGACTTCCTCGTCCTCTGAGTCATCGGAGCCGTCTTCGTCATCGGAGTAGTCATCTTCGTCGGAGTCGGAGTCAGCCCTTTCAAGCTCAGAAAGATCTTCCCAGAAAACCTTGACTCCGTCTAGTTTGGCCAGGTCAACACTGTACATGGAATCCAAATTGAACTCCTGGTCACCTCGTTCCCAAGCCCCTCCGAATATATACAGTTTGTCATCCAAAACAGTGGTCAAGGCGTTGTATCTGGGATGGGGTAGTTGAGTGGCTATGACATATTCTTTTTTCTCTTGCTGTTCCTCCACCTCCTCTTCGATAACCTTCTCAGCTTCCTCAGACTCGTCATTGTCATTTAAGTTGGCCTTCGCAAGGATCGAATTCAGAAGCTCCTCCAGGTCCTGGTCTCTGTTCCTATCCTTCTTGATAACTTGCGACTTCTGGGCCCTTTTGCCTCTTAATGCCAACGAATACCATCTGTTCGTCTCAGAGTTATACGACAGGATGGTGTTGTAAAACTCAGACTCAAGGCTTTCTTCAGTCTCTTCGTAATCATACACACCACCAAACAGAATTCCTCGGCCTTTATGGGGTTGCATTGAACAACCAACACGAGGCGAAGGCTGAAATCCTTGTTTCCTTCTTCTTTCCCATCTTATTCCCTTGGGATCACTTTTCATCTTGAGACTCCACCCATCGCTCAACATCTTGCCTTTCTGCAGACCCTTGCCTGCTTTGACTTTACAGTATCCTCCCCACACAATAGCACCTTCCTCAGTAGGAATCAGAGAGTGGCCAGATCTGGCATCTGGAACTGGAAGGTTTGGGGGAAACTCAACTTGGATCCACTTATAGGTGGTGATGTCGAATAACCAAACATCGTTAAGATATGTGGTGCTAGTTCCAAGATCCCTGAACCCACCATGCAGAATAACGTAATTCTTCCAATAAGTCATCCTGTGACCAGATCTCGAGCTGGGACCTTTCTTGGTGTCCACTTTACTCCACTCCTTCGACTGGATGTCCAAAATCCAAGTATCCGAAAAATGATGGAACGTGGACTGCTTTGGCGAAGAAAATTCACCTCCGTTCATAATAAAGATTCCAGAGGGATGGTAACACATGGCATGCGAAGAACGCGGCAACGGGCTGTTTTTCGAGGTGTATCTCCTCCAGATGTCATTGTCAACCGAATAGACAAATAAGTCGTTGTAAAAATGAACTGTTTGAGAGTCTGAAGTCTCACCACCAAACAGTACCAGCTCTTTCTTACCATTGTTAATGGCTCCAACAAGCGTTCCATTGAGACGTTTGGAAGGTCTCTTCACAATTTCTATGTTGATAGCTTCAAACTGCTCCTGCTCTTTTGCGAGGTTGCTTAGCAGCTCGTCAATGTCAACGTCGTCCTCGAGATCATTATCACCAAACTTGACAGCCTTCTTCTTATTCTTTTGCTCGGCCTTCTTGCCTGCTTTTTCGTTCTTCAATGCCGCTCTGGCTTTCTTGTTCTCCTTCGCCTTTTTATCCTTCTTGGCCATATTTCTGAGGACAACACTACGGAACAAGAAACACCCTATAAATCTCCAGATTGCGCGATGCCTGATACATAATGGCATCGATAAGAGATTTTTTTTTTCGTGCCCCGGCCTTTGGACCTCGCACGACTGTGGCTCAAAACCGTCATTCTTTTACGATGACAGCACAAGAACGGCTTTCGCTCCTGAGTTGTTTATTCAAGGCCTATCTTCTAAAGAGTTTCCACTCGCTTGCTAGCGTCTATTATGGCCAATGTTGGTGTGAGGTCCAGCATGGACAGGGGCAGGACCTGGTTAAAAGAAAAGTCCCCTTGGGCGTACAAAGTACTGTCATTTATCAAGGCCCAGATGATATCGTACTGGTTTTTCGAGGCGTTGGCTATCTTCGTTGCCCTGGCTTATAAATACCCTAGTTTTGCCAGACACGGAGGCACAATACGTGGCGAGTATAGTATTGGTTATGGGGCTGTTGCGGTGATTTTTCTTGGATCTGGGCTATCTATGTCTACCAAGAGTCTGATGAAAAACATGGGCCATTGGAGAGCCCATCTTGTGGTTTTAGTTTTGCAGTTTTTGATCACTCCCGCAATTCTATACGGTTTTGCTTGTGCCATTAGAGCTGCGCATAATGCTGTCATTTCAGATTGGATGCTAGTGGGGCTCATTGTCACTGCTTGTTGTCCTACCACTGTCGCTTCCAACGTGGTAATGACCAAACAGGCTGACGGAAACGATCTGCTGACGCTTTGTGAGGTCTTCATAGGAAACGTACTTGGTGCTGTGATTACACCAGCTCTTGTGCAACTTTTTACCACGGGAGAATGGAGTTTCGCCAATCCTGCTAATGGGTCATCTGTCACGAGAGTATACAAAGATGTGTTCAAGCAGATTGGTCTTTCCGTTTTCATTCCTTTGTTTGTGGGACAAGTCCTGCAAAATCTTTTTCCCAAACCAGTCAAGATCTTTTACACCAAAACCAAATTCAACAAGGTTGGATCTTTCATGTTGGTTCTGATCATGTGGTCCTCCTTCTCCACTGCTTTCTACCAACACGCTTTCACTGCGGTTTCACACCAATCGATAATAATGATCTGTTTCTTCAACGTCGGAATCTACGTCTTTTTCACCGTGATCTGTTTTTTGATATCGCGTCCCATTTTCCTGCTCAAGGTCTTCAAGGAGGAACCGGATCGAGTCAAGCATTCAACCGCCTATATCTGGAGTTATCATCTTTTTAGACCATTTTACTACAACAGAAGAGACACAGTTGCGATTGCACTTTGTGGGGCCGCAAAAACCGCCGCTTTGGGAGTTTCCCTAGTCACTGCTCAGTACGGAGATAATAGTCCGCACCTGGGCCAATTGTTGGTGCCGTTGGTGCTTTACCAATCGGAACAAGTTCTGACGGCAGGTATTTTGACCAAGTTCATGAAGAAATGGATCCATGCTGGGCCTGAGTACAAGCAGGAGTTGGAGCTAAAGCTAAAGGCTAAAGACGAAGAAGAGGCTGTCCCTGTTCAGGAAGAAGTAGACGAAGGATCAGATGAGGTATTTGCCCGAGAAGAGAAAGGCGCTGTGGAAAAACTTAGAGATACTTAGAGATATCGACTAATAATTAATTAATTCCCTAATAGCTGAAAATTCGGTAACTGATATCCTGTGGTAATAATCGCGTTTAGGCCTTTCTTGGATTTACACGAATTTTTCAGAAATCTTAAACTATTTGAAATATAGTGGGAAACCGAAAAGGAAGCCACCACAGCGGATTTAACATAAAAAACACCGAAAAAAGGAAGAGTCCACAAACATGGCTGAAAATATCATCAATAATCCTATCTTTTAAACAAAAACCCCATAGTTTGGCATCCAATGGCCAAATGTGATGGTGGTGGGTACTGAAGATTGACCGACCCGATCCGGCACGGCAATGCAGCATATCAAGATAGCCACAATACTCCACAACATTCCACTGCAAAGAATCATAAAACTTCAAAAACAACATATCACTATGTTCAGAAAACGAAACCTAAAACTCTGTACATATTTACCCTAATTTAATCATCCAAATCCCTCCACAAATGGGTGAATCCACGAAAATTCTCTGGTGCTACGTACCTGAATGCGTGTACCGGCACAGAAACGAAGGCGCTTCTAAAGATACCGAATGTGTAATGTGCGTTAAAGTGTGTGGCCTCTGCTGAGAGGCTTATACTGCTGAGATCCACCCGTGAGCTGTTGGTGTTTTTTTATTTATTCTGCATTGGTTTTGTTTCCATTGTTTCTTTGGTTTTGTACGGTTCAGCAGGAAATAAGCTGAGATACTGGCGATTGTACCAGGCAGAACGTTCTTTGTAATAGACATTGCTTAGGTTTGTTGCTGGCGAGAACTCTCAAGCTCAAGTTCAACTGGCTGGATTTGTTTTGTTATATATCATTTTTTTGACCCATGAAACATGGTGAGCCTGAGACTCACAAGAAAGGTGCGAAACATCTTGTTGATGCTGGTATTATCAGCATTGGTGTTGGTTTGCCTGCTGCCTCGAGGCTTCTCCAGGCCGGCACAGATACGAAGCGGAGCCACCACGCCTGAAATCGCGCCACATTCATTGGAACGTGAAAGGGGATCTACTCTCAAATCTTTGGGAAACCAGGGTGCCCAAGACGACGTGGTTTTGAAATCGCCTACTCGGGTATCAGACACCGAATCTAAGGCAAAGCAGCGGCCTTCATCAGTGAAAGACGGCCAAATGGCCATGGTCACAATCGAGGGATTATACCAGGACTCAGAAAACACACGTGAAAATGCAACTTTCTTTTCGCTAGTGCGAAACTCCGATAAGTTTGGACTTCTCAAGTCTATAAGGTCTGTTGAGGATAGATTCAATGGACGGTACCACTATGATTGGGTGTTCGCCAATGACGAACCATTCACGAAGGAGTTCATCGAGACAGTTTCAAGCTTTTGCTCGGGTACTTCCAAATTTGTGCAAATACCGAAAGAAATGTGGTCGATGCCCAAGTTTATTGACCAGAAAAAGGCAACGAAAACCAGAAGGGCCATGCGCAGAAAGAGAGTGAAATATGGCTTTTCAGAATCCTACAGACACATGTGTCGCTTTAACTCAGGGTTCTTCTATGATCTGCCGGTGATGAAGGACTATAGATACTATTGGAGAGTGGAGCCCGATGTGGACTACAGATGCGATATCTTGTACGATCCCTTCACCGTGCTGAGAGAGAACGAAAAAGTGTATGGCTTTAACATGGCTCCACTAGAACTGCACACCACAGTGGAGACACTATGGGACCAGGTACTGAACTATCAGGAAAAGTACCCCGACAAAGTCGCACCAGACAACAACATGGCATTTCTGTCTGACGATGACGGCAAGTCTTTCAACATGTGCCATTTCTGGTCCAACTTTGAGATTGCAGACTTGGAATTTTTCAGATCAGACAAATATAGACACTTCTTTGACTATCTGGACCGTGCTGGTGGAATATACTACGAGAGATGGGGGGATGCCCCGATTCATACCATGGCTGTCTCGTTGCTCTTGAGCAAGGACAAACTGCAGTTCTTCCCTTCAACAGGCTATTTTCACGAGCCAAACCAGGATTGTCCCCGTGCTTTTGATGTTAGAGTGAAGGGCAGGTGTGATTGTTCGGCGAAGGACGAATTTACGTGGGGCCATCGTAGTTGCATTCCAAAGTTCTTTGACGTGCACGGCTTCGAGAGACCTCATGGTAGTTCCAACTTGAAGTACACGCCGATCCACAAGAGCGCAGAGTACAAAAAGGAGAGAGCTGCCGAGGAGGCTGCTGAAGCTGCTGCTGAAGCTGCTGCTGCTCTTTCGGAAGAGTCAGCATCCACAGACGAGCAATCAGAAGAGGGCGGAGAAGCAGAGGTATCTCTTCATTCGGATAATCAAAGCGAGGGAAATGATAAGAACGACGACACCCCTCAGAATCAAGAAGACAGATCCGAGGAACACCAAGCGTGAACACTATATGGATAGCTCTATAAGGTCGCATTAAAAGACTAGATGGAACCACAGGACAGCAATACAAACCATATGATCTTCTCAAAGTTACTCAGTTACTCAATATCGAAAATTCATGCATTTTGAAGCGGTTCAAGCTTATGTATCGAATTACTTCTCTATTTCATCACCACTCCAGCGAGGTTGCCCATTGGACCCTCTTTGTGCGCAACTTTGACTTCATCGGCGTTTTCTTCAGATAGCCCTTCATTGGCCTCGAATTCTCCTTATTATCATCGCCGACTAGTGCCACTTTCGACACGCCGTTCCTAGTATTACATTGGTCAGCAGTACCATTGTTGTGCTGCATCATGTACGCTTCGTGCTCGCTCTCGGTATAGAAGCCAGCCCGGCTCGTGCTTGCATGCCCTTGACTGTGCTGGTTCCTGACCAGGACGGCCCTAATTAGTGCGGCTTTGCGAACACGTCCTTCGCCCGAAGCTGGGATTGTCACCAGCTCGTTCGTACGTTCTGGGATGGGGATGCCCTCACAGTTCTGCGAGTTGATCTCGGTGGCATACTTGGTGGCATCGTCCATGTCTCCGTTTTCCGCATCCACTATGAGATTCAGAGTGTTCTTCCTGTGCATGAGAACAGGTCTGGCGATGTTGCTTATTATGGAATGCAATGGCTTGCATACTCTCTTAGGGGAATCTGTTACTCCAGTCTCAGTCTCGTAGTGTATATCATGGTCGTGGTCGAAGTTGAGGTCTCTGGCTGTAACCTCAGAAAGAGTAGCCGCAGCAGCCGAGGACTTCCTGGCAAAGGGCAACGAGGTGGGATGTGATTGGGCAAAGTCGGAATGGATTTGGAATCCGTTCTGAAGCTCGCTTGGCTTTGATATTCTCGACGATGGAAATTGGTATGCATGCTGCGGTCTTGGAATTTGGCTGTTCCCCAGAATTTTCTGTCTCTGTTCTATTCCGTATCTATCCACACTGGAGCCCATCTGGCCCTCACTAACAACTTCGCATTCCTCGTCTTCGACCATATTGTCAAAGCTAAAATCCTCAAAACCTACACCGAACGCAACCAGATCCTCCATGTCCTGCGACTGAAGCCCATCTGGGATGCTATCAAAGTGCATATCGAAGTCATCCTCTTCCATCCTCTCGTGGTCCCTCCACGCCTCGTAAATATTGGATCTCACCTGAGAGTCGATCTCGTCTAGTGATAAATCTTCCAATTCCTCTTCCATTTGGTTTTTGGCATTTGCAGTCTGCGGAGAGGCCGACAGCTCTAAAGGAGACGAATGTTCCAGTGTGGTTTTGGAGGTTTTGGCGAAATCCAGGTCGGCCACCGGCGATTTCACGCCATGATCAAAACTAAAAGAATCGAGATAGGTTTTGAAGTTAAAAACAGCAAGGGATTCCGTGATTCCTTGGCGGGTGTTACCTACTTGTCCGGTCAGCAGTGAGGGATTGATGTCCTCCAAATCTGTGTTGCCCGATTCGAAATCGTCAAGTATTCCGAGCGACCCGAGGCTTGGGCCAAGCAGGTTCGTTGTTTGTAATTTGAAAGTGTCAAAGAATGTTCTAGTAGTCATAGTAGCGATTTTTCAATGTGTATGGCCATATGACGGAAGAAGCAAATGCAAGAAAGCGAGAAACAAAGAAACACGCTGCTGAGGTTAGCGAATATATCGGCTCAATTGGCACCTTTTCTGTTTATTCCAAGCAACTAAGCGGAAAGCAACAACTCCAGGGAACTGGATCGGGGACTCAAGATATGTTTATCAGATCTGAAGACCTTAAGAATTACCTGCATGTTTTCGTTTTTCCCGATTGGGAAGGACATGTTGTGCCACTAATCATGGCGGGTGTAGTCCGCAATTTGGTGTGGCGGTGCATGGGTGCGGCGTGCCCAGATCATCACCATCTACTACACCAGGTTTGTTGTTCTTCTCAGTTGAAGCATCCTGACCAAGAAAAGCTACAAAATACTTGCAACTTTCAGCTAATTCCGTGTCATTCAACTTCTTGCGTGAGTCCAGATTCCCCTTTGTTTATTGCGAACCTCCATGAAATTCTAACCATTAGATGTCCGAACTTAATCCTCAAGAACCTGTTCCATCTCCAGCGCCAATGGACCAACCTGCGTACATCCCCGAGGTACCCGAGCATACCAGAACTTTTCTACATTTTCAAACGTATCCTGCCGTGGCCTCCTGGATGAGAATTCATGAGAGTTTGCCTTTTCCACGTTTGCTTAGACCAATGTTGTACAGATGGGCCTATTCGGGAGGAGTCAGAAACTACACTGAAAGAATTGACACCTCGATTGATGAAGCCTTGTCTCGTTTTGATGAGAGAGTACCCCAGGCGAGAGTTATCCGCATGAGGGATATCAGAGACTCTCTCACAAATCCATTTGTCAGTTCTGCAACTACCGTTCGTAACGGGGTGAATTCCACTGTTCAACTGGGAGACAGATACTTCTTACAACCCGGTCGTGTGGTTGCTGCTTCTGCCAGAAAGAGATACGCCGCCATCTATGACACGGACGGAAGAGCCTTGATCCGTGGTCAGGCAGACAGCATTCTTGCACCAGTAAACGATAGACTGTCCAACACTCTTGTTGCCCAGTTTGGAGACGATGCGGAGGTTCCAAGAAAAGAGTATTCAAACGAGTTCTCTCGTGGTTTGAGAATCCTCAATAGAGCCTACGAAAACACCCTCACTACAGTTCTGCCTCGTATCACTGCTGTTCCAAACCATATTGAGGAGGTATATTCTAAGAACAAGGAGGAACGTGGAAGCTACCTGCTTACCTCAATCGAAACAGGCCGCCAACTGACGACTGAGGCAATGGCAAGAATGGGAGTTTCCCTGTACCAGGCTGATCCCGAGCCAATCGTTCTTGAGGATAAAGAACAGATTCCTGTTGAAGGTTCTTCCAAGAATGTTGAATCCATGTGATTTCATGTGACAGCAGTACTATTTTACTTGAGTTTCCCATGAATCAATGGTATTCTTTTTTTAGGTCAATTATGACACTACAGAGATACTATGCAACATTTTATTAAGCTGAAGGTTTGTGAAAAAATCGTAAAAAACCAAGAATTGCGAAAAACTAGCACGATCACCGTAAGTTGGAAGGAAAAAGCGTTTCCAATAATCAGCTCATAATGGACTCTAGAGCTTTGATATCTTCTTGTAATGCAATAGCGGTACTATGGAGAATTTGAATATCATCATTGAAGCCAGCCTGTTTCTCTTGCAAACCAAATTTCCAGTTCTTGAAGACAGCTTCTTGATTCAACACGTTGTCGGAAAAGCTTTTCCTCAGCTTTGCTTCAGCAGCAACATAAGCAGGATTGCGAAATACCAGTTCTTGTTCTAATTCAGAGCGAGAAGTATTCCTCAGTAGCTTCATGAGCTCAACCGGATTTTCTGGTATGACCATGGGTTCTTCGGCGGCGACTTGGTCAGAACCAGACAAATCGGACTCTGACTTCTTCTCCCAACCTTTCTTGAGCCATAAAGTCAAGTAATCCGATCTGTACATCTCGTAGTGGGCTTCTGTGGAAACAATGAGATCCAATATGTTTGTTCCAAGCAACAACTCTCTCAACTTGAGATAGTCACAATGATCTGAATCCTCAACTTCTGCTATTCCCCAGACATACTCACGTCCGCGTACAGTTACGCCGTCAGCTCTGGTAAACCTTCCTGCAGAGTTGATCACAGAATATGGCATATCTTCAATGAAATCAGAATTGACATCCTCTTTGATCAGCCAATCACATAATCTGATGTCGTACGCGTCAATGGTTTCCTTGAATGCCTTTTTGAACTCTTGCATCTCACTTCGGGTGTACGCATCTGCCTTGGCAACAACAGGAATAAGATTTACGCGCTTGCACAATTCTTTCATGGCCTCCACATCAAGTGCCGAGACACCCTTTGCAGTTGGAACCAAGAAGTAAAGGCAAGCATGGACCCTGGTATCGATCAGGTTGGAACGGTCAGGCTGAGTCTCCTGGCAAGCATAACTTCGGAATTGCTCCTCAATGTACCGAACAATGGGAAACCAGCAAAATTTATTATTCTCATAGTCTCCAAATCCTGGCGTGTCGATACAGGTGAAGTTTAAGACATGACCATCTTCAACAAGCTCGATTTTGTGAGAATTGATTTTTGTGGTTGACCTGGGAGCCCCGTTTTCCTCGTAGTAGTCTTTCAGTTGCAACAAATCCTCATCAAACAACGTGTTGATAAAAGAGGTTTTGCCCAAACCTGATTGACCCGCAAGAACCACAGTAAACTGGGCTCCTTTCTTGGAAGCTTTTCTTTCGCTGATATGGTTAGTATGGTACGACACACAACAATGAATATGTGACGAAAAGTTTATCCTCATGGTATTTCATACACTTGATTTGGAAGAAATTCAAGACCGCATCTTCCAATATGACCCAAGGGCGGAATTTCTAACGCAACCGCGTTTGTTGCGAACAGAGTATGCTCTTGTGGGCGGTGTTCATTTGAGCTCCCCGGCTCAGAGATGGTACCAGTTGCCGCTTTGAAGTCATCTAGGTATTCTGGTCCAATTTGGAGATCTTCATCTTCGCGTGAAGAAAGTTTTTCTTGTTGATGCGAGATCTCATCTGGTGAGTCTCGGGAAGCGCTTTCGACTTGAGACATGCGTAACCGGTGAGCGTATTGTCAAGTCTAGAAAATGGATCCCTGTCCAATTGAGGAATTGCTACACAAAACCTGTATTAGAATTTCAATATAAATTCAGTCTCGAGTTCAAGCCACCGACCCAGCGCTAATATTTTGAAGACTAACAACTTGCATGTGTGGCCCCGATGTTCGCCGCATCGGTCGTGCGGCTCACACATTGATCACGTGGAAGCGTTTCGCAGCGATAAGAAGCAGTTCCACAGAACACCAACCCCAGAACTGAAAGGAACCTGGAATTTGGTGGGCATAATCAAAAAGTTGATAAATTGAACAGGAAACCACACACTCCAATTGGCCACTAGAGTGGACAGGTAGATACTGTCAAGTTTGGCCTTGAGGTCAAGCTTATTGCCCTTTTCCATGACGAAGGTGCTGTATGAGAAGAATGAAAACAGACTGACAGGTGCAAAACACAGCTGATCCGTCAAAGCTCGCTCCAGAACCGATACAAAGTAAGGCATGTCCAAGTACAGTGAATTGAGAATGGTATACCAGCCAATCGAGACAAAAGCCATCAGAAACCCCCAAAACATGAAATACCAGAATCTCTTAAAATCAAATGCAGCACTGTCAACGGCAGGGTGGAATACCGTAGGTTTTGGAGTATCACCGTCCTGGTAATTCTCATCCCCATAATCGACAAACATCTCGATGTTATCCACCACAGGTTCTTCCGGCAAAACATGCCCTCTTTCGAGTGCAGAAGCCACACTGGAGTTTCGCCTTCTGGTCAATGGGGAGTAGAATGCAGCTATACTTTGAGCCATTGTATCAGCGATTCCAAACAGAACCAGATTTGTGGCTATGGTCGCCATCAGCGAAGATTTCGTGTATAATCTATGATAGTGCCAGGTGAGTCGGATTAATAGAAACGAGAAGAATGCCATGATGATGTAGTTGATGACCGGAATGTTGTACCATCTTTTATGTGTGGAGGCTTTGTTGAGACCGCTCAGCCAGCGAAGGGTCATATTGGATTGAGTACTCATACCTACTCAATATGAAAGAAAACAGCAGAAGAAGAGACCAGCCGCTTTCTTCAGGCGAATTTCTTATCTCGTATCTTTCCACCCCTGTTAGCACATGGTCCATCGAAGAATCACTTTTGTGGGGCGTGCATCCAACGAAGCCAATTTTAGATAAGCGTGTACAGACAAATAACAGGAACGAGTCTCGCACATTTTTAGACACGTGATGACACGTAGGGCTATTTTACCCTCTCACTGCTAGATACCGACTGATTTTCCCAGCTTTTTTTCTGTTGTCGCACACCCCCGCTAACATTTTCAGTAACCTCTTTAGACGTTTATCACTGTTCGACCAGTTTGAAGATTTGTCAAATACAACTGTACATCATCTAACATGCTTATTCCAAAGGAAGACCGTAAATTGATCCACAGACATCTCTTGCAAGGTATGTTACAATTATTGAAAGGTGATCAAAGCCTGATTCGGAACGGAGAACGAGACGAATATTGGACGAGGCAACAGGGTACGAGAACGAGCGCGAGTGCGACCAAGAAGGGTTACTTTGAGACATCATTCAGGATTACGATGACCAACTGCATTTAATCAAAAGCCATGATACAGCACTGATAACCACCGCAAACGCGGAAAAGAAATCACTAAAACTCCCAGGCATCAAGAGTGAAAAGTTCAATCACAGCAAACCTTTGCTGTCATTCTCACGTTCTTTGAATATCATCCAAATCACTGAATTTTCCCGAAATTACAGAGTTCCAGTATACTAACTATCTACAGAGGGTGTTCTTGTCGCCAAGAAGGATTTCAACCAGCCAAAGCACGATGAGCTCGACACCAAGAACTTGTTCGTCATCAAGGCCATGCAATCCTTGACCTCCAAGGGTTACGTCAAGACTCAGTTCTCATGGCAATACTACTACTACACCTTGACTGATGAAGGTTTGACATACTTGCGTGAGTACTTGAACATTCCAGAAGGTATTGTTCCAAAGACTCAATTGGCCCCAGTTGCCGAGAGAGCCCAAAGATCAGCTCCAAGACAGGGTGGTAACGGTGAAGGTTACAGAAGAAGATTTAACCGTGATTAGATAACAAAAACACATTTTAATCAAATATACTGTTGTTTCGAGGCTTGTAGTGTGTAGAGGGGGCTTTTGGGGGCAGACAAAATGAGGTACCTTCCTAACAGGTTGGCATCATGAAGGTTATCATTCTTGTTAAAACCGCACTCGCCTAGCTGTTCGTATAGCCAGAAGTGTATCAATAGTTAACACCATTATTCTTTCTGGCAAACGAATGGGGAAAAATATGGCAACAGATCGAACCCGGAGCCTGCTAATAACGCCAAACAGGGCTGTGCCTGAGCTTGAATGGCGCACGACTATATATATCCTTCATCATGTATTTGTTTTGTGTGGGATCGATATCACCAGACACTGCCTATAAACCAGCCGAAGGTCCTGAAAACTATTGGCTTTGCACCTAGTATTTGATGACAATTGATTTGCTTTACGAGGTGCAGCGGTTGTACCAGTCCGAAGTGAGACAGGACTCTACATCCATGGAGCTATACAATATGATACGGGCCAGCCACCAGAGGATAACGCTGTCGCAACTCAGATCTGTTCTGATCAACAAGGATGGATCGAATTTTTCAGATTCTACGGTGAAGCTGATACTGGACATGTTTGGGAAAAGCAGTTTTGAACAATTGGAGTATCTGGAGTTCATACAGGTGTCGCAGTATCTGTTGGGGTATCTTCGAGTATTCCAGACCGTGGATCTTGACAGATCGGGATCGATATCCTTGCAAGAATACTCGAAGGCGTTACAGATTTACAAGTTTGGTCTTTTTCAGGACACAATTGATGAGATATTCGTCCAGTTTACGAGCTCTAAATCTGTTTCCATGAACTTTGATCTATTCCTGGAGAGCATGGTGTGGTGCTTGAAAATATTGCAATCTTTCAGCAAATACGAGTTGCCGAATTCTTCCAATGCAGTTTTGTCCCTGGATGATCTGTATGAACAGGTTGTGGGATTTTCGTCGTTATGATCCTCTTGATGAGTTCATCACAACTTCCAGACTTCAGCAGTCTGATGACATTTCACATTATTCTCCGAGCCACTCTCAGTAACTTATAGAATTATGACTTTCTGGAAACTTTTTTTACGAAACAATCATGAATATCGCCAAAAAATACATTTCGTAGACCTAAGCTCAAGCTGCCATTTAAGGCACGGGTCACCAAGGCAAAGTACTATAAAGCCCGTTGCTCTTCCTTATGCAAACTTTTGCTTTTCCTGAAAAATCGCGATTTAGTTCTCTCTGGACACCATAGGTTTAACCATAGGCCGGACCCAGAGCTTTAACCATAGCATTAATTTCAAGCACTTGATAACATCTGAAACGGCGTACCAGTTTGCATATGCTCGGATATTTCAAGCGTATGCCAGTTGGTATGGTGGTCCTTGGATGTGAAAATGGTTGACGAGGAACTTGTTAGATGATGAGTTTGTTTTATTATAGCATGTTTTTTCTGGCATCTCTAGTATTAGTGCTTCATGATAAGTCTTGAAGCACCCTGATTTCAAATCACAACGCTGATACCAAGTTCCTCAACCATTTCCTTTTTCGATATTGCTTGCCGATTGTGTTAGCCCTGTGGCATACATGAAGATGGGTAACTCATGGCCAATGTAGACTTCTTCCAATAGCCTTTTTTTCAACTCGTCCAGAGTTCTCCCCGTCCTCTGGACTCATATGTTACGTCCTTAAAACTCTGATGTTGGACACTTGTTTGAGATGGCATTTCCAAAGAACAATCTCCATTTCGAAGGTACGCCTCTGTTTCCAATACTGACATGACCTGGAATCCGAAGCATCGATACCAAGCCGTGCTGATGGGGTCTTCGCATAGAATCCACCAGTTGCCTTTAGTCTTTTCGATGTGGATCTTCTGGATACAGAACCTCAGCATAGACTTCAGCCTAGAGGGAACCTTTGCGTTGTATCTTTGATTTGATTTTCCAGCCTCATTCTCTTCCAAGTTAAATAGCTCCTTCATAACCAATGCCTTATCCTCGGAGAATGTGACAGGCAGCTTAGAAGAAGTAGCATGCCTGTTCTCGCTCTCGATAATACCCACAAGCTCAGATTCTGTGGGATTTCTCACCCTGAAATTAGGGCACTTCTCCCACCTAGGACCAGGATCTTTGGGATTTTGTGTGGTCAAAAAACCGGGGATCTTTAGCGCTTGGCCAATGAACCTAACGCTTTCCCTAGCATTATAGCCAGTGAGAGTACGTGACTTCTTTTGGTGATCGAGCTCTTGCAACGTGTATTCTGGAATCACCAATTTCACTTTATCTGATTTCCACTTTTTTATGACCGCAATGCCGCCCAGAAATGCAGAGGGATCAATGATCACGCTCAAAGAGGGTGTCTGGAGAAGGTGTTAGGAAAGTGTGATCTCCAGTACGAAATATACAGCCTCAATTGTAGAGATACACCAATTGGAACCTTAATACTCACAGATTTCATCACATCAAGATTTTTATTCTTTCGAAGAATATTGGAGGAACTATTTGGTGATCCCTATCGTAGGCTATATGGGGTTACTAAGAAGTCCAGCGGTTTTTGTGAAGGTGTGTGGATCAAATCCACGCCGCATCAAATAAACTCTTATTATGTGCATCATAGCTGCATACAAAAAGCACTCTCCATGCGTTATACAAATCATATATATGTGAACATCAGCTCTGTGGCAGACATTCTATGTCATTATACTTCATAACTGTCTATATACATTTTTGTGCCCATACATCTTCCTAAAGCCGAAGGGAGTTCTTCCTGACTCCGTGCATGAGTCGATCTGCTCAGTCATAGAAACTTGCAGAACTATCCATATACTGAACACCCTCCATGGGCTTGAACGGCCATCTCCAATATGCCTCCACAATCACGTCAAGTTCCTCTAGAGTTAGATCAATCACTTTGTTATCGAGAATTCGCTCCGGAACCGTCTCTCCGAAATATGCTGGTGCACCCGCACCCAATGTAGATATCGCATTTCTCACCGGAGAATTGCCAAAATTGCACAGTTTCTTGGACACAATGTTGAACTCAGCTACTCTGGTCTCAACGTTCTTGGGCTCCACCTGAATCAGACAAAGAGGCTCTGGGTGCTCAAACAACACTGCATCGTCATCTTTGGTTTTGGACTTATCAGACATGGCTATGAGTTTAGTGGTTGAGAACTTCTCTGCAATGAACCCCATCCTCTTCTTCTTTAACTTGGGTATCACCTTAGCAGCTGTATCGTCTGTAGTCCAAAATAGCATCCGTACCCTACCGTATTTCTGGAGCCAGTTCCTATCTTGCAAACAAGTATAGAACTGCATTAGTAGCGCTTCACCCCGCGGATAGCACAAGTTTCCATGGATCAAAAAAGACGGATGAATCTGGTTTCGAGAAACAAAATCCGGGTCTATTATACCCTCCCCTTCCAACTGAGTGTATGCTGACCAGTTGAACGAACTTAGCTTGGAAAGAACGAACTTGTCCCTTTCCTCAGGGGTGAGTTTCTCCAAAACCTGAGAGAGGTATTCGTTGGACTTTGCATGATCTTCCATCAAGATGTGTTTTCTCGGCTTCAAATGTTCGTGTAGTGCAAATGCAAAGCCATTGACCCCACTATAGAGATCCACTATCAGAGGATTCTGGTAGTTCAAATTCAGCTTAGACACGATCTTGGAGCTGGACTCATTCAATCCTATTACTGAGTAGCCATATAGATGTTTCGGTAGACTGAGGGTTTTCAGTATGTTTGCAAACCTAGACATTTCGTGTAGGCTGTGACATACCGGTATCTCGAATAGTTCTTCCCACAGTTTACGGCTAAAATATTTCACATTTGATGGAATGGTTACGAAGCCCCTCCGATGGGCCCTTTGATGCATGTACACTGTTGATTGCAAGGGCAGTTCAAAAAAATACACGATAACCCCAGAAGTGAAGGTGAACCGGTGACGGCTTGGATAATTTTATCGATAATGTTCAAAATCAAGCTCAAGGAACCAAAGGAGGCGGTTCTGGAAACCCCCAAAATCAAACTTAAGGTGGGCAAGAAAGAGACCAAGCCACACAAAATAGTACCTCGCATAAGAGTGAAACCTACCAGAATACCAGGCGATGGATACGATTCAGAAGATCCTGACCGAGAAGATGATCCATTGATGGAGGAAGGACTGATTTTGAGGATGTTACCGGACTCATCGTTGGAGCATCTTAGAAGATGTGTTGATGATGGTGATTTCAGTGGGATCACTATCAAGTGGAGAGACAGGAAAAGAGCCGTTGTTAAAGTGAAAGGCCAAATGTATGGCGCTAAGCTGGTTGATCTTCCTACAACAGTTGAGGTTTACAAGACACTTGATAAGAAGAACATGTTCAAGACAATAGACGTTTGCCAAATGTTGTTGGTGATTTCCCAGATAACAGACGAGAAGGAGGTTATGCAAATCCCCGTGGATAAGGAAGAGACATTTCCGGATGGACTGACACCTCCTTTACAGAACGTGAAACAGCGATTCAAGCAGAAGTTTACCAACAAGGTGTTTGAGTCGGTGGAAGACCGGGTGGAGGAGTTGCTGAGAATGGATGACGAAGCTGTGAATTCGAGTTATGAGCTGTTTGACCCCGAGAAAGAGCCACAGATTCCACAACAGGCATCGAGAACCAACATCAAGATAAATTTTGGTAAGGATAATGTCGATGAGGAAGAGGATGAAGACAATGGCCTAGATGACCTGGGAGACCTACAGATGGAGCTGGAGAAGGAACTAGTAGGTGACGAAGATGACAATATTGCTGAGATGGAAGAGATCGAAGGAATTGAGGGAATGGACGGAGCTGATGAGGAAGATGACGACGATGGAGATCTGGACGATGCTTCTTCCAGTGACGAAGATAGACCCGAGATTGACGAGGAACAGCAGCACAATAAGATTCTCAAGGAAGAGATCTCAGAACTGGAGTCTACGATAAAGGCCAAAGAACAGGACTTATTGAAGGCGAACAACCCAATCATCAAGAGCAGAATCAACGACGTGATCAACAGGCTCAGACAGGAGCTGGAAATTAAGTCTAGGCAAGTGAAGGAGAGTGAGGTGAGCGAACCAACTGACGAAAATCTGATACCACAGGATGATATTCCGGAAGACCAGGAAGACCAGGAGGACCAGGAGGATCAAGAAGATCTCGAGGATCAGGATGATGATGACGAAGAAGACGAAGAAGAAGAATTACACGACGCAGCAATGGAGGTCGAAGCCGTGGAAGAGCTGATTACAGATATTAACGAGACTCGCGAGGAGGACCAGATAGCGCAGCTGGGCGAGGCCCTTCCAGACGATGAAGATAGGGAATTGGCCGAGATATTCGGAGAAGAAGATCTAGACGGGTTGTTCTAGGGAATAAGATAAGATATTTCTAGTGTATAGATAGCCGAAATTTCAGTGTTGAATGGACATGGCCGTTTGCCCCAAATAGGTAGATTTTCCAGTCAAAAATGCCAACCTTAATCGGGGGTTTCATCCCACGCCCATTTAAAGCCCATTTGAGGCCTATTTTGGTCGTAATACGGTCGTGATATTGCCTCAATTATATTGCTCAGAGCAGCCAGAACAAAATCCGCAACCCTAAGGTTTTAAAAATATTGTGGCCACCAATAACCCGATTTTTCATTCAAGAATTGTGACCTGCATCCCCGGAACCCGCCTACATACCGAGGGAACGGGTCCCCTCTTATCAAAATGACGCTAATTTCCTCAAGTCATGTGGATATGAAGCTGCTGTAAGCGGCGTCAAAACCACACAAAGAGCAAGGATATTAAATTAGCAATAGGATTTATCGCTTCTTCAATTATGTCGTTGAATTGGGTGATGTTAAAGGAAGGAAACCCGCCTTTTGTACTGCTTCCCGAAGAAACCTTGAAGTTTCAATCCCCAGAGCGCAATGGGATTGAGTTGAAGGCGAAATATGAGAAGGGGGCTGCAAATATCACGGCAACTGGCAGGATTTTCCTGACAACAAAAAGAATCGTATTTGTGTCTAGCCACGGGGATTTTAACTCGTTTACGATATTATTTCCACAGATTAAAGCGCACACCCTGGAACAACCCTGGTTTGGCCCTAATAGATGGAGAGGGTCATTTGTCAACGAATCGCTGGAGAACGGGCTACGCCAAGAGGTTTATGATTTCACGCTGGTATTCAACGAGGGAGGCGCATTTGAGTTTGTAAAAATGTTTGATAAAGTGTTCACAGATGTCGGAGAGCAGCTTCCTGCATACAGCGAGAGGTAGCCAATCATGGACCCATGCTAAGCTGATTCGGCCGTCCCAGCCAAGTGAGCTCAGGGCGCCCCCTAGATTGGCTCATACTGGCTTCCTTTTTTGCAATTTTTTTAACGACTTTTTCGGTATATAAGTATCTGCATTATAATGAATCTAATTTTGGCATTTTAATTATAAATTCACAAAATTCGCCGTCTTATTACGAGCCCTAATTGTGCAATAGGCATGATGCAAATCTTTTCCCTCACCTCGGTTAGCCTTGAAACACTGGCACTTCCGGTCGGGGGAAGGTACATTTTGAATTTACCGCCCGCCCCACCCGTGCGGGTTATTTTGCCAATTTTTTTTATAAAGCTTGGTATTCTCCATCTTCTTCCGTCTGAAGAACAATAAGTAGCTTAGGGATATTCATATGTCTTACCCAACAACTATTTGAACATCACCCTCGCAAGTCGAGATGGTCCCGAAACCTTTCGAAATGCATTATCGCTCACTACGCTGTCACCAATCCGCCAAAGAGACTCACACTCTCCGGGGCAAATCTTCACGAGCAAACTTGTGATCCAAAGCTATCAGGCAGTTTCTGAAATGTTCCAAGCGTCCAGAATCGCCCTTATCTGAAAAGAAACTTTGGGTCCCGAGACCCCGGGATGCGGCTCAAGCGAGGTTACACGGCCCTGGGAACGTCACGTAGCCAGGAAATGCCTCCCGTAGCCATACAAACAGAGGAAGGTTTACCCACACAAAGCAAGAGGTCCGCGCTATTGCATCGAACCCCATTGATAAGTTATCAAATTGGTGTTTCCATTATGGAATCACAATCGCAGGATGTTCAATCCGCTCTGATGGTAGGTGACATTGTATTCATTTCTATCAAACACACAGATCCCTCTTTACTAACTCTGGCCATTTAGAGATTGCAACAGTTGAAAAGTCAATACGGAAACAATGTCAATCAATTGCCCGAATTTGTGAATCTGGTGAACTTCGTCAACTTCAAGATGAAAAGCTCGAATTTGCCCGCAAATAATGAGATGAACGTTCCTGCCAAACAAGAAGAGCACATCTTCAATCCACTGCAGCTGAAAGTGTTCAAGAACCAGCTTTTGGCCTTCAAATCGCTGGTGAAAAACCAGCCCATTCCCCAAGAAGTTGGCGCGTTTTTGTTCTCAAATGACCAGCAGACTAATTCCGGTGTTTCTCGTGTTAATAATAATGTTGTCCAACAAGGTGGCCCTCAACAGCAGATACAGCAATCGCTACCGGCCCAGGTGAGCAGTATTGCAAATGGAGCAAGTCGTTCTCCTAGTATGAACACTGGACTTCAGCAACAGCAGCAACAGCAGCAACAACAGCAGCAACAGCCACAACAGATTCAGCAGTCTCTTCAACAACCATTGCAACAACAGCCCCAAGTTATACACCCACCCGTGGCAAGACCCAAGACATACCCAAAGGCAGTCCTAGGTTCCACCAGCGGGGTCCCAGTGACTGATCCTTTCGTGCTTGTGAACAACTTTACAATCCCTACACAGTATAATCAGCCGTTTGAGGCGATATCCAACCCCATGACCAAGAGGATAATCCCCAGTTTATACCCCAAACCCATAGACATAAAGGAGGCTAGAGAAGTGAGGGATCTGGTCCAGCAGCTGGCTATAGATCAAGCTGTGGAGGAGTTGGAGTCTCTGAAAGACGTTAATGATGATTATTTGCTGGATTTGAAGGCCTTGAAGCTGTTGCCTATTCAAGTATCCACGAGGGGATATTTATTGAGTGTGATAAACCACCAGAGATCTCTGCTGACCAACTACTTCCCCAATTTCCCGTCTAATCTGCGAATGATCAACGATATGGATTTGAGCATTCTGGCAAACTTAAAGTTGGAGCAGCAAAACTTCAAAATCAAGTTTGAAAAGGGCGAGATTGTCAAAAGACAGAACAACTTAATAATGGCTTCGCAGGACTGGCTGAGCGGTAGAACCGCAAAAACAGACAGAATAGCTAAGTTCGGTAAGCAAGTTCACCAATTTCATGTCTCTGTGGAGAAGGAAGAGTTGAAGAAGCTAGAGAAGAATGCCAAAAAGAGATTGCAGGCCTTGAAGGAGAACGATGAAGAGGCTTATTTCAAGCTTTTAGATCAAACAAAGGATACCAGAATCACCCATTTGTTGAAACAAACAAACGTGTTCCTGAAAACCCTTTCTCAGTCTGTGAAGGATCAGCAGAGAGAGATTGCCGATAAGCCAGAAGATGAACTGACTGAGGAAATGGATGATAGTGTTGATTATTATTCCGTTGCTCATAAGGTGGTCGAAAAGATCACCGCCCAGCCAACAATTCTTGTGGGAGGATCTCTTAAGGAGTATCAACTCAAGGGCCTAGAGTGGATGGTTTCCCTGTACAACAATCATTTGAACGGTATTCTTGCCGATGAGATGGGTCTTGGTAAGACAATTCAAACAATCTCTCTGGTAACATATCTTATAGAGTCAAAACACGTGGAGAGACCGTTTTTGATCATTGTTCCCCTCTCGACCTTGCCAAACTGGAACCTTGAATTCGATAAATGGGCTCCTTCTGTCAAAAAGATCTCGTACAAGGGTGTTCCAGTATTTAGAAAACAGATGGCAGGCGATATCAGAGCGGGCAACTTTCAAGTGTTGCTCACAACATTCGAGTACATCATTAAAGACAAGAGTCTTCTCTCCAAGATTAGATGGTGCTACACTATTATAGATGAGGGTCATAGGATGAAGAATGCGCAATCCAAACTTTCCCAGACGTTGACTGTTCATTATCACTCCGATTATCGTTTGATTCTGACTGGTACTCCTTTGCAGAACAACCTTCCAGAACTATGGGCATTGCTGAACTTTGCTCTGCCTAAGATCTTCAACTCTGTCAAGTCTTTCGATGAATGGTTCAACACCCCCTTTGCTAATACCGGTTCTCAGGACAAGATAGGACTATCTGAAGAAGAAACGCTACTGGTGATCAAGAGACTACACAAGGTGCTGAGACCGTTCTTGTTGAGAAGATTGAAGAAAGATGTTGAGAAGAATTTGCCAAACAAGGTGGAGAAGATCATCAAGTGTAAGAAGAGTTCGCTGCAAATGAAACTGTACAGCCAAATGTTGAAATACAACCAGCTGTTTATCGGTGATCTGAAACCAACCGGTGTCAAAGGTCTGAACAACAAGCTCATGCAATTGAGAAAGATTTGCAACCATCCGTTCGTGTTTGTGGAGATTGAAGATCTTATAAACCCCAACCATGAAACCAACGATGATATTTGGAGAGTCAGCGGAAAGTTCGAACTTTTGGACAGAATCTTGCCGAAGTTTAGAGCTACGGGTCATAGAGTGCTGATTTTCTTCCAGATGACCCAGATCATGGACATCATGGAGGACTTCTTGCGTTACAGACAAATGAAGTACATGAGACTGGATGGTGACACCAAGGCTGATGATCGTACAAGTTTGCTGAAGGACTTCAATGCCCAGGATTCCGATATCTTCATCTTCTTGCTGTCCACACGTGCCGGTGGTCTGGGTCTGAATTTGCAGACTGCTGATACTGTCATTATCTTCGATACAGATTGGAACCCCCACCAGGATTTGCAGGCCCAAGACCGTGCCCATCGTATTGGACAGAAGAACGAGGTTAGAATTTTGAGACTGATCACAGAAGATTCCATTGAGGAGTACATCTTGGAGAGGGCTCACCAAAAGCTGGATATTGATGGAAAAGTCATCCAGGCTGGTAAGTTCGACCAGAAGTCCACTGCTGAAGAGCAGGAGGCTTTGCTGAGATCGTTGTTAGAGAATGAAGAAAGCAAAGTGGAAGAAGAAGAGGATGACATGAACGATGATGAGTTGAACGAAGTTCTGGCCAGAAATGATCAAGAGTTGATCAGTTTCAAGGAGATGGATAATGAGAGAATCAGAAACCAGTACGCGAACAAACCAAGACTGTACACTGATGCTGAATTGCCCGAAATATACAACATCGAGCCCGAAATTGAAACAAACGAGGAAGAAATCACCTATGGTGGTAGAGGCGCACGCGAACGCAAGGTCACACACTACGATGAAAACGTTTCTGAAGAGCAATGGTTGCGGGAGATTGACGGTTATGTCTCCTCCGACAACGAATCCAAGCCCAAACGTAAGCGTGGACGCAAACCCAAGGAACAGTCACAATCCACGAATGGCGAAAAACAGGCAATGGGTGATTTCGTCGTGGATGATGAGGATGAGGGTGTCAAGAGACCTAAGGTGAGCAGATCTCCCTCTGTCAGAGGAAGAGGCAGAGGAGGATTCCGTGGCCGTGGAAGAGGCAGAGGACGCGCGGGTCGTCCATCTCCTTTAACCCGTTTGCATTTGGTCGAGACCGACATCTCGGAAGAGGACAGATTGCGTTTGCAGACAATCACTCAACAGATATACGACTATTTGGTCAACTACAGCAATGCCGAGGGACGTGTTTTGAGTCCAATTTTCATGGTCAAACCCAATAAGAGACTCTATCCTGATTACTATGTGCTCATCCAGTTTCCTATTGCATTTGACATGATTCAAAAACGGATCAGCTCATATGAGTACACCAGCATTGCTCAGTTCATGGAAGATGTTCATCTTATGTTTGTGAATGCCCGGACTTATAACCAAGAAGGGTCGACGGTTTACATGGACGCCATAGAAATGGAGGAGATTTCCATCGCAAAGCATAGGGAACTCACTAGCGAAGACGTTGATTTCAGCGAGTTTGACAAGCTCTACGATCTGAAAGCGTTGATTCCATCTTCTTCGTCAAAGCACTCTAATGTGGATTCCCAAGCTGAATCTCAAGCTGATGCAGTCAAAGCCAATGAGTCCGAGTCTCCTGAGCCCAACGGGCAATTTAGACGAGCTGAGTCTTCCAATGAACCGGATAATCAATTCGAAGTTACCGACTATCAATCAGATCAACAGGAGAGCTCGGAAGTGCCAGATGAGTCCCAAGTAATCGCAGTTGACGAGCAAATATCTGTGCAGGAGGAATCTGCCTCTATTTCTAAGGAACCAACACCTATAGACGCGTTTGGTGATACTGCTTGAAGCAGGAATTGCGTTCATTTATTTTGATACGCATATTACAGGATGTTAATGTTAGGATATACATTTAATACAATTTGCGCTAATGTATTAATCCGAATGGTCGTAGACGAAAGCAAGCAAGATTCTTGAAACTTTACATTAGTGTGACAATTATTCACCATGTATTGTTATGTAAAATGTGTCTATGAACCAATGTTGACTGTAGTATTGATTTTCATGTCTTTTCACCTATGAATCTCCTTCATGCTTCCCATGGTGTCTGATAAGTCGTCCACATGCATTGGTGCATCCGTAGTCGGAGTCAAAGCATCAGCACCCATGCTGTATGAGGCAGCAGATCCATCCTGAGACGATTGGATTACCTGTTTCAAGATCTCAATGGGATCTACGGAGTCCAAGGCAGAGTTGTCACTTTCAGCATTGGAAACAGCCAATTCTTTCTCTTTGAACATGTGATATGTCTCCCAGACGTACCGTTTCGTATAGTGTGCCAAGGCTGCGATCATGCCCAACTGCAAAAAGTTCATACAGCAATTGAACATAGCAAAGTTGTTTGTCTGAGTGCCCAGAATCATCATGGACAGAATCAGACTGCAGGCTGAAAGTAAGATCAATGCTGAAAAGTTTGAAATCGCAATCACAAGGTTGACCCAATTCATCATCACGTTTCGGAATACCCTGTTTCCAACAAGTTGGAACCATAGGGCGAACATTGCCAAATGTAGCTCACACAACGGGGAGAACAGGACGGAGAAAGATGAGAGATATTTCATAATGCTCGAGTACACAGCAGCTTTGGTCATTGGTGCAACCTGGGATGTGTGCATGTACAGAGGCTCCACCTTCTCTTTGATGAACAAGATAGACGGCAAAGTATGGTCGATAAAGTTCATAGGACCAGACCACAGCATATCATAGGCAATATTGCAATTTGGCGGGCCCATATGACTGAAATCCTGAGGCCGCGTTGTGAACGAATGCTTGAATTCAATGTTGACCAGACCGGTGCCGGGGTAAGAGAAGCTGCTGTTGTCTATGAGATATCTCATGGGAGTGAGCTTCAAGGAGATTTGCCTGTAGTCAATCATGAACGATGGCTTGATGAGTGAAACCATTGGATCTCGCTCACCTTGAAACGACGCCTTTTCTTCTTCGAAGATTTGTCTGAGGACAGTGAAGACGTTTGAGGTGTTGAAGGGGACAGTCTTGCCGCCATATGGGAATGCGCCACTGGGATGAAACTGTTCTCTGTTCAGGGCACTCGAGAGGCTAAACAAGGGTAGATCGTTCACAAACGTAGTTTGGTAGAAGAAGTTTTGGGCGCAGATCACGTTCAGGCAAATCGCCAGACCCAAGACTAACAACGCCCTGTCGAATGGTCCCTTTTCAATTTTCAGTTTGGGCCGCGCCTCCCACCACTCATTGGCGCTAAAGCGAGGCCTTTCATAGAGCTTACGAAGGAGTGCTGATGCCATTTTTGATTGAGTTTAGTGTGTAGAATGAGGTGATAAATCGTAACCGCTTGAATCCAAGCTTATTAAACGCTCAAAGGCGTGCGGCGTGCGGCGTGCGGCGCACCATTTCTGCATGCAAACTCGAAGATGCATAAATTATCCCACAATCAGCTAAAGCTCAAAATTATCTTTTTGAGCAACAGGTATTTGTTTCGTCAGCCCATATTATAAATATATATCACGGTTGGCGACACAATTGTCTTCTCCAAAACTGATGGTTTACGTAAAAGTGTGATTACCATTTTGCGTCCCTGAAAATTGAAGACCCATCCTGAAAACGAACGCAGCCTGCTCTACATATTTCAGTTGAATCCAAGCATCAGAACACGCCGTCCCGAGATGTCCGTTGTCAAGAAAGAGAGAGTCAAGCAGGTGCCGAAGTTTATGCAGGCTACTGTGTCTTGTGGTCAGCAATCAATTTTGTACGGTCAATGTATTATGAAACACTATCAGAATATGTCCAAGGACGCCTGCGCCGCTGAGTTTAGTGCTTATAAGAAGTGTGTGCAGACGGTGCTGAGCAGGAAATGGTGAATTTTAGGATAGCTCAGCAGAAGGTGACTGGATAATGGCAAAATAGCAAAATTTGTACATAATGAAATGCTATGAACTCTATACATGACCGCTATGCTCAAGTTCCATCTTCAACCTCTTGAACGCTTTCTTGCTGGTCTTTCTGCCAAAAAACTTTTTATACAGCTTGGATAAGGCAACAAACCAGACTGTGTGGCCAAATTGCAGAACAGCATAGTTGACTGCTGCCATAGCTACAAGTATCAGCTTGAAACTCCAAGAGGTGTATGTCAAGTCCATCAGATCTCCCAAGCTGCTTTCTTGTGGTATGAGAAGAAGCAAAGCCGAAATCAGGAATGCACACACAATATTCACAATGAAAGGAACGTTCTTGGTCGCAGGTTCTCTGTATGGTGGACCCACGGTAAGTACTATTGCAGCCAAAATGTACTGGAAGTTTGCGAAAGCAAAGAGCGCGGTGTTGTCTGTGGACTTGACTGCATCGTCGTTGCCAGGGATTGGCTTCAAGTACCAGTCGGTATCCTGACAAATGTTCCAGACTATCACCTGAAAGATAAGCAGAATCGCAATGTCTCCCATCAAGGGTATCAAGATTTTTGGCGAAATCAGATTTGCAGTGGGTCTTTTCTGACACAGAATTGGGAAAGGCTTGGACCAAGACATGAATATAGCTATGGGTAATATCAGAAACATATCAATGTATAAGAATTGGAAATCCCCCAAATTAGTACCCCTTTTGTAGAGAATCGACACCGAAACAAATTGAATGGCAGAGTATAACGACATGAACTGGAAGCACGAAAAACTCGTCACCAACGATGCCCGGCCTTCTTTGATAACATCCAGAACGCACGAGATCTCGAACAGACGCGAGGTAAAAGGAGCAGCAACTGAAGCCTCAGCTTCACTTAGCGATATCCCAACATCTGCGGCCTTCAAAGCACCACAATCGTTAGCACCATCGCCACAGAAACCGACAGTATAGTCCAGTTTCTTCAGCTGTTCCACCAATTCGTGTTTTTCATCAGGAGACATTCTAGTGAAGATGTTGCCCTTCATAAGCATTTTCTCAATGAGCATATCCTGGTCCTTCAGTTCTGTCAATATGTACTTGAAGACATCACCCGTGACTGCCAGACAGAAGTGTGAGGACTGATCTGGTGATAGTGGTTCCAATGTGACTGGATCCAATTGCAGGTCTGGATTATCCACTTCTTCCCACACAAACGGAGATCCCTCGTCATTCGGTCCATCAACAAACACAGGAAGATACACCGCACTTTCGGGGTCCACCAAGCAGCATTCTCTGGCAACGCTGATGGCCGTGAGAACGTTATCACCAGTGCACATTATACATCTGAGATTTGCATCTGACAACTGTTTGAGTGAGGCTTTCGTCGAGGGCTTCAGCTTATTTTCAAACACGATAAACCCCAGAAATTCCAGCTCGGTCTCGCAGTCCTCTCTCTTCAGATCCTTGACGAATCTGAGGTCGTTTCTCGAAGGACTGGCATTCAGAGTCTTTCCAGCACACGCAATTACTCTGAAACCGTTATGGGTATAATGATGGAGAAGCTCCTCGTAATCTTCGGGAAGAGTTTCTGGATTGCAAATTTTCTCGATAACCTCTGGAGCACCCTTGACGTAAGCCATGAGAGCGTTACTCGATCCAACGGCCTGGGTAATGACGGCCATTCTTCGCAGATGCGAAACAAACTCAAACTCCTTGATAAGAATGAAATGGTCATTATGTGAAGACTCGGGCGATATTAGGCTTGGTGTCAAGCCATCGGGCACGTCGTAATGGCTGTAGAATTCCAATAGCTGCTCATTACGCTCGTCCTCGGTCATGATCCAATTGGTGAATTCAAACATTTTGTTATCCAAAGGATCGCCTATGAGCTCTCCATCCACACTCTTCAGAGAATGACAATTCAGCATGGATGCAAACAAATTTATGGCTCTGTTTCCAGCAGCCTTCTCGTGAGAAAGGGCCTCCAAGGACTCACCCAGCAATTCAAAGGACGCTGTCTTCAGCAGCTCCAGATTGCTCGATATAATTGGACAGAATACGGAAGACTTGCGATCAGGAAGGGGAACAGGCATGTGAATTCCAAGAACATCCAAACCATCTTCGGTCAAGGTACCGGTCTTATCGAAGCACATCACGTCAAGCTTACCACCCACATTCACGCGGGTAGGCGATATACAGAATATCTGTTTCTGTCTGAGTCTTGACAGTGCGAAACTTGTGCCAATGGTGAGAGTGGCAGGCAGAGCAGGAGGAACAACGATCGTGATCAGATCCAGAGCCCGAAGAATGATGATTTTAGGACCCAGACCGAGCTTAATGAAATTGATAGTGGAGAAGATGAACCCAATTGCGGCAATTATGGTCATGACTCCAATGTATCTAAACGAGTCCTCGTAGAACTTGAATCCTGTAGGTTTGGGGAACAGCATCGACCTTACCAAAGCACCTTTGGTGGTGTTGAAGCCGGTCTTGACTACCAGTGCAATTGAGGCCTCATCGGCACTCGCCTTGCGCGAACGTATAACCTTGGTACCACTGTAAAGAAACGACTTTGCGAGTGTCTGTGAGAACTTTGGTCTGCTAAATTCGAACTCCAAATCACTGGCAACGTTCTGCGTGAGAGCCACCTTGGACACAGGCACAGACTCACCTGTGAGCATGGACTCATTCACTATACAATCTCCCGAAAGAAGAATGGAATCGCAGGGCAATAGACTGATGGAAGGATCTGAAACCTCAAAGATATCACCAGGCACCAAATCCTCGGAACTGACCTCTTTCCAGAACTCGTTTCTGCACACTCTGACAGAGCACGTGAACCTGGAGATGTCCTTGAGTCTTTTCATAGTTTGTCTGGTTTCTATCAAGGTCTGGACGATAGAGACGATGGAGATCATGAAAATGCAAAAGGCATAATAGTAATAATCATCCAGTAGCCATAGCACTATGGAGAATACCTGGAACACATAGAACGGATGCAACACCTCGTCCAGAAGCAATTGACTGTTCGATTTGTCGCGAATGTTGATCACGTTCTCGCCAAATATCGTTCTTCTGAGCTTGTAAAAGTCTTCTGAAAGACCGCCTTTAGAGGATTCCAGATCACACCAGCGTTCATCGATCCAGTTGCTGCTTACCTTGAACATGTCCTCCACCGGGGAATAGTACAATTTCATGTATCGGTACTCAAAAGAGATCAGGACCGGAATAAGAGGATCAGAATCAATTTCCGGATCCTCGAAAGGCTCTAAAACAGCCTCCTCGGTGGGCTTGCCCTCTGGATCGTGGTCCTTGAAGTTCTTGGAGAGATAGGTGGATAATGGCTGATTATACCATTGTCTGTTGATGTCTATTATCTCCAACTCGCCAAACTCGGTCTCCACAATGCACCAATCAGATTTTCCCAAAGGTGAAGGATTTCCCATCATTTTGACTCTATACCGGGGCAACCATCTGAGAAGCAGGTACCCCAGACCTGCAGTCAGAATGCATACCATATAGTATGCAAAAAGCTTCTTTCGAGACGTACTGTAACCTGCAATTCCAACAACGAGATCCTCCTCGGCGATATAGAACCTCTGGTAGTGCAAAAGTGCGGGATGGCTGGGAAACACTTCGTCATGGTGCTTGACTTCAGTCTTGAGGGTGCCAGGCTGATATTCCCTTCCACTCAGCGAGGATTGTACATCAGAATGATAATCGGTATCGTATAGCAAATGGGTTGATGAGGCGGCATCCATTGACCCATAATCAGCATTAGGCGAGCCTTGGGTGCTCCTTGTGGCTTTATCTACCAAGGAGCCTCTTCTTCCATAGTAGTCCGTGTAGTCGTCTTGGTACGAGTTCCAGTTTGTGTCATAATCAATTGGAGCCTCAGAATTTTCAGCATTTTCCATTGTGGACACTCCCTGAGCATTTTCAATTTCTTCGGTGGTAAAATAACGGAAGTTCAGTCGGTCTGTCTCAACCGAGCTTGATCGGGACGGGGTTTCCTCATAATCGGCGTCAATGTTGACATTCCTTCCTCTCCCACTTTCTGTAAGTTCCAGGCCACTGTCTAGCTGATTTGCCGTAGAATACGACAATCTCGGCGACCTGTAGTTACCCTGGTGATGGTGATGGTGGAACGAAGAAATCGAGGACGGAATCACTTCCGAGGCAGCTCCAGAGTACATCTCGTGATCGTTGTCGTCCAGCATATTGGAGGCATTGTCCGGTCGGGAGCTTCCATAGGACGAGATCGACTCTCTGTGCCTGGAAGAGGACCTCCTCGGATTGTAGGGTTGTCTTGAAGAGTAGGATGCCATTAGTTCATGATCTGTGGGACGGTGCGGAAATGGAGGACGCTATTAACGAAAATGGTTTGAACGTGGCAAATCTCCTCTAACACACTTTCCCAAAACAAAGAACTTCTTGCTATGTTCAAACAAACAGAAAATGCTGGACTTTTCACGGTGTTAAAAGGTTGTGCTGCAAGAGCCATGCGCCTTGCATCAAACGTTTCTGACCTGCGATAACCAGAAGCGGGAATGGGTTTCCTACGAGAGGAATAGATAATAGATAGCATTGAATGCGTATTTAAATAAGGATATACGGATTATGGCCCATTATTGGTTAAAACGCCGAAATAATAGACAGGAAATTCAAGTTTTTATTCGTATCAAAGAAAAACTCCAGAAAAAACAAAAACCAAAGACTTAATTGCAAGATAGTCATGACTCATGAGACTATCGCTATCTTCATGGTAACAGCAGGCGCAAACCTCTAATCTTATTCCCAGGCCCCAAAAAAAATTCAAAAAAAAAAACAAAAAACTAAAAAAAACCTCCACAGGTGTCCACATCAATGGCATGTTGCAAAAAGTGCACACAGAAGTCGATATAAAAATGTGATTAGTTGTGGTTCCACTGGCGAATCACTCGTATCGTCATGCAATAACTCAGACCATCGCCACCAATCAACACCTGGTAGTCTTCTCGTTCTCCAGATATGCCAAGATCTAGGCTTTTCTGGAGCTCAAAAACGAAGGCTTTGGCAAAGACACGGCAGACGGTGACTCGTGAAAAGAAGCTCCGGCATACACGAACTCTCCAGAAGCGGTTCTGACATGTTCGGCCGGTTTTTCAGCCTTTTTTGATGATTTCGCTGCTGGCTTTGCAGATTTTGGTTTCTTTTCCTTCTTGGGGGTCTCATTTGATGAACCATTACCGAAATCAGGGACGCTCCCGTCTGGAAGGGTTCTGTCCGGAAGACCCTTGTCTCCTTTCTTTCTGCTTTCTTTGGGTTTCGATAGAAGTAATGTCTTCAAATCACCCGTGTGTTTCTCCACGGCGCCATTCTTTGTTTTCTTTTGTGGAGTTGAACGGTCTTTGCGGCGATTCGAGTCAGACCCCTTGGGGTTGACTGGGTCCTTTGGCTTCGCTCCGAATCCAAAGTCGGGCGCACTGCCATCCGGCAACAAGCCTGCGGGAGGAATGTGCACAGAATCTTTGGAGGGCTTCTTCTTGGTGTTTTTCGTCTTGATTGTGGCAGCCGGAGTTGTGTTCGGCTCCGACAATTCCTGCCTAGCAGGTGATTCATGGACCATCATATTCTTGATCTTATATTATCAAATGAGTCTGTCTGTAGCGGGACAATGAGTATAATAACCTTTGCAAACAACTTTGTATCATTTGAGTTCGGACAACAGATTTGGTTGGGTGTCTTGTTGTTTATAAGGTGTTCCAGAGCAGTATCTTTTTGCTACAGTCGCTTGAGGTTTGCCATCACGATGTGCGTGGGAAACTCAAAACAACACGTGACTGATTTGAGAACGTGTGATCATGGATTTTGGTTGTAATCTTGAAAACAGAGTGCCTTATTAGATCCCCTGTTATCCCGTTCTTTCATGGTATTGCATAATAATAAGTGGGATCGGAAGGCTAAGAGGAACTACGTGCGAAAACACGGGCTGGGCACGGAGGGCTCAGGAGAACAGCCCGTAGAAGATCCTGAAGAGGTTGGGAGTGATGTTGTGGAGTTCGATTCGAACTCATGGAGGTATAGAAAGCCCAAGAAAGAGGCTGATGGTGATAAGCCTGATAATACCGTGGAGTTGGATAATAGCCAGGACAGCCAAGTGGAAGAAAAGAATTCAGACCAATCAGACGACGACCAGATGTCAGACATAGATGACGATATACGAAAGCTGGTCATTGACAGTCTCGCTCAAAAGGATGCTGCTGTTTTTGAGGCAAATCCCAGGCGGTTGAGTATTTCGGATTATTTGGAATGGTCCGAGGAAAAGGTGGGGACAACGCCACAACTGAAGAACCGGATTTTGACAGAAGACGAAAAACAGGAGTTTTACGAGTTAGAGAGGAAAATCGAGGAACAGAGGTTTCATAATGACGTGAGGGCAAAATTCTCAGTCAAACAGAAAGAGTTCAAGGCTCCCCGCAAGCCTAAAGTGATGGACCTCTCCAGGCAGGGTGATGATAATTATAGAACTGTGGTGGACCAGAAACTAGACAAGGCTTCTGTATGGACCACAAAGGCCACTCAAAAGCAGCTGGATGATGATCTGGAAGAGCTACTGGGAACTCCTTTAGAGACTTCTACAAGTTCAAGGGTTGATTTGGATGATTTGCTGAATCTTAAGCCTCCAGACAAGCTTAAAGTTCAGCCGCACGCTCGTGACGTCACAGCTCCAAAGCCAGGCGTGGAGAAAGATGATAACGACGAATTTTTGGATGAACTGTTGGGCGATTGAGGCCTCTGGAGTAAAGATAGATAATGTGATGTTTTTGATGTAAATATATTGAGTATTCATGGTTAATATCCAAACTTAAGTGCCAATTTCATGCTTGCTGATAGCCCAATCTGAAAACATCGCTGAAAGCCTATCCCAGAAAGGTTACCCGGCCTGTAAATTTTTTTTTATCAGGCAGGTACACTACCGACACCTTGAAGAACCTTTTCAGAGCTTCTGCGTTATCAACATAGTCCATTGAGCAACGTTTTTTAGTTACCATACTAAACATATAGATCATGTCCGTGTCTGCTTCCAAGGCTAAGAGAGAGGCCAAAAGACTTGCCGCTGGTAAGAAGCCCAAGAAGGCAGTCAAGAGCGACGCTGAATCTGCCGCAGAAGAGATTGCCAAACTGAAGTTGCAACAAGACAAGGATGGTTTGTCCGATCGTGTCACCACTGGTGTTCTGGACTCTTTGGCCACCTCCAGAGATATCAAGATTTCATCCCTGTCGCTTTTGTTCCATGGTAAAGTGTTGATTCAAGATTCCACCTTGGAGTTGAATTACGGCCGTCGTTACGGTCTGCTTGGAGAGAACGGTTGTGGTAAATCCACTTTGTTGAAGGCTATTGCTGCCAGAGAATTCCCAACTCCAGATGCAATTGACATTTACTTGCTGAACGAGCCTGCTGAACCAACCGAGTATTCTGCGTTGACATACGTTGTCCGTGAGGCTGAGAACGAGCTGGCCAGATTGGAGAAACAGGTCGAGGACATCATCGTTGAGGATGGTCCCGAGTCTCCAGTCTTGGAACAATTATATGAGAGAATTGATTCTATGGACCCAGCCACGTTCGAATCCAGAGCTGCCGTTATCCTGACCGGTCTGGGTTTTAACTCCAAGACCATCAAGAAGATGACCAAGGACATGTCTGGTGGATGGAGAATGCGTGTTGCTTTGGCAAAGGCTTTGTTCGTGAAGCCCACTCTGTTGTTGTTGGATGACCCAACTGCCCATTTGGATCTGGAGGCCTGTGTTTGGCTGGAAGAGTACTTGAAGAAGTTTGATCGTACCTTGGTTCTCGTTTCTCACTCCCAGGATTTCTTGAACGGTGTTTGTACCAACATGATCGACATGAGAATGAAGAAGATTCTGATGTACGGTGGTAACTACGACTCGTATGTCAAGACCAGAACCGAGCAGGAGACCAACCAAATGAAGCAGTACCAAAAGCAACAGGATGAAATCGTCCACATCAAGAAGTTCATTGCTTCGGCCGGTACCTATGCCAATTTGGTCAGACAGGCCAAGTCGAGACAGAAGATTCTTGACAAGATGGAGGCTGATGGTTTGATCGAGGCTGTTGTTCCTGACAAAGTGTTCTCGTTCAACTTCCCAGAGGTCGAGAAGCTGCCTCCTCCAGTTTTGGCTTTTGACGACATCTCGTTTGCCTACGATGAAAAGAAGGAGAACAACCTGTACACCAACTTGTCGTTTGGTGTTGATATGGACTCGCGTGTTGCGTTGGTGGGACCTAACGGTGTGGGTAAGTCCACCCTGCTGAAGCTGATGACCGGTGAATTGACTCCACAAAGTGGAAGAGTGTCCAAACACACACACATCAAGATGGGTGTTTACTCGCAACACTCTGCTGACCAATTGGATCTCACCAAGACTCCACTCGAGTTTGTTCGTGACAAGTTCTCTCACATCTCTCAGGACTTCCAATACTGGAGAGGCCAGTTGGGCCGTTACGGTCTTACCGGTGAGGGTCAAACCTCCCAAATGGCTACTCTTTCCGAAGGTCAGAGATCCAGAGTTGTGTTTGCGCTTTTGGCTCTTGAGGCCCCTAACATTCTGTTGCTGGATGAGCCTACTAACGGTCTGGATATCCCAACCATTGACTCGTTGGCTGACGCTATCAACGCCTTTAACGGTGGTGTGTGTGTCGTTTCGCACGATTTCCGTCTTTTGGACAAGATTGCGAAGGACATCTTCGTGGTTGAGAACCAAACTGCCACCAAGTGGGAGGGTTCTATCTTGGACTACAAGAAGAAGCTGGCAAAGAACATTGTTGTTTGATGGTGGTTCTGTATTGGACTATAAGAAGCTGATCATGAACATTGTTTGATGGTGGTTGGTTCAAAATCGCATTCAGTCGTTTTCTAGTGTTTTTATTGTTTTACGTTAAACTTTATACAGGTTGAGCTTGCTGTAGCCGGTAAATATTAAATAAATATTTCAACCGTTAAACCTCCAAACCGACCCCATTCCGAGGATATTTCCGGAGAGCATCGCCTTCTCCTGCGACGACGCGTAGGAAAGTCGCGACAGGGGAAGGATCTCATTGCTCCACAAACCGTCCCTGATACCCAGCAATTGCATTTTAAAGGGCGATTTTGCCTTGTTCTATTTGTGGAGTCTAATCTCTTGTATTTAGCCTCTTGTTCACAGATTTTCTGTTATCGACCTGGCCTACTGGATTCTACTATAACCACGATGGCCAGCATAGAGGTACCTCTAGCCAGGGACCAGCGATCCAGCGATATGGAGAGTTTTTCACCAGTTATAGATAGTTTGGAGTTTCATGAGGGTGTTGCCATTTCCACGGCGAATGAACCCTTATCTGAGTCCATGTCTGACTCTGTCTCCTCCTTCGCAGATACCTTGAAGATAGATATGACAGAAGACATGGTTCTATCCATGCAGCATGATAGGCTGCCGAGTTTTGTTTCCGAAACTAACGAATCTGGTCTATCGCCCATCAAGGTCTCGGGGTCTGGAGATTCGTTTCCGAAGAGAGTTTTGACACCATCGCGGAGTCGAACCTTGCGATCCAATGTACGTGACAATGTTGAGCAGTCAAGTTTTGCAAAAAGCCAAAAGAGCCCCACAAAAGGAGCTTCAATATTGGATAATGAAGAAATACGACATCCCAGTCTTAACTCGGGCCATTTCGCGACTCCAGTGAGGAAAAGGGCACATTCATCATCAAGCTCGGTGTCAGGAAACACACCGAAATACACTACGCCTACCGGACCGGAGTCTCTAAAACGCGTCACTTTCATGAAGGGTGTTGAATATGACCCGCCTACTTCTTCTCCTACCAAAAACCTGACGCCTTCTCGCTCAATTCTCAAACAACGCATCTTCGAGGACGACGAGTTTTCCGTTCAAGACTCCAATCTGGAGGCCAACGAATCCTGGATACCCGGTTCTATTATCCAATTGGAGCCATCGTCTGAACGAACAGCTTATGTTGTTCCAGGCTGTATCAGGGCATTATCAACTCCAGGGTTCGAACACCGTTTCGAAGCATATGCCTCTATCAATTACGCTATCAAGATCAACACTGCTGATTTCATGGTGAGAATCATCACGCCGAGACTGAATGAGCTTATCGCTCTAATTGAAGCTGATACAAAAGGGTTCATTGCAAAAGTTCAATCTGAAGTTGGAACGGACGCATTTGAGTTGAGGGCCGAGGTCCAGACGGTGAAAATACTAGGGTTTCTGCTATCCAATCAGCACTTGTGCACCCTTATGGAACCAGCAACTCTACGAGGTTTCCTTGCAAGTGCGGTTCATGTCCTCAGCAACTCAACATTTTCAAAGAGCATAGTGGCAGCGTATCTTCAGGTGATACGAGACCACAAGGTGCCGAACGGTATAGTTGGGCATCCACTATCGGAGTCGCTTCTGTTCGGCGTGCTCAACATCAAAGCCATGAACAGCGTCAGCTTAATGATAGAGCAAATAGCGACTTTGAGAAACTTTGTGGCCAAAAATCGCCAGATAATGGCAAAGAACATCGCAGTATGGTTCAACTTCGTGTGTGGTTGTCTTTGTGATGTCGGACTGGGAGGAAACGACAAAGTGGTAAGAATGGTCTCGTTATTGCTGGTGGATATGGTAGTCCAATTTGAAGATATTCCAGCAACCAGGACTATGGTATTTGATTTTCTAAACGGAACCATGAAAGAGAGCAACTTTGAAACCAAACTTCTTCCCAATGGGGACCACCTTAGGTCCAGCATCACGATAATTGAGTTCCTTGCTGATAGACTCAAGAAGCTGGTACTTAGAGGAAACTATTCCGTTGCAATGACCATATGGTCTCACGTCACGCTCCTTCTAAATAAGTTTACCTGGCAGGATGGAATTGAAAGCTGGGGAAAGGCAAAGTGTTGGATCGAGGTGTTCGTTCAATGTTACAAGTATAATGAGCAAGCTGCTTGTGAATCGCTGAAGGCGTGGACTACATTTGTTACCATGATTTCGGGATCATTTCCAACTGGTGGAGACCTCTCCATCATCCCTGCTGGAGTGAAAGAAAGATTGGGCTTACTAGTGTCTCCGTTCAAATTATGCGATCAATACGCTACCATTGAGGTTTCCCAGCAGTTTGACGACCTCTATAGACGCATATACATGTCTATCACCAAGACTTATATGAGAAAGTCCACTTCCAAAGACTGTTTCCCGCTGGTTAATGTTTTATGGGAATGCTGCATGTCCCCACCCCTCACATCCTTCTATTTCACAAAAACCGCTGCGACTCAGAGAATTTCACTGGGGGTTTCTATGGTATCTGCCATGTTCAATGGTCGTTCAGCAAACTCAATGCAGCAAAAGTCTGCGAAAATGCTGAGGACTGGCTTTACAACTGGCCAGGAATTGCTGCCGTTAAGTCAGCGTTGGATGATATCTGCCGAGCAGGCTCTTGCCAGCTTGATTGCAGACGCTTTCGGTGCTCTAAATATGACGAAAGAAGAGCGGAGAACCCTTCTAAATACTTACATGGCAGCCATGTCGAGGATTGTGCCGTTTGTCCAGAATGCGCAGAAGGCTTTCTTCCTGAAAGTCATATATCATACTCGATTCCTCGTGAAAGAGCTGGTCGAATATACCAAAGAGAAGGAGTCATTTACTCCCGATGAATGCATAAGAATACTGCTATCGATCAAAGACAACTTCAACATCGAGAGTATTGTTTTGGAAAGTGCTGGTTCTCCTTCGTGTTGTGCTACTATGGTTTCTTACTTCTTGGACTCGGAGGAGCTGGCGTTGGAGCTATGTGAGACTATGATGCCCATTCTGGGAAAGAAGGATTTGGTATTTTACTCAACCATCGTGGGACTCAAGAAACCATTTTTGAATGACTTTGTCATTCGCAGGTTGAAACAGTACTCGCTCTCCAATAAGAGCGATCTGAGTCTGCTTGGCCATATCATTGGTAACCTCGATGCTAACTCTGAGTTCATCACTGCGCTGTTGAAAGCGCTACCAAATGTATCTGACCCATCGATAGTACCAAGGATTAATCTTGAGAACTGGAACTTCCAGTCAATAATGATGTTTTTCGAAATTTCCAAAGTGTTCAAGAGTGGTGACAAGACCAAGTCTTTTGCGCTTTTGTGGAAGCCCTGGGTATCTGTTTTGCAAAAGACGTCCGTTGATGAGATATTGGAGTATTTGGGACCAGAAAAGTTTCTTGACTCTTTGCCGAGTGCATTTTACCTAAAAGTGATCTCAAATCTTCTGCTTAGTGAGCTCAGTTCGAATCAGGTTGGCAAAACAACCACGCTAGTATCGAGCTGGATAAGCTTTTGCGAACGATCTTCAAAAGAAAATGTGACAATTGAGACTTTCAAGCTTCTCCGTGATCGGTTGGAGAAATTTCCTGATGAAGGCATTGTGGAGAACGTGCCTGGCTATTTGAACTGGAGTGGTTCTTCGCGGATATGTTCCCCATTGAAATCAAAATCCGAAGATGAAGACGGGTCTGGAAATGATTCTACATCCGCAATTGATTCTATTCCTTCTCAAATTTCCACGGAGCAAATTTCCATTGAGCCCTGTAGGTCTGACGAAGTTACCAAATCCGGCCCGGCTCATGTTTCTGCCGTGGTTGATGTTCCTGCTTCCAACTCAGATCAAGGAAGCCCTCCTCCAAAGAGATCGCACGATGCTTCTGTGGTCTCCCTTTCGGATTCAAGTGACAATTGGCAGGAAAAAGTTGCGAAAAAGCAACAACTAGGCGATGTTAGAGATGAAAATGGATCACAAAAGGAGCCGCTTGCTCCATATACTACTTTGACCAGTTTTGATGAGGCTCTTCAGGCGCAATTGGTGCCCTCGCCCAATCTCCAAAGTCCCTGGAAAACTCTTGATGATTTGGTTCGTGAGATCTGCGAGACGATGCCCGAGGGACTGAGCAGTGAAGGCAAGGTTGAACTCGAGAAAAACATGCTACGATTACTTTTCAAATTGAAAACTTCAGGTGTGCACTAGAGCTATAATGAACTACAATAAAGATTTTCAGTTTGTGCGTAAACCCAACTTTTGGCATGAAAGGCAAGATCCCAATAGAACGTGCCATGAAAGGGCATGTTTCAAACACGTTAGTCAACCCTCATTCAAATTAACAAAGCGTTCAATTTTATCAAACTTGTTCGATACCAGTCTCTCTTTCTTGGACTATTCGAGTTAAGCTTGATGAAACTTTTTTCCCGGCCTCCTTTCCGGTCGCCTTTCCGGCTTCTTTTCAGCTCTCGCTATCAAACCGAGCCAGCCCACTCAACAACTCTACCCCCACCGCGACGGAATCAACAAATTTGATTCCAGGAAAAACATCTTTGAACTGGACATCCAATCCACTCAAACCAGCACATCCCAACAAGATGATCTTGGCACCTTCATCAACCAACTTCTGAACCTTTTTCTTCAAGCCCTCAAACTTGGCAGGATCCCTCAATTCCAGGACATTCACGTTGGCAGCTACCGTAGGGAGGCAGAATGAAGGCAATGACCTGCTTGAGTCTGTAAAAAGATTCAAAATGTAGTTAGCAGCCGTTGAGAGAGGATCTTGTAGATAACCGAGTAAAGGCAGAGAACTGAAGTTTAAACGCTTACCTGATGGACCATACAGGAAATCCAGAATTGCATCATCCAGAATCTTCTCCCAAGAGCTAGTGGAGGTCAAAATTGCAAACTTGTAAGCTGAACCAGCATATGCTAGAGAATACAGCATCGTTGCTTGGAAAATTCCCAGAACCGGTTTGGTAGTTACCTCACGCAATTTATAAATTAAGGGATGATCTGAATAGCAACAGACGAGGTATCCATCAAATCTACCAAGGTATTTCTCCTTGAGTATTGGGAAACACGCCTCTGTTGATTGGTGTGAGGTTTCAGGTCCATCGATCTCTGGTGGAGCGGACGAAGGACCTGTGAAGAACTGGAATTCTATTTCGGGAATGGGCTTGAGAATCTGTTCCAAGTTATCGGTCACCGACTTGGAGGAGTTAGGATTGATGATCAGTAGGGTTTTTGCGGTCATTTTATCTTTGGTAGAGGAATAGTTAAAAGAGAGATCAACCTTATGAAGCTGGAGTCGGAAATCGTATCAACGGAGGCTGCCAAAATGGTGCGCCGCACAAAAAGTGGGCTGCAGAGGTGGAGGTGGAGGAGGAGGCACGTACATTTTGCGGAGTACATATGGTGGATTACAGACAGCTTAGCGGAAACACACGACGAATGCATAATCTCAAATTCTTTCTATAGATAATAGTTGTCCATGATATTCCTATTATAGAGCACATCCAGGCCTCTTTCAGGAAACTCGGTTTTCTCGCCCCAAGCATGCATGCAGAGGTCCAACAGCTGATAACTAGACACCGAGAAAACCACTTCTGCTAGTCCGGTACTCATGTTTCTGATAAACTCTCTATCTTCCTGCCGTGTAGAGGCACAGCCTATCATTGCAATTGGCCAAAAGATTGTGCAGCCGGTACAACCGGTATCACCACCGAGAGGAATCTTTTCCAGCCAATTCCTTCCATCATCCACACAAGTGCGAATTCTGATATCATTTTCGCTGATATCAGGATGTAGAGCCTTCAAAAGAAGAATTCTTGCTCCGTTTTTCCATACCATTGCGGCATCGTGGTGGGCTTTGAGAGAACGGCCTTCAGATAGTCCTGCGAGTGTATCCGGCATACCAGGGAATCGCCAATCATCCAGTTCCTTGAGCAGACCATTACCTTCATCTGCATCACATATTCCAGTGCTAGAATGCTGGCGGAAAAACCACGAAATTCTCTCCACTATTTCGAACAAAAAGATGGAACCACCTAGAACTGGATTGTTCACCCACACGATTTCACTTCTATAGATCGGAGTGATCAAAGACTTCAAAAGATGGCGAAATACACCTCTGGGAAGATATTTCTTCAATCCCTCGTCGGAAACAAACAAAATTCCGGTAGCATAGTGGTACAAAAACGATTCCAAAGACGATCTTTCATCGGGCACCATCCCCAATTTGGGCCCTCCGGTCAACATCTTTTGCTTCTCCCTCTCTTTGATCATGAGATAAAGACCATGGAGGTGTTTCATCGACTTAGTCACAGAAGTTCCTCGGTGTTTCTCGAATATCAACAGGATTGGAAGGGCCGATAGCAACCAGCTTTCTGTTCCGTTGATCTTCTGGTTGTTGATCTGGGTTTTGAGATTCATCACGCAACATCTGTAGTACTTGAGACTCTCATCACGTGTAGCTGCATTTCCAAATCCCATGACTAGAGCACCACATGCCACAAACAGATCAAGCACCATCGAGTTGTTGGTGACATGGGGCACAGCCACAGAGTAAGCCTTCAACGCAGAATGTGCATATGGAAGCGTGATCGATGGTACAAACCGATGGATGAACGAATGGTACATTTTTGCTTCTACTCGCGAAAGTCTGTTGCCAGGAATCCAAGTTGTATAAGTAGAAAGCACCGGTACGGTTATGCATCTCTGGAGTGTGGCTTCTGGAATGTGAAGATCGGTAGCTTCAGGCTGTGGACCTCCTGATCTTATCGAAATCTGGTCATCCTCTTTGAGATCGTCCTCTATACTGAAGAAATGGTCATTAGCAAAATAGTTGATGAACCTGATCTCGTCAAAGTACTTCATATTCGGATTGGTTTCACTAGTCTGCAGCGAGGGGTTTCCGAATCCTTTCCTCAATGCTTCAAACCCATCGGGGGTGCTCATTTGCAAGTCCAGCTCGACATTAACGGATTGTTTGGAAACGACTGATTGTTTGATCGATTTCACGCTCACTGTGAGCTTTTGTTCTACTTCTTTCGTGGGGAAGCCTTTGTGATGCTGGATCTGAAGCTCTGGCCACGTACACGCAAGCCGAAGTCTCTGGCAGAGACTACACACTGGATGGGTTTCACTGCACTTCTTTCGTCTTGTCCTGCCTGCAAAGAGTTAGTGGTACTTCGAGAAAGCGATCTGGTGGGCGGACTTACAGGAAAGGCATCCGTTCTTGGATCTGCTGACTCTGGATGGGGACTTTCTGGAGATCATCAATGATTTGAAGAAACGAAGAATGAGCCGATCTTTGGATCATCCAGAGAAAAGAGGAGTAAACGAGATCAAGGGATGAAATCAAGTCTTATCGCTTTTCAAACGATTGATCCGCACCGCCACATGACTGGCGCACTCCACCTGCAATGCATTCCGTTTCCGTCTGCGTTGAGCCTTCTTATCGTGATGCGCCGTCGGGTGTGGCGGTGCGTCAGTGGCACAGTAACGATTCAACAGAATTAGTCCTAGACCGAGACATTTCTCGCCACTAATTACTACTTAAGTCCGATGCTTTGATCCCCGGATCAGGTCTGAAGGGATGATTCTGCGTCTAGTCCCTTGATTGATTCTGATTAGGTGGGCATAGGATTTACTCATACAGTTTTGAGCCACTCGATCATTTTGAAAAAAAGTTTCTTTTTAATCGTAATCAGCCCACCAAACTCACGTCTGAAGGCCGTTATGCTCCCAATTATCTCCTTTTAGGTTCCATCTCCCTCCACTCCACTTCATGACTTTGCAAGCCTCCAGTCTCCTACACCCGAGCTCTGAGTTCTCATTGCGTGCCCCAACCAATCCAAATAAATTTTATTTCAGTTCGATTTTTTTCCCATTCAAGCAAATTTTCAAATCGACCCAGTTTCCTTGAAGATACACCTTTCTTTATATACAAAAATGGAACTGGCTATCACCCAAGAGGATGCTAACATCCTGCTCAAGCAGAAGAATCTGCTCAACGAGTCTGTGCTCGAGAAATACAGACTTGCTGGACAGATCTCGCAGACCTGTCTGGCCTACCTCACCTCTCTGATCAACTCCTCTTACCATTTGGGAACCCATGAACCATACTCGGTTTCCGAGCTTTGCATTCTCGGAGACTCCTACATAGAGAGATCCCTCAGAACTGTGTTCAAAAAAGGTGCCAATGCCGTGAGAGAAAAGGGTATAGCATTGCCTGTGACGTTTGAGATCAACGACATCGTAGCTGGTTTCTCCCCGGAACTTCTTGATGAAGATGCGCTTGTTTTCCAGCCAGGTGATATCGTCACTATCTCTTTGGGATGCCACGTGGACGGTTACACTGCCAACGTCTCGCACACACTGGTTATATACCCTCCTGGCCAGGCTCCTGCTGGACCCTTGCTGGGTCCAAAGGCAGATGCTGTTTGTGCTGCCCATATAGCGACTGAGACCGTCGTTGCCATTCTAGCAGGTTCTTTGATGCCTGAAAAGCTTCCAAGGAGCTTGAAATCCGGCGATAACACCGTTACCGGTAGTATTCTGAGGTCTGTGGTGGACTCGATTGCAGAGTCTTTCAACTGTACCGTGGTGCCAACCTCTAAGATCAGAAGAATCAGACGTTTCCTTGCAGGTCAGGCCGAGGGAGTTGTTGCCGAGAAAGAGTTTAAGGGTGTTGTTTGGTCTGAGGCTGATCAGGAGCTCAAGCTTCTGGAAGAGTCGTCGACCAACACCGAGTTGACTACATACGAGCCCAAGTCGGTCTCCGCCAGTGAAACCGCTATTCCTTCGGACAAAATCATTATCTCTGCAGGCGAAGTGTATCTCGTGGACCTCAAAATGGCTCCATTGGCTGACTTTGCCGACCACGGCATAGTGAGTCTCCAAACCGTGGATGCCTTTTCAGGAAAGAACCATAGCAAAGACTCGCCTAGTACCAGACCCAGTATCTACCTCAGAGAACTGGCTACGCAAAAGACCTCCTTCAGACTGAAATCAGCCAGAAAGCTTTGGAACCAGCTCGACAAGGAGCTGTCTGTGTATCCGTTCAAATTGGCATACACCTCCTCGCATTTCCCACTGCAGTTGAACGGAAACCTGGATGCCCAACTGGCAGAAATCAAGCACGAGATCCAGCGCACCAAGGTTGGTGCAAACGAGCTTGTGAACTCCAACTCCGTGGTCACGAGACCCATTCAAAGAGCAAGATTCTTGCCTCTGCAGGTGGTTCTGAATTCGAGTAACTTGACCGGTTCGACTGGTTTTGATGCTGAGACCCCCGTTCTTCCAGGACTGGAAATCCCCTTGCCCAGGCTCAATATCTCGTCATTGATGGTGAAGAACCTGATGAAACAGTCTCTTGCTATTCCAGTTGCAAGAGAAGCGACTACGGTGGTTCTGGTTCCAGCTGAGGCCACCAGCACTGGTATTCCCGAGCTGTTGAGATTGACTGGTGGTTCCCAGGTTGCCAATGCCAGTTGGGTCCACTCTGAGCGTGCACTTGCGGGTGAGTACGTTGGAGCCATTGGCGAGTTGGTTCAACTGAGCCAGGACGCAAGATTCGGATTGAAAATCAGGGAATGCCAGCCAATGAAGTTAGACAATCTGGTCCAGAGCACTCTGAACAACGAGGTTGAGATGATGGATTGATAACGAAAAAGTATGTCATATTTGAAGATGGAGGTCTATAAAAGGCCTACTTTGTATTATATTAGAAGGTAAAAGGTCCATTGATATTACCTGCCACGTATTTAAATTGCTTGAGTGTTACTACAACATGTGCATTCCTCGTCCCTGTTTCTCAGTCTCGAATCTAAAACAGCCGGGTAACGTCGTGCCTCGGCCATGTTTGGTTTCGCTTGTGGTGTCTTTCTCGCGATTTACTCCTTGTATTTACCTACGTCCCTCACCCGTAGGACGAAATATATCTTTCAGATACACTTTATTTTACAGTTCATATATCCACAAGGTATGTTGATTTTGATATTTAGATTGGTCTTGGTCAATTCAGCGGTTTAGTCCACGACCCACACGACGGCAAGATCGTGTCATGTGTTCGCCTCGAACCCGGTCGAAATCGAAGCAAGTCGAATCCTCAACTTTCAAATCCAATCAATCGAATCGAACCAGCAACCTTTGATGAGACAGTTGTCTTTTGTTGTGCATGATGAACCTCAGAAAGCGATTTTTTTCTTGTTGATTCAAAAATCGCTTTCTGGTAACACGAATCTATTCCAACAATTGCTACGTTCTGGTCATTTGACTACGACAAAGGTTTTTGGATGAATTCCGATTTGTGCGGTTTATCATTCATTTACTCGGTTGCTTACATTGTCTAGGCCAATCATATATGCCGAGTCGCCGTCTTGTCGCCGTCACTTGTCATGATCACTTGTTGTTGACCCAGCCTGTTTGGTGGGTGATGTCAAGCGTGCATTGCTCATAACCACCTTTCATTTGGCCGTTCAAAATGATCGAAGCAAGGGGCGACCAAGTTGCGAATGGATGAATCAAATTGGCAATATTTTGCTTGATTTTGTTTGTGGCTGTTGATTGGACTGATTTTCGATTTTTGCAATTGTATCCAATTTGCAATGTGGACCCGCTTAGGAATCCCCATCTCCTGGTTGCTTGTGATCCCCACCTCTGATATCCAATACTAACTTATTATTTCCCAGACCTAAAATGCCTGCTTTGCGTGAAGACTCTGTCTATTTGGCCAAGTTGGCTGAACAAGCCGAACGTTATGACGAAATGGTCGACAACATGAAGGCCGTTGCCTCGTCCGGCCAAGAGCTCTCCGTCGAAGAGAGAAACTTGTTGTCTGTTGCCTACAAGAACGTTATTGGTGCTCGCAGAGCTTCATGGAGAATTGTTTCTTCAATTGAACAGAAAGAGGAGGCCAAGGGTAACGAGTCCCAGGTTTCGCTGATTAGAGACTACCGTTCTAAGATCGAATCAGAGCTCACCAGAATCTGTGATGACATCCTCTCTGTGCTAACCAACCACCTGATTCCAACCGCTCAAACCGGTGAGTCCAAGGTGTTCTACTACAAGATGAAGGGTGACTACCACAGGTACCTCGCTGAGTTTGCCGTTAGCGACAAGCGTAAGGAGGCGTCTGACTTGTCATTGGAAGCATACAAATCTGCCACCGACGTTGCCAACACGGAGCTTCCTCCAACCCACCCAATCCGTCTTGGATTGGCTTTGAACTTCTCTGTCTTTTACTACGAAATCCTCAACTCGCCAGACAACGCTTGCCATTTGGCCAAGCAGGCTTTTGACGATGCCATTGCTGAGTTGGACACGTTGTCCGAAGAATCATACAAAGACTCCACTTTGATCATGCAACTGTTGCGTGACAACTTGACGTTATGGACTTCAGACATGTCTGACGCCGGTGCGGAAGAGGCTGAGAAGGCACCAGAAGCTGAGGAGAAATAGATATCAGGCTGGAAGGGAAACAAATCTCATGCAGAGAGACAAGAGTAAAGATTCAACCCAGATAAAGAAAGAGTTTTGAAATGTGTTAATTTTTACCCTATTTTGTGTCTATTTCAGTTGGAGGCTTCCAAGTTCAACCGTCCGTCCTTTGCTCTGTTGCTTTGGCTCATCCGAATACTTTGTTTTATCCTTTTTTTAACCACTTCAACCCTCACCGTATTATTTTTATTGATGTTGTAAATTCACGTGAGAATATCAACCATTTGACCGTATTATCAACTAAGAACGCCTTTCCTTCGCTATTTGCACTGTGGGTTTTTGGCATGTCTTTATCTACTAAGGCGGGATGGTAAGGCCACGGCATCTGCTCATCTGTACTTTACGCCTAGACCTTTAAGATTTCTCCTTTACATCCTTCGTCCAATCGTTCATTTCATTGGAATATCGCCTCTTCACTCAAGAATTGGTTTGTTGATTTCTGTGTGGAATTCGTGTAAATTTTGAGCCGCGCAATGGATTTGGATCAAGTGGGAGGATCGGACTTTGGCCCTGTCTTCAAAGTCGTTAACATAGTTGTTTCTGCTGTGTCGGTAAGTGGTATCGGATTTAATCAATCGGGTGGTCTAATTGATCACTGTTGATGAATGTATGACATACGGTCAGACCTCATGGGCTAACACATTACAGGTTCTAGGTGGCCTCGCCGGGCACGAGCGTGGGTTGTAAGTACAGGTCCAATTCTGGTGTCTCAAAGAAATACTGACTTTGTTTTTTAGTGATTCAGTAAGTATGGGACGCTCTGTGTGATTCTTTTGTGACTGTTTTTGTTTGAACGTCGGGACTAACCCCGTAGTTCTTGCTGTTTGTTTGGGTGCTGCTTCTAGGCGGACTGGTTGGAGTCCTTGGTAAGTGCTGCGATTTGAGGGCCACAGTCTTATGAACTAGATACTAACTTCACATTTGAAGAATTCAAGGTCCCAGCCAGATTGTACGATTTTGCGTCGTTTTATTTCTCCTTCCTGGGAAGGGGAGTACGTAAGTATACATCTGGAGGCCAATGGTTTGTGTGGCTTGAACACTAACACTTTCTATCTAGTCTATCTTTTCCTTGGGACTGTTCTAGTCAATGGTAATATTTTTGGGATTATCGGTGGAGTTATAGTTTTGCTGGTGGGCGCCGTCTACGTGGCCCTGGAGTTCATTCCAAGCATTGAGCCCCCTGCTAACATGCAAAATGGGGGCTCGATGATTTCCGATGACGTTGAAGATATCATCTAAGCAAAACTATCGAAGAAATCTGGCTATAGCTGTTGGGTATAGAGCAGAACTGAATTGCACATTTCCAGTTGCAGGGTGTTATGTCTTGGTATCTCATCATCTCTTTAGTTACTTGTTGTGTAGATGAGAACTATGCGGACTCCTTGGCATACCCTTTGATTCAACTAGTGATCTGGGCAACTTTCGGGAAAGAACTAACATTATTTCAATAATTACTGACAACTTGTCTTTTCAAAGTTTTTCAGATTATGTGAATTTTTCAAAATTTCAATAGAGATGTGATCAGACTTATCACTACAACCCACCTAGGTATACCTTGCACGGATAATAACCAAAGCAAGTCAAAAACCAGTTTTCACCTCAAAGGTTTATATTATACTTCAGTCCGATATCTACTGAATTAATGATATTCATGAGTTCTGCCAGCGCTATTCCCTTCCCTAACTGCATGTACTAGGCTCCTTTTTGTGTTTCACACACCAACACTGACTACTTCCAGCCCCGGTCCGACCGTCATTCTCTCAAGCCTTCACATCAACAACCACTCCATGCTGAGACCATTGCGACTGCTCCTACTAGGGGCACCTGGGTCAGGTAAAGGGACGCAGACTTCCAGACTCCTGAAACAATTTCCAACAATAGAGGCCTTCTCCACTGGGGATCTCTTACGGAGAGAGGTGGCAGCCAAGTCCGAGATTGGAAAGCTGGCCTCAAATTACATCTCGCAGGGCAAATTGTTTCCAGATGAATTGATAGTAGATTTGACTATCAGTGCATTGAGCTCCCACCAGGTGCTAACGTCTGATTCCAGCTGGTTGTTGGATGGGTTTCCCAGAACGTTGACCCAGGCCAAGATCTTGGACCAGAAATTGAATTCGACAGGCGCCCCGGTCAGTCTAGTTGTGGAGCTAGACGTCCCGGAGAGTGTGATATTGGAGAGAATAGAGAACCGATGGGTGGTAAGTATGACAAAGGTGTTGACTGAGCGATACAGATCATTGCGTTGCTTGATCCAGGTCTTGATTCCCCACATTTCCAAATACTAACTATTGAAAAAGCATGTTCCATCAGGTAGAGTCTACAATCTACAATACAACCCTCCCAAGGTTCCAGGTATAGACGATGTAACAGGGCAACCTCTGGCGAAAAGGGACGATGACAACGTGGAAGTCTTCCAAAAGAGATTGGACACTTACCGTCAAACCATGGATCCGATCAAGACCTACTACTCAGAGAAGGGAATCCTCCAGACCGTGAGTGGAGAGACGAGTGATATCATTTTCCCGAAGCTGGTGGAGCTGATCAAGAGTAAGTTTGCGGCATAGATGAGAGGCAGTTAGAAGATCCTTGATTGGAAGGCAACTATATTCCAGAACACGGTTGTTAGAGTGACCTGTTTCTATAAGAGTTCATAGATCCTATATGAGCAATCTACAATACTATCGCACCAGGTTTTCTGTATAGTTTCGAAGCGTTGTCTTAAATTCTTTCCAAGAATGTCGTTCCCTAACCAGAATAACCCGGTATAGCGTGCTTTTTTCCCAATTCTGCTTGCTGTAATGGCTTCTGTCGGAAGTGTCCGAGCAATTTCGGCTCTTCTCCTGTTGTCGTCGACAGTTTTCAGAGGTGTCCTGTTCGATTCCCGCGGACCGGTTGTTAGCTTTTACGAGTAGTCTGGAGGCGCAACTGGGCAATTAAGTAGGATTATCACTGGAGGGGAGCAATCCAGCACAGTGCCCTACCCGTGGCGAAGGCGAATGGGACCGCATCTCGCTGGTTTTCTTTCGGGAATGTGACGATGGCTTGGTTGAGTCTTTGTATGCGACCGATTTTTTTAGATTCACACTCAAGGAAGAGTTAAGTAAGCTGAGCGGTGCCCAGAGGTGAGAGTGAAAAATAATGGCTTACATAGGCTGCAGTGACTATATGCAAAACAGGCCTTATTTTTTTTTTTCAAGTCAAAAACGGTTGGTTTTAAATCATTTATAATATACACACTTGGCCAATCATATTTTGGCCAGCTCAGCTTCATCCTCAGATCCCAATGCCAAATCATCTTCGTCAATATCATCGAGGTCCATATCGTCCAGACCCTCCAGATTACCGAACTGCTGCTGCTGTGCCTTTTGAAATTGCTGCAGCTGGTCTAAGTTCCAAACAGAAACACCTTCCTGGTCCTTCGGGTCTGCCGGCTGAGCCAGTGTTCGTAGAAACTTCTTGGCACTAGCAATAGCCATATCAGTGGACAGATTAGTGTCTGCATCCAATAGGGCCTGGGATATCCATTTGGGCAATTGGCCCTTCTTCCTTGCAAATCTACGATCCGCAAGCACCATGATACCGTAATCGTCCTTACCTCTCAACACTCTTCCCAGACATTGCGCAGCATGTCTCATGGCATCGAACGAGAGGAAATCGTTCTCTCTGATCTGGTAGTGATCTCTCAGAAACTCCAGCCTTGCTTTCAGAATACGTGATTCCGTGTACTGGAATGGAATACCTATCATGAGAACAGTTCTTCCATAATGGTGGTCAAAATCGATACCTTCAGACACCTTTCCACGAGCCACAGATAGTAAGACAGCTCCTCGTCCATTGCAACACGCTTTTCTGTAAGTTTCCAGAGCCAACGCAGTCTCCTGTGCATCCGGGGTCTCCACCAAAATTAACTTATACTTCCACACTTCGTCCAGGATTCCCATGTTCTGCCACATTGAAATGATGCTTTCCATGTATAGATAAGAGGGGAAGAACACAACCATTCCGTCGGGAGTAGTCTTGGCGAATTCAATCAGCAGACTTCCGTAATTTCTCACAATCGAGGGATCGTTTCTGATTTCGAATCTGGACGAAATAGCAACCTGATCAGAGCCTTTGGTGACTATCATCGGCAAGAATGAACGACGAGCCAGAGTCATTGTGTAAGACTCTTGAACCACCGTTTCGAAATTAAGCATTCTCGGATACATGTCCAAAGGAGATATCGTACCCGAGGTGATGATGACCGACGAAAATCTCTCAAAGACTGGTTTCATGGCAATAGAAGCATCCAGACATGTGAACCTCAATATTGGGTTCGGCACCGTAGCATTCTCCGTTTCGTAGGGCTCCAGAATCAACATGAATCCAGATTCATATGTGGAAACCAAAGTAGCGAATGTTGCAATATCCTTCAAAGCCATAAACTCTTCAATCTCCTGAACCTCCAACGTTCTTACAAGTAAGGACAGTCTTTCAGAACAGAATCTCAACGGCTTCCTATCTATGAAAGTGAGTTGTTTCAAATGCTGCAAGAAAGACGTTGGTGTCTCCGATATGACGTGCAATACCTTCATTCTGGTCTTCAGGTATTCAATGAACCTTTTTAAGAAGGAGACGAAATGCTCAGCTCTGCGGATATTTCCAGGGATGGCTTCGTTCAGGAGATCACTTGGCAATGCAGGGTTTGTCATGAACAGTTCTTGATTGGCATCAACATCATTTCCTCGTAGACCCTCTACCAGTTTCTCATATTCATTCTGCAGCTTGTCACTGTCAGTTCTCTTAACCTCCTCTACCCTTGCACTCAGACTATTCGCACCCTTGGTTGCTCTTTTCAGAACATCATCAGTCAAATCCAATGATAACGATTCGATACACACGTTATCGATGTTGTGAGCCTCATCGAAAATCACAATGCTGTCTTTGGAGAGCTCTCGTGAGACTCTGTCGGCAATCTTGGGATCCAGAAGATAATGGTACGAGTAGATGATGATGTTGCAGAAAGGCATCATTCTTCTCACGGTGAAATATGGACATGTCCCTTCCTTCTTACAGTGCTTCATCAAGGACTCGAAAGAATATACACCTGGAGGAACCAAATTATGAGGATCAAGTTCGTATAGTTTTTCATGAAACGAGCACAGTGCACTGGACTCGATATCGCCACTTTCCACCTTCTGACGCAACTGGCCATTAGTCATTCTTCTGCACTTTTCATCGACCACTGCTCCTTTACGCTCTTTCGAAGCCACAGGATGGAGACAAAGGTTCTTACGGGAGGTTAAACCTAATCCCCTGAAGTCCTCTTCATATCCCAGCTCCTTTGTCCTGTATTTCATCAGATTTTGCAGCTCAATCAACGCCTTCTCGATCTCCGACATGGTACGCGAACAATACACAATCTTTCTATGTTCAGGATAGAACATCTGATAAGCCACTGTCAGCGAGAGCAGTGAAACTGTTTTTCCTGTTCCAGAGGGCATTTCCAGAATGCAGTTGCCACCCACATCAAGAGTACGCTTGATATCACTCATGTAAGCGTACTGCTCTGGATAGATCCGCTCGTAAGGGAACAGAACTGGTAGATCATCGATAAAAAACCTAATTACTGTTAGTTGATATCTATTGCAGTGTTAAATTGCAAAAAAAACTCACTTCATCGCGCAATATCTTGCCAAGAAAGAGTGGTGTTCAAAGAGTAGAATTCACTCATGAGATCCCAGCCGCTTGGAAGTTTAAGCTAACTTTCGTAGTGGGAAAACCAAAAGACGCCGCACAGCCAAATATGCAGTAATCACGAAATACTAGAAATGTCTACACTGAAGTTCGAGTATTACCACGAATAATTAAACACTATTATACAGGATCAGGATCATACACTTCATACATTCACATCTGCATCACCGTCCACAACGTCAACTTCAATGTTCAACTCCTTATCAGCATCAACATATGAGTCACAAACACACCAGGCAGTAAGCTTATGATGTCCAGCGTCCGGAATTGCAAACTGTAGTTTCACAGTCTGAGACTCAGCCGCAACTATCACTTTCTTTATCGCATACAACTGCTTTCTGGTAGAATCTCCGATCACTATCCACCAGTTTTCCTGCTTCTTGTAGGTAAAATGAGGAGCAATGACTGTTAAATCTTCGGGTTCTTCATCCCTAGTCAGAGTAATCTCAATCTCTCGTGGGTCATCGACAACAAGTGGTGTGGATAAATCAAGTTCATAGTTGATCTCCAAGTTCGGATAGCTGTTGACCCATTCAGCAACCTTGGCCAGTTGTCCCTTGGTGAGACCTTCGAGAATAGCATCACGTTCATCGTCTTCCAATGCCATGATATCATAGACCGTCTCCACTTTAGCAGCCTCACATCTCTCCAACAAGGTTTCATCAAAGAACGGAATTTGCTTGAGAGGACTATCCCTATCCCATACTGCCTGAACTATCATTTGAGACAAATCCATGGCATTCAAAGCATTCAAATTACCATCACTGGATAGGATGTCAATCGCTGCATACACAAGAGGTAGTACTCTGTCCAGCACCGATTTCTGGTCCGAGGCTAGGTCGGGAGGCAAAGAGAGTCTTCCAAAATGAGCCTGGAGCAACAGGAAGGTCTTGAAAGCTGGCGATTCGTAGTTCACCTCAGTAGCCTTGACTGGTACTCTGTTGTAGATTCGGGTCAAAATGGCCTGCTCATGGTGTCTGATAGGAATGGATTCAAATTCAAAGGAAGCACTGAGGATCTCCAACAATCCCTTGAGTTTGGTCTTTGCCGTGAGCGAAAGCATGAATGTTTGCATTGTGATGAAGGATACGTTATGATAGGCCGATATCATACATCCGTTCAGTGGGCTGATTTCTGCCTCACTTTCTTCCGTGTCTTCTTCATCAGTGTTCAACTCAATGAGTTTACCGTCAACTAAATCATTCAATGTTAACTCCACCAAATCAGACAGATACTCAGAAATACCCAGATGAGAAGTGTTACTGACACCGTAGAAACTTGGGTTGACATGGAGTCGTCTGTAAAAGTACGAATATGTGATCCAGTCAATACAGTCCTGCCTCGATTTGATGAGACCGGTACTGATCTCGTTCAGAAAACAATCGTGCAAAGAAAAGTTCAAGAAACTTTCAATAGGCAACGGCTCAGACAAAAATTTCTTGTAGTAGCTGGCTTTGGACGCATTTGTCAGAACCAATGCTGTTCCAGGACCATCATCTCCTCTTGCTAGCCCGGTCATCTCCATCAAACGACTCACTGGATAATCCACATATCTGTGCTCACCACCATCAAACGTTTGAGTACTCAAAACAACCACTAAGCTCCCTGATGGACACCATTCGGCAGTATTTTCGGTCGCAAGCAATACAGTTAGTGCACCTGCGGCATATAGCCTCTCCACAATGAGTCTGTCGTTGGATGCCATGTTTTTGTAGTAGAAACCAACACCCTCTTGCAATGCTCTTGCAAGCGAACTGTCTTGGATACGATCCAAATAGCGCTGGATCGAGTCAAGATCGGTTCTCAACCAATAAGCAGAATCTTTCGTAGCATGCTTGATCAGCTCAACAGAAATATCAACACACAGTTTTCTTTCAGGAACAAACACCACACAGGTCTCATCTTCTGAAAGAGTAGATATAGCTGAGTACGTTGGTCTCACCATCGACAAGATAAGGGATGCGTTATGGTTGATGTCAAACGACTGCTGACGGAGATTTGCGGGAAACACCTTTTCGTTGGGGTCAAAATTGAAGATCATATCCTTGGAGGCTCCAACAAATTCACCAAAGTCACGTCCATTGGCCAAAGACGCACTCAAAGCAACAATTCTCAAACTATTTTTGGTCTGGGCAGACATGAATCTCATCCGCGAAAGAATAGTCTCATACGCAACGCCAATATCAGAGTTTCCAACTGTATGACAATCATCAGCCACAACCAGCTCAATTGACTGCACGTTTCTACGCTGTCTCCAACGACGAGAGACGACGTCAAACTGCTTAGGAGTAGCCATGATCAGATGAGAAGACGCCAAAGACTTGAGATCAGAGTTTAGATCTCCGGTCAACTTGGTGATTGTCTTTCCTCCAGCAAGGTCCTTAAAGCGCGAAGACCAACTCTTGAACAAAACGTCGAGTTGTTCCTGAGTCGAGGAAATGTAAACTGCTCTGCCCCGACTGTTGTTCCAATGGTTGAATAGCGCAAGTTCTGCCATTACAGTCTTTCCCGAACCCTTTGCACAGCCAATAAAGATTGAGTCTTCTTCTGAAAATAATTGCTTCCAAACTTGCGATTGGACCTTATTGAACGTTTGGAATTGCAAAGCATCAACGAATTCGGCGACCTTCAGTTCAGATGTGGGTACAAGTGTTTGGTTGAGAATAGGCGTGGGAGCTGGGAACTTTTTCGGAACCTGGATAGACTCCAGAACAATAGGGACTCTGATTTCACAATGTAACCATTTCTCTGAGATCAGCGAGACAAAATAGTTTGGCTGAAGAGGATCTAACAGTGGAACAGTGAAATCAACAATGTGCTCTTGTCCAATATATCTCTGCCTTACTAGAAACTGTGATTGGTAAAGAATCTTTTCGGAGTCGCAGTCCTCGACCTGAAGGTAAAACGATTCTGCCGCTCCATGTATATCGTTATTCCAAACCCAATCAGGCTTGACTTCCAACTCGACCCTCATCAGAGAAGGAGTAATTGGCTGGACTCGGGATTCAACAGTCATCTTTGGAAATTGGTTGAGCAGAGAGTACGCTAGTCTAGCGTATCTTTCTGTTTTGAAAGCCTGAGCAACTTCAATTTCACTGCTGAGTTGAAGGTAATGAGCCCAAGGCGTCAGAGATTTTTCTGAAGCAGATATCACTTCCCTTGGTGATTCAGGGAACTGACGTAACGGAGAGTTGGTCATCCAGATACGTCTTTCCACCATTTTGCAGAAGTTCAGAGCAATACGACTCAACCTGGCCCATCCTTTCTTAGAAACAATCTCAAAGATGGCCCTTAGTAGTCGCCCGGCGGATTGCGTGATGTAAATCATGTCTGCCATCAAAACGAATCCTTCCAGCTGAAGTCTCGATATGTAGGACTGTAGAAGAACACTGACTTTGGACGTAGGATCATCAACGGAGTCGTTAACCGGGAGAGGAGCACGTTCTATTAGCTTGCGCAATTCCTGCTTCTCTTCCTGTCTGACAGGCATCAATCTGAACTCCTCAGATTCAGCGAAAACTTGCAGAAGCTCGATTTCTGTAAAATAGGGCTGCAGCTTCATGTTGTAACGATTCATAGACTCGTGAGAGATATAGAAATGTGACGATGTCAAACCCAAGTCAGTTGGCATGACAACTCCCGACACAGGATCGTATTTGACCAGATGATGTTTTGCCAACACCGTTAATGCAGAATGAGCCAGATCCTGTCTTCTATGCAGCAACGCCTCATCAGCATCGTATTCGGGCCCGACTCGGTATATATCAGGAGAGGCAAGCATACGCACGTACAAGTACGTATACTTCAACCAGTCAACACATTCCTCTCTGGATCTGATCGTTCCCAGAGCAATTTCAGCATTAACACAATCTGGTAACCTAGAAATCAACTGAGACTCAATGGGTAGCTGTTGGTTCAAAATGGCCAGGTAGTATTTCACCTCGTCCTGCGAAGTAATGATAACACCTTCACCGTTGACATCGTAACGCGGTCTACCGGCTCTACCCAGCATCTGCAAGATATCTTGTGGAGACAACTCCACCCACGCACCTTTCTCAGGGGAATACACATTGGTGCCCTTGATTATAACGGTGTGGGCTGGCAAGTTCACACCCCAAGCAAGTGTAGCAGTTGATACCAGAACTTGAGCATAGCCTTCAGCGAAAAGATCTTCAGCAACGGAACGGTCGTGACGGTTCATACCAGCATGATGAATTGCAAAACCTGTAGGCAGGAGATCTTTGAGATCACCGTTTTTCACGTTTTCTGACTCACGACGTAGAATCTCGCTTGATCCTGCATCTGACTTCATCACTATGCTCAACTGTTCCATTTCGAGGAACTTATCTCTTATCCATTTGGCGGTTTTTGCTGTATCTTTTCTTGAATGAACAAAGACAATTACCTGATGTCCAGCGGAAACACTTTCTAGAACCTTTTCGTAACAAACGTCGTTCTGAGCAAGGTAACGCTTCAGTGCTCTCTTCTCTGTGATTCCGATGAACTGTTGAGCCAGAGGACATGGTCTATATGAGGCATCAAAGTAGAATAATCCTTCTTTAGGAACCTTCAAGAAAGTGGAAACATCCTTATAGTTCGGCAGAGTTGCCGATAACCCAACAAGTCTCACTGGTTCATCACCTTCCTCCTCAGAGCGTAACGATCTGGCCACAATACTCTCCAACACCGGACCACGCTCGTCATGGAGCAAATGGATTTCGTCAATGATAACTAGACGAACAAGATTCACGTAAGATATGTCAGACATTTTTCTGGTGATGACGTCCCATTTCTCTGGAGTTGTCACAAGTATTTGCGTTGTGGAAATCTGCTGTTTCGTGAGATTTGAATCACCCGTGAGCTCATTCACCTGTATGCCGTATTGTTTGAGTTTCCGAGAAAACTCACGCACTTGCTCTTGTACCAGAGCTTTCAACGGAGCAATGTAAACAATCTTGAACTTGTCCAGATCAAGTTGGCCAGTTTTCTCGTCTCTGAATTTGGAAAGAGTTCTCAGAACAGTGAGCAATGCAACGTTGGTTTTACCGGCACCAGTGGGTGCACACAATAACATGTTTTCATCGCTGTTGAAGGCACATGGATATACCTTGGACTGAATTCTGTTGAGGGTTGGAGTGTCTCCAAAGGCCGACTGCGCCCATTCAGGTAAAGACGGGATAGGCACCAGTTCATCTGTCATCGGAGGAGCTTGAGGAGCTGGGACATGAATCTCTTCGTAGTTTTTCTTGGCTCTCTTGAACGAGCCTTGTGGAAGATTGAACCTCGAAGCAGTCATCAAATGAGATCCTTGGTCGAAAACGAGAGACTCCAAATTCACAATCTTTGGTGCTCGGCTGATTGCAGCGATACTGCTTGGAAAACCCAGCTTCTGTTTCTTTCTAGCAGGTTCGTCCTCATCAGCCAATAAGCTACTATAACCGCGCTCAATTATCTGTTGTGTTATTTCCTGGCGCTCTTCGTCTGTTTTGGCAGAATCGAGTGCCAGACCAAAGTGTATAGCAGCACTATTCTTCACTAGAAGACGCACAAACTGAGGCTGCTTGAACTCAAAGAGTTCGAGCAACTCATTTTCGAAAGACCTGTTGTCTTTTTTCCCAGAGATCACAGCCTCAAGTAATTGTGTAATGTTCGAGGTCAATTGGATATGACTGTGGCTATCCAGTTCTCTAAAAAGAGATGATATTTCGTCTTGCAGCCAGCTTCGACTGACAGATGATAGAGAAACAGAAACATTTTCATCGAAAGACTCGGCCAGGCGATCTGAGGAGTCGGCGACAACCTCATTACCACCATCGCCATCTTCCTCGTCTTCATCATCGTCATCGATCTGGTTCATGGCGTCTTCCTCCTCTTCTTCTTCTCCGGAATCAAAAACAACACCAACACCTTCCTCGCTGTGACGTTCTTCATTAGTTTCATAATCGTCAATCAGCTTACAGAGATCTAGCAATTCTGCAAACTGGTCGTTCGATATAGTGCTCCCAAGAGCATCCTCACACAATGTCTTCTTCTCCTGCTCCATTGTGTTCTCATCTTTCACAATTTCCAACAAAATGTCTGCCAGCGATCGTATGACATCCTGAGGAGCATCTGAATCCAGTATATTCAAGCACCAAGACAAAATCTGAGCAAATGCAGATAGTGCTTGTTCTGTAACTGGGTTGTATTTCAATCCTTCTAAAGAATCCAATACACTAACCGCACCAGCAGAAGGAGCATTTTTATGACTTTTTGGTTTCGAAATCACCTTCTCCACCAACTTCGCATCCTTTTCACTAACCTTTGTCTTGACTACCCTAGATCCCATTTCATGGTGCGAGATCTTGCCGCTCATGGACTGCAGAGGTGTGGCCGCATTTTTGTCAGATCGATCCAACAGCCTCTTATCGGCCCGCAACACCTTGTTGGAGATTTCATGGTATTTGTAGCCTTCAGACATGACAATGGGCAGAAATAGGATACAATCTCTGAGGTGTTGTAGTTAGACTGCTAACTCATTTTTTATTTTGAAATATCAGAACACTCGAACTGTGCACGACCCCGAACTGTTTGAGCATAGGCACGACTATTAGTCACACACACGACCTCGGGAGATCAATGCAATTAGATTCCGCACGCCCACTATGGAGATGAGAGACCCGGCCCACCCAGACCCGCTTCGAAATAGCAGAAACTGCCCGTCCATTTTCTTCTTCGCTTTCTCTACACTACATCTGTTTTGAATTGTTTTAACAATACATCCAAAATGTTGAGATACTTGGCTCGCCCTGTTTTGGCCAGACCGGCATTTACCAGAGGATTGGCCTCAGAGGCTTCTGATGTAAGTAATTGTACCAATTGAGTTGCGGATTGTTGGTCCCCTGCTTCCTGAGCAGTCCCAGTTTGAACAAGACAACTAACCCAATTCCTTATTAGATTGTCAGAATCGACCTTCCAGCTGACTCCTTTGAAGGCTATGAGCTCGATTTGCCAGAACTGTCTTTCGAGACCGAGAAGTCCACCTTGCTGCAAATGTACAAGGACATGATTATCATCAGACGTATGGAGATGGCTGCCGACGCCCTTTACAAGGCCAAGAAGATCAGAGGTTTCTGTCACTTGTCTGTTGGACAAGAGGCCATTGCCGTTGGTATCGAGTATGCCATCAACAAGAAGGACTCTGTGATTACCTCGTACAGATGTCACGGCTTCACCTACATGAGAGGCTCTCCCGTCAAGGAGGTTCTCGGTGAGTTGATGGGCAGAAGATGTGGTGTCTCTTATGGTAAGGGTGGTTCCATGCACATGTTCACCACCGGATTCTACGGTGGTAACGGAATTGTTGGTGCCCAGGTTCCATTGGGAGCTGGTTTGGCTTTTGCCCACCAGTACAACAAGGAGCCTAACTGTACCTTCGCGTTGTACGGAGACGGAGCCTCTAACCAGGGTCAAGTCTTTGAGGCCTACAACATGGCCAAGCTCTGGAACTTGCCATGTATCTTTGCCTGTGAGAACAACAAGTACGGTATGGGAACCTCCGCGTCAAGATCCTCGGCCATGACCGAGTACTACAAGAGAGGTCAATATATTCCTGGTTTAAAGGTTAACGGTATGGACATCCTGGCTTGTTACCAGGCCTCCAAGTTCGCCAAGGACTGGTGTGTCTCCGGTAACGGACCATTGGTCTTGGAGTACGAGACCTACAGATACGGTGGTCACTCGATGTCCGACCCAGGTACCACTTACCGTACCAGAGAGGAAGTTCAAAACATGAGATCCAGAAATGATCCTATTGCCGGTCTCAAGTTGCACCTTTTGGAGCTCGGTATTGCTACCGAGGAAGAGATCAAGACCTACGACAAGGCTGCCAGAAAGTACGTCGATGAGCAGGTCAAGGAGGCTGAGAACTCTCCTCCACCAGAGGCCAGAATGGACATTCTGTTCGAGGACGTTTACGTTCCTGGTTCCGAGCCAGCAACCTTGAGAGGAAGACTTTCCGATGACTCCTGGTCTTTTGAGAAGGGTGGATTTGCCAACCGTTAAGAAACGCGCATGACTCGACGATTTGGAAACGTACATATATACACTGTTTTCTCAAAGAATAGAAGGATTGATTCTTTCATCTAGACAGAATGTAGGGGTAGAATGATTTGTTGCACGAGTTGCCATTTATACCATCAATGACAAATTTGGCTGGTTACCCCTGAAATGTTGGGCTGTGCACGACAAATCTGAAACATATCTTGCAGGAAGATCACAATGGCGGAACAAAAGGAGTTAAGGGCTGCGCTAACTGCGATATCCCTCCGTCTTAGGGTAGATCTGCTGAGATCTTCACTGATAGAGCGATCTTGCGGTATCATCATGAACACCCAGACTCCACCAAGGCAGCCGCCTCGATCGTGGGTTTCGCCGAACACCACGCCCAAGAGGACTTCTGCAGGATCTTCTCCTAGTAGGAGTTTGAAAAGTTCTGGACTTTCACCAAATGGTCTTCTTGACGACGAGACTATTTACTTGCTCAGAAACACTGCGCTGGCCCTACCCAGAAACAAAGCCAACAAGTCGCCAGAGGCCAATAGCAGGAACATACGGAATCTGGCCTCGAAACTTTTCAGTTCTCCAAACTCGGGTGGTAACAGACAGGCCCCTACTCTATCGTCGCAAAGCTCTCACAGATCTCCTTCAGGATCACCATCACTAGGAGAAAGGTCCTACGGTCGGCTGGGATCTTCTACAGAAACTCTCAATTCACGGAATAGCCCAAGCATCCCACAACTGACCCAGATAACTGAAAGCTCACCAACCCCACCTGTGCGGCGGGCAAGAAAGGTGCCTGTTTCACGCGAGTGTCTCTACTGTAACGAGTTGCTTACTAATACGCTGGATACAGTTGGTTTCGACGAGGAAACAAGAATTGAAAGAGCCATAGAGCTGAAATGTGGTGAATTTGCACACGAGAAGTGCCTTATAGTTTTGATGGAGGATGCGGACTCGAGTTCTGCAGACGGGTCTCTGATCGGCAGCCTGAGTGCGGTTTTTCCGGATTGTACCAAATGCAACAGAAAAGCTACTCCTTTGGATCCCAGAGATATTGATCTGCTGCTCACGGCAAGACTGATGAGCATCACCAGAAAGGATGACCAACCAGAAGTGCCAGAGAGTAGACTAGCAGGATCGCCTGTCAAGAGCGCAACACGACCATCTGCCACGGTTAGTGCTTTGGGATCGACTCTTCCCAGACAACACCAACAACAGGTTCTTTATCGAAACAGTTATCGAAGTCCGGTGGCTGCTAGTCACAGTCGAAACTCTTCGCTCAGGGTCACTCGAAACGGACTATCGAAAGCACTTGCTCCACCGGTTGAACTCGATGCTGGATTCATCCCATCTCATAAGAAAAGAACATCACGGGGCTCTTCTGTTTCTGCAATCAGCTCCATTATATCTTCCGTCAGTGAGTCGTCTGCTTCTTCCACGTTGAGGTTAACACAGGATGACGAGATAGACCTGGCTCTGAGACGGTCGCTCTTTCTTAGCTCGTTGCTCGCTATCGAATCGCTCAAATTATCTGACACAATACTGGACTCCTTCGGACTGTTGAGACTGGCCGACAAAATGCTTGTTTCCAAAGATGAGATCAATTGGTCGATGAGCTATTGCTATCTGTTCTCGTACCAACTCCTCATACTGGACATCAGTTGCAAATCTTACTATACTGTTAGACTGGTTTCTGGTATGAGCAATTCATCACTTGACATTCCTCAGACATCCACGGGAAAGCAGTGTATATTTATTTCCACACCTTCGCCTTCGGTGATCAAACTGGGCACTCTGGACAAAGGTGCCATTTTCCTGAGCGGAACCGTTTCTCCCATCGTGGAGAAATGGGGAGCAGCTCTCAGCGACCTGAATTTGATGTTCCCGTCAAACATGTTATCAGGCTCTATTGAACCAGAGACAGATCTGCATGGAGCCCCTCCTCGTTCCTCGAGGGCTTCTCTATCAACGATCAAACAGCCACCTGTTTCTGCAACTGGAACGAACTCCATACTGAGCATGAACCTCGAGAAACCTGCTACCATCCTGCTGATTATCAACCAGCTCACGCCGACGCAGGAATCGTTAACTGTGATAAAAAACATCATTATGTCCATGACGTTGATCAGAATAGAGGTTGTGTGTATATTCACATACGATGATGTGCCCAGTCTAGATTCACCAGTGGCAGTCCATGAGGTTGTAGGCAGTGGTTCGAAAGATGACGCTGGGTTTGAAGACATCACCTCTTTGATCAAAAAGTTTCACACTTTTCTTCAGGATGGAAACAAAGAGAGCCAAGCCCTGCTCAAAGACGTTTATTCCAATTACATTTCATCGCGCCATTCGAAACTTGAGAAGGTAACAACCGTGGCAGTATCCACCACACCATTGCGCGACTTGAAAGCATTTCCGACACAGAAGAACGTGTTTGTGGAGGTGACTACGACACCAGATATGAAACTCCTGAACAATAGACACAGTGTGATGAACGTGACCAGATGGGACGATGTCATGGAGTACATCTGTCAGTGTCTTGGGCTTGAGTTTGATGAATCGGACTTCGAGTCTTCGTCTGATGAGGACGACGAGAGCGCAACTGAAGGTGAGTCAAGTCAGGACATAGTCAGTCCTACCGAGGGACTGAATAGTATGAGAGGCCAATCAAGGAGTGTGGAGGCCCATGGGAAGTTTGAGGGTAAACAGAGATGGAGCGACTTGGTGAAGGATGTCGAGGATGCATTGAATGAAACCCTTTGAAGCAGCGAGAAGCATTAATGAGAAAAAGATAGAAAAATAGGAACAGCGTTGTTCTGGCTTCATATAGCGATAATTGTGGAAATTGTTTTTCACGAACCAAGGAATCTCGAGTTCTCAAGATCACAATTTCAGAGAACGGTGTTAATCTCCTATCGTAGGTTAATCTCACTATGAGAAGGTGCGGAAAACCTCTCAATCTCAACAAAAATGTTAGTAGCCCAGATATCTCGCTCTTGCCTTGATCTAGCCATGAACACGGCAGAGCGACCAGTGACACCCAACCGATTAACAGCTCTTATAATCCCTGGATTGCCGTCATTGTCCTTCGAATTTTGTACCAGTACTCGTTTCGAACCAAACCATATAGTAAAGCAACGAGACGGCTCTTCCTCCGAAGATTTCCAGCCGTCGGGATAAACACGGGGCAAAGAGTGATGCCCGGGATGTAGATGGTCAAAAGTCGTATTCCTCTTCAGCAGATCTAAAGCAGTGGACTCCCCCGAGTATATGTAACAATCCTTTAGGGGAATCGACATGTACCGGCGGTAATAAGTGGTTGGCTTGATAGTGCTATCTCTTGCACTTCTCCTGAACATTCGATAAAGAAGCAAGAAACCAGGACACAGAACCACATAGTACTTCCGGAAAGCAGAATGGCGTTTCGGCTTCTGATATAAAATGCCACACCGTACCACTGTTCTAGTCATAGCATGAGATGTAATAGGATAGACATGGGGATCAGCAGATCCCATTGAGTTCTCCCACTTCGACGTTGACTCGGCGATAGTAGACTCGGTATACTCATCAACGTTGAGGTTATCCATGTTCCTCTCACGAACCCTAACCAGATCAATCATATCCTCACGCTTGCGGTTCGTCCAATATTCCGAGATACTGCGCAGTCGGTCCATCCATTCTTGCCTAACTTCGGAGGAAAAGGCCTGGAAAACTAGTCTTGTACCGTCTCTTCTAATCACCTCAAAACTGGAGTCTTTGAAAGAATCATCGTTTGCGTAAGCAGGAGCACCGGTCCAAGCAAGTGAACCTGCCAGGTTGACTATGTGCTTCAGCTGCGAGGAGTCTAAGGCTTTGATTTCCAAAACATCACATAAATCAACCATTCCACTGGCACGAACAACCTGGGCAGCTCTTCTTTCCATTTCTAACAAAGCTCTGCGATCGTTCCTCTCAAAGTCTTCCTTGGACATTTCTGGGTTCAGCCATGTGACATGATCATCCGAGTCTAAAGGGTACATCGACACATCAGAGACTAGAGGCCGTGACTGTCGAGCTTTTTGTAGAGCTGCTGCATCCAGCACCTCACCAGTTGGTGACATGATATCCGGGCGCTCAAAATATGGAACGGCATTGGAGAATCTCGTGAACATCAAGAGATTGTCGTTTGTAAAGCAATAGACCAGCCTGTATACATTTCTTCCCAATGCTGATATCATACTCCCACCTCTATTGGTAAGTAGAGCCAAAAATCCTTCCACAGGGGGAGGCTCGTGTATCAGGAGGCCATCAGTGGTAAGAACGTGTCTAGAATAGTGCACCATTTGTCTCAGCTCCAGATCATGTGTTTGCTCAAGAATTTGCCCAGAAAGATACTTCAGATTCTCACCAAATACCCATTCCAGCCTGTCATAATGCCTCCAAGCAAATGCTAGAGAGGAATGGTTTGATGTTAGCTCCAACAGCCTTTGGGTTTGTCTCTGTGAAAATACCTTGTCCGGGTTCATCGTTTTGAGTGCTGCCATGATCACGTCTATGATGTAGTCATAGATCGGAAGTTTCGATACTTTGTATCCAATGGGATTGTAGGACAACTCAAGTGTATGCGAGTTAGCTGTCTCTGCAAATTTTATTGAGAGTGCATCTTTAGGAAGCCTGATTCCAAGGCTCAGGTGAAGATGGGGAAGAAATATCTTGGTGACCTGACCCTTGCTTGATTGACCTAGCACCATCTGAAAAAGATGAAGCCACTTCAACGAAGATGACTGGGCCTGGCATTGTAAGATATATCGCACTTTCTGATCTCCTTTCTTGATGGTGACACAGAGATTTTTGTCCAATGCACTGTAAGGTCTCACAGTGGTGGACGAGATGTTCACTTTGAAATCTAGGTCTGTGATTGTCTGCTCAACATCTCCAACGATGGATATGTCTCTATCCTTGAAGAACTGGACGAGCAGAGGCTCTTCATAATCGTTTCTAGAACGAGCAACTACCACATACTCTTTCCAGCGTTCAAGGATTCGATCTCCCGTTGTGGACTCTCTAATGTTATCATCACCTAGCACCATTACAAGCATCTTCTCAACCTTGATGACTTCACCCTTCACAAAGCTGGAGAAGAACCTGTCCAGCTTCAAGGTTCTTTCAACGCGGTTTATATCCATCAGAAATCTGGCCCGGGCCCACACGGCCCGTTTGCGCAGCTGTTTTTGTAGCTTGAAATGAGGGACTTTCAGAGTACTGATCTTTACATGGGCATCGGTAATAAACTCTGGCTCTGGGAGAACATCGTGTAGAACTTTGGCAGATTTTCGCCTTTTCAACAGACCAGTCTTCGGACGAACCAGTGGAACTGGACTGCTGAAAGAGACAGCGTTGACAATTGGGCGTGCACCATCAGCTACCGAGGAAGTCCGGGATAATATTCCATTATGTTGTTGCAGGCCTGGAGGAGGCGGCACAGCGGCGACCACCTCAGGCTTCTCAATGGCTGCTTCAGTTGAACCGGAAGTTAAGATAGTTCCGTTGAAGGTTCTCACCGAAGCCTCTTGGATTGTTTCATTATCATTAGCATTATCATTATTGCTCTCGTGTTCAGATACTTCGTCATTAACGGAATCTTCAGAGTCTTGGTCGTCTGGGGTAGACTCCAGGTTGTACTCATTGGCAGTGACAAACGACTCGGAAGAAGAGTCCCTCAAGGAGTCTTCCAAGGAATCTCTCGGGGAGTCTCTCAAAGAGTCAACATCTTTATTGGAAACTTGCAAATCTGCATCTGTGTGATCCAGAAGAAGAAGAGCATCACTTTTAGCATTCCATAATCGTTGCTTCATGTGTCGTTCTGCACTAAACACGGAGCCAACCATTCCCGAATCTAGACTGCGAGTACGTCGCAGATCATCATCCTCTTCATCTGAATCATCACTTGCTGAGTCGTGGCTCAAGAAAAAGTCCAAAGCAATTGGTGTCTGCTCAGACCTCGTCCTTCTTATCCGTGATCCTCGTTTGGCAGGAGATCTCGCTCCAGGTTCAAGGTCTTCCGTAGCATAAAAGTTACCGACCCCATCAACCACACTCTCGGAACCACCAATCATGTTGTCAACCAAGCCTACCATCTGCTTCGCCTTGGTGACTATGTGGAACTTCTCCGAAAACTTCTTCAAGAAACATGGCTCTGAGCTTCCAAGCCATAGATGTGGAATCGGGCCAATAGATACAACCCGCGAGCTCTCGTAAATCTCCTTCGGATTACAATATGTAAGCCGGAATGCTGTAAAAGAGGTCCTTGGAATGCTTATGTCAGGTCCTATGAGCAATTCGTTGCCTTGTCGCTGTGTAGACATCAAGAGAGGCAGACTGTGAGTGTTAAATGTGGAGTTGCTAGTGTAAGAGCATCAACGCATCTATATGAGCTTCGATGACGAAAAAGATAATGAGAATTTTGCAGAATTATTTGCGATGCCTTTGAATGCAATTTGGTTTTGTGAAAAAAGCGCCTAAAACAGATCGATACCCGCAACTGAAAGCTTGTTGGCTTCTACAACAATAAAGACCCAAACTCTACTGAGTTGTTAGAGTGTGCACAGCTCAAACTATTCCCGCACATCAGGGGAACAATCCATTACATAATCAGAAGGGATCGGCTCAGACGTGCCTTTACGAAGAAGTGTGCCGGGAAAGTGCGAGGACCTTAGACGATCCCAGGGGATCACATCCTCCTCTTACAAATACATTCTTCCTATCACATAAACTCGCAAGTTTCGTGTTCTATACTGGCTTTTGTGACTTTTCCGGACACATTCGACCAATCGTGTGTTTCCGTTGCAAGTCTCCAATCGATTGAGTTAAAGCCGACGTTTCACACCGGCTCCGCTTGCTTTTATAGGACCGCCCAATTTTTCCCTTCGAGGCTTTTTTGCGAACATCACCACCACGCATCTGAAAACGCCCCGTGAGGTTGGGAAATGCAAAAATGTCTAACCAACAACACTTGACTTCTCCGTTTCTGGACGATGCGGAATTTAATGAGGTGAACTTTAACGATAGCTCTGAAACAGTTTCTCGGCAAAGGAAGCCGAGCATATTGAAAAGACAAGGGAACAATGTCGGCAACGGCCGCCAGAGCCCTTCTGTTGCCTTCAACACCCCGAAGATACAGTTTAGCGGTTCCTCGTACCAACCGGGTGACGATGACAATTCCGTGAGGTTGTCCGAGGACAGCCTTAGCAAGACTCCGGCCATGATGGAGGCGGCCACTTTTGAGAGAGACGACTCGATAAATCTGGGTGATCTGGGTGAGAGCGAAGATGTGGATCTTCAGAGAAACCACACGGTGATGAAACGTCACAGATGGGGTACTCAGAGGAACAAAAAGGGAAAACCACTTGGCAGGCACAAGACTTTCAAGTGGAGATCAAATTCGATCGGCCGCAACTTTCGCCAATTCAGCACCAATAACGATCCAGAATCTGACAGTGAGGACGAGGAAGCAAAAAGTGCCCGCGAGAAATTCAGGACGGTGTACTGGAATTTGCCACTTCCCCAGGAGATGCTGAATGAGAAGGGTGAACCTGTCTCCGTGTACGCTAGAAACAAGGTGAGAACGACCAAGTATACTCCTCTGTCGTTTGTGCCCAAGAATCTGATGCTTCAGTTCAAGAACGTTGCCAATGTGTATTTCTTAGTGCTGATCATTCTGGGTGCGTTTTCGATTTTCGGAGTTGCTTCTCCAGGTATGGCTGCCGTTCCATTGATTGTGATTGTCATTCTGACGGCTTTCAAAGATGCACTTGAAGACTCCAGACGTACCGTTCTGGATATGGAGGTTAACAACCAGGGAACCCACACTCTGGAGGGGATCTACAACCCAAACACGCTTTCCGACAACGTTTCCGCGTGGAGAAAATTTAAAAAGGCAAATTCGAGGCTACTGTTCAAATTCATCCACTTGGTGAAAGGAGTTTCTACCAAAGAGGGTAGAGCCAAGAGACGCGAAGAGAAGCTTGGGAGAGGAATTGAGTTATCTTCTCGCAGAAATTCCCTGGATAGTTTTGATGATGCCGGAAGAACTTCTTTCCAACTCCAGGACATGAATAATTTGGGAAGTGGTGGTTCTGGTTCCAGCACCACTGCCGTTGATAACCCTTTCGAAGAAGAGGACCGCCATGACACTAGAGTCAAACCTTTCATTGGAAAGGCCAGTGCCAAGTCTGTTGGTGTCTCTTTCCATAAGGATTACTGGAAGAATATCAAGGTTGGTGACATGGTGAAAGTTCAAAACAACGAGGAAGTGCCTGCAGATATCTTGATTTTGGCCACCTCTGATGCGGATGGTGGATGCTACGTTGAGACCAAGAACCTCGATGGTGAGACTAATTTGAAGGTCAGACAGGCCCTCAAGTGTTCAAGCACCTACGTGAAGCATGCCTCTGATCTGGCAAAGGCCAAGTTCTACGTGGAGAGTGAGGGCCCCCATGCCAACATGTATTCTTACCAAGGAAATCTGAAATACTACGTGAATGGCCATGCAGATCCAGAAAACATGAGCAATGAGCCCGTCACCATTAACAACCTGCTTTTGCGTGGTGTCACCTTGAGAAACACAAAGTGGGCTATTGGTATCGTTCTGTTCACTGGAGCTGAGACCAAGATCATGCTCAATGCCGGAGTCACTCCAACAAAACGTTCTCGGATGACGAGAGAGTTGAACGTCGTTGTATTCCTTAACTTCGTCTTGCTGTTTGCCCTCTGTTTGGCCGCCGGATTGGTCAATGGTATATACTACCAGTCAAAACACAATTCTCGGCAGTACTACGAGTTTGGTACGATTGCAGGGTCTCCAGCAGCTAATGGTATAGTGAGTTTTTTCGTGGCTGTTATTCTGTACCAGTCGTTGGTTCCAATTTCGCTGTACATTTCTATTGAGATCATCAAGACGGCTCAGGCTTTCTTTATATACTCTGATGTGTTGATGTACTTTGCAAAGCTGGACTATCCGTGCACGCCGAAGTCATGGAATATCTCGGATGACCTGGGTCAAATCGAGTACATTTTCAGTGACAAAACAGGAACTTTGACTCAGAACGTGATGGAATTCAAAAAATGTACCATCAATGGAGTTTCTTACGGTAGAGCATATACTGAAGCCTATGCCGGTATCAGGAAAAGACAGGGAATCGACGTTGAAGAAGAGTCCTCCAGGGAACTCAAGGAGATCGCGAAGGACAAGATTGAGATGTTTGATCAGCTCAAGTCTATCGCCAAAAACGACCAATTGTACATCGACGAATTGACCTTCATCTCTAAAGAGTTTGTCCAGGACTTAGGCGGAGCCAAGGGAGATGCTCAGAAGAAAGCTGCTGAGCATTTCATGCTGGCTCTAGCATTATGCCATTCAGTTATCACTGAAAAATCTGAGAAGCAACCAGGCAGGCTCGAGTTGAAAGCACAATCCCCAGATGAGGCCGCCCTGGTGGCCACAGCAAGAGACACTGGGTTTTCTTTTATTGGTAGAACGAAGAAGGGAGTCATTATAGATGTTCAAGGTGTCGAAAGAGAATACCAAGTTTTGAACATTCTCGAGTTCAATTCTACCAGAAAGAGAATGAGTGCAATCATTAAGATTCCTCCGTCCACACCTGGTGGCGAGCCATCTGCCTTGCTGATCTGTAAGGGTGCCGACTCCATTATCTATTCACGTTTGTCCGAAGATAACGATGAGGCATTGACCGACAAAACCGCTGTTCATCTCGAACAATACGCAACCGAAGGTTTGAGAACCCTGTGTATTGCTCAGAGAGAACTAACTTGGAGTGAGTACCAACGCTGGCAGAAGGCCCACGAGGCTGCAGCAGCCTCGCTGGTGGATCGTGAAGGCAAAATGGAAGAAGTCGCTGATTCAATTGAGCGTGAATTGACCCTGCTTGGAGGCACTGCCATCGAGGATCGTTTGCAAGAGGGTGTCCCAGATACTATTGCATTACTGGCCAAAGCGGGTATCAAGCTATGGGTATTGACTGGTGATAAGGTTGAAACCGCCATCAACATTGGTTTCTCCTGTAACCTTCTGGACACGGAAATGGATCTTTTGGTTGTGAAGACCGAAGGCGAAGATATCGAGACTGTTCTAGGCGAGGAGAAGATGAGACAGCTTGGAGGTGACAAAAAGAAAATTGTGGAGTCTCTGATCTCGAAGTACATGATTGACAAGTTTGGCTTGACTGGTTCTCAACAAGAACTTGATCATGCTAAGAAGGATCACGAACCACCAACCGCAAATATTGGCCTGGTTATTGATGGTGATGCTCTGAAGTTGGCTTTGAGTCCCTCGTGTGAACAGAACTTCCTCTTACTTTGTAAGCAGTGTAAAGCTGTTCTGTGTTGCCGTGTCTCTCCAGCTCAAAAGGCTGCAGTTGTCAAATTGGTGAAAGACACCTTGGACGTGATGACTTTAGCCATTGGTGATGGATCTAACGATGTTGCCATGATCCAGGCTGCTGACGTTGGTGTTGGTATTGCAGGTGAAGAGGGTAGACAGGCTGTGATGTCCTCAGATTATGGTATTGGACAATTCAGATTCTTAGCCAGATTGATTTTGGTACATGGAAGATGGTCTTACAAGAGACTATCAGAGATGATTCCTTCTTTCTTCTACAAGAACGTGATCTTCACCCTTGCGCTTTTCTGGTTTGGTATTTACTCCAATTTTGATGGTTCCTACCTCTTCGAGTACACCTACCTCATGTTCTATAATCTGGCATTTACATCGTTGCCCATCATCTTTATGGGTATCTTTGACCAGGATGTTCCCGACTACGTTTCGTTGCTGGTTCCTCAGCTCTACCGCACCGGTATCCTTAGATCTGAGTGGAATTTGCAAAAGTTCTGGTGGTACATGATTGATGGTTTCTATCAATCCCTGATCTCCTTCTTCTTCCCATACTTTCTTTACTATAAGAACGGTATCATCTCGTCGAGTGGTCTTACCTTGGACCACAGATACTGGATGGGTTGTATTGTTGCTACAATTGCAATTGTTTCGTGCAACCTATATGTTCTTTTCCACCAATACAGATGGGATTGGCTGTCCTCTTTGATTGTTGCTCTTTCGATTTTGGTTGTCTTTGCGTGGACAGGTGTGTGGTCTTCATCAACCTACTCGGGTGACTTCTACAAGACCGGTGCCAGACTTTACGGTGCGACGGCATTCTGGGCCTGTTTATTCATCGGTATCCTCATCTGTATTATTCCAAGATTCTCTTTTGATTTTTACCAGAAGATTTACAAGCCCAAGGATGTGGATATCATTCGTGAGTGTGTCAGCCGCGGAGATTTCAGTCAATATCCATTTAACTATGATCCAACAGATCCGAACCGTGTCAAGGTTTCGGCCTACACGAAGGAGCATACGCTGGAGGCACCTGTTTCTGGCCCTTCGTCTCCATTGAACGCTGGAGTCGCTTGGCGTGACTCTTTGAACGGGACAGGAGGAACGAGACCATCATTTGTGAAGAGGTTATTCGGAAAGCATAACTCCACCAGGTCACCCTACTCGGATAGAGTGGGATTCCCATCTTCTGATACTGTGAACACTGAAGAGATTCCAATGGACTTCAACAGAGGTGATCACATTCATAGTCCTTCCTTGACTTTGAGATCCCCTCCTTCTGCCGTCATCCGTGAGGGCGCTGAGGGGGAAGACCGTCTTTCTAGTTTGCGCAATTCCATTCGCCACCAGAGGCAGTCTCTGGAAGCCACCAGAAGATCTTTGGACGTATCCAGACGTGCGTCGTTAGATCAGTACAGAAGAGACCAGAATGCAACTTCCTTCGAAGGAAGAACCAGTATGGATTTCCCAGAACTGACGACAGCTGAATCTTTAATCAGCAGATTGTCAAAATGAAAAAGCAAAAAAACTGCATTGGTTGTTCCTCTTCCCCGATCCATCAGTTCAATTATATACATGTAAATTAGACATCTTGCCAATACTTAGCCTATAATTGTAGAATCTGCGAAATTTCCTTTTCATGCGGCGTTCGTGTCGTCATCACACTACCATAAACATATTTTTTTTTTCACACATACAGTAAGCTTAACTTATAAAGAACTGACACAACCGGATAAAATGCAGTCTTCGGAACAAAATAAGACTGAAAGTTCCGATAATGCTGGAATTGCAGTGGCAGGCTCCGAAGGTATCACCTCCGAAATTCCCGCGGTGGAGTCTGTAGAGCCGATAACTTCATTGAGTGAAGCGGCCTCTGGTACGCAGATAGAAAGCGATATCATTGAAACACAGGAGATCACAGAGTCTGCCAAAGCCCGATTCGCGATTATTTCTGAAAATCTCGAGGAGAAATCTCAACATCAGAATAACGAAGATGAGGAACAGAAAACAGAAATAACCCATTACTCCTCTGACGAATTTGAGGTTGGAGAGCTCAGTTCAGACTCTGAGAAGTCAGATGACAGTGATAGTGATAGCGATACATCCTCTTCTGATGAATCTTCAGAGGAAGAAATAGATGATGATGATGACATGCAGGGTGCTGGTGACTCTGGTGAAGAATTGGAGGACGCCGGAGATGAGGTCAACGATGGCCCTATCATATCCAAGAACGAGGTTGTGGATGAGGCTGCACCCACCTTGCCTGAAGACTTCAAAATCGACTCTACTACTCCACTTGAATATGTGGGCAATATTTCTGCTGTTGTTGAACAAAATGTGATAATCAAGGCTAACGGGTCGGGTGAGTTCCGTGTTTTGAAAGAGAACTCCATTCTGTGCCTGGAAGATCGGTCTCCACTGGGTATGGTGTTCGAAGTATTTGGAAGATTGCAATCGCCTTTGTATAGAGTGAAGTTCAACTCGGATGCAGATGCATTGAAATATAAAGAGAGAAAAGGCTCCAAGGTGTTTTATGTTATTCCAAATTCGGAGTTCATTCTGACTGACAGCATCAAAGGTATAAAGGGTACAGACGCTAGCAATTGTCATGACGAGGAACTTCCCGAGGACGAACAAGAGTTTTCAGACGACGAGAAAGAGCAAGCTTCGAAACAGCAAAAGAAGAAGAAAAATAAGAGCAAGAAGCCAAAGACAAAAGCCATGGGTGAAAGACCTGCTTCCCACAATCTGCCATCTGATCCATACCGCTCTCAATACGTTTCGCTTCCAAATCCTGGATCTAGTCTGCCCCAAGCAAGAACAGAACCCATAAACAACCAGCAGGTCCATCAACAAATGCTAATGTTTCAACGACTTCCTCAAAACCAACCGCTGCCTCCTTTCAACAACATGCAGGGCAACATGCAGGGCAACCTGCTGGGTAACATGGAGAGTTTTCCACCTTATAACTCACAGAAAATCTACCCAAATGTGCAAAACGTGAATCCCGTTCAGCAGGCATCGTTGATGAACCAAATAAGTCAATTGAACCCACAACAGTTGAACGTTTTAGCTCAATTGAGTACCCAGTTCTCGTCACAGCAGGGAGCACCAATGCCAATGCAGAATCAAAATCAAAATCAGGTATATCCAGGTTTCAACCCCCAGTTGGGTGTTCCTCAATATGGCCAGAATAATTATGGTCAGAGTTATTCTCAGCCTCAGTTCCAAGGATCACAGCCTCAACCTGGTGCACCTGGTCAGCAAGGTCCACAAGGTCAGCCTGGCCAACCTGGTGCTCAATTCCATTCACCAGACTCCAACCAGTACAGCTACCCCCATCAACAACAGTATTATCCATTTAATGGCAATCAGAGGGGACCGGGACCTAATTAATGTTTATATATAATAAAAGTCGCTGTCTATTCGCCTAACTCTCACTCTCGTTTAGACGCAACAGAGCCTTTTCAGCAAGCTTGATGGCCTCACCAGGAAACCCGGAAATCTCGGCTATATCCAAGGCATGAGAATGATCGCTGATTCCTTCTCGAAGAGTGTGGTCAAATATCAATTTCTCGTCAATGGGGAGCACAGTAGAGCTTCTCCTAACAGAAGTCGCAGAAGACATGTAGAATTTCACTTTCTTAGCCAGTTCCTCATCCTCACTGATCAACTCTGCAATCTCAGGACCATAGTGTGTAGCAAAAAGAACTTTGCATGAGCTATTCTTCACCAAATAAGAAAGCGAGGCAAATGCAACAGCAATTCCTTCTCTCGTGGAAGTTCCTCTACCAAGCTCATCAACAATTGCAAGAGACCTCGGAGTAGCATCTCTTAATATCACTGCAGTTTCGTTCATTTCCACCATGAACGTACTTTGGTGACGATAAATGTTGTCAGAAGAGCCCACTCGAGTGAAAATCTTGTCGATTACTCCAATATTAGCAGAAGCAGCCGGGACATAGCAACCCATCTGAGCCATGATAACTATGATGGCGTTCTGTCTCAAAAACGTACTTTTTCCTCCCATATTTGGTCCGGTAATAACCCAAGCACTTGCTCCTTTTGAATCTAATTCACACGAGTTGGAAGTGAAATTTTCAGAAACCACTAAGGAATCCTTCAGACCCTCCTCCACTACCACATGACGACCTTCGTGAATGACCAGCTCTGTTTCCTCGTTCACCTCTGGACACACCAAATTTTTGTCTCTTGAAAGTTCTGCAAATGACATCATCAAATCAAGAAACTCTATATTGGGAGAAAGTTTTCTGAATTTGTGAGACAAGCCCAGGACCGAATTTTTCAACTCTTCTATAAGTCTGTCCTCTTCCTCGAATATGGCCTGCGAAAGATAAATCATGGCATGTCCCAGTCGTTTCCATTCGTTGCTTATGATTTTGGCACCAGACTTATTCTTATCCTTATAAGAGATTCCCGAACTCTCGAGAACGGTTGTCAATGACTTACTGCTAGACCTGACATCGATCACGAACTCACCGGTTCGAAGGTCTCTGGAAAATTTGAGAGAGCCGGTGAATCCGTGCTTCAAAAGACTCTCACGAACTTCTTCTTCTAATGAGCTTTGTTTCTCGATATGTTCATTGAACTCCTCCTTCAATTTCATCAGTTTAGCCGAAGACGAAGGTTTCACAGACCATGCACGATTTTGGTTCCCAAAGTCAATCTTTGGAAGAACCGGCAAACTTTCAGAACTTGGCTCTAATTGTTCAGAAATGGTTCTTGCAAGTATTGCAATTTCTTCATCTATTTTCAGACAAGATTTGATCAAACGTTTGAATTCGGCTGGGGATGTTTCCACCAAAAGTTTCATCTCTTGGATCAGAAACACAGTTCGTGATAGATCCAAAAGCTCAGACGCTTCGGCCCTGCTATTGGCAATTCTTCTCAGAATTCTATTAACATCAGACATGTTCTTTAAAAGACTTCTGAGCTCGTCAGTAATAAGTCTATATTTCAGAAAGATCCTCACAAACTTCTGCCTTCTGCTGATCTCAGCGACATCGGTAGACGGTGAAAGCAGCCAGGTCTTCAACAAACGTGATCCTTGAGGTGTGTAAGTATGATCCAGAACTGTTGATAGTGCTCCTGTTTTAAAACCGCCTCTGATGGTGCTGGTGAGCTCCAAGTCTGTAGCAGCCCGTGAGTCAATACTCATCAATGACTCAGGAAGCGATCTTTGAGGCAAGCTAAATCCCACATTATAATTCGGAATGCATTCGTCCAAATAATTCAGAAGCATTGTAGAGGCAGCTTTTTCCTTGGTGGACCATGTTTCTATTAGAGATGTCATGAGTCTGGGGCTTTCCTGGAACCTATCTAGAAACGAAGAAAGCTTCTTTCTCGAGCTTGGAAATGCTCTTCGAGTGATATAATAATTCCTAATATCACCAAGTTCAGGATACCAACGACCTGAGACCAGTTTTTCAGTGTCTATGGACCTGTCTATCACGATTTCACTAGGGTTGATCCTGGTGATATTGGGCATGAGATCGTTCAAATTGGTCTCTAGTATATGAAAATTTCCCAGTCCAACATCAGCCCAGGCTAGTCCAATTTTCATGTTCGCCAAATCCTTGAATGGGTCATCGGGAAAGGATATAGTAAGCAGGTAGTTGTTGTAATGGTAGTCTCTGACTTCGTCCTCCATGACAGTACCAGGAGTTATCAGTCTGGTCACCGGTCTCTCTATTCTGTTAGTCACTTTATCAGCAACCTGATCACACACAACAGCCTTCAACCCCAGCTTGAAAATCAAATTTAGGTATTTGTTCAATCGGTAATCGGGGAACCCCGCGAAAGCCACATCCTGTTTCTTCAGCTTCTTCTTTGTTAATGAAATACCCAATACCCCGGCATATTTCTCTGCCTGTTCAAAGTAGAGCTCATAGAATGACCCTACCTGAATTAGCACCACATATTCCTCCTGGAGAGAACTGTACTTATCGATGGTATTCTTGATCTGCTGATAGAATGTTGTGAACTCCAGTTCTTCATCATCCACACCGTTCTCGGTTGTTTTTTCGGAATCTTCCCTTCCATTAGTTTGAGGCAGTGCCCCAAGAGCACCGCTATCGATTTTGGGAAGGTCTTCTAGTAGAAAGACAGTCTTGGTTGATTTTTCATTCAGACTCTGTTCATGCATTCTGATAGACCGCGTACTGAATGCGCAACGCGCACACCGAAAAGCGCTTCCCGTTATTAGTCGCACTCGCGATTGGCGAATCAAGCATCTTGCCTCCCTACCGGTTATCATCTATCAAAATAGCGGTTTTCGAACTATTTTCTAGGCTTTTCTGTGTGCCTCTTATAAAGAAATCCTTAGGGCAAGGTTGAGTGAAAGCTCATCGCGAGTCGGCCCGGACGCGCGCGCCTGCAGACTGGCTGTGGGGGAAAAATAAAATATCGAATTGCATTCCAGCCAGACATGGAGACTGAAACATCAAACTCGTACGGAGACCTTGATTTTGAACATCAGTGTTGCTTCTTCATCTTCTCTTATTATACATATAATACAATTATCAATTAAGATACCCTTTACACCCGGGCGCCCCACACAAGCATGGAATCCTTTCCTCATCGTTGGTCTCTCTCTCAAACTTGTAATCGTAAGTAAGCTCTTCGTTGGTCCCGATGTCTCTGAGAGCATATATCACAATTCTTTTCTTACCTTCCACCTTGATAATCTTCGCAGTGCAACTGGGAACACAACAATGGTTGATGAACCTTGCGATTCCACCTTTCTTGGTCGCATCAATAACGGTGTTCTCGTCAACTCGGAACAGATAACTTGAACCAATTCCAGACTTGAGATACTTCTTCTCCCTAACCTCGGCAACCTGTTGCCTCAATCTTTCTCCAACGTACTCTATGATCATCTCCTTAGCGGAAATTGGTTCAAGAGCATAAAGACCCCAGTTATGGATGGCTGACCTAGCAAACGAAACAGGCTTTTTTCTTTTGGTCAATTGGTTGAGGTCAAGAATGTCGGTTTCGCTTCCGAGAATCTGCTTTTGAGCACTGATATCGGCCGCAAATCTTCTGTTATTTGCACGATTGACACGCGAACTGTGGCCGGCATTGCTAGCCTGGACATCTTCCTCCTCAGTCTGAATGGTATTTAATGGTTTGTGGACCTTACGCCTATGAGGCAAGTAATTCACTTTTTGACTGTCCAGGATTTTCTGATATCCTTCCGTCCTGACTGATCCAGTCTTATTTTGAAGCTCCGGTATGGTTACTTCTTCAACTTCTCCAACGAAAGATGATGGGTGCATGCTATCGCTTACGTGAAGCTTCTTCCAAGCCCAGTACTGCAGATTGCCCAATGTAGACACATCTGAAGAGTCGCTCACTATGGATTTCAGAAGCAAGAAGTCTTCATCATCTTTCACAATGCCTTGTATAGTCTGAAGGTTTGTTAGAGAAGGCTGGGAAGGCTCATCGAAAACAGGTATCGGAAGCCCCGTCGTTGGTTGATAACGTTTGTCCAGCTTGGCATAGTCTTGATTAACGAAGAAAGGAGTATCAACCTCCATTTCGGTGCCCTCGGTTTTCACCTTCAGCTCAGGTTCAGGAGATGTGGGCTCCGAAGCAGAGTCACGTTTTCCCTCTGATTTGAACTCAACAGATTCTTCATCATCAGAAGAGAATGAGGTGGAAACAGCAGTACCGTTTTTGTCAAGCTTCTGTTTCTTCTTAGTCTTTTCAATATTGATCGCTTTCTTATTCTCCACCTTATCTGAAAGATTTTCCTTCTCTGCTTCCTCTTCATCCTCCTCCTCTTCGCCTTCAGAGCTTTCGTAGTTCAGAGCATGTGCCATCGGCATCAGGTTCAATCTGGCTTTCCTATCAAGGTGTTTTCCGGTATCGGTCAAACCAGTTGAGGATGTAGGCGCTTTTGCTCTTCTGAATGTTGGAAGCTGAGCTAGAGACTGACTGTTTCTTCTGACACCTGGCAGATCTGGTACAAAATCGCCAGAAGTAGGTTGATTGAGCTTTTTCAAAGCCAACTCATCGCGCTCTTTCTTCTCTTGCTCCTCTTTGAGTTTCATAATCGATTCTGGAAAGTTCACAGGGTCCAAGAAATCAAGAATTGCGGTCGCAATAATCTTATCCCTGATGTCTTTTGTTAAATAAGACTCCAACTCTTTGGTAATCAAAGCACTGGCCTGGGATGGCACTGAGCCTCTGATGGTGGAAGAGGTGGTCTCATTGAAGTCTGGAGGGACTAACAGTTCCATATACATCTTGTACTGGAATAGTCTGCGACCGTCCTCCTTGTGGAAACAGCGTGCTGCTTCCTTCAGTGAACTGAATGCCACGTAGAAACCCGAATAATGGGTCAAGACTCTACTCCACTCATATCTGTCAAGAGTTCTCTTGATATCATAGGGTGCAATATCACGGGTAGGCACATATCTGTCTGGAATCAGGATACATGGCATCCCTTTGATATGCTTCTCTATGTCACGAGGAAAGACAATCTTGCTGCTATCCCTAATGTGGCGGTCATGACTGGTAAGCTTTGGAGCATTCAGGAGTGTCTCTGCGTAGCTAAGCACCTCGCGAGAGGAATTCTTTGAGGACAAAATCTCGCTTAACGCTGCTATCTCTTCTACTTCAGATCGCAGAAAGGCTGGCACTTTGGGGGCCGACAAAGGAGGTTGATTCACAACTGAAGGTAGCTTCCTTTCTTTTGGAGTAACCCCTCTGGTAGCAGATTCCTGTTGCTCCTTCCTGCGGAGATCCCTCGCTTCCTTTTCCTTCTGAGATTGCTCCTCTTTCCGTTTCTTATATTTCAGCTTCTCCACAGCCCTTCTTGTGGTCTCATTCAGTAGCCTGTTCTCAACGTTCATTCCCGTCTGTATCGTGGTACCAGAGATTATGCGCTTTTTATTGGTCTGCTGAACAGCCTCTCTAGCTGCTGAATGAGCCTTGTCAACATCGCCGTCAAATGACACCACACAGATGCCAAGCGGAACAGCTGTCACCGGGTCATTGATCGACTTGAATTCGATGATAGTCCCGAAAGCCTTGAAGATGTTCTTTAGTTGGGAGACTGGCGTAGAGCTTGGAAATCCCCATATGACCACCTCATTAGCCGGCTTGGGTCCAATGGAGTGCTTGTCAAACTGGTACTTTGGTGGAATAAGCGACTTGAAAACGCGCTTATTAGACTTTCTGCCTCTCTTTTCATAGAAAGGATACACAGTTCCCTTTCTTGGATCAACTGCAGGTTTTGCGGACAGACTAGGTACCTTATACAACGGTTTGTTGCCCTTGGAGGGATCCTTCTTGATTTCCGGATCATAAATGACCATATAGTTCTTCTTCGGCACCAGCTCGCTATTATCAGTCTTCGAGACTACGGAGATGAGATGGTTCTGAGGAACAAGCGTAGCTTCTGGAATTGGAGATGGCTCCTTCAAAGAAAGCTCATCCGTAGCTGACCCGTGAGAACTCTGGTTTTGATACGCTGGTCTGGAGTTCCTCTCCTCGTAGCGTGGCTTGTGGTGTCCTGACAGGGATTGGTGATCGTTGTAGTATTTTTCATCGTCGTAGCGATAACTGCCAGAATTTGAAGACTCAAAGCTTCGACCTCTGTAACCATCTCCATCCTCGTAGATTCGAGAAGATTTGCCATAAGGTGCCCGTGAACCGCCTTGTGAACCGTTGTGCGACCCGTTATACGACCCGTTATACGACCCGTTATGAGAACCCTTATACGAGTCGCTATGCTGATGACTGTGATCAGGCCTTCGAAAAGACATTCCGGTGGACTATAAGAAAATGATTCGATACTCCCTTTGTTGAATATCCGCGAAATGCAACACACAACTAGAACAGGTATCTATCAAAATAGACACAAGGATGAACAGTGGACAGCGTTCAACAGATCAAATATGCGTCTATCAAATTTCAGCCTGAGCACTCGGAGAACTTAGGAACCTAAAACTCCAGGTCTTTTTGATCCCACTGAATTATTTACTCGGCAAACACTAAGAATGCTTTTGTGTGAGGCTCTTGTTTAAAACGAACGCTCGCGATTCTGTTTACCAGGGTACTAAGAATTGGACAAATACACTACGTGTGGCGGTGCCGGGGTTGGGGCCTAATTATGTAAGACTTGTAAGGAGAAACCTCTTTGACGAAAATTTCGAATAAATCTAAGACTGAAAATGATTAAAAGATAACAACAAGTTTGCTCCGTCTATTTGGTCCTAATATGTTTCAAAGGACCAGTGGAGTGCAAGAAGTTGATGGAGTAGTCCTTCTTCTTGAACTTTCTCTGTCTTGGTTCCTGGACATAGTAGTCCCAGCCTTGGCCAGTGGCAAATCTTATGGCACCTTCCTTGGTGTCAAATGCCATTATAGTTCCCTGCATGTAATCGGCACTTCCCTGGTAACCCATCATGTCATTCTCCCATCTGTTTCCTTTCCCTAGCACTTCCCAGTCCAACTTCCAGTTTCTGGTATTGTGCTTGCCGCTCTGAGTAGCCGACTTGGACTCCTTCCAGATTCTCACGACTCTGTCAGAGGAGAGAGAGGGTGGAGCTCCACTCACAATCTCCTTGGGCAACCCAGACTGCTCCTCCGTGAGCGTTGGGAGTTTTTGTGATATAAGAGCAGATGCAGAGAATTGGCGGCTCATCTGCATAGCGCACTGCTTGGACAGTTGAAGGTTCTTAAATGCCAACATTTTGGTCGTTGTATTGCTGTCTTGTGCTTGAGGGTGTTTACCTGATATTCTTGTAATCAACTAACATCTGGTTGGCCAAACCTTTGGTTTTAATCGTTATTCCACGACCTTTTCAAACACCCTTCAAAACTGGGAGCGGCACTCTAATAGTCGTGAAAAGGCTAAATCAGCAATTTACTAAATGCGGAAATAACCCTGTTCGGGCCAAACGTGTCGCGTTTTTCCAGATCGACAAATCAATCCCTAGAAGGGGTGTGATCCCTGAGTTTTGACAGTTCATCACATCTTTTTTTCTTTCTACAATCACAAAATATCGAATATGACCTCGAGATTGATTCAACAAGCTATCCAGGATGTGATTCCTTCCCAGGATAAACCATACCCTCCACAGCTGATTTCTTATGCGACGACGCTGTCTTTGACCTCGACCCAGAAGTCAAAGTTTCTTCAGGGGGGCTACGAGTTTGCAAAGTATCACTTGTCAGTGTATGCTGCAGTTGTCCAATTGAAGGAGAGATTGAATTTGCCGGATCCAACTACTGATAAAATTCCAATCCCACCCAAGCAGGTCAACAATATAGTGAACTCGTTTCTGCAACTCATCATTGATCCGGCTTCCAACCCTACGACACCGAGAAAAAGAAGGATGACGCCAAGCCTGACACCTTCCACCCGTTCATCTAAAAAGAGGAACGTTAATACACAATTGGCCACTCCAGAAAGCACACCCACAAAGCCTAAAGTGGTTCAATCATTGAAGGATGCAGATGAGACATCTTTGAAGAGCGCAAATAATGTGAACGATGTAACGAAAAAGCTTTTGGATCTGGCTGACGCAGAAAACTCTGAGGATGTCATTGACGAGGACGACATATTTGACAGCCAGGAGGAGTTTGATTATGGTAGTGAGGAAGACCCTGATGAAATCAGTGATCAAGAGTACACCGAGCCAGGCATCAAAATACACACACCTCGAGCCTCGCCGGCGAGAAGAGTTGGAAGGCCGAGGAAAGTCATTGAAGATGCCGATAGTCAATCACCGGCTGATTCCACGCCAAAAAAAAGAGGTCGTCCCAGAAAGCACCCATTACCAGAAGAGACTGGAATCGCCCTTAAAGGCAACTCTGCTCTAATAGATGTTCAGATCGAGTCGACCAAAAAGCCAATGACTTTGAAGCAATTGGAAACATTCTGTCGGCGACTGGATATCCCATTGGCCACTATTCAGAATATTATTCTGAGTTTCAACGAGTTCAGAAACAGGATCAAAAACGAATGGGCTTTACTATGTGGCCTGGTCGCTGTTGCATATACGCGGTTGTACCATAGTGAATGCAACAGTGAGATTGGCGTGAAGAAGAGCTTTTATGACAATCTCCATGAGCTGCAGAATGGAGGATTGCGCAAACAAGACCTAGGCTACTGGGTGGGAGTGGTTGAAAGATTGGTCTCGTCTAAGCAATGGGTACGAAACCTGGAAATGGTCTCCGGAAACCCTGAAAAGTGGATGGAATTACCAACTATCGGCGACATGGTAAGTGCATCAGTTAGATACACCAGTCATGCTTATCTCAAAATGTTTGAGGATTGGAAGATGGCGTTCTGTGCCGAGTTCGAGATTAAGCTGTGAAAAATGTCAAGGGACATTTATACCTCTCGAAACGGGAATCGTCTCAGTAGTGCAGGGACTCAATAATGTTTAGTGAAAAATCGAAACCTCGAGATATGTAAACTAGAAACGAAAGGTATACGCGAACCGTCACAAGGTTCAAGGACTCAAGAAGGCTTGATTATTGTTGTAAAAGCATATCAGTGGCTACGGATTTGCTGTGCTATCTTATCTTACGTCGACTAGTGGCACTTCAAGCTTTACCTGCACATCTATAGAGGCACTGAAAAATCAGCCCCAATGGATCACACAAGTTCGAACATACCCTCGAAAAGAGGTCACGAACTTGACCAGAATTCACAAAACTCAGCAGTTCAGAAAAACAAAAGACAAGATGTCTACAAAAACTCAGCTATGGATATCGATGAGGATATCGACGGTTCAGACGACCAACTAGATAGCCATTCAGATATCGGATCTCCATCGTATTCACAACAAGGCCATCATGTGGACAACGACAGTATTTGGCAGAAAACAGTTGAGAAAGTGGTCAAATCGGTTGTTTCAATCCATTTTGCCCAGACAGCTAACTTTGATTCCGAGCCGTCGTTAGTCAGCGAGGCCACTGGGTTCGTGGTGGACTCGGTAAGAGGTCTTATTCTGACCAACAGGCACGTTGTTGGAGCTGGACCTTTTGTGGGATATGCTGTGTTTGACAACCACGAAGAATGTGAGGTCAAACCCATTTATAGAGATCCGGTTCACGATTTCGGGTTTCTTCAGTTCGACCCAAAGGGTATCAAGTATATGGAGGTGCAGGACCTGGAGCTTAGACCTGAGCTCGCTAAGGTGGGTTGCGAGATCAGAGTTATTGGTAATGACTCAGGTGAAAAGCTCTCGATTTTGGCAGGTTTCATCTCGAGATTGGACCGTAACTCGCCGGACTACGGTGGGATGACTTTCAACGATTTCAATACCGAGTACATCCAGGCAGCTGCAAGTGCGTCTGGGGGTTCTTCTGGATCTCCAGTTGTCAATATCGATGGTAATGTTGTTGCTCTTCAAGCTGGTGGTAGTACTGAGTCATCTACAGATTTCTTTCTTCCGGTTTACAGAGTGTCCAGAGCCCTGAAGTGCATCCAAAACGGAGAGCCCGTCACCAGAGGATCCATACAGGTGCAATGGGCCTTGAAGCCCTTTGACAAATGTCAGAGACTGGGATTAAGACAAGACACAGAGAAGAGAATGAGGGAAAAATTTCCAGCCTTAAATGGCTTACTGGTGGCCGAAGTCGTGCTTCCCCAGGGACCAGCAGATACGCTTATCCGAGAAGGAGACTGTCTGATTTCCATAAACAACATTGACATTTCCACCTTTATCACCGTGGACGACATTCTGGACTCTTCGGTAGGAAAAGTGATCAATGTCACTATTCAGAGAGGTGGTGAAGATATCAGCTGTGAATGCGTTGTGGGCAACCTTCATGATATCACTCCAGACAGATATCTGACTGTTGCTGGGGCTTCTTTCAACTCGGTGAGTTACCAGATGGCTCGTCTATACGATATTCCTGTGAAAGGAGTCTTCTTGAACGATGCGTCAGGTTCATTTCTGTTTGATGAGAACGAGAGGGTTGGTTGGATTTTGGATCTCGTCGATGAGAAGGAGACTCCAGACTTGGACACATTCATTGAGATTATGAAACAAATACCAGATGAAACGTGGGTATCGATTCAATGTCGTCATTTGACCGATTTGCATGTGCCCAGAACGTCTGTTGCTTGCATTAGAAGACGTTGGAACCCAGAGATGAGAATGGCTACGAGGAACGATACCACTGGTTTGTGGGACTTTGAAACTTTACAAGAGCATCCCCTACCACCAAAAACTATTGTTCCACATAATGCCAAGTTCATCGACATTCCCACCGATTTAGAGGGCTGTGCCTCAATGGTGAGGAGCTTTGCCCTGGTGGGATCCACCATACCATTCCCTCTCGATGCCTATCCAGGAGTAAGAGGAAAGACATACGGTTTGGTTGTAGACGCAGCCAAGGGCTATCTTGTGGTTTCCAGATATGCCATTCCCCACGATATGGTGGATATCCATGTCACCATTGCCGAGTCCATTGTGGTTCCAGGCAAGGTGATCTTTCTGCATCCTTCAAAGGGCTATGCTATCGTGAAGTACGATCCATCTCTGGTTCTAGCGCCCGTCACCACTCCCAAGTTCAGCAAGACGCCTCTGTTGAGAGGTGACAAGGTCATCTTTGTTGGTTATAATATGAATTACAGGGTTGTGACGGATGAGACTAAGGTGTCTGATGTTGCCTGCTTGGGTGTTCCCAGCAACCCCACGGCCCCCAGATACAGAGGTACCAATCTGGAGGGTCTGCAGATCGACTCTAATCTCAGCTCTCAATGTGGCTCGGGAGTTCTTTGTGATACCGATGGTACGGTTCGTGCGCTGTGGCTAACGTATTTGGGTGAAAGGACTGGTGACTGTGATGCTGTCTACAGACTGGGACTTGACATCACCGAGATTAACCCAATAATTGAAGAATTATCCAACGGAAGAGTCCCTGATCTAAGAATGATCGACGCTGAGTTCACCACTATTTCTATTGCAGTTGCAAGAGTGAGAGGTGTTCCTGAAGAGTGGATTCAAAAGATGGAGGAGGACGACAGTGGAAAGGACCGTCTCCAGTTCATCATGGTACTTAGGTCCAGTGCTCAGCTCTCTGGAAAACCATCCGTTAACCTAGTAGCCGGTGATACTGTGCTTGCCATCAATGGCAAACGTGTGAGTAGGTTCAGGGACCTGGACGTGATGCACACCAGTCAAGAGATGACATTCACGGTTGTGAGAAGAACGGAGATAATTGACGTTGTGGTGGAATCTGAGCCACTAGACAGTTTCAACACCAACCAGGTGGTTTTCTGGGCAGGTGCCTGCATCCAGGCTCCTCACCATGGAGTCAGACAGTTGATGAGAAACATTCCTTCTGGTGTTTACTGCTCTGCCTCTACCAGTGGATCACCTTCTAGGCAGTACGTCATTGGAATCACCAACTTCATCACCCACGTGAACGAACAACCTACTCCTGATCTCGATTCTTTTCTGAAGGTGGTGAGAACCGTGGAGGACAACACATACTGCAAATTGCGCATAGTGTCTTTTGACAATGTGCCATTTGCCCAGACCTTAAAGGTGAACTACCACTACTATCCAACAGTCGAGTTCAAAAAAGATGCCAATGGCGACTGGAAGGAGCAGGAGCATAAGCCATGATCTCATTTACATAAATTCCAAAAATGAAGTTAACTCTTACTATTCACATGACATTAAACACACACACACACACATATACACGTTGGTACCTAAGGGCACCTAAAGGTACGGCAGCATCTTTCCCAGTCTCTTCTTCATGTTTCCGTGTCCCGACGATGTTGCCATGGCCGTACCTGTATGTTTCCGCAAAACAGAACTGGTCCACGAAGCATTTCCGTGCTTTCTTCCTGACAGCCCTCTCTTGTAGCCTCCTGCGGTCTTCCTCCACCTCTTGTAGGCAGATCTGTTGGTCTTCGCAATGCCTCTTGTGAACGTTGTAGGCGTGAAAACCGAGTTCATAAAGCTCGTTCTGGTGAGCAGAGGCGCGAACAGGTTCCCAAACATTTTCAAGCTGAGTTTTCCGAAAGAACTTGGTGTGCTAGTTCTATTGAAATATCGAAGTGCCCAATGGTTTGAATCTCGTTGAAGAAATGGGAATTGTGCTGTACACAACTTTTCACGATCTGATACATACACATTGAGGGATGATTGAAACTATTGGATATTAAGAAAATTATATATTAGATTCGTTCATTTCGGCATCTATTAGTCCTCGTCTGAATCGTAACCTAACACCAAACCAGAAGCTTTCTCCTTTGCAGTGCTGGAAGGCTGTATCGGGACTGTGCCACTGTCTGCTTGGAAAGATGAAATGCCCTTCTTGAGGTTTGACAGCTTTTTTACCGGCTTTCGCACAGGCTTTCGCACCTTTTGCAGTGTTACAGATAGCTGTGGGACTTTCTTCTTCTCGGTCTTTGAGTGTGTTGTTTCCAGCAATCGCTTGTACTCTTCAAGCTCGTCCTTCTCTCGGGATCTCAACACTTCTTCTTTTGCTAGGTCTTCCCGTTTAAGCTTGTCATAAAATGCTGCTTCTTTAGAGTCCATTCTGTACGACGAATTGGTCTGCTCCAGCTGCGATCTGTACTCAGCATACCGTTCGGCTCGGTTATCTTTCAGCTGGTCAGCCAGCGACTTCCTCTCATCTGATTCTTTCTCCTGAAGATACAGTAATGAATCTTCCTTCTCCTTCAGCTCTTCCCGTGCAAGTTTTTCGGCATCAATACTTCCATCGGCAACAAATCGCGACGTCATATAAAGAACAGTCCTCACGGCTTTGACCGTAAACCTTGAAAGTTTTTGAGACAGAAGCGGATTCTGAGCCGCGTACTAACAAGTTTGATTGACCCGATAGTTAAAGGCAGAGTACGGAAGGTCGTGCAGTCTACATATATCCGTCAACCTTTAGAAATTACAACTGGCTAATGTAGTGTTGTTTTGATACTTATTTACAGAGATTGCAACCTGGAAGCCTTAAAAGCCGGCGCCCATGGAGTGAGCAAGCATCAGCTCGTTCAGCTTGTTGTTCAACACAGGATCTTCCTTGGTGCGGATCTGCATCTCAGCAGCCAGGTAAAGGGCAATCGCTTGAAGTCTATCTTCATCAGTACCAGCAAGGCGGGCAGCTTCTTGGAAGTTAGAAACAGCATTGTTAACGTCTTGCAGTTGCAAGTAAACTTGACCCAAAATGAGCTTGACGGTTTCGCTCTTTGGATCAACCTCGGCAGCAGAGACCAAAATATTCTTGGCTTCCTCGAACTTATCCAACAACGAAGTTGGAATCATCTGCTGTTGGGCTTCGCTTATAACCAGCTGTGCCTTGTTCAGCAAAGGACGTGCACCCACGTTGAAAGTGGGGAGAACCTCTTGGAGTCTGGCTGCAGTGTCGAACTCCTTCTTTGCAAGCTCAAGTTGTCCACGATCTTGCAAAACCTCACCATAGTAATATGGAATTTCTGCCGAAGTTGGAAACTTCCTTCTGGCCTCAGTGAAAATCTCATCACACTTCTTGCCTTCGCCTAGCTTATAATAAGTGCTACCCAGCTGAATGTAAGCATACAGATTATCAGGGCTAAGCTCAAGAACCTTCTCGTAATGCATTTTGGCATCGTTGAGCTCTCTGGAGAAATAGCTGTACTGGCCGATTTGGTAATGAATGTCTGGGTTTTCGGGCTCCAAGGTGAGGGCAGTGGTGAGCTCTCTGGTGGCGGCCTCGACATCGCTGGAATCGAGTCCAAGTAGGCCAAGAAAAATATGCGATCTAGCTCTTTCAGGGCACATGGAAACGGCCTTCTCGTAAGCAATCTTAGCCTCATCGTTGGCACGTTTGAGGAAAAGCATGCTTCCGTGGAGTTCGAATGCAATAGCAACCTTCAAGGAAGGCTCGGCATCGGCATATCTCTGACAGGCTTGGTTCAAAGCAACATCTGCAGCATCATAGGACTCTGGGGTATCCTTCTTGATGAGCTGAATACCCTCTAACAAGAAATAGTCACCGGAGCCTTCTTCGGCGTCTTCTAGAGTCTCTGGAAGACCCTCAATTGGCAACTCCTCCTTCAAAACAGAGAAGAAAGAACTCAAAGTGGCAGCAGAAGGAAGCTCGTGAGATGGAGTCGCATACTTCTCAGCCATGACGGCTTCTGCATGTTTCTTCAAGACACGTTCAAGAGTGGCATCGGCAGCCTTGTCCTGGAACGAGGTGTAGATGCTGTAAGCAGTCAAGTCGAATTCGGCCTCAGCGTACTTGCCCAGATTCTCATAGGCAGCCGCACGTCTGATAAAGCACTTAGTGTAATCAGGTCTGAGTTTCAAGGCAGCAGTACAATCCTCAACAGTCTTCTCGTCATCCTTCAAAGCAGAGTGGCAGGCGGAACGGTTGGAATAGTACACAGCATCCAGTTTGCACAACAGAGCAGAGTCATAACAAGCGATCGCCGCATCGTAATTCTTAGCTTTGAAATACTGGTTACCCTGCTCCTTCAAAGCAAGAGCCCAGGTGTTCTTGTCCTCTGCGCTGAGAGCCTCAACTTCGGCAGAGCCAAAACTGGGCAATCCAGTGGTCTGACTGACAGGGTAAACGGTATCAGTAGGAACATTCACCTTGGTCTGTTTCTTCTTGGATTTTTTGGATTTTGACGACTTTGGCTTGGGTGCTGCCTTGTCTGAGTCCTGCGAGACATAGTAATAGTAGGCACCAGCAACAGTGGAGGCACCAACCAGTGAGGTGATGATCACCGCTGATCTATGGGTCGATATCCACCGGGTAATCCCCTCTGTAAACGATCCAGACGAAGACATTGTCCTAGACGTGATTGATTTCAGGCGAGAAGCAGAGTGATGGGGTTGTTGGGGGAATGACCATTGCCGAGCGCGAGGGTAAATTTCGTCAAGCTCGTCAAGGCTCGTCGATTTTGGGACGGGAACTACTGCTGACGTAAGCTGTAATGGCCAATGTAAGGATATGACTTATTTCTGTGGACTAGTTGATGTTACATTACGGGATATACTTATGTCTAGACTTGGGTATATTTTGTGACACCAAAACTGCGGTAGGGGTACGTTGTGTGTGGCATTTCGTAGTATGTACATTAACTTTTAACAACGGAGACCATAAACAGCCGCCCGTGGTGAATACCCACAATCTGATCTTTGTTTTATCTACCACGTTCCCTCTCGCCTCTTCAACATCCACTCCTTCTTGCACTCTCGATAAGCCTTGAAGTATTCCGCACATACTTCGCGGTAGTCATCCTCATGGCTCTCCATGCATCTCACGGCCATCTTGGAAGATTCTGCGCATGGATCGTAGTAACGCGATGGTTCTTTCCTGTATCAGTGTTAGTCCCAATTCGTATACAACATCTGATGAATCTAGCTTACACGAAAAATGACTTGCTGTGCAATTTGTCCAGAGGCTTATCAGGATAGTACTGGAAGTCCTCTACCTTGCTGGTCTGTGGGGCAAAGTCCACCTTTGCCTCTGCTGCAACGGAGCTCTTAGGAGCAGCATCTTTGCCGCTCATATTCAACTTTCAAGCCAATAAAAGTTTTGTGAAGCAAAGATTTATAATGAAATCAAACGCTAGTGCTATTGCTTCTTCAAGAAGCTGATCCGAATGAAAAGACCAGCGGGTGTGCAATACTCAACTTAATTTTTCAAAAGATAAAAAGATTAGAAAGCCTCGAGTGCGGTTCAACCATGACCAATAAACAGGCCAGAAACATGTCGGAAATAGGCCAGACTTGCAGGAGATGCAAAAATGAAGAGGCTGTGTTGATTTCAAGGAAGGAGCCCTTTTGCGGAGCTTGTTTTGTACACTTTATAAGGGGAAAGCAGCGGAAGTCTATGATGAGTGACGATTTCAAAGTGAAATATGGGGCGAAAGAGAAAGAAATAACCAAAGTTTTGCTTTCATTATCATGTGGATCATCTTCCTTAGTTTTGCTCGATAGTGTTGTGTCTATGCTGAAGGAACAAGCCATACAGCACAGAAGTCGCCAGGGTTTCGAACTAGTGGTGGCCATCATAGACACGCCGTCTCAGCAGACTCTCAAACCAAAAGAGTTCATACAAAAATTCAAAGAGTCAGTGGAGACCAGCAATTTGAGTGTGAAGTTCAAGATATTCGAAATGAATTCCATGAACATCAGCAAAGATGAAATACAAACGTTAAAGATTGATACGGCATTCCAGCTGGATGTTCTGCCTTCAGAGATAGAGGGTGACAGCATGACTCTGACAGAGTTGCTTGACCAATTTTCCTCAAAATCCACCAAACAAGACTTTGCAAGTGCCATAACAAGGAAACTCTGCTTTGGGATGGCTAAGTCTCTCGATTGCGGCTTTGTGCTATTAGGCCATTCCATGACCAGACTGGCCGTGGAGGTGCTCTCTCTGACTGTAAGAGGGCGGGGCTCAGAAATTGGAGATGCTTTGCATGATGGCGAGGTCTCTTCTGAATCCGGTTTAAGGGTTATTTATCCTTTACGCGATGTCCTTTTGTCCGAAATTGAACAGTACATCCGGGTGCAGAATCTAACCCATCTGGTTCCATTGGAAAGCCCCGAGTACCCGAAAAGACTACTTCGTAACTCCAGCATCGACGAGATGATCTGGGATTATTTCAAAGATGTTGGAACTAATTATGCTGAAGTTGTTTCGACAGTGGTAAAAATCGGGGACAAGTTGACGAGCGTCGAAGTCGGAAACCCGTGCAAGATATGCGGTGAGTTAGTGGCAGATGATCCCTCGCATTGGCTACGCAAAATCACCGTGAATGAGCCTTTTTGTGATGAAACAGTCTCAGTCCAATCACCAGATTCTTCTCGCTCAAAACCCTCGTCTGACGAAGTTCACCAGACCATATGCTACGCTTGTATTGTGAACATGGTTATCGAACCTGCAGATCAAGCACAATGGCCCAGAAAAACGTCCTTCGAGTCTGATGTTTTGGAAGAGTACATAATTGATGATGATGACTAGCCATGAAGCTATTGTGGTAACTTATGACTTTATAAATATTTCCTAATTTCCGAAATTTTGCTAAATATCGCCAAAATATGATTACCTAAGCTGCATATGTAGCTCACACTATATGCAAGTCATCGCACGCAGGGATGGCCCATATGCTCGCACCATAATAACCACGTCTTCATATTAAGTCTTTTGTACATGCGTTCAATTTCACCAATTGTTGGCTCCAAGACTCCATTCCATCATGAATAGATTCCCTAAAGAGGTTACATCCATTCCGTCACCTCTGGTGATAGTCCAGGGTCTTGGAAAGGATGGAATACCAGAGGGATCACCTAAGTCAGAACCCGAACACAACACTCCACGCGATGCCTCTATATCGATACCAACAATTCACAGTATAGAAAATCCTCTTCATGGCGCCTATTGCGAGAATAATGAGGCTATCACGCGAAGTTTCCCTAATATTTCAGCGGCATCTGGACTTGAGTTGGTAGCTCTCTTCAAAAGGCACGATGTCAGCGATCGTTTCTGGGACTCTTCTCTGGCATCCACTTCAACAAGCAATTCCAAGTTCAGACTGAAATTTGTGAACGAGTATAGTCTTCCGGCGTTGAAACAGCAAAAAAGGCCCCATTCCGATGCCACAGTAACGGGTTCCAGTTCGGCCTCCTCTGATACCTCTTCGACGACTGACCGTACCAGTTCATCACCTCTGTCTCCCTTCAATGCTGAATCTGAGTTATCGTCTGATAGTATTCTGTCGCTCCATTGGTTGCAGAAATATGGACAATTGCATCCGTCAGTTTTCATCAGTGTTCACGAGCTGGAGACTGATATCACTGACCCGGCTCAGATCAAAGAGGCAGATGCATTGATAGTGAAGGAATTGCTTGTTCAAAAGGAGCAGTTCTTCAAGAGGAAAATAAGGTTTTTGTCGATCGTGTTAAGCTCAGAATCTGGTGAAAATGACCCTGGTTTAACTGGTCGTATCGAGTCGATAAGGAAACTGACTGGACTGCCGTCTAGAACAGGACTGCTTTTTCTTCCAGCCGGAACACAGAGGGAAATGGACGGTTTTATGGGTGGATTACTGCAGCTGCTTCACTCATGGACCAATGACTTTTACGCTTTGATGGAGAGACGAATCAGGAAAACTTTGGCCAAACCAGCTCCATCTTCGTATGGATCGACTTCCTACGATGCCAGGTATTCGTTGAAACTAGGATTGATAGCGCAGGCTAGACGAAATTTCGATACGGCAGTCAAGTCTATGGAGCACTCTTATGAGAAGCTCATAGAAGTTTTGAGAACAAAGAGCCAGTATGATCGTGTTTGGACTGAACTACGTCTTTTAGTGGATATGACTGCAATGCACATCACCAGACTGTATTTGGCCTTGGGAAACTCAAATGTCGCGTACAGAAAGTTTGAGATTCACATTCAGATTGTGAGCGGATTGCTATCGGATAAGTCCATTGCTCTTGACTCTTATACTACTTTGAGTTGGTTGTCACTACAGTACGCTTGGCTGGCGGAGCTGGTGGAATGTGTTCCTTCGACAATTGTTCCTACCGATAGGTCGTTCCAACCTTCATATGATGTCAAAGGAAAGGCTGTTCTTGGTGAGAGTGTTGATTCAATGCCACAAGGAGGCTTTTTGTTCCTTCGCTCGGTGACATTCCTGAGGCAGAGGAAAAGTATGGCGACCAAGACCTCTCCAAACTCAAAATCTACTGACCCATACATGTCTCTACCGCTTTCTGATGAACTGCAGTTTGATTATGGCGAGCAGATAATACACTATCTTGAACGAGCTATTGAGTCTTTCGAGAGAGGGAAAAAGTCCAAGTTCAGCAGGTCCGAGTCGTTCATCTACTTCCAGCTGGGCGAGGAGCATTTTCTTAGACACAATTATGGCATGTCTGCAAATAACTACATTGTTGCTCTGTCTATAGTAAGAAATGAACATTGGAGTTTCATTCTTTCCGTGGCATTGTTCCGGTTGTACAGATGCTCTCTAGAGTTTAAGAACTACGAGGATGCAATCTCGCACCTGCTGGAAATTTGCACCATCAAGGAGGAATTATTGGATCCTAGAATCAAGAAGCTCCCAAATATCTCCGATGAAATTCCCCAGAAAATTGAGAATGTCAGCTTCAAATCCGACACCAATAGAGGTCTCTTCACGGGCTCAGTGTTGTTCAAGGCTCCTTCCAATGAGTTGTCGGAGCATTCAGAATTTCAGCTGGCTCTGCAATCATCAATGAATAGCCTCATACCTGAGATAACTGTCAAGTCCATTAGCATTGAGTTTACAGGATCAATACCAACTTACATCATCCAGCATGACCCTGCAGCCTCTGAGAAACCATCAACCAAAATCACGAACTTTCTGCGAGATGATTCCGGTAATCTCTGTGGATTTGCCAATCTGAGCTTCAAGTCCAGGGAATTCAAGGTTTTCCAGTTTGACATTCTGCCTACTTCAATTGGGTCATTTCGCTGTGCTGGAGTGTATGTGACTGCCGAGACTGAAAAACTGTCTTTTAACTGCAACTTGCCTCTTGCACATACCTCGTTCAAGGAAAGGCATTTTTGGTATCCAAACTCTGACTCCTTGTTGGTGAAGGAAGTTGTGAGATCAGATGATCCTGCCGGTGTTAATGTTATTCCGAGACACCCTAAGGTTAAAGTGGACCTCGACTTCAAGCCCAACAGTTTTGCAGGTGATCCGTTTGTGGTCCATGTAAGTCTTGAGAATAATGACTTTGAAGGAGTTGGAGTGGATCTAAGCGCAACTGCTAGTCACAATTCTCAAGATCTCAAGGGTTACTGGCTTGGAAACTCCGCTGCTGATGAGTCCAACACGATTTCCGAGTCAATAGACGTCTCCACATCCAAGACATTTGGTCTGGTAGTGAACATCCCAGCAGATGCTTCTGTTGGCAAAGGAAGGACTCCGCTTGCAATTGGGCTACATTTGACATACTATGTGGGAAATGATAGAAGCATTCCTGTGACCTCGAAAAGAACAATTACCATACCGGTATTGAGTGCTTTTGACTCATTGCTGGTTGTCAATCCCAGAACATGGAAAACAGGTATTCCATCACCATTCGTGGTGGACACCAGCAAGCCAATCAGTGCTATTCCCCTTCATCGTCGCTTATGGTGCGCCATGATTGACGTCAAGTCGAACCATCAGAAGCCCATCGAGGTGATCTCTGCTGAATTGCAAACACGTTCCACCACAGAAGGAATTTCGTGCATTATCGTGAAATCTGACAAGCATATAGATCCCAGAAAGCTGCAGAATGGTGAGACAAAGTTCCAGTTCCATTTTGTCTCAGAAGTACTTGATGGCCAACCCAAGAGGAACGTACAACTGGAAGCAACCCTGCTCTTTAAGTACCGTGTTCTTGATCCCACCAAGTCCGAGGAAGAGCAAGCCCTTGTGAGCAAGTTCCGCACAGTACCCTGGAAAATAGCTTTGCCTCAAACAGATCCTCGTGTTGTTCTGGATGTGACTCCTCTGGAAAGCTCTGCTGAAGCGCATCCTTATGAACTGAACTACGTGATTGAGAACCCTACTCCTAGAATTTTCCAATTCTCCACATCTCTCGCAGATAACTCAAATTTTACGGTTTCAGGTCTTCGAAACCAGACTTTCTCTGTGCTTCCCTTCATGAAACAGGAACTGAAGTACCGAGCTATACCCATCGGTGAAGGCTGGTTGAAGCTTCCAGAGTTCAAGGTGTATGACCTCAACTACAAGGTTAATCTCCCAACCTTGGTGGCTACTCCCGAGGCAAAGGCATCTGACAATGGAGATATCTACTTGTTAGCATAAAATAATAATTATTTCCGATAAAATCACCTTCGTTTGCAATTTTGAAATTATGCACGTCAACCTGCAGACGTTACGTGCCCTGGGTAACCCAATACTGCCAAAAACCGACTGGTTGGACAATTCCATCATTACCAACGTTGAAGAGTACAGCAATGGCCACTACTCGTTTAGCTTTTCGTTCAGCCTGGAGACCAATTACTCAATTCAATAGAGTCAATTCTACCAGAACTTTCTTCTCGTCCCCTTTACAAATGTCTGAACTCAAAATTGAAAAGATCGCACCAGGTAAGTGCTGAGTTTTACACCAACGCCGGTTTCTTGTCATGACCCCTCTCGTGTACCCTGTTTCTAACTCTTTTCCAGGCGATGGTAAGACTTTCCCAACCGTTGGCAGTCTTGTGACTATTCACTACGAGGGTACCCTCGAGAACGGCAAGAAGTTTGACTCCTCCAGAGACCGTGGCAAGCCATTCCAAACCTACATCGGTGTTGGTCAGGTGATCAAGGGCTGGGACCAAGGTATTCCAACTCTTTCTCTTGGTGAAAAGGCCAAGTTGACCATTCCAGGTCCTCTGGCTTATGGTCCACGTGGTTTCCCAGGTTTGATTCCTCCAAATGCCACCTTGATCTTTGAGGTTGAGTTGCTTGGAATCGACAACTAGAATGTGTAATTCTGGATGCTAACATAACTATGGAACATAATTGTTGAATATGCTATGCAACGTGAATCTTATTAATACAAAGTAGTCTCTCACCTGTGTCGCGTGCTCCTTCTGATTGGAGGTTTGGCAGCTGGCTTCTTCGGCGTGGGCTTGACCTTGGTGTCTTTGGCTGCAGTCTTGGAAGGAGTAGCAGCAGGAGTCGAGGCTGGAGTGGTTGATTTCCGGGATCTTAGGTTCTTGGGCTTATCCTCCTCCTCCGTCTCTGGTTCATCGGGATGCGAACGGGTTCTTCTGGTGGGCGTAGTGGCTCTCTGGGGTTTCTTGGTGGTGGCCTTGGTCTCGTGCGACCTGCTTCTTGTCCTTGTTCTTTTGGGAGCTGACTCGCTGTTTTCATCGTCATTATCGTCGTCGTCACTATCACCATCATCATCGCCTTCGTCTTCCTCCTCAACTTCACCCTCTTCGCCTTCCGCGGCTTCTTCTTGCTCCTCTTCTTCCTCGCCCTCTCCCTCTTCATCCTCTCCATCGGGAGTCTTCTCATTAGCCCCATTACCATCATCTTCCACGATATCCTCCTGAACATCTTCTTTCTTCTGCTTCTTCGGAGAGGGTACATCCTCGATTGCAGGGCTTCGCCTCGAGATTCTCCGACTCTGCCTCCTTGTCTTTGTATCTTCCTCTATGAACTTCACGCTCTTGGTCTCTTTTTCCTGTTCCTGCTCTTCTTGACTCGATAGTTCGCTTTCCTCTTCCAATTTATCCAAGCCTTCCAAATCGTACAAATCGTCTAAAACCCGTAGAACATCGCCACTTTTCCAGCTGTGTTTCTTGTCCTCGTTGAGTTTCTCCAAGATCTGAGCCATTTGCGCGTCTTTGTCAGGACCCACGGGTCTGTGGTAACATATTACGTTTAGCAGTCGCAGCGTTTCATCCTGGCCCCATTCTTTGGTCATATTAAAAATTAGAAGCAAATATATGCCTTGAGATGGATAAGTTGCAGTATAATAAGGCCGTTTCCATCTTTGCCTAGAGACCTCTGTTATGGCTCCACGAATTAGACGCCAGGGCTCAGTAACCTTTTTCACATCGTCGAAAAACTATATCGGACCTTTACCCTAAACTGCAACAAGACATTACCGATTACTCCAAGATTTTTCCTGATTTTTCAACTTTCTCGTCGCGGATCTGTTGAAAATGCCCAGGAAAACCACTAACTTGTACTCTCTTCCACGAGGGGTAAGTCAAACTTTTCTATAACCCACACACACTAGCTTCTTCGACTAACCAAATATAGGTGATTCGTGCTTCCTGGAACAAATGGAACTTGTTCAATCTATACAAGCAGCAAAGGTTTAGGGATAACCAAAAGACCCTTTTCAAGGAGAAATGGTCTGCAAAAAACATGACAAGAGCTTACCATGGTGAGCACATAACAGAGTCCAAGTGGAAGGCCTTGTTCACACCACAGTTGGATGGTGTTGCCCAGCTGGATGCTTCGTTAAAGGGAGATAGACTCAAGCCAACCCCCATGATGTTGCAAACATATGCTGTGCTGGAAAGAAGATTGGAGTATGCCGTTTTCAGGGCCATGTTCGCCAGTTCCGTGAGACAGGCGAGACAGTTCATTATACAAAAGGCTGTTAAAGTGAACGGAGTTACCATCAGGCATCCTTCCTACCAACTGAAGCCGAATGACGTTTTTTCTGTTGATCCTGAAAAGGTGCTGCAGGCTGTTGGAAGAACCAAGCCCAGTTTCAAGAAGGCCCACCAGGTTGACCAGACTCAAATAGTGAAGTGGAACAACTTTGTCAAAGAGGCCAAGGCAAATCCAAGACAGGTCTGGGAGAGGCTCCAGAAGAAACGCCAAGATGCTCAGAGATCAGGGCCCTCTACGAAGTTTGGAAACGATCAGGTTTTCTCCAACGAGGTCATTTTGGCCAAGATCGAGAAGATCAACGAGAACAATCTGAAGGAGATGCGTGCTAAGCAAAAGGCCGTCGACAAGTTCTCCGTTCTGGAGGACATTGTGAAGGCCGTTCAGAAGTCAGAGACCATTGAAAGTGCGATTTTTGAACCCCAGTTCGGTAACCTGAAGAACAAGTGCTACCAAGTTTACGACTATTTGGGAGAAAAACATGAGTTGTTCAACAAAGATTCTGTCTCCGTGAAGGATACCGTCTCTGCCTTCTTGAATGTGAAGCCAGAGGATAGGAACGCTGATGAGCTCAAGAAGTTCAAGAAAGTCAAGCAATTGTTGTCTGAGATCAGTCTGGATTACCAGGAGCTGATCAGAGTTTCGTTCAAGAACAAGGAAATCTCCAAGGACTCAAAGGATGTATCCTACAACCCAAACTGGGCTGACAACCTTGAATTTCACCCCAATATTGCAAAATTCTCCGAGATCGAAGATGAATCCTCGGTCAAGGTGGCTCTTCCATGGCAAAAGGGTGTGTTTGGGAGACAGAATCCAAACAAGTCATACTTCACTCCTTGGGAGCCAAGACCATTCCTGGCACCATTTGCGGTATTACCACATCACTTGGAGATCTCTTTCAAGACTTGCCATGCTGTGTACCTGAGGCATCCAGTTGCCAGACCAGGCCACAGTGAGGTTATCTCGCCATACAGTGTTGAGACTCACGAACGTGCTTACATGTACTATGTCAGAAAGGGCCAGTGAAAATAGATATTCTAATATACATGTACATACAGGACAAAGGATGTGTAATCGTGTAACCGTGTCACCGTATCTCTTTGAAATTTTCATATTTCAGTATTAGAAGCACTTTTCCAAAAGGGTCGTGAGCCGCTCCTGATTTGGCCCCATTATAACGCATGGCCCTCTTTGTTTGTCTTGTTGTTACCAAAATATTCCCCTTTTATGCCCCGAATAGACTCCAAAACAATCTCACAGGCAACAAAGTTCTCTCGTTTTTTGCCATGGTTGTTGCGAGCCTCTCGAGGTTCAATTGTTGAGGCCAAAAAGGAGCTCCGTTGGATTAAGTCTGAACTGCCCAGAAGCAAATGGGAAAGGGCTTGTCAGGCTCGGCACAGGCTGGTGCCTTTGCAGTATATTTTGGGAAGCCAGCCTTTTGCTCATGATCTTACCATCAAATGTCGGCCAAACGTGTTGATACCGCGAAACGACACCGAGGACTGGTGTGTCGAACTGGAGCAGATACTATGTGATATCAGGAAACCACTAAAGGCTCTGGACGTGTGTTCTGGATCAGGATGTATATCACTCTCGCTGGTCAGCAGTCGAGCAAAATTTTCACACGTTTATGGCATAGATGTTTCTCGTGACGCCTTGGAACTGGCTAATGAGAACTTGAGGATCAATAGTCACCAACTACAGCGATCGAACCCCAAGTGCATCATGAAGTATGTTAGAGGTGACATTTTGAATGAGAAATTGAGCGAAATACTCGGAACTGGAGCCAAATCGTGGGATATTATTGTGTCAAATCCCCCTTATATCACGGTTGATGAGTTGGCCTCTTCCAGTCTGGAGAAATCAGTGAAACTATACGAGCCCATGTTGGCTCTAGAAGGTGATCTGGAGTTTTATGACGAGTTGGTGAAGTTAACGATTGAGGCTCAAGCCAGAGCCTTTGTTTTCGAGCTCGGGAATATCAGGCAGGCCAAGCGAGTGGCAGAACTACTTCATTTGAAAGATTCTAGTTGGATATTCGGCATACGAAGGGACAGTGGAGGTATAAGGAACGTTATTGGCTGGAAGCGAGACTCCGAATTTACAAGTTTAGATAAATTGTGCCACGAACAACTTCAGTGATGAACTTGTATTATAATTTTTTCATTGGATCAAAATTCGTCTATTTTTCAAACTTCGACGGGCTCTTCCGAGTTCAGCTTCTTCTTCTTTCTGCCCCTGCCAATGGCAGTGATGCCTTCCTTAGGGAATACCCTGGTACCCCAAAACACATATCCTCCTCCGCCTCTCATGGACATCAGAGGGTGGATTCTTCCGGGAATCGTCTGGTACGGTCTCACTCTCGTGGCGATGATGCTTGGCGCCAGAACCCTGAGGTCTTTGGAGACAGTATGTGAGAGCTCAGACACCACCTCTATGTACGGACTGTACACTACAATGGGTCTCGAGCCTCCAATCTTCTCGATGAAACGTGGAACAGCTGTCGAAGGTGAGAGTGTCGAGGCATAGATCATGCCATCAAAGTTGCCCTTTTTCACGATCTCCACCACCGTCTGCAACTCCAAGGCCCTCTTCTTCCTTCTGAAATACGTCTGTTTTTTGGAAGGCTTGTACTCCTCGATCTCCTCTTCGGGAAGTTCTTTCCATGGAACCACAACTTCTGGCTCGAAAAAGTTGAGGATGTTAATGGTTTTCACCATGTCGTCAACGGCCTCCGCTGAAAAAATGGAGTTGTTCAGCACAATATGGTTGGGATGCTCGTTCTCGTGGACAACCGTCACCCTTCCCTTGCCTTGCATTCTCTCGAGCATTGCATATAGTATAACACCACCAGTCTCATCAACAAGAAGATAATTTCCGCCTGGCATTATATTGGCGTAGTTCATCATGATGCCCAAACTCTCCTCACTCAGGTCCAATACTCTGCCTGGGTCCTTTCCATAGTAGTATTGTAGCACCTGCGACGCGCCAAGATAGTCAATTGTAAATCTTCTCAAGAACTTCTGTTGCTTCCTCTTGAGATACTTTTGCTGTGAGAAAACGGTTTTCTTCTCGAAACTGTCGTGACCTTGAATAATCTTATCGATGATGGCCTGTCCTATCTGACCGCTACTTCCCTGCTTCTTCATCTCCTCGATATCAGCGTTTGAAAGTTTTTGGACCTCTGCTCCCAGATCCTGAATCTCTTGGTTGTTGACTCCACTTTTAAGTGCTAGTCTTATCAAGTCGTCAGCGACTGCAGAATCAGCAGACTCCGCTGCTGCAGTGTCATCCTCTGCGTCTTTTGACCCAGTATAGGTCATTCCGGGAACAGGGATAACCTTTTTGTCATCAACAATCTCAAATGTCTGACCATATTTGTGTCCTAGCACATCGTCAACAAAGAAAGCACCAAATTTTCCCAGAGAAATGGATCCACCAGGTCTCAGCTCCACAATCTTAAGTTGATCTGACGGCAGTCTCACCAGACAGCGGGCATGGGCCCTGATGGTGGTCTTCTCCACACTCCAAGCTCTTTCTAATTCCGACATTCTCAGAAGAGCTTTATCCGAGCAATACACAGAATATATATGCAAAAGACAGACACTTAAAACTGACACTACAGCCAGCCATAGTGAGACTTTCAAATGAAAAAAATTATCGAGAGCCTCATCACCAGGGCGTGTGGCGGCAAATCTGAAATTTTTTTTTATCAAGTCCTCATGTTGCAGGAAAACGTAGAATTTTCGTTGTTCTTTCTCTATACCACTATTAAAAAATCAAAATCAAATGGGTAGACGTGCAAAGAATAAGCAAGGAGAGCCATTATCCATAGAGGAGTTTCAGGCCAGGAAGCAGAAGAAGGGCGAGAAGAGGACCTTCAAGAAAGAAACCACTTCTAAGGACACATCTAACAAGAAGAGACACATTTCTGAGAGACCTGTGTCCAACAAAAGCAAAAAAACCAAGAAACAGGCCGTTGCTGATGTTGAGTCCGATGCTAGTGACTTGCCAGAAGTTGACTACGAGGAACTGGCCAATGCCAAGAAGTCTCTGTTTGAGGACTCTGAAGAAGAGGAGGAAGAGGAACTCCAAGGATTGGACGATTTGGAGTCTGGTGAAGATGAAATTGACGTTGATGACGAGTTTTACGACTCTGATGAAGGTGATCGCGAAAGGCCCATGTTCTCCGATGACGAGGAGGACATGGAAGAGTTGAACGCAGCCAACATGGAGGCCCTTTCCAGAAAGCTGGACGAGGAAGCTGAGCTGGAGGAGTACGAAGCCGAGCAGGAGTTGTTGGAAGGTAACAAGATTCAGCCAAGAGCCAAGGTACTTCCTACTGCCGACGAAGAGGAGGAAATTGCCAAGGGACCTCAGGATCTCACCATGGTGCGTACCAGAATGCTTGAGGTGGTCAAGGTCCTTGAAGACTTCAAGACTCTGTCAGAAGAAGGAACCAACAGATCGCAATATATTGACAGATTCGTCAAGGATCTGTGTGAGTATTTCGGATATTCCCAGTTCCTAGCCGAGAAGCTGTTCAACCTATTTTCTCCCTCCGAAGCCATGGAGTTCTTCGAGGCCAACGAAATCCACCGTCCAATCACGATCAGAACCAACACGCTCAAGAGTCGTCGCAGAGACCTTGCACAGTCGCTGGTCAACAAAGGTGTGAATTTGCAGCCAATTGGACCCTGGACCAAGGTTGGTCTCCAGGTGTTTGATTCGCAGGTGCCAATTGGTGCTACTCCAGAGTATCTTGCCGGTCACTACATTCTCCAGGCTGCTTCTTCGTTTTTGCCAGTTATGGCCCTGGACCCCCAGGAAAACGAGAGAATCTTGGATATGGCTGCTGCACCAGGTGGTAAGACCACTTACATCTCTGCACTGATGAAGAACACAGGCTGTGTCTTTGCCAATGATGCCAATAAAGCCAGAACTAAGAGTTTGATTGCCAATATACATAGACTTGGTTGTCGTAACACCATTGTGTGCAACTACGATGCTCGTGAGTTCCCAAAGGTGATTGGAGGATTCGACAGAATCTTGCTGGATGCCCCATGTTCAGGTACTGGTGTTATTGGAAAGGATGAAAGTGTGAAAGTTTCTAGAACTGAGAAGGACTTTATACAGATTCCTCATCTACAGAAACAGCTGCTGTTATCGGCAATTGACTCTGTTGATGCCAACTCCCCCACAGGTGGTGTTATAGTCTACTCAACTTGTTCTGTTGCCGTCGACGAGAACGAAGCTGTTGTTGACTATGCTTTAAGGAAGAGACCCAACGTGAAATTAGTGGAGACTGGTCTTGCCATTGGTAAGGAGGGTTTCACTTCTTATCGTGGAAAGCACTTTAGCTCCAAGCTGAGCATGACCAGAAGGTACTACCCTCACACGTATAACGTTGATGGCTTCTATGTTGCCAAATTCAAGAAGATTGCTCCAAGTCCAAATGACGTTTCCAAGGCCGGAGCTTCCGAAAAGGAGGCTCTGGCAAGAGCCGAGGCTGAGGAAGAAGGTATCATCCACGATGATTTCTCCAAGTTTGAGGAAGATGAGGATAAGGAAATTATCACCAAGTCCATCAAGCACAGTCTTAAGAGAAAGGGTATCAACCCAGCAACTGTCCTTAATAAATAACACATTTGTACGATAAAAGAGGCCCATTTTTGTATTTCGATTCCACTACTTGCCATTACAGCCTGACGCATCCCATCCTGTTCTCCTTGATGTACTCAGGGCCCATTTCCTCGTACTCTTGCTTGGAGATAAAGTAGTCAGCACTATCCGAAGATGTGGACCAAGAGGCCATACCCCTCCAGGCGTCCAGAATTGGGTCATTGGCCTTTCTTACCCTCAAGTTGGCGTCCACTGGCAAGAAACTTCTGAAGTCGTTGTAGATACGATCTTCAAAGTTCTCGAACAGAGCTTGTCCACCAGTCAAGAAGATGTCCTTCAGAATGTCCTGCTGAATATCTCCAGAGAAGCCCTTCTCTTGGGGCAGTCTTCTCAGAAGAATATCCTCTGAAATTTCGGAGATTCCTGCCTGGTCAATACCTGCTATTGAAGGTTGGAATAGAACCTCTGGAACCTTTATTCTTTCCACGTTCAAATGAATCTGGTGCTGTTGGTGAGCATCCTCGGGGTTGAACTCCCTGGGTCCTCTTAGAAATCTGTGCAGAATGCTCTTCCTCCAATCAAATTGACGGTAGAATGTATCTTCGATGGAGAACTCAGAGTCGAACTCAAGCAGCTCCTGCTCCAGAGTCAAAAGAGCCTGCTCCTCTTCTTCCTCGGCTTCGTCGTCATCCACCAGAGCTATGTCCCTGTAGACTGCCCAATCGTCATCGTTAGCACCAAAAGTATCGTTGGGATCATTATCGATAGTAACGGCTGCCCTCTTACGCCTATTAGAAGCATCTCCAGGCCCATCGTCTGAAGCCAACGAAGCAAGATTTTTCATCCTTATCTGCGCAGCTCTGGACTTTCTGTCGCTCAGTTCCTCCTTCAATCTTCTCCTCTCCTTCTTTCGCTGGATCAACTTGTCCAATTTGGCCTTTCTATCTGCAATCCAGCCCTGTATATCTGTTTCTCTCCATTGCTTGTCCTTCAAAGCATCCTCCTCTACCTTCTTCTTCTGCTCTTCCTTCTCTAACTTTGCGCGCATGCGGGCATCATAATTGGCCTTCATTAGTCTTTGCTTTTTCTTCTCCTTTTGCTGTTCTTCGTCAAGTTGCTCGTCTGGTACTTCCAGAAGAGGGAAAGTGGGGATTTCTTCGGTTTCTTCTATACCGAGATCCTGGTTTCTCACTCTCTTCAAAAACTTATCCAAATTGGCGATGTACTTGTCAAGGGCAGCCTCGTTATCAAACCCTTCGGTTTGCAATGTTGAAAGGATAAGCTTCTTCGTTCCATTCTGAAGTTTTACCTTCAATTCCGAATAATATGCAAACTCCTGTTCTTTTTGGACCAACTTCTCCAGCCTCGCCTTCTGGGCCTGCTCCTGTAGTCTACGGCCACTTTCTTTTCTCTTCTCTGTCTCGATCCGGAGCTCCTCCTCAGTTTTTTGTACCTTGATTACCTCCAAAAACGGCGCCTCTATGACCCTGTCCTTATTCTCCAAAACATCCATCTCCAGATACTGGCTGAGTTCCTGATTGTAGTTTGAAGACACATAGCAGTGGTCCTTGATTAGATTCCCGATCTGGTAATTGTTGATCTTCGACGGAAAGAATGGGTATTTCAATGGCATGTACTTCGCAAGATAGTTCACAGATTGACTGCCTCCCCAGTCTATTCTCTTGGAGATGTTCAGCAAGGGCTTACCGGATACCACAGGTATCAGATGCGTGGCGTCATGGCCAGACGAGATGACCAATCCACTGCTTCCCTTGTTCTCGTAGAACGAAAACAAAGAGTCAACCCCGAAAGCTGCTTTGGGAGTAGAGTACGCCTCAAACACTAGCTGCATCATGGTAGACCGTTGTTGCAGAGGGGCAGCAAGCACCTCGCTCATCACAATTGGATTGTCCACCTTTCCAGAAGAATTGACACCCAAATGCGCAAACGAGTAATCCAACAGGGTTTCGATAGTATCCCAATTGGTGATCATTGGACCGTCGAAGGGGGACCTCATACTGGACTTGATGGAGGAGTCCAGGTAGATATCGTTACCAAGGATCGTAAGCGTCTTGTTAAGTTTCCGCTCCCTATATTTGGATATTATTGAGGGGAACACATTGGAAGGCGACTTTTTGTTTGCAAGCCCGATTTTCATGGTTGAACGACCCAAGTCAATCGCGATAGGAATGCCCGTTTGGTAGTCATGATAGATTGGCTCCGGACGCGACGAAGCCTCCACATCCTTCAGAGGATAAACTGGCAGTGGCTGAAGCTCCTCGGGAGTCACGCTCACTTCCACTTTGAGACTTGATGGCATTGCACGGTCGAGATGGTGGTTCGTCAAAAGAGATATCTCAACTCATTTGGCACGTAGCGGCTTCAAAAGGTCCATTGAATCCGAGGAGGAGCGGGCACGACCTTCGTATAAAATCTGTACTGGTACACTACCGCTTCATCACTCCGATCTGCCCTGCCTGATCGGCTCTACGTGTAAGTTGCGTGTCATACTTCCAACAATACACACTTGCTAACCATGTCTGCGGATCAAAATAAATACAATATCCAGGGCTACAATCTGGTGACGTTGCTGAAGCGGTAAGAAACGGTTTGGGATTTCGGGAATGATGCCTCCAGTATACTAACAACCATGGATTAGCCTCGAAGCTGCGACTTCTCGTCTTGAGGATGTCACTATTTTCCAGGAAAGCTCGCTCAAGAACCTTGAAAAATCGGCAATTGATACGGCTGATACTCCCTCAGGCTCGTTGACTGAAGGCACCACCAAAGCCATTGGTTCCGCTCCATCGGTACCATCAACCCCTGATTCAGGAGCCCCAGAGCCTAATGTTGCGGCAGTTGAAATTCCAAAATCTATCAAGGCCTTTGATGATTTCATTTCGTACTCAATTGACCCATTTGTTGCAGTTTCGGAGAAAATTGACGCCGTTGTCGGTAAGCAAGCCCAGGTTTTCAAGGATGCTTTTATCGGGGAACGCAAGTTCCTCTTAGCGGCCTCTCTGTCCAAAGAAGTGCAGCCTACCGATCCTGTTTTTGGTGAGGCTTTGAGCCCAATCAGCACTTTGATTGGTGAAACGGTTAAAATCAAGGATGAGAACAGAAAGTCGCCTTTTTTCAACAACTTGAACACCGTTGCTGAGGGTGTGCCAGTCTTGGGCTGGGTGGTCACCAAGACCCCAGTCTCTTTCATCCCAGAGTATAAGGATTCTTCGTTATTTTGGGCGAACAGAATCCTGAAGGAATTCAAGGACAAGGATGAGTCCCAGGTTGAATGGGTCAAGTCTTTTTTGAAAATCTTCGATGATCTGAAGGCATACACGAAGGAGTACCATACTACAGGGCCCACTTGGAACCCCCAGGGTGGTTCTTTGGCTGATGCTTTGCAGGAAACATCAGCCTCGGCCGTTTCAGATGCTCCTGCTCCTCGTGACGCTTCTGCTGCCCCTGCACCTGCTGCGGGTGGTCCACCACCACCTCCACCTCCTCCCCCAGCATCGGTATTTGAGACCTCTTCTGCTCCGGCCCAAGAGGTTGGAATGAACGCTGTGTTTTCTGCACTTAACCAGGGAGAGAAAATCACCTCTGGTCTCAAAAAGGTCGACAGATCTCAGATGACCCACAAAAACCCTGAGCTTCGTGCCTCGTCACAGGTCCCTGCTAAGAGATCCTCTCCAGTGCCCCCAAAAAAGCCAACTGGTTTGACCAACAAGAAGCCAGCAAAGAAGGAGCTTATAGACACCAAATGGCTGGTTGAAAACTTTGACAACCCCGGTGAAGTCATCACCATCGAGGGCGAGATGCACCAGAGCATTTTCATAGGTAAGTGCTCCAATACCGTTGTTCAGGTCAAGGGAAAAGTCAACGCAATCTCTATAAGCGAATGTAAGAAGGTTGGACTTGTTGTTGACCAGCTGGTTTCCGGAGTGGACGTGATCAAGTGCTCTGGGTTCGAAATCCAAGTTGTGGACAAGATCCCTCTGATCTCAATCGACAAGTCTGATGGGGGCCAGATTTACTTGAGCAAGTCGAGTTTGGATGTTGAGATCTACACTTCATCCACCACCGCGTTGAATGTGAACGTTCCTACTGATGGAGAAGATCTGGCAGAACTGCCTATTCCTGAACAGTTCAAGCACACGTTCGGAGCAGACGGAAAGATCACCAGCACAATCGTAGAACATGCCGGTTAGATCATGAGCCAACAGATGCAAGTATTTGTACAAAAACCACTAATTCGAACCGTTAGAGAAAAAAAATTGCCGTCTATTGAATCGATTGACACCCTAGAATCAAACCTTGAGACCTTGCTACTGCGCAAGAGCTGGGAAGGTGGGCTCGTGCGGCGCAAGCAAATTCCGAGGGTTGATACCCTCGGTATATGCGTCAAAGAGTTTTTCCGGCAGAGGCATCACCCGGAGTAACGGAACCGCAAATGTCGTTGAATAACAATGAAGCCAGCAAAGCTGAGCTTCTAAAATAATGCTTTGGTCACCATCGTCAATTCGCAACCTTCAAATATCATATCTATCTACAGAGGCCATGAGACCCGGGATTATTTTGCCCAAAGCAGGTTGGCTAATGCCTCCGGGGCCCTTATGAGCCCTTACCCCGGACGTGCGGGTGATGAGGCCTCTTTGGCAGCTGTTGGAAAGAACACCCGGAATTTCACTGCCGTGAGCCAGGGCAAATTGCCGCTGGTTTGGTATATTTAGCCGTAGTAAAGCTATTCATGGCTAACAAAGGATCTCAAACCCAGCCATGCCAAAACCAACGCGCTACCCCGTAAATTTGAGCTTTATGAAACAGCCAATAACATGCATTGATTTACAAATTGACAGGCCAATGATGGCGTTTCGGAACCGAGATTTGAGGTGTGGTTACGAGCCCGCGGCCGGGACAGCCTGCATTTTCTTTTCGGGAGCGGTTTATGGATCGAATTGTTTTAATTGTTTTTACCACAACAAGTTTGTTCAAGCGGTTCCATTGTTTAGAATTGATTTGCTTGTGCAGGCTGAACTAGAATTGCATAATGTTGAGATCAGCTCTGAGATCGTCCACGAGATGTGGCCTTCCCCTAAAGGCTGTTGCCGTGTCTTCCAGGCAATTGGGCTTGACCGCCGCCAGATCCATTCAGACCTCGGTTAGACCATCTGTTTTGCGCTCTACCGTAAGAAAATCGCCTTCGCCATTTGTTGCCACCAAGTTTGACGTTTTTGTGCGTGGAAATGCGCAGATCGTGAAGGTTCCTGATATGGCAGAGTCCATCACTGAAGGTACTTTGACTTCTTTCTCCAAGAGCGTTGGTGATTACGTTGATGCTGATGAGACCATTGCTACCATTGAGACCGACAAGATCGATGTTGAGGTGAATGCTCCTATTGCTGGTGTGATCACTGAGTTTCTGGCTGCTCCTGAAGACACCGTTGAGGTTGGCCAGGATCTGTTGAAGATCGAGCCTGGTGAGAAGCCAGAGGGAGCTGCTGCTGCTGCTCCAAAGAAAGAGGAGGCTGCTCCAGTGAAGGAAGAGCCTAAGGAAGCCGCTGCCCCCAAGGCTGCTGCTCCACCAAAGCCTGCTGCACCAGCCCCTACACCTAAGAAGGAAGCTCCTAAGAAGGAAGCTCCTAAGGAATCCACTCCAGCACCATCTACTGGATCATTCTCCAGGCATGAGGAGAGAATCAAGATGAACCGTATGAGAATGAGAATTGCCGAGAGATTGAAGGAGGCCCAAAACACCGCTGCTTCTCTCACCACCTTCAACGAGGTGGACATGTCTTCGCTCTTAGAGATGAGAAAGCTTTACAAGGACGAGTTCTTGAAGAAGACCGGCATCAAATTTGGTTTCATGGGTGCCTTCTCCAAGGCCTCCGCTTTGGCTATGAAGGACATTCCTGCCGTTAACGGATCCATCGAGAACGGTGACACTATGGTCTTCAGAGACTACATGGACATTTCCATTGCCGTTGCCACTCCAAAGGGTTTGGTCACTCCAGTTGTGAGAAACGCTGAATCGTTGACCGTCCTGGGAATCGAGGAGGCTATTGCCAGTCTGGGTGCTAAGGCCAGAGACAACAAGCTCACCTTGGAGGACATGGCCGGAGGTACCTTCACAATCTCCAACGGAGGAGTGTTTGGATCTCTGTATGGAACTCCAATTTTGAACGTTCCTCAAACCGCCGTGTTAGGTCTTCATGGTGTCAAGGAGAGACCAGTGACAGTCAACGGTAAGGTTGAAAGCAGGCCAATGATGTACTTGGCTTTGACCTACGATCACAGAATGCTTGATGGCAGAGAAGCCGTCACTTTCTTGAAGACTGTCAAGGAATTGATTGAGGACCCAAGAAAGATGCTTTTGATGTGAACTCAATTTAACCTATACAGATTCATTAACCACTAGCTCTATATAACATGGTCAACCTGAAAAGTCTGTGAGATCTATAGAATTTATAATATGGGGTAATCGTATGACTTTTCATGCTATTTTCTCCAAATTTTTATCTGTTTTTTCCATGAAATCTTGACAGGGATTGGTCAATGTAGCTTCTGTAGGCTTATCATGGTTGATCTCACTTGCTTACCAGATCTTTCCAACGTTCGCCTCATTTCGAGAACTTTATGCTTGCCACATTAGTCACTCTACGAGTATCGCCATATCATCAGTTGAATCGTCACAGATCGTAAAGCTTTGGGTTATTATTAGGTCTCACCCACACTTTGCTCGGCCCGATTAGCGATGACCAAATGTGTCAAGCTGGTGCATGGGGCATAAAACCGACGGAGAATTTTTTTTTCTACCGGGATCCTTGCTACTACTGATTACTTGACAATTCAATTTTCTTGGAAAAAATATTCAGATCTCTAGATCTAAATTGCTGTCTTCCTCGAGTCTCGTAATTGGTATCCCATCCAGATGCTCTACCCTCCAATTGAGGCTCCAAACATTGCTATCGCCACATTGTTGTTATGAACACTCCACTTTAAGCCGGTAATCCATAAATCCGGTCTTCTTTTCAGCCTCATAACCAACATTAACACATTTTCTGCCAAATGTTACCCATATCTAAGACTTGGCGATCCAAAACCCACAAAACAGACGTTATTTGGTCGTGTGTATGCTAATGCTCATGCAAGATGTACGATGCTTGTTTATGTTTGCCCCAATCGGGTAAATAATTTGATCTAATCGAGTAATGGACTTTTTCGCATCTAACTCTGTTCACTTTGGCACAAAACCTGTTGAAATTGAAGTTTCTTAAAACGTTGATATACCTTCAAGCACTTCAAATTTCTTTCAGTCCCTGAACTTTCTTGCTGACGAAATTCAAGGGTTTGCTGTTGCGTTCTCTCACCAACGCTGCAACTCTTGAATAACTCTAAGGTGACACTCCTAGCTATTAGCCCCAGCTCTACCTCCAGGGATTCAACCAGCAACCTTCGACTTCTGCTGAGTCTTTCCCACTGGACAGCATGTTGGACATGTACAATAACCAGAAAAGTGAATGGGACATGGTTGCCCCAGTCCAAGGTTATTCGAAGGATGATCCATTCCATGATGCTTCCTACTCTCAAATGACTAGCTCAAACTTCAAGCTATCACTACCAGATGTCTCCTCCCACCAATACAGCTATCCACCCCCAATACCGGATCCAAACTACCAGGACGATCTGGATGGGTTATTTATGGATGCGGCAGCGCTGCAGAGTCTCGATATCTCTCTGGGCAAGACTGAACCAGACGGTAACGAGGGCAACTTCTATGCCATGTATGGCTCAAGCTCCCAGGACCCTTCTATGAAGAAAAGGTTTGTCAAGACTCATAACAAGAGACAGAGTGGAAGTGCCATCTTTGGATTCGTTGGATCTGGTCACAAAGCAAAACTTTCCATTTCTGGGATTCCTGAAATTTCAGCCTCAGATATCAAGTATGGACATGGAAGATATGGCTCCTACGACTACACCGGATTGTCCAGTTACATGCAAGCTGCTCAACAGCCTATTCGTTCAGTTCATCCCACTCCGCACACCTCGCCAGTGAGAAGGCCTAACAGCCAATACGAGGGAGACTTCATAGTGACTGCCAATGCTGCTGAAAACTACAAGTTTCCGCGGGAGCCCAGTTTGCCGGTGGAGCCTCAGTTGCCTGTTTTGAACCATTATAGTGCTGATTATCTCAAGAATTTGAGCAAAATGCTCAAAAACCAAGATGAGGCTGACTTGAGTTTGACCGAACAATATCTGAACTTGGAACAGAACGAGCAGCACAAGCCGGAGACGAATCCATTCTTCTTTGAGGAAAGTCCCCTCCACTCTACTTACAAGGAACCCCAGCCTTTAGCACCAAGTAAGTTCTACAATGAGCCACCTCCGCTGGAGGAACAGTCCGAGAAGAAACCTGATTTGCGATTCGACGCGGTTCCTCAATTGGCCTACACCCCCGAGTCTCCATCGGAGAAGTCTCGCTCCAGTTCTCCGGAAAGGGCAAGTTCGTTGGAGTTTGAAACTCCATCAAAGAAATCCCCTGTGGATGCTGAAGGTATTGTGTGGACGCCGGTTTTGGTCACGAAAAAAGACACAAAAACAGAGAAGATAATCAAGGCCCAGCAATCTCCCGCCAGAAGAGAATCCACTATCAAGACCACCCTCCCAAGAGGCCATCTGGATCAGCATTTTGTGGGCCCAGACAAGGACAATAAGTTCAAATGTATTTTCAACGACTGTGGAAAACTGTTTGGAAGAATTTCCAACATTAGAACGCATATCCAGACGCATTTATGCGACAGACCATTTTCTTGCCAAGATTGTGGGAAGTCTTTTGTGAGACATCACGATTTGAAAAGGCATAGAAAAGGACATGAAGAGTTCAAATTTGCTTGTCCCTGTGGCAAACTGTTTCCTAGACCAGATGCTTTGAAAAGGCATAGATCCAGAATGATATGTTCTGGTGGACTAGCTGACGAAAACCACAAGGTCTCAAAGCAGTCTAAGGCTCCGAAGTCTTCTACCTTATCTACTGGTACTCTCAGTAAGGTTCAATTGAAACAAATCGAGCAAAATGTTGCCAGAACTCAGGAGCAAAAATCGCCAAAAAAACTAAATTCCTCGAGCTCGGGATTTTCGGAAGGTCATACATCTGATGAAAGTGTTGAGCCATCTTCAAGACTCTACTCTATCAGTGATGGGAAGACGGATGCGGATGATTCCGAATTTTCTTTCTCGGCTTTTGACGATTTTAAAGCGAGTGCAGAAGGTTTCATATCTGTGTCTTGATACTTGGATTTTTGGTTTTTCTTGCTCGGTTTATTATTGGTTATGATTTTGGTTTCCGCTGTATTCTAGTTTTTTGTTTTCTTCAGTCCTTCTTGACTTTGTACATTCTATTTGAACGCTAATAATATCATTTTACAACAATTACCACTTTTCAGAATGCTCAATATGGAATACCATTTGTCAATCTTTGGAACTCGTCATAACCCTTCGTGGACGCACTTTCAAAAGACTTCTTGATCAGACCCTGCATGAAGATAGCAGCATCCTTCTCAGACTTTTCTGGAACAAACCTTGCTCTCAGTTTCTTGATGGTGGCTGGCTTGAAACAGGGAAGCCCGCTTTCCGTCATAGGAACAACACAGTTGATGATGGTGTCCATGTATGGTCTGCACGCTAGGAAGGCCTTGACACACAGCTCTTCGAACCATTTGTATGCCTGTGTGTCTTGACCACCACCCATGACTCTAACCATCTCTTTGGTCAGTTTGAACGGAGATTGTTCGAACTTGACTCCTCCTGGAACAATGTCAAAACAGAACCCGAAGTCAATGTGAAGAATGTGACCCTGATCATCGTACATGATGTTACCGTTGTGACGGTCTTTGAACTGCAGCAAGTACGAAATTACCGAGTAAGCAGCAAGAGACTTGACGAAGTTGTTTCTGGCTGTTTGGAACTCGGTCGAATTTTCAGGACCAAACCTTGAAATGAAGTACTCGTACAAACCGTTCACGGCCTCTCTTCCCAACATATCACGCGACACCGAATTTGGAAGCACATCAATGATACCACATCCAGGTGCAGTTGCCGTGACTCTGTAAGGAAAGACATACACGTCCAAGCCGGCATGGGTCCAGATTGTTCTGAACACGGAAATAAGTTGCAGGGCAAGAACATCCTGTCTACAATCATCGCCAACTTTGAAGATTGCACTCATCCACTGTTCAATGGTTACTAGCTTCGATTGCGAATCATCACTCAGATCTGGAATCTCCTTTTTGATTTTGAAGGTTGCCATGAATGGAGCCTTGGCGTGTGACTGCAATGGTCTTCCGGACTTCCTGTTGATATCGACTACAACACCATCTGGATTGCTAGGCAAGTATACTCCAGGCTTGACAATGATGCGATCCATTTCCTCGTCAATCTTGGCCTTTTTCTCTGCTTTTGACTTCTTGATGTAAGGCTTTAGCTTGCCTGATATACCTGTGACTTCCTCAAAGAATCTGAACTCTTGCTCGTAGAACAGGAAGTCTTTCTTGGAAAAGGTCTTCAACATTGCATCCATAATCTCGTCGAGTGTCGGTTTGATAGAATCGGGCACCTCAGAGTCCTCGTCCTTAAATCTATTGGCCAACATATTCCAGATGATCTGATGAGCAAACAGTTGCGAAACCTTTGCAGTTTCTAAGATAAACCTGCGAACATATGCTAATCTAGAGTCATGTCTCAAAGATTGCACAATCTGGGGCACGTAGAAAAAGGTCAGGTTCACATCGTGGCTCTCAAGCGATCTCATGGTATATTGGAGAATGAAAGGGTCGTCGTTGAAAGGTGGCATAAATAACTTGATGGAGTCCACAGGTGGTAATGGGCTCCAAAGAAGCAAATGCTTCGAGGGCTTTCCGTAGCTTCGAGAATCCGAGTGTAGAAGATATTCAACTGCAAAAGGCTCGTCTAGAGCTTTCAAGGGATGTTTAAGAAGTAAGTCCCTAAGCATTGAGTTCAGACTCGTCAGCTTGTACCGTTTGACCAAATTGATTGCAAGTCTGGGGTTGGCATAGAATGCATCCAGAACCTCGGGTTTTCCTACAGAGGTGAGGTAGGTTCCACTTGGGTCTGAAGGATTGAGAGGGTCCAGCCAAGATGCGATCACTGAGACTTCGTGCTCTAGGAAGGCAAGCAAAAGCGTTTTCTTGGACAGGAAACTGGAGCCTTGCTTGAAATACAAACCCGCAATTCTCCTAGTTATGGTCTGAAGCAGCTTGTAGTCCGCTTTGATCTTCAGTTTGTTTCCTCCAAATGGAGTGCTTTGCGGAAGCTTGAACCACGATAAAGCACCATTCAATATTGCTGATGTCAGCTCTCCAACGTCTCTTGATTTCAAACTGATGTGAACAGCTAGAATGTTCAAAGCACAATCAATCAGCTCGAATCTGGCAAGTCTTGCAAAAGGATGCAAACTTCCGTTGCGGAGACCCTTGAGTGCAAGAATGAACGTCTGGGTGAACATCTTCAGAACATGGTCACTTCTGTACATGGTAGCTTCAAAATGAGAACCCAAAAGTCTGATCAGCAACAAATGAGGTTTAATCTTCTTATTAGCAGCACTACCCAGGTGGTCCATTTCAGCCTTGCTGGTTGGTAAATACTCCATGCGGCTGTATGTCGCATCTAATATGGTCAGTGAGGAGTTAAAAAGTCCATCATGACAGCGGATCTTCTCCTCCCAGAGCGAAAGAATTTGCGCCAGAATATATGCGGATGCGTCTGGTCTCTCTTTAATGGCAGTAAGCCACAACCCAATCGCCAAATCAATGATTTCAGAAGTAAATACCTTGAAAGGTATTCTAACCAGACAACCAATGAATCCAGCAGCAAGTGTTGGAGATATGATCACCACAGCGGTGCAATCTCCAAGCACATTCATCAGCTCCTGTGATGGGATGGCAACATTCTCATGCAGTCTGGTTTCGATACTTTGAAGCTCTCTGCGAACATTACCAGGAAGATATGGTGAGCCCTCGGTTTTGAACTTTGCAACTTTGATCAAAATGTCATTCTTGAAGCTGTTTCTCCATTGGAATTGGGACAAAAAGCCTGCCAAGGTATTGGTCTTTGAATAAGCATCAACACCCAAATTGGAAAGCTCGCGATCACTTGGAAGCACTGAACCTGCCATTTCAAGTGCAAAAGACACTCCAAAATGTATATTGCCGATGTTCAGCAATCCTATTTGAGAAATGTAAGCCTGTAGAAGTGATTTCATGTCGTAATTGCACTTCATGAGGGCCAGTTTCGTCCATGAAGTTCCAAACTTGTGCAGCTTCTGCCAAGCCGCACGCCTCCATTCATAAGAGTCTGACAAGTTCAGAGTAATGTTAGATGCTGTTGCTTGAAACTTCACCTTTGGCTCATACTCATTAGTGTCCGCATCAACTATGCTCTGGAAGAGCAACGATAGTAAGTCAAGCAACGAAAACAAACTTGTGTGGTGACACAGAGAAGAGGGAATCTTCTGAATGAGATAGTTGCAGCACTGAAAGGCTGCATCTTGCAACTCGTAATCTCTGTGACAACACAAAATGAGCATTTTCTTCAGCTGCTCAGATACGTTATCCATTGCAAACGTCGCTGACCCACCTCTGTGAACTTCTCTGATGAACTTCAGAGTAATGTAAACGGCAATGTTACCAATATACTTCTGGACTCCAGTTATCGCAACACTAGGGTCAGAGAAGTAGATCAAAGAGGTGGAACAGTCGCCTGTTTCAACTCGCAAATCCTCCAAAAACAGCGTAGCAGCCAGAAACATCAGCTTGGGGCGCGAAATCTTAAACTCAAAAACAGCATTGTCCAATGCCTTGGGGGAAAAAGTCTTTGAAAGACTGTCTTTGTGCAGTTTTTCGGTATGTTTCGAGGTTCCTCTTCTGAGAACACTGTTGAGCTCAATGGAAGTCTCAGTTCTGCTCCACGAATACTCATCCGCAAGAGGAGGGGAACTGTATGCAATTCTCTTTAGAGTCTCCTTGTGCAGAATTCCTATCTCTGAATTGAGAGAGTATCCGTGAACAACAAGGTTGAACCAGGCATCCTTGAAGAGGTTGATTGTCTGCAAATCCGTGAACTTTGCGGGCTCAGTATCAAGCGATGGGAACAAGTGTGCCAATGGCTTGAAATAGATCGCTATTTCCTGAGCAACTGCTGAGACTTCTGTGTTTGATCTATGATGCTCTAAGTCACGCACATCGTCTCCTCTGTTGGCTATTCCGATCAAAAGCTCGTGCAAGTATACGCGATATATCTCGGTGTCGGATAAGCTAGCAACTGATTCGGAAACAGAAACCCATATGTCAATAATTGCATCCTTATGGGCGCTGTCACTTTTGCGAACAGCCTTCAAGGCTCCCTCGGTGAAAAGCTTCAGAATGTGCAAGAACTCGCGTTCGTCAACGATTGGCATGAAGGTTCCAAGTGTCTTCAACAACATGATGTCAAGAGACTTGGAAACACTTCCGAATTTCTGGCACAGAATGGTCACCATCAGCACCGTAATCTGCTCATCGTCAAGAACCTTGCAGAACGAAACCGCAGCAGCAAGGACATTTTCGAAAGACTGGCTGGTGAGTTCGACTCCAAAGTCAGAGTGTCCAATATGGTTCAGAACTGACCTCTGAGCTGAACCCACAGACCTCAAAGACGAGACTGGGCTCATGGTGCGACTTGAAATCCTTTTGGGGGGTTCCAGCCCTGAAACATTTCTGAAAGACTTCTTTCTTTGGGTGACAAAATCAGATGTGGGTGCGAGAATGTTGGTGATTGAATAAACGGTGGATATAATGTCTTCTTGAGAAAGCCTGCTCAAGGAGATAGCCACAGAAGCAGCAACTGCCGATGCAGATTCACCTGTGAGGCCATGGCTGAGTAACAGGGTTGGGAACTTTCTGGCAAGCAAATGAGCCATCTTTCTGTTCTTGAAAGACAACATGGCCACCAGTCCAAACAGAGAGTCGGCCAATTGGTGATATGCTACTTTAGATGGGTCCCCCATAAAGCGTTTGGTTATGTTTTCCACTTCAGAAAGGTCCACCACGCCCTTCTCGACACCCAAGGCAATTATCTGCAGTGACGATGCTTGAATGCAAGATGCCATTTGCTGGCGACTGTATGTGGACAACAAAATATCATTTCCGCCAGCCTCAAATGCCATTGCATCCTGGATGCTGTGTTCAGTGATTTGCTTAAGAACCGTGGTGAACTCACGCGATTCCTCTGATTCTTCGATGTGTCCGTTTCCGTTTCCGTTACCATTGACGACTTGGGATGAGACAGCTCTCTTCAGAATCGACGGAAGTAGAGATTCAGTCATCGCCTCTGGAGTCGTGTGTCCCTTTAAGTGTTCGACCAGCAACTGTTTATAAAGTTTCATCAAGAGAAGAGAGCTGAACTCCGAGTCTTCAGCCTCGAATCTTGAGATAGCCATTTGGTCCTCAATCTCGGAGATTTCAGACATACAGACTTCGACTTGGATGAAAAATTGAGCTGTGAGCAGATCAATCAGTTTCTGTATGATTGAAGATGAGTATGCTGTGACAAAAAAGACTGACTTTTGGAGCGCATCAATGAACCCAATGAGTGCGAAATAGTAACTAAGCCTCAACGGAGATTGAGCTCCAACCTTGAAATTCTCCAAGAAAGACAAAAATGAGCTCTCTACCTGTGATTTCAAAGCTGGTGATTTGGAACTAGCATTGCAAAAAGCACTGGTAAGAGTGAAAGCAAGTTCGGTCTGAGTGGTGGGCCAAGACGAGGTTCCTACTGGTGACAGCACGTTCAACGAAGGCAACCTTATGAAAAATAAGCTTAATTTTTCAAAAACAACGTCCAGTTGGGCAACATCTGTTGAATTCTCGAGATACTTGCAAAGAGCTATCACGTTTTCCACCTCGCGAGGTGACTATAACAGAGTTAGTATTGCTGGAAAGGGTCTGAAATTCCTCATTTGATAGAACGATTTCACTCACGATCGACGATGACTTGGAGTTTCCAAATGTAGCGGCTTGAAGCAGTCTGGAGAGAAACGTCTTGTACAATCCGTTGGACTCCGGATTCTCGTTTTTTGGCATTTTGGCCGAGTATTCAGCAAGTTCATTCACAGCACGAGCACGTATCGTGCTATCAGACAGGCTGTTTTTTCTAATTAGTCCTAGATTCCGCACAAGCTCAAAAACTGCAAATACTCACATCTCAAAGTCCATTGTTGATATATTCTTCGACGGTATTAGCACGGGACTGGAGCAATTGGTTTGTCCAAATCAGCTCCAAGAGACATTCTGTAGGATTGGCGTCGGTGTATTCTGCCCTCGGGGCTCATTTGGGCCGCACACTCAGTTTAGACCCTCAAGAGTCAAGACTATTCTACACTATTTCACATGGTAACGATCACTTGACCTATTAAATCAGGGAGTTTGATCTATTATACAATGACATGTTTGTGATAAGGATGTATGGCCGATCTAACGATCCAAACTCAGTTGATCCCATGCTAACAAGAATCGAAAAAAAAATTACCCAGAAAAACCCTTGCAATAACCGAAATAGACGTGCTTTTCGAAACTCTCTAATAGTAAGTTTCGATCAGAGTGTCACGCAAGTTGCCGGTGATTGCCTCAGGCTGGGCATCTTGAAGACGGAAGATACTCTCAATAACAGAGAGCTCTGGTGCAGTGGTGTCAAGACCACTCACAGCAAGCCAGTCGTTGACCACCATACCAGCACCAACCACGGAAGAACCACGGTTAACGGTACCGGCAACCAAAGGTATCTGCAGCAAAGAGGACAACTCTTCTTGATCTTGCACAGAAGTCTGCGCGTGAACCAAACCACCCTGGTTGGAGATGGAACAGTACGAGCCCACCAAGACGTTTCCTGCGATAGTCTGTCTGAACACTTCAACGCCCAAAACGTCTGCGATCAACTCCTCGGTCTCTCTCTCGATATCTGGGTGCACCAGTGCGACGTAATCGTTACAGCAAATCACGTTTCCGAGAGCTGACAGCCTCTCCTCCACTCTCTGTATCTTGACACTGTCTGGCAAACTGTTTCTCAAATGCATAAGTTCTTGGTCTGTGGTCTGGGTAGGCACCAAGAGGCCACGACGGTTTCCAGCCGTCATACGGCCAATGATACGGGTACCAGCAATGGTTGTATGAATAGTTGGGATAACATCACCTAATTCGGCTTCGAAAGCAGAGTAGAAGTTCTCGGAACCACCAACTGCAACGAGACAGTAGGAATTCGTCAGCTTGGAGAAAACTCCCACTTCGTTCGAGTTTTCAAATTGAGTTCTGGTTGCCATTTTTTCTGTTTAACTGGACAATCAAGGAAGCAGAGATATGATCACAAATATTCTCGAGTCTGGTAACAATAAATGTGTATCAAAACGTGTGTTCTGAGTATGATTTGAAATAGTCTTTGCTCTAAAGTGAAAAGGAGAAGTCTGACTGAAAAAAAAATTTTAGGCATATGGGTGTGTGGAGGCCAAATTCCCGTTTAAGGATAAGCCGCACGGATGAGGGCCAAACTGATATCATCTCACATCCATGGAAATATACAACAGCATGGCTTCGGTCATAGCAATTTCACTGAAAGAATAAAAAAAATGATGAATGGTACCAGATTTATCATTCTAAGTTTATCCTCTCGGAGAAAAACAAATGAAGAGGAACCGAGTTCGGAAAGCCAAGCTCCATCTTTCAACTCTGATACTTTTTCACTTTTCTACGGTTTTTTGTATTTTCATGTAAATAGAAAGTTTGGTATTAAATTGTTCATATGCGTTATATATATCGGTCATTAAAAGCATTCTTAAAACTGTCATTCTTCCCTTTAGTCAACTGGAGGCGTATCCAACTCTTCATCGTCATCTGCATCGTCAGTCCAGTCGTCCACGTCAAAGTCCATATCAACGTCTTCAACCTCATGATTTGGAATTACAACTAGTCCCTTACTTGAAGAAGTGACGTTGACTGTATCCTTGTCGACCACTTGGCCATTCAAGACCATGACTGCCAAATGGTTCAGGATACCGTTCTGGATGAGCCGGTTAAGTGGTCTTGCACCCAAGTCTGGGGAGTATCCGTTTCTGCACAGATACTCCAATGCACTGTCATCCAGATTAAGCTTGATTGACTTTCCGTTGGCTTCAAACCTCTCTTCAATCTCCTTGATTCTGATCTTGACGATCTTGGCTATTGCGTGTCTCGACAATCTGTTAAAGACAACCATAGCAGAGATACGGTTCAAAAACTCTGGTCTGAAGTGGGCTCTCACTGCGTTCATCACCAATGACTTGGTTTCGTCGCTAACCTTGGATCCCTTGGATGCGTTGATGTACTCTGCACCCAAATTGGAGGTCAGGATGACGATACAGTTAGAACAGTTTACCAAAGCACCGTTCGAAGCCGTGATACGACCATCATCCAGCATTTGCAGCAAAACGTTCAACACTTCAGGAGCAGCCTTTTCAACTTCATCAAAAAGGACAACCGAATAAGGACGGCGGAGCAATGCATTTGTCAAAACACCACCTTCCTCGTATCCGATATAACCAGAAGCCGCACCCAAAAGCTTGGATATCGACCACTTTTCACCCAGCTCCGAACAGTCGATTCTCACCATGGCCTTTTCATCAGCAAACAGGAAACCGGCAAGTTTCTTTGCCAACTCGGTCTTACCTGAACCAGAAAGCCCTAAGAACATGAACGAAGCTGGCTGGTTAGGATTGGCTAATCCAGACCTAGACAGTCTGATGGCATTGGAGACGGCTTTGACAGCTTCACCTTGACCCACCACACTTGAAGACAACTCTTTCTCCATTGTGATCAATTTCGCATTTTCTGCCTGAGTCAATTTGGATACTGGAATACCAGTCAATTTCGCTGCAGTCTCGGCGACCTCGTCCGAGCCAACAACGTTTCTAGACTCGCTGGTTAAGTCCTCTTCCTCGGCAATCTTGGCCTCGATTTCAGCAATCTTGTCCTTGACCTCTGGGATGACGTAGAACTTCAGATCAGCAGCGGCAGCGGCATCATGCCTTCTTTCGGCATCAGTGGCTTTGACTTCCAGCTCATCTAGTCTTCTCTTCAGGCTTGTGAGTTCTTCATGTCCCTTTCTCTCCTCGGCATATTTCTCTCTCAAAGGTGCCAATTCCTCCTCCAAGTCCTGATACCGTTTCCTTGCTTGTTCTAGTCTTTCAGCTGTGGTTGGGTCAGCATTGGAGTCTCTCTCAAGAGCTTTGATTTCAATCTCCAACAAAGATAACGCTCTTTCCTTGGAGTCCAGCTCTTCTGGTTTCGAATCCCTTGCTACAGCAACTCCAGCTGATGTCTCATCTATCAAGTCAACAGCTGAGTCAGGGAGCTTTCTGTAAGTGAGATATCTCGAAGCTAACTGTGCGGCAGTCACAAGAGCGGAATCAAGGATTCTGACACCGTGATGAATCTCATACCTAGGTTGCAAACCTCTCAGAATGGCAATAGTCTCTCTGATGGTTGGTTCTCTGACATCGATTCTCTGGAAACGTCTTTCAAATGCACCATCTTTCTCGACGTACTTACGGTATTCTGTGACCGTAGTAGCACCGATACAGTGCAAGGAGCCTCTAGCCAACATTGGCTTCAACAAATTGGCGGCATCGCTCTTACCATCTCCCATAAGCATGTGGATTTCATCAATGAATAGGATGATCATGGTCTTGGAGTTTTCGATTTCGGTCAAAACACCTTTGATTCTCTCTTCGAAATCACCCTGGTACTTAGCACCAGCCTTAAGAGATCCCAGGTCCAAAGCATACAGTTTGGAGTTTTGCAAAACCGTGGGCACATCATTATCAACTATTCTTTGAGCGACACCCTCAACTATACTGGTCTTACCAACACCTGGGTCACCAATAAGACATGGGTTGGATTTGGCCCTTCTTGCTAGAACACGAATGGTTCTCCTGATCTCCTCTTCTCTTCCAATAACAGGGTCTATTTTGCCCTGAAGCGCCTGTTCTGTCAAATCAATGGCGTATTTGCTCAGAAACTCGAATTGAGAGGAGGCATCGGCTTGTCTGGAGTCGATTCTCTGGTTACCCCGAAGCTCCACTATTTGGGTCTTTAGAGCCTCCGAAGTGATTCCGCATTCTTTCAAAATGGCCTTGACAGAAGAGTCTTCCACTAAAGCCAGCAAAATATGGTCCTGGCCTATAAAGCTGTCTTTCTGTTGGGCCTTTATCTTCGACGAGTTTTGTAGAATGCTTGCGGCTGAACTACTGAAAGATGGTTCAGCAGGTGCTGGGCTCTGTGATGGCAGCCTCACCAGATGTCTGTTGACTGTTCTTTCAAATTGAACCCAGTCAAAACGACCCTTCTCAATGATCGTTTTTAAATATGAAACGTCTGCGCTGTCCTCAGTCGGGGTCATTGCGGCTAGGAAGTGCAAAGGCACCACCTGGGCGTGCGAATTATCCCGACATAGCTTGGTAGCATTGGTGATAATATCTAGCGCTCTGTCTGTGAATTGTGTTTGATCCATAATTGTAATTATCTTAGTCTGTATTCTAAACAGTCCAAGACAAAGTGGAATGACTTGGGAGAGACCACTGGGTGCTTTTATATGACCAAGTATCACGTATAGTGGTTGGATTGGGACACGGTCAGCTTCTAGAACATTCTTTCCTATTCTGGCAATTTCGAGGCTGTCCTGGGGTTCCCCAGGTTTTTGAAATACCCGAAATTGCCGGTGCACGACGTCGAACATTGAGACGCAAACGCATGGAAACAGTCACTTGTGCGACTTTGGGGAATAATTACGGGCGATTCTATACGTTTTGTGTATATGTCGAGAAGTGCAATTGAAGTTGGGCTCAAACCATCTACGGCTCTGAGGCCAAGTTTTTGAAAACCCGGTGCTGCCACCTCCTTCAACCATCACCAGACGCCCATGCACGGCTTCTACCGTCTACGTTGCTCCACTCTTCGGAAGTTGGCGGAAGGAATGTTTCAGGGCCTCTGATTTGTTGCTGATTATGACATACTGCAGTCTTTAATCACCTCTACACGTTAATCACCAAACATTATGGCATTAAAGTCCCAGGGGACCGATACCGCCACGATAGTCAGATCAATAAAAGCCATTCTGCATGGCAGATTTCCAGAAGAGGGTGATCTTCTCTTATCCATCTGCCATTTCTGAACGTGTCAGAAACTCCGCTCGCCGAGGTCGGATCGCAAAGTCGTGCACTGATGCAAAACAGCCTTTTCCAAGGGTCCCGATCTCGGACCTTCGTGCGAAGCCAAGCCAATGAGATCGGGCCAAAATCAGCTTACATGAGGTTGGAATTCTTTAAAAGGCAGTATGGTCAACGATATTTGCTCCTTTTTGTGGGCAGAAAGCTGGAGAAAATGCACACTCAGCTGGCACTCATAATCCTGTAATTATTCCTCAAATTCCAGCTTGAATTCCAGTCAAATTCGGGGTGTTGTCCCTATTCTTTGTGCCTATGTTTTTTTTTCGTCTGCTCCTAAGCGTGGATGACCAGACCGGTCGAATGGGTCGGAAAATGAACGATTCATCCTCGGAATAGCCGAGAGGCAAGTGTCAGACTATCTTGACCTTGTTAAAACATTGTAGTTATTTGGTATAATTTTTGCTTTAAACCCAGTTTGTTTCTGGAATCCAGAAGTTAATGTATCAGCAAATAATGACGCTCTCTCAGAGTCTCTGATATCACTTTTAAAGCCGTTTGTTCACTCCAAGTTCCCCTATCTGTGCCTTACAATTTAGCCCTCTTCCATTGGCCCAGTGTCCCCTTACCCCCGGTCGCCGACCGGATCGGTCGCGAGTCGGGCTCTTCGCTTCCCACGCAGTCAAAGATATATAAAACCGTTCAACCCACTGTTGCCCATGGTTTTCACCCTTTTTAGTCTCCTCCATCTTTTGTGATCTCATCAATCCACGAAGTAGATATCCATTTTCAAACAATGTTGTCTGCTGCTAGATCTGCAATCAAGGTAAGTTTACTACGAAGTTTCTGCTAGGGGGTTATATTAGAGAAATTGTGGTTTTGCTGCGGGAGCAGCCATAAATCAGCTAGAAGTGAAACAAGCGGTGTTCATGATCTAATCTTGAAAAGGCCAAAGTTTCAGCCTCTTGGATGTCCAGCATGGTCAGAAAATGGTATTTCGTCTTTGTGGGAAAAATATTACCTTGGCTGGTTTTGGACTCTAATGAAGGTGATCTAGTGATGGTCTCTCTAAGAATCGCATCCCTATGACAATTCAAATTTGAAATTGATTACAACAATACTAACTATTTGTCTCCGCAGATTTCCCACCGTGGAATGGCCACCGTGTCCGGTCTCACGTTGGACTCCAAGGTGCCAATGAACTTGTTGGAGAAGAATAACTTCATCAACTACAAGTCTCAGCTTGAGAACCTCAGAGTTGTTAAGAGCAGACTGAACAGGCCATTGACCTACGCCGAGAAGCTCTTGTATGCCCATTTGGACAACCCTCATGAACAGGACATCGAGAGAGGTGTCTCGTACTTGAAGCTCAGACCAGACAGAATTGCTTGTCAGGATGCCACCGCCCAGATGGCCATCTTGCAGTTCATGTCTGCTGGTATGCCCCAGGTTGCCACCCCAACCACTGTGCACTGTGACCATTTGATCCAGGCCCAGAAGTCTGGTCCAGAGGATTTGGCCCGTGCCATTGACTTGAACAAGGAAGTCTACGACTTCTTGGCTACTGCCTGTGCCAAGTACAACATTGGTTTCTGGAAGCCAGGTTCCGGTATTATCCACCAGATCGTTCTTGAGAACTACGCCTTCCCAGGTGAGCTCTTGATCGGTACCGACTCACACACTCCTAACGCTGGTGGTTTGGGTCAGCTGGCCATCGGTGTCGGTGGAGCTGATGCCGTCGATGTCATGGCTAACTTGGCCTGGGAGTTGAAGGCTCCAAAGGTTATCGGTGTCAAGCTTACCGGTAAGATGAGCGGATGGACTTCTCCAAAGGATATTATCCTTAAGTTGGCCGGAATCACCACCGTCAAGGGTGGTACCGGTGCCATCGTTGAGTACTTCGGTGACGGTGTCGACACCTTCTCTTGTACTGGTATGGGTACCATCTGTAACATGGGTGCCGAGATTGGTGCTACCACTTCCGTTTTCCCATTCAACAAGTCCATGGTTGACTACCTGAATGCAACCGGCAGATCCCAGATTGCTGACTTTGCCAAGCTTTACCAGAAGGAGTACCTTTCTGCTGATGCTGGTGCCGAGTACGACCAGTTGATCGAGATTGACTTGAACACTCTTGAGCCACACATCAACGGTCCATTCACCCCAGATTTGGCCACTCCAGTCTCCAAGATGAAGGAGGTTGCCATCGCCAACGACTGGCCTTTGGAGGTCAAGGTTGGTTTGATCGGTTCTTGTACCAACTCTTCTTACGAGGATATGTCCAGAGCCGCTTCCATCATCAAGGATGCTGAGACTCATGGTTTGAAGTCAAAGGCCATTTTCACTGTTACCCCAGGTTCCGAGCAAGTCCGTGCCACCATTGCCCGTGATGGTCAATTGGAGACCTTTGAGGACTTCGGTGGTAAGGTTTTGGCTAACGCCTGTGGTCCATGTATCGGTCAATGGGACCGTCAGGACATTAAGAAGGGTGACAAGAACACCATTGTGTCTTCATTCAACAGAAACTTCACCTCCAGAAACGACGGTAACCCACAAACACATGCCTTTGTTGCTTCTCCAGAGATGGTTGTTGCCTACGCCATTGCCGGTGATTTGAGATTCAACCCATTGACTGACAAGTTGAAGGATGCTGATGGAAACGAGTTCATGCTCAAGGCCCCAGTTGGTCTTGGTTTGCCACCAAATGGATACGATCCAGGTGAAAACACTTACCAGGCCCCACCAGAAGACAGATCTTCTGTTACTGTCCAGGTTTCCCCAACTTCCGACCGTTTGCAGCTCTTGACTCCATTCAAGGCCTGGGATGGTAAGGATGCCACCAGATTGCCAATCTTGATCAAGTCTCTTGGTAAGACCACCACCGACCATATCTCTATGGCCGGTCCATGGTTGAAGTACCGTGGTCACTTGGAGAACATCTCCAACAACTACATGATCGGTGCTATCAACGCTGAGAACGGAGAGGCCAACAACATCAAGAACCACTACACCGGTAAGTTTGACGGAGTCCCAGAGACTGCCGGATGGTACCGTGACAACGGCTACAAGTGGGTCGTTATCGGAGGTGAGAACTTCGGTGAGGGTTCCTCTAGAGAGCACGCCGCCTTGGAGCCACGTTTCCTTGGTGGATTTGCCATCATTACCAAGTCCTTTGCCCGTATCCACGAGACCAACTTGAAGAAGCAAGGTCTTTTGCCATTGAACTTTGTTGAGCCAGAGGCCTATGACAGAATCAACCCAGACGACGAGGTCGACCTGATCGGTTTGACTGAGTTGGCCCCAGGCAAGCCTGTCACCTTGGTTATTCATCCAAAGGATGGCGAGGCTTGGTCCACTCCATTGTCCCACACCTACAACTCTGAGCAGATCGAATGGTTTAAGTACGGTTCTGCTTTGAACAAGATGGCTGCTTCTTCAGCCTAAGACTCAGCTGAGGGATATTAATATTTATTTTTCGTACCAGAGCGATGGCAGTGTGGATTTGCGAGTTGGCGAGGAATGGGTTTCTAGTTTTCTTTCAGACCAAAATATTGTCATTAAGTTTACTCTGTGTGTAGAAGGATATCAAATCAAATCAAATCATATTCAGATTATACTCAATTATGGGAGCGTAGAATTGCATCGAAAGATGCCTCTTAAGCAGAATCCTCTGCCTAGATCACCATATCATATTCATGCATGCTCTAACTTGCATAAAATTTTTCACCATAGTTAAGTTTGCCATGAAAAAGCCACTCAAATATACGCCAAACGCGATAATCAAACTCATTAAACTATTTAAATCACGGTCAATCTCTGTAAATGTATGAATAATTCGCTAGTGTATTCAGTAATTATCTCAACTCGCAAATAGCTCTAACCCAGTGTGGAAGCCCTAGCCGACAGACCGCGGCTACTCCGCATACAGGTTACGCATAAAGCATAGAACATATCCCTTTGCTTACAAGTGTTTTACCACTATTTTGTAACCATTCCCATCCTTGAATCAGCCATGTTCACTATCGGTATCGGATCGGCTAAAATCGACAGTCTTTCGGGCATAACCGTCATATCCGGAATAGGTCTTGGACTGTCTGCAGTGGTTTGCGCCCCCTTCGTTCTCTCCAAGCTTTGGGATCTCGAATCTCAATTCAACACCCACAAAAAGTCAGTATGGGGACCCGTGGCTCGCTGGATCATCAATGCAAAGTACACAATCATTGGGGCTGTGCAGACTCTTTTCAGGCTCAAGCGTGAGTGCGGTGGATCGATCTCAAAGATCATGGTATATCCAATCAAGTCTGTTGGTGTCGGTCTCGAGACAGACGAATGGGAAGTGGACTCTCACGGCCTGAAATTCGACAGAGAGTTCATGCTTTCGACCTGGGACGACAAAAAGGAAGCGTATATTCCGGTGACTCAGAGGGAGTATGCCAGACTGGCAGCTGTCAGAATCACCTTCAGAAAGACGTCTAGTGAATCAGAGCCATTGGACGGTGTTTTCAGCTTCGTTTATCCTCTCAAAGATGACGATGTCAGTGGTGAATTTCAAGGCAAAAGTTTTGAGCTTCCTGCTGTTGTTACTGAAGAGTATGCTGTTGAGAATTCTTCTTCAAAGGGACTACATCCTGTCGACCTGTTTGGCGTGCCATTAACCTCTTACGACATCACCCGGGCTTTGCCCGAGGACTTTAACGACCAGCTTGGAATACCAAAAGAAACTGTTCTTTTATATTCATCCACGGGAAAATTGGTCAAAACTGGATCACCCGCATCAAGACTCATGAGGGATTTGGACTCGAGGTTCCGTAAGTCTCTGTTCCACGATTACTTTCCTGTCTTGATATTCTCCGAGGAAGATGTGAAAGACTTGGTTATCAAGGCCAAAGAGTACAATATTGATGTTCAGATCAACTTCAAGTCTTTCAGACCAAACATTCTTCTCAGTGGATCAAAGGCACCTCACGATACAGACAACTGGCACCAGTTCAACATCGTGAGCAAGATCAATCCTAGGGAAAAACACAAATGGACTGTTGGGTCCAAATGTGCCAGATGTCCTATGCCAAATGTGGATTTAACAAAGGCTGAAATGGATAAGAAATATCCTATTACCAATACGATAACCAAATACAGGAGAATTGATCCTGGCCACAGGTTTGCTGTGTTCTTTGGTATCTACGGTATCCAGCACGATTCCGGCTATACCATTCGTGTGGGCGACAGTGTTGAAATTGTGAGCAGGAAGTACATGCCTTTTGTTGATTTTGAGTAGGCTTTGTGCTTTTTGCTATTTTTAGTTATTTTGGCTAACTCTGGAATCTTTTTGGCATATCTTTGGCGTTTTATTTCATGCTCTTCATCTATCTCTTTATCTCGTACCTCACAGACTCCGGGTGAATGAAATAGTGTAGCCCACTTCCATCGTCACTCCTCTTAGCGTCTCCCAAATATCCTGCAAAACCAATAGGACCTCTGTCGCAATCGGCACATATAAGATACCGCTGAAAATAAATGGTTTCACCAGCTTCGGTCTTGATCTCCTCGGTACCCTCGAATTTTTCAGTGGTCTTTGACACCCCAATGTTGTCGAAACTCCACATGTCATCCACACTGTAGAAAAGACCCTGAGACTCATCAGACAACGCTTCCTCGTTTCCAAGCTCTATAGTTTGCGGCATTTTTGGAGCATTCGTGATCTTCGTGAGGGGGAAGTCGTTAGACTGCAAATCGGAGTTGAAGTCTTTCACCTCCAATATCCGGCAGTTACATCCCGTTGAAGAGCATCTTAGGATGGCCGATTGTGGCTTTGACTGTTTTAATTGCTGATATTTGAGCATTGTGGAAACAATTGACGTAAAAAACACACACTCAAATATCCAATATGAACCCCTCCTAAAAATCGTCTACATATCATCAAGCGTGTATATGCGCCTATCTCACTTTGAGCCCATCGCATTTTTTGTGGAGACACTCGGGCCATTTCACAATGAATTATCGCCACTGAGACCTGCAGCGGCGTCTTTTTTATCTCCGAGAGAACAAGACTTTGGGCTAGAACTTGGTAACATTTTTGATTTGTTTGCAATCTTTGTGTTTCTATTTGGGGTACTTGCAATTCTGGCTGCTTTTACATTTGCCCACTCTTGTGTCTCGTGATCCACTGACTGGTGTCTAAAGACTCTACCAACAGTACAGTTCCTCTGATGGACCCAAAACACCACGCTGACCCCAAAGGGGTCAATTCGCGCGCCCCGCCCAATCTGATCAACTATCTGCATTCTCCGGTGGCGAGTTCGCCACTCTCGCGCGAATCGTCTAACATAAACCTACGGTCTGCTGCCACGGACAGATCCAATGCAGGTTTCTCTTCGCCCCGGTTCAGATCAATTACACCTGCAACCTTCGAGTCAAAACACATGTATTCCGAGATACAGCTGCAGAGGCTACGAGATTACCATCTGGATTTTCCAGAAGATGAGGAGGAGGTGAGAAAGTTGCAGCTGGATCCCTCTTCACCGTACTATTCTATGAGGACCTCAGCCGATTACGACCTGAAGAAGTCTCTGCCTTACTCTACCGAGAAGACGAAAGATATTACTGCTTATCTGGGTGACATTGTCTCGCATATATACATCTCAGTCAAATCGTTAGACTTGGACGGTGTCATATCTGTGAATACCTTCGAGCTAGAAGCTGCCAGGGCCTCGATTTTCAAAGGAGAAGAGCTCAAGCTGAGCGAGGCATCGAAGGAGTTCGACGTCAATAACGTTGGTTCTGAAGATGAAGATGACAGTGACAGTGACGAATATGAGGACGCAGATAGTGACGATGACGCTGCTGCTGCCACACCGGTCGGAAAGGTTGAACCCCAGTCTGCTGCCATCATCAGCCTCTCTCACTGGACTAGGGAATTGCGAGTTTTGCTCAAGATGAGAAGGGTTTTTCCAGTGTCTTTGACCAAAGCATTAGTCAAGGTCTACTTCGCAATCTGCATGTCTCGTGGCCAGCATCTGAACCTTTCTCTATACATCAATGTTCTGCAAAGTCTAGCCTCCCATGACGTTGACATTTTGAAAGAGAACGGACTGGTTCTTGACTGGAAACCTCTTTTTAAGGAGTACTCGTGCCATTATCCTCATGCGAAATCAGAGCTAGATAACCATCCCAAGAAATCGTTGAACCAACTGTCACAGATAGCCCAGGCAGTATCCCACTTCTTTGATGATTCCCAGACCACAGAGATAATTCGCGAAAGCTTAAAAGACTTCTCTCCAAAAACAACCACTGTATCTCTGCTGATTCTCACATCACTGGTTCCCATGACGTTCCGTCCGGTCTTGAATGCTGATGGGCCAACTTTCCAAGACAATGATATCAGGAAGTACCTCCCTGTATTTTTCAATCTGTGGACAAAAGGAGGGTCATGTGCTGTGTACTTGGTTCAACTCCTTTCGAAGATCTCACAAAGTGCTTTGAAGAGCTTTGCTAAGGACCCTTCAGTCAAATCATGGGGCAAGTTCGGGATATTCACTGAAGCTCAATTTGGATACGTGTGTGATTCCCTTTTCAGAGCGGTTAGATATCCTTCCAAGAAGAAAGAGGCTGTCTACACCATTATTGGTGGTTTGACTGGGATCATAATGATGTCCATAACAAATGAGCATACTCCTAATGGCCCTACCGAGAAGCTCGCTACGGTGCTGAAAGCTCTTTCAACGTATGCTCACCCCTCAAATTCTGGAGCGTGGTCACAGCATGTTGCAAAGACCATCAGATACTTGGCAGACGAGCTCCATAAGCGTGTTCTCAACCAGAGTGATGACGAAAATGTTACCAAGATCAGAAACTTTGACCTGAGGGGATTGCCAAGTGATATGAAATTGAATGATAATACCGTCAGGATCATCATCAACATGCTCATTCCGATCATAAATGTGGGTGTCCAGGCTAAGGGCAGAGAAGTGAGCTCATATCTCTCTGCGCTAGAGCTACTTGCGCCCTTGTCTCCAGAACAGGTGTTGGACTCTGTGTTCATGGACATATACCCATCCCTCGAGAACTCCATCTCAACGCATAGGTTGCAGGTTGTTCTTCGCGAGATGAATGTTTTGGTCAGATTTATGGCCAGCAAACCTGTTTATCGTGTTCATATCATTAGGATACTCTCGTCTCTCCTGCCAGGTGTTGATTCGAATGACCCGATCAAGGCTCGTAGGACATTCGAGCTCTTGTCTGCTGTTGCCGGGGTTATACCGTTCTATGATCTTTCAAATGGCTTGGGTGATGGTGGGATGCTTGGGTTTCAATTTACCTCTGACCATTTGGCTTTTCTGGAAGAGAGATTCTTGCAATCTCAATATAATTCCAATCCTGCTGCAATCGCCCCGGACTCCCAAACTAGTTTCTACTTTGATCCGGAGATAGAGTTGGAAGCTCTAAAGTCTGCCACTTCCACATTCCAGGATTTTCTGCATGTGTTTGTCGAGAACACCTTCCGGCTACTCGATAATCTCCCAGAAAAGGTGGAAGGTGCTGACTTGGAGGTGATCTCTGTTATTCCTGACACATTTGCGGCCATAGTTGAATCTGTCTCTGATGAGCTGTTTGACACTATCCAAAGTGATGTGTACAGCTATGTTATTAGTAACTCCAAGCACTCTTTGGTATATGTGGTGGCTGCAATAGTGGAGACTGTTGTCAGAAGAGACCCCCAAAAACAGTTCAAAAAGTATATTTCCTACCTTATTCCACAGATCAGGTTTCAGATTGATGAAAATGGTGCAGGTTCATCTCGTACTGGCTCAGATATAACACCAAGAGACGCTGAGTTGGCTTGGTGTCTTGAGATGCTTTGTGGAGCCATTTCTGCAGCACCTACTCAGATTTTGGAGTTTTCTACCCAGTTGAGGGATATTTCGTTTTATCTTCTCGACAACGTGAAAGGATTTTCATTGTATACTCCGACTCTACTCTTGTGTCTCTTGAAGGCTGTTTCCACAAGAGTAATTCTTGAGCGTCGTCTCATTTCCAAGGACTTCATAAAGAGAAATGGCTCGGTTACTGAGAAATGCTGGGGAGGCTTTCAATTTGATCCATACAGATTTGATCCAGAAAACTTGAGTTTCGAATGGTTCACCCCGGAAAGAAGTCATGCTGAGTTTGCAGTGGAATGTTTGGACTCGCATGTTTCACAGGCTATGTCATCTCTGACTTCATTGTTTTCAACATTTCAGGAAGAAAATTCCTCAGATAGAGCTGGAAACTCCACTCAGAAGGCTTTAGAGATTGTCGATCAGATCAACATTAATCTTGCTTGTCTATCTTGCGGGTTGACGGGTATTGCTCAATTCTTTGATCCTCTTTACAAGAAGTATGATGCTACATCTGGAAGCTTCCGTGGAGACTTACTCCAGCAAAAACTCAAACTCCTGAATACATCGAATATCTCTGCGTTCAATGCTGAAGACACCCCTGTGGTGATGAGCCGGGCTCCTTCCAACGAATCGTCTTTGGAGGGTCTGGACTCTCAGATTGATGGGATCGAAGGAGGGAATTCTGAGGACCAAGCAGTCATTGATTCACCTATTCATGTATCCAAAGATATTGTCGATGTTCCTATGAGCGACAACAATTCTGAAGACGTTTACTTGATTGAACAAAGTGGTGTGGCAACTCCCAATGATCTCAATATGGGAAGCGTCAACCCAGAACTTACGGGCAGACAATCTGGGCTGTTTGGTTTTGGATACATCTTCGGAGAAGGGACATCTTCGAAGATTGGTGACCCTTTATACCAACATTTACACAATTTGAGAGAAAAGATTGGCAGGTTTCTGCACGAGCTAGCTGAGAAAGTTTTCCTCAACAATGAAGGTAATATTGCGATTGTCAAGAATCTTGTGATTTGCATTGAGATTTGGTTACGCAATGTGGGGTATGATGTTGTAGGAGGATTTTCGGGACTCACAAAGCCATACGTTAGTTCTTTCAATTCGCAGGAATTGAAAAGAATGAACTCACCGTTCACTAGACCTGTAATGGGTGCCAGGTTGGCGGTGATGCACATGAAGCGTCTGTCATTGTCTAGAACTGATCGGGTTTCCAGTGATCTAGACCTGATGTTGTTGAAAGACCTGGTTCAGGTAGCAGCATCTCCCTTTGCCAATCCATCTCGTCGCGCGCGTTTGGTGCTTTCGGCCTGTTTTGGTTCTATGCTAAAATCGTCATCAGCAGTTTACAACGTGTTTCCAGTTTGGCGGAAGGCAGTTGACAAGAAGGATATTGAAAGTATCAAGAACATTCTTCGCATTTTCCGCACCAAGAGGATTAAGGGACACGTTGAAAGAGGTGGGCGTAATCTTGAGTACTTGGACCTGTTAACTGAATCTATCAGTATCGATCACCCAGAAGTGAGTGAAATTGCTCTACATATATTGAAATCAATCCCCGACTATTTGGTGGTTCCCAAGTTTGTGTGTTTGATTGACTTTGATGAGATTGAAGCAATCAAGCCAACTGATGGTATGGTGGACTTTGAGGTTCAATCTTTGATGACTGCGAAGAAGGCAAAAATCGAAAGAATCCTGTCTAACATCACCAAACTTGAGAACCGTGTGATTGAACACGCGAGAGACATGAAATACTGGAAGTATACTGTAATGGCTCTGAACATTACCTCAGTTCTCCAGCAGTTTATGAGCACTACAGTCAACGAATCAGCCTATGAGTTCATCATGGAATCAGCGGGCACTTCTCATCCGTTGGTTTCAAAGACTGCAGTATCGGGTGTCACCTCTATTTTAGCGAAAGTAGAGTTGTTGGCTTCTGTGGGGTACGATGCGTCCAAGCTCTATGACTTGAATGCAAAAACGTCGGGAGTTGAAAAGATTAGCACTGACCCCGCTGACCATGATGGCCTTGACTTCTCCACGGTGTACAGAAATGAGATGCAAAACCTGAAATCGCCTTCTTTCTTCATTGATGGTAGTGTTGTTCAGCCCGGACTTTTCTGGAATGACCACATTGATGTGGTTAGTTCAAGTAATCTGGACAGAGGATTGAGGTTATCTGATTCAGATACTGCCCTATTTAGGAAAGTTGGTTCGTTTTTGACCAAGAAGTGGTTGTCGGATATTCTACAACTGTCTTGTGAGTCCATGGAATCCTCTCCCATATTTCAGCCTGTTCATGTCAACTTTTTCAAAACGATCACCTATTTAGCCGTTTTCAAATTGTCGAAAACTTTCACCCTTGATGATTTGATTGATGTGGCTTATGAGATATATGATAAAGAAAAACGGGCAACCAACATCTTGGTTGCTGAGATCTTTTGTGGAATTATGATGAGCTTTGATCACATGGATGTCACCTCCAGAGAACATGCCGACCAGCGTATAATGGAGAAGTTGAGGGACATCTTTGCGAAAGATCTTACCCAGGATGCGTTATCAGTGTGGTCTATCTTCATGTGGTGGCTGGCCGACCGGGTTGATTTCCGTCGTTTTCCCCGTATCTTGCATGATGTCTGTGGTTTTACGATTGACAAGAATAACGAATCGCCCTTTGCAGACATGGCTAGGCTCAGAATTCTAAGAGATTATCTCGCCTCTGTTGGTGGAAACTTCTCTTTGTTTGACGAGTTCATTGAGATAAGCTTCCAAAATCTGGCTTACTCCTACAGAATCGTGGAGGAGATGAATGCATCGCTTTTTTCATCCTTACTGACCTCCTACCCAGCAGAGATTCCTCTTTCTTTCGAAAAATACCTAGAGTTGAGTACCAGCGATCAGCTTGGATTTGGATACTACCCTCCACAAATCCCAGAGGAAATAAAGTCAAGGTTGAGCGACGTGTTTGATCGAGTGGAAGAGCTCAGAATACAAGTCGTTGATATGGACATGAACACGATTGCCAATTCAGAGTATATGTATATGGCTAGAACTCTTGTCATGTTTTTAGGCAAGGCGTTGCAAGACGATCGCGCATGTGAGATTTTGGAAGCCATCCAAGACAAATTGTTACCCTTCTCGTTTGGCCTTGAAAGAGTCAAAGATGCAGCCAATCTTGCCGGAGTCTCGTACGTCCATATATTCTTCCATATTGGATCGTTACCATTGGAGCGGTTGCGAGTCAAGAATATCCAGGAGTTTGTTCATCCTGACTTGCTTCAGGCTAGTGATTCATTGACTAGACAGAAACACATTTTGAGGTTCATCAAATTCTACTACCATGTGAGGTTTTGCAGCCTCCCGCTTCCATATCAAAAGCTACTTCTGCAAACAGTCGAAAAGCTCATATTCAGTCAGCATTTGGAAGTACGTGAGCTTGCAGGAGATGTGCTATCAGGTATCATCCACGTTTTCCCCGTATCCGAGGTGGATGAAGTTGTCAAGGGATGTATCCAAAGATTTTCAGGTATTCTCACCAAGGACAAAAAACTTTTGGGCAAAGTCAAGAGAGAAGTTGATTCTGGAAAACAGATAACAGAAATCAAAAACAGGATTCATGGTGCTGTCCTGGGATTGGGTGCTCTCATTGATGCCTATCCTTACACAACACCCCCTCCATCTTGGCTTCCCGTGGTACTAGCTGATATCTCTTTAAGGGCGTCTCAGATGGATGGCGTTATCGGACGTACTGCTAAGGAAACGTTGAGTAAATTCAAGAAGACGAGGCAAGATACATGGCATATTGATAGCAGGTTCTTTTCTGAGAACCAGCTGAGCGATCTGGAAGGTGTGTTATGGAAAACGTATTTTCTGTAAACTCATATTGGAATATAATGCAGTTTTATGCAATTCATTAGTGGATAAAGGGGAAACTAAAAACTCAAAGCTTCAAGTTCTCTCGTAATCTTGGCTGCTCCCGCAATGGCTGTGTTTCCTCCTTCTATTAACACCTTCGCCCTGTTCTTCTCCAGGCCTTCCAACAGGAAACAGGCCTGACATATGCGATTATTCGAAAGATAACCACACCGTTCACACGTATTGCTGGATTCTGGCTTGAGCGATACTGAGCCATCCCGTTTCACTTCCACCTCCTGAGCAACAGCAGAGACCCGCATCCTCTGTTTCTTTGGGCGCAACTTCAACTGCTCTCCACTGCGTATGATGTCTATAATACACGAAGGCCTAACAGCCTCCAAGTTCTTTAGCAGAACTCTGGCGGTTCCCCTGAACGCCTCTGGGGCATATGTGCACTCAGTTGAAAAATAATCCAGCTTTTTGTAATGAGCATACAGCACTATCTCCTTCTGGTAGGTGTATTTAAAAGGTTTCGATCTCTTAACTGGAGAGCCACTTGATTCCGTCAAGATATTCACGGATTTCTCCAACCTTCCGGTGTCACCTCTCAACAAGTTCATCAACACCGTTTCTGCCATATCGTCCGCATTATGGCCCGTCACCACGTGAGATATACCAAGCTTGGTTGCCCCTCTGTCCAGAGCTTGCCTTCTCATAACTCCACAATAGGTGCAACTGCTCCTGACACCAGCACACGCAACAATTTCATCCATTGACCACTTGAAAAGATCCTTATAGGAAACGATCTCGAGATGCATGTCATACTGTTTTTGGTTCCTTTTCACGGTTGCCAGTGAATCATCTCTGTAACCCACTATGCCTTCGTCTATGCTCAGGAGAACCAACTCCAAGCCATAGTCATACCTCTCATTAAGTGTCTTAAGTACTGAAGCAAGCACTGTAGAGTCTTTTCCACCTGAAGCACCGATGGCAACTTTCTCGCCCCTTTGGAACAGATTGGCGTCTATGATAGTGTTATGTATCTCTGTCTCGAACACATGGTAGAAGCACTCTTTACAGATCTTCTGCAAATTCTTGGGCCTCTTCATTATTGCCTTGCGGTCATGGCATAGCTCGCACAAGATCTTCGCGCGCGGCACTCTTGCTGTACTCATATTTGCAGTTATATCGCAAGTCGAACCGCACGGTTAACAAAAATCTAAAAAATTCTTATCTATATTCTGTCATTTTTTGGAAGTGTCACTGGTATGTGACCCGTTTTACGCTAGCGCGCGTAGCAACGGTACCGGGACTGGAGGAGATTTTTTCATGTCCATTTTCAATGAGAGGTGGCACGTCTGCAACAAGGTAACGGTAATTGCATCTGACCAGACGCTATTTTCAAAATAGATTGAAGAATGACTTCGCGTTTTTTTGCAGCTGGTTATTCCGACTCAGACAGTGCTTCTGAAGAAGAGCTCGTCTCTTCGTCCGAAGAGGAAGAACAACTTGGATCCTCCTCAGACGAAGATCAATCGGAATCAGATTCTGAGTTTGGTTCAGACAGCGACGACAGCGATGATAGCTCTGACGACGATGGAGGCAGGATTCGTGGGCCTTCTTATTTCTTAAAGAAATCACATGATGACGACGATTCCTCGGATGACGAGGACACCAAAAAGGTGGTAAAGAGTGCAAAAGATAAGATGTTTGATGAACTTTCCAGTTGTATTGACATTGTGTCTCTCGCTCAGTTGGATGGCGATTGGATCAAAGTGTCGAGTGAATTTGACAGGCTGGTTCGTTTAGTTAACCGTGCGCAACAGCAAAACATGGGTGTGCCAAAGATCTATATCAAGGCAGTGGCACAGTTAGACAAGGCCATCACTGATGTCCAGGAGGCTGAGAAGGAGTCCAAGAAGAACATGAACGCTTCCGTTGCAAAGTCGTTCAATATTGTGAGACAACGTATTAAGAAGGTTGCCAAGGAACACTCTGCCCAGATACAGCTATTCCGTGCTGATGAGGATGCCTTTGATCGTGAGACGTCCGAAACTCCTTCGGGCACAGCCACTCCATCTATTGATGGCTTCAAGGTTGTTGGCAAGGACGGTAAGGCCACTGGTACGCCAGAGGTTGCTGATGTCTTCAAGACTCTTGAGACCATACTGGCCAGTCGTGGTAAGAAGAATGTTGATCTGGCTTCCCAGATCGCTGAGCTTGAAGGATTACTATTGGAAACTACCGTTCCTTTCCAATTGATTTCTATATATCTAATGTTGATTCCTCTCAGATTTGATCTTTACGGAAGATCTGCTTACATGCCTGTTGCCGAGTGGAAACTGGCCGAGAAGAACATAACCGCGTTGCTGGCCGTTCTAGAGGCCAACGCGGATAAGTATGCTGTCACTGAGACCGGTGTCGCTACTGAGGACCTCAGCATAGAGCCCAAGGCTAATGACAAGGGTGTCAAAGTGATGATCGGATCGGTTGCTTCCCTTGTCGAGAGACTTGACGACGAGTTGACAAAGTCTTGGCAGTCAATTGACCCTCACGCTACTGAATACGTGGAGAGGTTGAAGGATGAGTCGTTAATATATACTCTGATCGTGAAGTGTCAGCTCTACTACGAGTCGATCACTCCAGCCTCGGAGTTTGCGACCGTTGCTGGTGAGCAGCTTGCCAGAGTTGTCTTGAGAAGGTTGGACCATATTTACTTCAAGCCCTCTAAGTTGATTATCTACAGCGAAGAGGTTGCCTGGACCACCCTTGGTGGAAAAGCCGAGTCGGTTGTGTTTGGAAAGTACTCTGCCAGCTCAGAAGACTCCAAATATGCCAGCGGCCTGATCGATGCTCTCTGCTCCGTCCTTTACAAGCAGCCAAACTCTGTCTTCCGCAAGAGAGCCGTGCTCTCTCACATCTACTACTACGCATTCAACGATGAGTATTTCAAGGCTCGTGACATGCTTCTGATGTCTCATTTGCAATCCGCTATCCACACTTCAGACACACAGCTCCAGGTCCTTTTCAACAGGGCCCTGGTGCAGCTCGGTCTGTGTGCTTTCCGCTCAGGTTTGATTGCGGAGGCCCAACAGGCCCTGCAGGAGATTGCCACTTCTCCAAGACAGAAGGAGTTGTTGGGTCAAGGAGCTCAAAGATTCCAACAACAGCAGACCCAAGTCGACAAACAGAGACTGCTGCCATTCCATATGCACATCAACCTGGAATTGCTTGAATGCTGTTTCTACACCGCCTCGCTTTTGATTGAGGTTCCAGCAATTGCTTCTTCTCCAGAATACAGCAGAAAGCGTCAACAGTCCACCAGGTCTTTCAGAAGAACCTTGGAGTACCATGAAAGACAGATCTTTGAAGGTCCTCCAGAGAACACCAGAGACTACATCATGGATGCCTCCGTGGCTCTTCAGAAAGGCGACTGGCTCAAGGCCAGCGACTTGTTGAACTCCATCAAGATCTGGGGTCTGTTGAAGAACCAGGACTCGGTCAAAGCCATGTTGCGTGAAAAGCTCCAGGTTGAAGGACTGAGAACTTACCTTTTCACGTGCAAGAGCTACTACGAGAAGCTCTCCATCGCCAGTCTTGCTGCCAAGTTCGAGCTTCCAGAGAGAAAGGTCAACGCCGTGATCTCGAAGATGATCTACAGTGAGGAGATAAACGCAGCACTGGACCAAAAGGCCGGCTGCATAGTCTTCATCCAAGGGGTTGAAATCACTAAACTACAAGAGTTGGCCCTGACGTTGGCTGACAAGGCTGTCCAGATGGCTGAGCGCAATGAAAGATTGGCTGCTGGTGGTCACCAGAATAACCAGATAGGTCACCAGGGCAACAACAACTCTGGAAACTCGAACAACACTCATGCCCACAATTCAAACAGCAATATCAAACTGGCCCCTGTTACTGGGGCCTTGCAGTCTGCTCCAGGCACCATTTCCGGTGCATTGAACGGCATGGACAGAAAGTACAGAAAGAATCATTCACGTAAGTAATGCCCGTCATTTCATAATTAGGTGTAAACTTACCCGAGTTTGGTTTTATCTGTAGGTATATTTTTATTCAATGTAATCATGTATGTATGTACAAAATATGCATCTTTATTTCATGCTATTTTTGGTGGCCTCGGTGTTTGATGGGGTTTGCCTTTTTGGGCCAATACACTCCACTTTAGCGCACAGGCCTCGTAAACCTTGTTCTGTCTCTCATTTATAGCCACGAGAAACAAGACACTCCAAGGCTACAACGCTTGTTTTTGTCCCTCATGAGGTCCTTCATTAAGTCACATAAACGAGGGGTTTCTCTTGATTCGGACCAGCGATCGCAGCCCGAAAGAATGCCCCTTGTGGTCAACACCAGAACATCATCAGAGACATACACCATAGCCTCACCGGTGTCGCCTCTGGCTTCACCTTTGGGGCCTTTGTCTGGCAGCCCTGATATTTCGGGTATCTCGCCCAGAAGAAGTCGGAATCCAATCAAAAAGTTTCTGAAACAAAAGTCTTCATCAGGCAATCTGAATGCTGCGGCTATAGTTACCTCAAAACAACAGTCTCCCAAACTCCGGTCGAAATCAAGTTTCTCCAATCTGGCCTCTCACAAGATCAAAAATGGCAAATCAACGAGCCATAGCGGTTCGTCTCCGTTGCTTGCAATTAGTGGGACCTCGCCCACAATCTACGGTACCAAGACCCATGAGTGGGGTACTTCCCCCAACTTGTACAGTCCCAGCAGCTTGAGCAGACCCGAGAATTTCCCTTCCAAAATATCACTCCCCAGCATTGATGAAGGCTCTGATCATCATTCCTTCACCAGCTTTCCATCTGTGGATTTTGAACCCCAAAATGTTGGGATACGGATGACCAGAGTGCATGGAATACACAGCGAGACGGATCTGGGAACCTACGACTTACAGCAAAAGGCGTCGGAAGGGTTTGACTCGGTGACAGACTTTTCGATTGTTTACATATCAAAGACCACGCCGAAGCAGGAGTCGATAAAGGACCAGGCTGACGTCGCAGACGATCCAGAGTCTGATAATGAGTCGGTGGTTTCTCGTGAATCGAGCCAGTTTTCCTTCGAGGAGAACATGAAGAGCGGTAGAAACTCTTCAATAAAGTATTACAAGAGCAAGGACCAGTTAGAAAGGGAGCAAAAGATTTTTGACGAGGAACGGGCACAGGCAAATGCAATGGCCCTCGCCGATGAGTTTGACGATTTGGACGTGGAAGATGCTCAGTTGATCAACAGTTTGGGTTACGCTGATCCCTACGAAGAGGATGATACCGATGCACTTTTCAATCGTAAGCTCTTTGGCAGTGATGATGAAATGCCTCAATCTAATGTTCATGGTGGGTCCGAAAACGAAAGCGACTTTCAGAACTTTTCTGATTTCGATGATGAAATGGTCATGGATCAGACCCAAGGAGATGCGGGACATGAAGCTATCATGGATAATGATGAACTTTACAGTATAGCTAAGATCCCCACTTCCGGCGAGTACGATGCTGACGGTGAATTTCAGACTGAGGAAGAAGGCGATGAGTCTTTGGATGATGTGCAAAATTATGTTTATCCAGAAGGTTTACCTAATTATCGTTCGTCGGAACACATCACGTCACCTCTTGCTTCTGGGAGTCAGATCCATGAGCTTTTGGGAAGGATATCTTTGCAAAGAGAAGATGTTTCTGAAGATGATGAGAAGTCTCAGTCGTATCGCACGAGTACTCTTGATTCAAATGCAACATTCATCACTGGTGATGCTCCCACGCTGTCCATTCAAAGCCCGTTTTCTGGCAGTCTAGTTTTTGATAGAGACCCTAGAGCGACTTCTGTTTCTGCCAGCTCTAATGCAAGGTTCAAGTCACCGTATCTCTCACATAGGCCGCCTTTGGGAACAGCAGTCGATGATGATACGGACCCAGCACACAGGTTCTCGTGGTTCCCCAATGATGATACTCTGAATATGCTCAAAACTTCAACAAGAGAAACCAAGCCCACAGTCCAAGGTGTCAATCAGATATCACTGATGAAGCCAGTTTACTTCCATCACAAGTATGAAGACCCGTCCTCTGAAGGGGGAAGCGATGGTTCTGTGATTGACGAGATCAATCAGGTACCTGCAGATTTTGATTTCAGAGACTTCGATGAGTTTCAGCCATGGCGTGGAAGATCTTTCTCTCTTCAAAGCCCGAAATCAGGAAGGTCTGTGCCATCCAAAGGCAGAAGAAGCAACTCACTACTTAACCACCCCAGCAAATCTCTGGGTGTGCCCATGAGCTCAAGTACTCCTGTTCGAACAAATAGTTTCGAAACAAATGACAAAACAGTGACCCTTTTCAATGTGAACCGAGCCAATAAGCACGTTTACAGCAGCAACCACTCGTCATTTGGAAACCCATTGTCGGCGAGCATAGCCGAGATTGACGTTAGTTCATGTGATGACGAGGATATGACCATTACAACTCCCACTGCTTCTTTCCCCGCTTTAAACCAGACCAGACCGGAGAGTTCTCCCCTGACAACTATTAGTGAAAACTCTTTCGACAGCTCTGGGTACTACCATCCACACTGAGGACATGATGTTGGGACGATGTATGATATTGTAATTATAATAGGACTTTAATGTGACATATGACAATCAAAATAATATGACAAATTATAGGGCCAGGAAACACCATACTGGTGGACTTGGATGTATATGCAAAATATGGAAACATGCAGCATGCTAATGGTTAAGAGGTAACCCTGAATGGTAGCGGTCTGGACTGAGGGCACTCTTATATTGCATGGGCTTCGAGGGCATGGTATTGCGATTGTAATCAGCCAGAGGGCTCCTTCCGTTCCTATCATCACCAACTTCATAGCTTACCATTCGATCAAAGTTCTGGCCAGGCGAGTGTGGGATTTGAAACCGGTTGGACATGTATTTGGCCTCTTCCTCCTTACCTGGGCTTTCTCTGTGTCTGTAAGTGGAGTACAGCCTTGACAAGTCTTGTTCTGTTGTAACAGAAGAGTTTGAGACAAATCTGGCAGGCGACACAAAAGCTAACCTCTTTGGAGAGATGATGGACCGTCTTTTTGGCGTGGTGAGAGACTTAGTTGGAGCCTGGTCTGGATCAACCTTCTTGGATTCCAATGTTTGCGGCAAAACAGGCTGAGCCGGTTTAGGAACGTTTTCGTCGTTCTCCTCCTCACTTTGCTCCCTGGCAGACTCGGAAGCCAGATACGCAGCCAAGTTCGAGTTCCTCTTATCGTAAACCGTATTGCGGACTACGCGGGATGCCGGCGGCGAAGCTGGCAATTGCTTCTCCTCAACAAGTTCTTTCTTTATAGGTAACTCAGCCCTCGAAGAAGGAGGCGTTGAAACCCCCGCATTATGGTTAGGAGAGCTCAATCCCAAGCTCTTCCCCGTGCCGTCCAAAGAGAAGTCCGAGGCAGACGAGGGAACGGACGCAGGCGATTTGGGCTGAACAATTGGCTCCGCGATAGGAACATATCCGTTTCTTGAATAAACCAAGATTTCCGGACTGCTGGTATTGTTCTTGCTAATCTTCGGAGGAAAGTAAATCTCCATTGGCACTGGCAAGAAATGGTCTTTGGATGCCAAGTATGTGGGCTTAGTATTCACCACCGAAGAATAAGAAACACCAGCCCTGTTCTGAGGCTGCAATTGAGGCGTCATTACCGGTGTTCCTCTTGGAGAAGGACTGGACAGTATGGAAAAGACGTTCCCACTGCTGCGATTGCGAGAATGTCCTCGATCCGTACCTGACATAATGTAGATGAGAGAAGAACTGAACTGTTTTTTGGAAGGATTCTAGAAAACAACAAAAAGGTTCAGACTCCCTTATCAGCCCCTTGAACATGCAACAGTACGATCGTCGCCTGGTTTGTTTGTTTGTTATAAATAAATCGTTGATCCTGCAGCTGAAATTCCGTTTCATTGTTGTCACAACAACGGGGTCGTGTATATGATGTCAAGTCACATGAGCCGCATCTCGGCTAGAAATAGATGTGGAAAGGTACCGAAATCAGTCCGCGAGGATGGAGAAGGAGCAAGCTGCGTTGGGGAAATTTGGGCAAAAAAAGTTATATTATTGGAACAAGCTTTTCCAATTGTGAACCGTGAGAATTATGGACCTTCCATGAACCTCAAAGCTCGTTATATGGGTTGTTATTGTCAGACTCAATTTACCCGCAAAATTCACAGGCTTCGGTATGAAGTGCGATACTCATTTTATTTTCCGTTTTGCTTACTTTTGGCTGTTAGTCATTTGTGAACAAGAACTTTTTGCAGATAGCCACCACTTTGTTTCTTTGTGCTGCAACTTTCATAACAACAAGATGACCTTCGATAATCGTTCGGCGACGATAAAAAGAATCACAAACGAGACTAAAATCCAGATAGCGCTGGATCTAGACGGAGGCCAGGTGACTCTGGCAGAGTCTCTTTTCAAAGATACGAGCTACGCACATGCCACACAGGCAACTGGGTCGCAGTATATAAGTGTCAACACGGGAATAGGGTTCTTGGACCATATGTTCCATGCTCTGGCCAAACACTCTGGTTGGTCGTTGATAGTAGAGTGTGTGGGTGATTTGCACATCGACGACCACCACTCCGCAGAGGACTGTGGTATCGCTCTGGGAATGGCCTTCAAGGAGGCTCTGGGCCAGGTGAAAGGAGTCAAGAGATTT